TAAAATATAAATTAGTAATAACAAATCATCAATAAACTAATAACTAATCTAAAAGAATAATTCAATTAGTTAAGCAATACTTATAGAACTATATAGATTAAAAATAAAATAATTAAATATAAATATTATCAATAATATAATTTATAATAAATAATATAATAAATATAATTATAAAATAAATATCATATTTTATAAATCTTAAATACTATCTAAGAATAATATAGTCTAATATATTAAAAGAAAGATTATTAAAAATTATAATAATATAAGCCAAGAATCTCTAAATATTCCATTAAATAATCTCATAAAATATCAAATAAATAAAATAAAGAATAAAAATCTATTATAATAAAAAATATAAGAATATATTAATCTTTAAAAAAAAGAGAAAATTTACCTTCTATAATAAACTATAAAATAAAAAAATTTTAATATTCTAAATAAAAGATTAAATAATAAACTTAATATAATTAAATATAAATCTTTTAAAATTAAAAAAAAACTTATTAATAATAATTATAAACTTTAACTATCAATAAAAATAAAAATATATTTAGTATTTTATATCTTATTATTAGAATCTATAAAAAATCCAGAAAATAATAAAAATAAAACTAATAATAATGAATTCAAAATTAATTTTATTAAAAAATAGAAATTAGAATAAGAAAGAATCTTTTATTTAATTAGATAGATAAAATATAGATTTAATTATAACTTATAAGAACTAATTAAATATTTAAATTATTTAAAAAAGATTTAAGCTTTCTATTATTAAAAAACTCAAAGAGTAAGAGATTAAAAGAATTATTTTTTCTTTTATTTTCTTTCCTCTTCTTCTTTTTATTCCTTTTTCTTCAATCTTTCTAGCTCAGCAATATTCTATATATCCTTTACTATAAAGTCACTAATATATTTATAAAGAAAATTATTTTATAGCTCTAAATAATAAAACTTCTTAAAAGCCTCCTTCTTCTAAATATAGATTTAATTTTAGATAGTTATAAACCACTATCATTCTTTATTAAAAAAAGAAGTTTTCAATTTAATATATTTTTAATTTAAATAAATATATTCACTATAATAAAAAGATCTTTTAACCATTATATAAGATTTATTTAAATTTATATAATAAATATAGAGAATAATTATCTCAAAATCCTTATCCTTCAAGCAATCAACAAGTTTTGATTTCTAAATACAAAAAAGCTTCTTTAAAAATATAATTAGATCATCATTATAAGCATAGAAATTTATAAAATAAAAACACTTACTTAAGAATATAAACACAGCTGACTATTTATTATACTATTAGAACACCAGCCTTCAAAAAAAAGATTATTATAAAAATCAATAAGTCATAGTCAATAAATATTATAACAGATATTATTATATAAACACCTAATAAGATTATATATATATATTATATATATATAAAATAAGTGTAGAAAATAAGCACTAAGTAGAAACTACTTAAAGAATAACAGTAGCCACAATTATTATACAGTATAATCAGATATTATATATTAATACCTTATTTCAATATATACCAAACACATAATCTAACAAAGCAAAACTTCAATATATAGAAATATAGCTTCTATATAATAAAGTAATAATTCTATATAATAAAGTAATAATTCTAGATATTAAAATATAGTTTTAATATCTTTTAATATATATAGACACTCATTACCATTATATATTTAGTTAATTATCTTTTATCTTCATACTAAAATAGCATACTACTATTTAATACTCAATAATCTTCTTACTACTACTATTATTCTTAATAGATAGTCTTTTAATATTGATTTTATACTTACTCTTTTATCTTGTGTTAGCAGAATATCCTCTAGGATCTCTGATCTTGAGACGAGTTGTTAACAACTTTTGACAATTAAATACTTATTCTTAATAATCATAAAAGTTATTTAATTACTAAATTTGACTATATATATATTAAGAATAATATTATTCTAATCTATATATCTTTACATTCCTTTCATCTTTTATAGTCTCTTAATATTGGCTATTTTATTAATTTAAAATAAGAATATAAATAGTTTATTAAGCAGTAAATAATATTTAGATTTAATTATATTAATAAAATTAACTTTTTTACTACATTTCTAAAGATTTATATAATAGTATATAAAGTTTAAACTATTTAAAATAGCTTTATAATAACTAGATTAATATTATTTAATCTAAATTAAGTTATTTAATAATTTATTATTTAATTAAAAATTTTAATATCTTTTTTAAGTTAATTAAATAATATATAATTATCTTATTTATAAATCTTTTAAAATCTATATTAAGTTAAATATTAAATAATTATAATTAAGAAGTGAATAACCCACTATATAAAAAATCTATCTAAGATTATTAATAAAGTAATTATATAAGTATTAAAAGCTTATAAGATAAATATTAATAAGTTTATAATTGTATAAAAGGAAATTTATAATTTATAAACTATATATAAAAAGAAGATATAAAAATATTAAAGATTTAAAAGATAGATATCTTATGATTAAAGAATTATTAGAGAGGAAGCTCTGATATTTATATAAGATTAGATTAAGATATTTTAAGTTATTACTATTATTTTAGCTGAGCCTAAGCTTTTAGTCTCTTATCTATCTATATAATATTAATTTTGCTACAGTGATTATGGTATTAAAAGATATAAAATAATTAGATGTCTTAATCATATTAATAATTTATTTTTTGTATATAATTTGTATATAGGTTTGAAATTAAGATTTGAAATCAATATATAACGTGTTTTTAGAGAGAGATGGGTAGATCACTTACATGGGTGGATCGCTTACCGATTACGTTAGATATTAATCTAATAGATAATTAGATTAATTCTGAGCACTGATTATTAGATATATAAGTCTTAATATAAATATATTAATATTTTAGTGAGTATTATTTTTTAGATTAACTATCTCTATTATATATAAATTAGGTATTTAGAATTAATTAAACAGTTTAGTATTATATATAAATTTAATAATATTAATTATTATACTTTTCTTTAATAATAATTTCTTTATTAATATATTTTTATATATTTTTTAGATATATTTTTATATTATCTTATATTCTTTCTTGTATAATTAATATTTTATTAGAATATAGTATAATATCTGGTTTAATAGATTATATAGGTATTAAAGTGAGTCTTATCTGTTAATTTATTAAAGATATTAGTTTAATTTAATAATATTTAAATATATTTATATTAATATTAATAATAAAGCTTTGTGTATTTTTTTAGTAGTTAAATATATATTTATTTAGCTTTAAAATAAGAAACTTTATAGATTTATTTATTTTTTCTTTTTTTATATTTAAATATCTTTTATTATTTAATAAATTTATTATTTTATTATTAAAATTAGTTATATCTATTACTCTTCTAGTTTCACTTTATTTTTTATTTTCTTTATAGTAGTATGTTTTACTGCTTAATCTATTATTTTATTTCTATTTACTTCTTTGTGATCTAGAATCTATTATAGGATAATAATAATATTTACTTTATATAGTTTATTAAATAGACTTAGACAGTCTTTAATTCAGATTTAGCCTAAAACTATATATAGATTAAATAATATTTATAAAATAATTTAATTATTTAAGAAGATCACTACTCTATTTTGACTTCATATCTACTATTATGATTTATCATTAAATTACTAAACAGCTTATAGTACTATATAGATTCCTTCTATTTCTGCTACATACACTGTTGTTGTGCTTTCCGTCCCTAGGCATCTGGTCATTTGCGATCCTGTCTCCGGCATGTACATGGCCGCACCCACGTATCCCTAATATTCTAAATATTCTTTACTATAAAATTATTAGTATATTTCTAAAGAAAATCATTTCATAATTTTAAATAATAGAATTTTTTTAAAAATCTTTTCTTTTAAATATAAATTTAATTTTAAATGATTATAAGCCACTATTACTTCTTATTAAAAAAAAGTTTTTAGTTTAATATATTTTTAATTTAAATAAATATATTCACTATAATAAAAAGATTTTTAATTATTATATAAGATTTATTTAAATTTATATAATAAATATAGAGAATAATCATTTTAAAATCTTTATTTTTTAAATAATTAATAAGTTTTAATTTTTTAATATAAAAAGACTTCTTTAAAAATATAATTAGATTATTATTATAAACATAGAAATTTATAAAATAAGAATACTTATTTAAAAATATAAATATAGCTAATTATTTATTATATTATTAAACTATTAGTTTTTTAAAAAATAAGATTATTATAAGAATTAATAAATTATAATTATTAAATATTATAATAGATATTATTATATAAATATTTAATAAGATTATATATATATAGAAAATAGATATAGAAAATAGATATTAAATAGAGACTATTTAGAGAATAATAATAAATAATTATAGATTATTATTAAATATAATTAGATATTATAGAAATAAAGCTAAAAGTGACTATATTTTTATTATATTATAACTATTAATATAATAATAGTTAGTATTAAGAATAGATATTTAATTTTAATATATATTAAATATATAATCTAATAAAATAAAAATTTAATATATAGAAATATAGCTTTTATATAATAAAGTAATAATTTTAAATATTAAAATATAATTTTAAATATTAAAATATAATTTTAATAATTTTAATATATATAGATATTTATTTATTATTATATATTTAAATGATTATTTTTAATTTTTATATTAAATAATATGTTATTATTTAGTATTTAATAGACTTTTTATTATTATTATTATTTTTGATAGATAGCTTTCTAATATTGGTTTTATATGATTCTTTTATTTTGTATTAGCAGAATATCCTCTGTGATCTCTGATCTTGAGACGAGTTGTTGACAACTTTTGACACTAAATCTCTAATTAATCAATATACTTTTATATAATTATTATAATTTCGCAAACACTTAAAGCTAATTTATTTATTAATAACCTAGCTATTATTAATATTGAACGCTATTACTTATCTAATAATTTCTAAACTTTATTATAAGGATATTTTATTATTAAAATATAATCAATAATTCATCTAAAATTAATGATCACTTAGAATATTCTATTAATAAAATAAAAAAGAGCTATACATAATATCAATATAAAGTTATTTATTAAAAAGATAATAATAATATAAAAATAAAATATAAAAATAAAATATAATTAATTAAATATATAATAATAAATAAATATTTATATATATTAAAGAAATTATATATATAAATATATTATTTTAAAAACTCTTAATATAAGATATTATATTAAAAAATATATCTATCTTATATTTTAACTTTATAAGATTATATACTTAATATATATTAGAATCAGATATTATTTTATAGTATTAATTATTATTATTTTAATAGTTATAGTTTAATATTATTTTCTAAATAGTTTTTACTTAGTGTCTATTTTTTATTTATATTTATTTTATATATGGTATCTATATATATTTAATGAATACTTATATAATAGCGTCCACTATTTCAATTATTCATTGGCTGTGAGTTATCGATTCTTGTGACACTGCTTTGGGTGAGGAATTTCAAAAATTCATTCCATGAAGAAAAAGATGTTTTTTTTAGTCATTTTTAATAGTTATAGTCTTGTTCTCTTTTATATAATATAATAGTTATTAAGTATTAAAAATGAATAAAATTAAAATCTATTTTAAGATAGATATTATAGAAAACATTTAGAGTTTTATAGGTTAGGGCATAACTCTATATAATAGTGATAGTATGGAAGCTAGCTATATCAGGTCAATGAAATCTACTACTACTACTATCAAATTTAATACAATTCAAATGCATTATTATAACTGCAAATCTACATCCATGTCATCACTTTGACTAAATGATTCTCTGATCCGAGGGCTAAATAGAGAGCTCTTCTGGCTGCAAAGCTCTGTTGTATCTGAACTGCAAGAGTTGTTATCATCGCTGTTTAAATTTTGAGCTCTGTTCCTTGCCCTCGACTCTATGATAGCTTTCCGAACAGCATCCTTATCCTCAGGAACTGTCAATGAACGTGGAATTCTATAAAGGATAAGTTCTTTATCTGTCTCGGGTTCTTTCAGAACAGACTTGGGGATAGCGTTCAATGCCTTCTCAATCTCGGGTATAAACGATATCTGCTTTTCGTGTTCCTCGATGTCGGCAAGTTCTTGCTCGATATTGTAGATATATGTCGTATGTTTGGTGTCATCCAATAGCATGCTACCGTCGTTGATCGAATAATCCTGTGGTATCGGTTTCCGTGTGTCTTGGACAGCAGCGCTCGACCTTGGTGATAGGCCTTATGTGTTGATTATTAGTTGGTATTCAGTGACGCTGACAACATGTGAGCTAAAAACAGAAAATTACCTAATTGCAACAGGCCAAACTTCTTCACTGGAGGCTCGCCCTCCGGGTCGCTGTCCGCATGGCGCTTGAGACGATCTTGGGTCAGAGGCGGCATCGACGACTTGGCAACTCCGACCTCCTTCCAGCCAACGCGCGATGAGTCAGAGCCCTGGCTGCCACTATCGTTTCATATAAAAGTTTTTATTGACCTTAATTGTTGGTTTGTCGTTGTGTAACAGGGCATTAAGCAGCAGATGCTTGATGCGGAATTCGCTTCTCACGAGTTCCAGTGTCGCCACGCCTCGCCTTTCCTTGATGTTCCGTTCTTTACCTAGAATATTCCGTCCTTCACCCCCCTTCCAACGTGCGACTGCATCTCCTCATTTCAGCCACCATTCACGCCAGAGAATGGCTGCACCTAGCGAAAATGTCCCTAAGTGGACTGCTAACAGTGTCCGCGAGGAATTTATCAATTATTTCAAAGACAGAGGACACACGTTTGGTACGAAGCTTTTGTAATACCCCGCAATCTATACACTGACGAAAAATAACTAGTCCCCTCGTCGTCTGTCGTGCCACTTTCTGACCCTACCCTGCTGTTTACAAATGCGGGCATGAATCAGTACAAGTCTATTTTCCTTGGAGTGGTTGATCCGCAGTCTGATTTCGCGCAATTGAAGCGTGCGGTCAATTCGCAAAAAGTATGATACTCTCTGCAAACCTCAAATCACGCCGCTAACTTTTCTAGTGTATTCGTGCAGGTGGTAAACATAATGTATGATTACCTCTTTCTCATAGTAATTCACTTATTTACGAAAGCAGGACCTTGACGATGTCGGCAAAGACAACTATCACCATGTAAGTCACATTTGTAGGTGGATGCTATTTTAAAGAAAGGACTAATTTTTTTCCCAAATAAACACAGACCTTCTTCGAAATGCTCGGAAATTGGAGCTTTGGAGACTATTTCAAGGAGGAAGCTGTTGGATTTTCCTGGGAATTGCTGACAAAGGTGTTCAGTCTTGACCCAAGCAGACTCTACGTCACCTATTTCGAAGGCGACAAAAGCGGTGGTCTAGAGCCGGACCTTGAAACAAAAGAACTCTGGAGAAAGGCTGGTGTCCCAGAAGACCATATCCTACCTGGAAATATGAAAGACAACTTTTGGGAAATGGGAGACCAAGGCCCTTGTGGACCTTGCAGTGAAATTCATTTTGACCGGATTGGTGGCCGAAACGCCGCCCACCTTGTCAATCAAGATGATCCTAATGTCATCGAGGTTTGGAACAATGTTTTTATTCAGTATAATCGAGAAGCAGACCGTTCCTTACGGTCTTTGCCAAACAAGCATGTTGACACGGGTATGGGTTTTGAACGTCTCGTTTCGGTACTTCAGGCGAAGTCATCAAATTACGATACCGATGTTTTCACACCTTTATTCAAAAAAATCCAGGATATTACAGGTGCCCGTGAATACCAAGGCCGGTTTGGAGCAGAAGACACCGATGGTATTGACACAGCTTATCGGGTTGTGGCAGACCATGTGAGAACTCTTACGTTCGCGATTTCAGATGGTGCCTACCCTAACAACGAGGGTAGAGGTTATGTGATTCGTAGAGTCCTTAGGAGAGGGGCTCGATATGCTCGCAAATATTTCAATGTGGAGATAGGCAATTTCTTTTCCAAAATTGTTCCCACACTTGTCGATCAAATGGGAGACATGTTTCCAGAGATCAGGAAAAAGCAGGACGAGGTTATGGAGAACCTTGATGAAGAGGAGCTGTCATTTTCGAAGACGCTAGATCGAGGTGAAAAGCAATTTGAAGCTTACGCCCAACAAGCCAGGTCGAAGGGGTTAGATAAGCTACATGGAGCAGATGTGTGGAGACTCTATGATACTTTTGGCTTCCCCGTCGACCTGACCCAGATCATGGCCGAAGAGCGAGGTCTCCGTATTGACAATTCCGAATTTGAGGAAGCCAAACTGAAGGCGAAGGAAGCCAGCAAGGGGAAGAAACAAGCTGCAGAGGATACTGTTAAACTCGACGTTCATGATATTGGTAAATTGGAGAAAATGAATGATGTCCCGAAGACAGATGACTCGGCGAAATTTGACTCGAGTAATATTAGCTCCGTCGTCAAGGCTATCTATCATGGCAAGACTTTCGTTCGGACAACATCAGATTTGCCACAAGGAGATCAGATTGGTATTATCCTTGATAAGACCAATTTTTATGCTGAACAAGGAGGACAGGAGAATGATACCGGCAGGCTTATCATTGATGGGCAGGCGGAAATGGAAGTTGGAGATGTCCAGTCTTATGGTGGCTACGTTCTCCACACAGGCTTTATGAAGTATGGGTCATTTCGCGTTGGTGATTCCATTACTTCCGAGTACGATGAACTTCGCAGGTGGCCTATTAGGAACAACCATACTGGCACGCATATTTTGAATTTCGCCTTACGGGAGGTCTTGGGAGATGGCATTGACCAGAAAGGATCACTCGTTGCGGCCGAGAAATTACGATTTGATTTCTCACATAAGGCTGCCATCGCAGAAAAAGATCTTGACGAGATCGAAAAGAAAAGCACTGAATATATTCGACAGAATTGTACAGTATATTCAAAAGAGGTTCCTTTGCCTACTGCCAGGGAAATCTCAGGCGTTCGAGCTGTTTTCGGTGAGACCTACCCGGATCCCGTACGCGTCGTATCTGTTGGAGTAGAGGTCGAAGAAATCCTTAAAAATGTCAAAGATCCAAAATGGAGCCAAGTAAGTATTGAATTCTGCGGTGGTACTCATGTTACGAAGACTGGTGAAATTCGAGATCTTGTTATATTGGAGGAATCTGGTATTGCGAAGGGAATTCGACGAATTATTGCTGTTACTGGAGAAGCTGCTCATCAGGCACAGCGAGAAGCAGCCGATTTTGAGAACCGTTTGGAAAAGCTACGAACAATGGACCGTGGTCCTGCTAAGGAATTGGAATTGAAACAAGTCCAGATAGAATTGAATCAACTTACAGCATCGGCAGTACAAAAGAGCAAATTCCGAGACCTAGTCGCCCGGATCAATAAGCAGGTTCTGGATGACCAAAAAGCCCAGCAGAAGCTTGAACTCAAGAAAGCACTCGATAAAATCAAATCATATTTTGAGGACGCAGAGAATCAGGACCGTTTCACACTTGTTACTACTCTGCCAGAAACTACGAACCCCAAAGTGCTTAGCGAAGCCATCAATTTTATCAAGTCTAAGATGACTGAAAAGACTGTTTACTTGTTTGCGCCAGACCTTGGTCAAGGCAAAGTCGCTCATGGTTGCCACGTTTCCAAGGCAAGTTTGATGTTATCTGCACCCCTTCTGAACCTGGCTAATACTATTTGCAGGCCGCTAGTGAAGTCGGTGTCTCCGCTAGTGACTGGGCTCGTGTAGTTTCTGGCTCTGTTGGTGGAAAAGCCGGTGGCAAAGCCCCGACGGCCATAGGCAGTGGAAATAATGTTGATAAGGTGGAAGAGGCTGTCAATCTCGCAACTGAGTACTTGCAGAAATTCCATCTCTAAATATCTGAAGTGTTGCTGGGATACCATGTTATTTCTAGGGTTTGATATAACCGATGGTTCATAAATGGATGCATGTGCTCAGAGAGACGGCACAAAGGCGAAGTATCATGTTTCAGAATAGGCTGGGATATGTACGGAAAGGATATGTACGGAAAGCCAAGTAGCCTTTACATTAGCCCAATTGATTCTTGTAATCTAGCTCGGTTCTAGTCAATGTTGTACCTTTTACATTTCTCCGCATTGTGTGATGGTAACGTCCTGGTTAGGTTTGTCCCTAGTAGTACGAGTATTCTCAATCATGCGTACAATATTCATGCCATCGATCACCTGCCCAAATACAACATGCTTGTTATTCAGGAATGGCGCTGGGACAGTCGTAATGAAAAATTGGCAGCCGTTTGTATTCGGCCCAGAATTCTGTACATAGGTCAATAACAATTCAATATAGCCAGCTATCTGGTTTCAGGTCAAACTTACTGCCATGCTGAGTAGTCCAGCCCGATCATGCTTCAATGTGAAATTCTCATCTGAGAACTTTTGACCGCCATAGATCGAGGCGCTGCCTGTACCATCTCCATTGATGAAATCGCCGCCTTGTATCATGAACTCTTTGATCTTCGCCGAATGTTAGCATGTGTTGCGTTGGTCGTTGGAACATAGTTCTTTGCCAACATACTACACGATGGAACTTGCAACCCTTATAGCCCTGAGGCCGACCAGTGCTGTTTTTGGTTTCACCAGTACAGAATTGTCGAAAATTCTCTGCTGTTCGTGGTGTGATGTCTGCAAAAAGCTCCATCTTCACGCGACCCAATGGTTCTCCTGCATTGACATTTAGTGGTTGTTGGTACTTATGCTAAGGCCATGTGCTATTATACATTTTATCGTTGGATACATCAATTGATCTCACTTAAGCAAACAGCCAATGACAAATAGTGTAAGAATAAAAACCAAAAAGGCGAGATGGAATAAACTAGCCAGGCGCATGTGCTGTAGACTCACCTGCTAGAGCTATGTCAAAGAATACGACAGGATTTGATTCTGATTGCCTGCTATTATCCGCCATTTTGTGAGTCTATATGGATGATGCGCAAGTCTATTCTTGCGTATTGTGATGAATATGACAAAGGGCCCATTCGATGGACAATATTTCACGCTCCCCACTTATGATCTCCGGCTAGCCCAACACGTACCGTATCGTATTACCAATTATGTATTGCACTACATTTGAATTTCGAGCCACCCTAGCACAGGAGTGTAATTCTGGTATTGAGAATGTAAACCTGAAAATAACGGATATCAATGGAGGTTGCCAATGCTCATACAAGGGTATTTCATTAATCGTAATATTATCTACAGAGAGAGGATTCAATCGCATTGACTTGCATATCTTGAAATAACAACACAGCCAGTCATGAATGGTTTATGGTGCTACGCATAAATTACATGATGGTACATGAATACCCCCGCATTATATAATAATTGACCGATTTACGCGAGCATCCTACGTGCATGAACCCACCTTGGTTTGCAATCTAGAGCAAGAATCGACTAATATGCCACTAACTGGTAGTGATGTACGGGCTGGCATGTAACTTATCGCAATCACCGCTCATCTGCTGGAGGAATACGAGTTTCTCGGGACGATCGACGGGGTGAAATCAACGCGGGGATGACCATTGTCCTAGACAATCCACACAGCCAAGCAGGCAGTCTTAGAATATTCTTGAATGTCATTGAATAATAGTTTTGGGAAGGACATGATCGTATCATTGTGCTTTCTGCATGCGACAGACAGGATGATGTGCGTTGATGGACGAGGCCCGTCTGGCCAGTCAGCGGCGCCCGCAAGCGTGTCTTGACCTGTTTTGGCGCCGAGGCAGGCCCCGTGACACCCTGACTCCAGATGTCAATCACTCTTGTCTCGAGTCTCCACCCCATGTCAGCGATAATCCCAGCCTAGATTCCTCACCACACACTCCACATCATCCATTAATATCACATATCACACATTTAAACAAAACAGACGATATCCCTATCTCTAACTGCTTCCCTGGCAGAGAGCTGAGAACTAAGAGTTGACCTGCTTTCCTGCTCCCCGCTGTCACCCTACCTGTCTGTAAGCCCCCCGTTGCTCCCGGTCACTCCAACAACGACAGCGACACAGCCTGTTTGATACCAATTCACAACAGTCACTCGTGCACCTGAGATTTTCGGCTATCATCCTGAACTATTGGATGAACCCGCAGTATCTGCCATGGTCATTCATTGAAATGACATCGCGCCTCAGGGTCTCATCGGAGTAGGCTCAAGTCCAGAGCCTCCTGCTGGAACCCGCTGTATAGTCTAGCCATTGTCGTCTTTTATCGCCCGATCAACTGTCATTGGAAAAATTACACTTTGCATAACTTCACAAAAACTGGCCAACAATGTCCTCTACCACACAATCTGCTAGTGCCACATCCGCTACGTCGACTGGCGACAGTGGGGGCGGAGGAGGAGGTGGTGGTCCAAGTAGCTCGCCATTATTGTTTTTTGTCGCTCTTGGATTTGGGGTGGTTTTCACGAATTTATGGTATGTGTATTTCCCCGTCACTTCTATTCCTTGCTGGAAGAGGCCTCATAATAATTGTGTTCATTAGGATTATCGTTGGCGTGAAATATTGTTTTCGATATAATCAACGCAATCGCCAATTGCGAAATGAGGAAACAGGAGAACCGATTGACCTCATGAATGTTGCGAGGACTCACAGAAGAAGAAGAGAAAAGAAATTGATGTCGATGGACGATGTAAATGAACGATTCCCGCTGATGAAATACAAAACATGGCGGGCTTCACGCGTTGACAAAGGGCTTCCCAGTGAAGGAGGAATTATTGCCCCATCAAGCCGACCACAGACGCCAAAAGGCGACCACAGAGAGAGTACTGGTGGAATTGATGATGATTTGCAAAGTGGTGTCGAAAATTTTACAGTGTCTACGAAACGCCATGAACCCGGCTCTATAGGGCCAAACACCAGTGTCGTGGCCAGCGCGGACGAGAAAGACCAAACAGAAACCCAGACGTCTACAGAACAACCGGTTTCTGAAACAACACCTAGAATACAGCCTGATTCACATACCCCGGCCTCTATTGAGCGAATAATATATGAAGATACCGATGGCCCTATCCAAACAGCCGTGCCAGCTGAACTACTCCCGAGTCCTGGAGATTCTTGCGCAATCTGCCTGGACCTCATTGAAGATGATGATGATGTACGTGGTCTCACTTGTGGACATGCCTTCCATGCTTCCTGTGTAGATCCGTGGTTGACGAGTCGTCGCGCCTGTTGTCCTTTGTGTAAGGCCGATTACTACGTCCCAAAACCACGACCGGAAGGACAGGAAGCTACTACAGAGAATGACCGACTTGGCCGCCGTGCTACAGGTCGAACTGCTTCTCTAGCATCACCGCAGCAGGTACTTGTTGCAGGTCGAATCAATCCTTTTAGGACAATTTCGATATTTCCCAGCCGGCTACATTCGTCAGCGAATACCGAAGAGAACATTACAGGATCGGGTCGTGAAGGAAATGGCTTCAGAAATCGTACGAGGGCCCCAGCAACGAGGCCCAACAACATTGATAATCCAAGACCGGTCTTTTCCACATTAAGAGACAGATTAAACATATTTTCTAACACCCGAACTTCCTCCGCTCAATCACCAACTTCTGCAGCTCCTGGTGAGCCACACCTTACTCCCCGTCAACTGGAAGCCGGTCCCGTATCACGAGGGTGAATCTGACGGCATGTATTTCGTGCCTCATTGTTTGTTTTTATATTCTCGAATTTGTCTCTTTTCTTTCTAGGGATTTCATCACATTTCATCAAGGCGCCTCTCGTTGGAGCGCTGGCTGGAACAAATAGGCTTGTTACGCGATGCATTATTTCATGATTCATGTTGGGAGGGTCTCATTTTACCAGGTCATGTCTGAGTTATGTTCAATCTCAGCAGTTAACTGGTTTTTCATTGTGGAACATATTAGGAGTACATCTTTATACATTCATATCAATCAAGGAATTCGAAGCATTTTCCAATTAAGTTTAGCGATTTATTGGGATTCCTAACAATATAATAAAATAACATGGTAAGAAGCATATAGTAGTGTTCCTCGTAAAATTTGCAGCCAAATCAAATATGCATTAATTTGCCACGCATGACTGAAAGTGTTTATCGGCATAACTAATCTAGCCAGTGGTTTTTACAGAGCTGACACCAGCATTGATGACACTAGGCAGCTCTTGTTGACCGACGCTAAATAACATGCTGATACCGGCACCAATTGCCAGGATGGCAAGGACTGTGATGGAAGCAAGTAGGAAGAATGGTACGCTGATGTCTTCCTTCTGGCATGCTGAGCCTCCCCATGAGACGGTACGGACACTTCCACCAGCATTTTCCACCTGTGTCTGCTTGCATTTGCATGTATAGCACCCATCGTCTTTTGATGTTGATTTGAGAGAACATGTACCGTGACCAGAGCAGTTGTCGGTGCCAGCAACACATGAATTGTTCGACTTGTAGCAGACAGGAGCAAATGTCGAAGGTACGGCATTCTTTGGGGACCTTTTGGTATACTCAAAAACTGGGGAGCGTATTCCTCGTGGTTGGCCTTGAGAGGTTTTCGAGTTTGCGTGGGGTAGGAGTACGAAGGTCTGTTCGGGAGCATTGAAAAGTTCATGAAGGGAATCTAGGAGCTGGACAGCCATTGATGATGTTATCGTATTTTCCTATGTTGTTCTGTTAGTTACTGACTTGATGATATGTAGTGAACAAGTACTTTGAATGTCAGTCTCAGTACTCCCTTGCTGTCATCACTGTTGGACTGGGCTTCCAGCAAGGACAATGGGAGACTATCGAAAAATTCCTTCTGTGAGGTTGTTATGCCATTTCCTGAGATGTATCGATGGGGCATGCAGCTCTGAAGTCCCTACTTTCCTGTCAGTACAATCGACTATCTACATTGCTCTACTACATTGCATTGCGTACGTAGCTGTTCGATGCCTGCAGTTCCGGACTGGCCGCTGCCTCATACAGACATTGTATCGGACCAGACGCGGAGTTTTCGTGAGAGGTGAGTAAGCTCTCAATCATATCGTTGTCCATGAAATCCGAGGAAACTCGAGAAATTGGGAAGGTGATGGCAGGAGTTTTGGGTTTGATGGCAGCTGAACCACGCTTTCGTGAGTAGCTGTAATTTGAATTGATTGAAATGGGACAGTCTCACTGGCATCTTTTTTCAACCCGTCTATTACGACAACCAGCTTCTGCTGGCTATTGCGCGGTGTCTCATCGAATAGAGCGTTTTGCACTCCATAGCTGTTTAGCAGCTCTAGGACCGGTTCTTCAAGAGCTGCACTGGCTATGGATCCAGTCGATACCATTCTTTGCTGCAACAGTAATTTGGCAGCATCTTCGTGGACGGCCGCGTGAGGTTGTTGGTTGGAGTGTGCAGAATCGAAGATGGTAATGCTTCCATCAGATGCAGCTGCGACTGCAGCTAGGCAGGTCGCAAGAAACGTTGATATCTGCCGCATCGTGCGAAGTAGATTCAAGCCAATATGAGCATAGTATAGCTTATTGGATCATGTGTGTCGATCAAAGTCTCAAAACCATGGAGACTCGACGAAGTTGTATATGCCTGAGTCGCTCGTCGGTGGTCTCACAGGCGGACGTCCAAAGCCACTAGTTTATCGTTGATTGCGGGCACTAGCCGCTGCAACCTACACCAGCACAAGATTTCGCGCCGGATCACGTGAATTACAAATCGCTCCCAAACGGTAACAGGGAAACAATAATGAAAGCATCTCCTCGACTTCACCCAGCGTCTATATGAACTCAATACCAATCATTCACTGAATTGTTGGGTGTAATCCGCCCGCTGGGTGACATACTCGGAGAAAGTGCAACTATCAATCAATGCTTCGGGTCGGCCACTCATTTCGCTATTTTCAAGTGAACTTTCGCCAATGTCGGGCATATTCTCAGGGTAGCAGATTAGGTAGCCGCCAGCAGGTAAAACTACGAAGGCCATGGCTAAGGTACGTCTTGTTATTTCTCAAAGCCAGTTATATGCGAGTTTCTAACTGTCCTTAGGCGATTCGCGACCGCTTGTCTCGTTTATGGAGTCGCAACCCACCTATACATTAATCTGTTGTACACGCATTTTGATAAGGAGATCACACATAGCTCCCTCGAAGACTCCGACTTGAAGAGGAAAGATTCAATTAATGGCGACTCCGACGCTGATTCCGAAGAAGAGCCATCCTTTATACCGCTGACATGGCCTCGTCTCAAACCTGGCGAGCTTTACAAGGATACCGATGCAGAATGGTTGACTTTTGTGAAAATATCAGAGGATAAGGAACGTCTTCGGGCATTGAGGGGTATATAAAATCTCAAACATACGTGCAAGATTGGGACTAACCATTTCTTAGCCGAGCTTGCAGACATTGTTCGCCAGCAAATGTCCAAGTCACTACATGGACGTCGCCTCTTTGGAACGCCGTTACAAGTTACTGAAAGCTGGCTGATACCTCGCTTTCCATATCGTGCACCACCTCACTACGAACGATTTGGGTAGGCATCTCACTTCACCTGCGTAACAGTCCTGTATCTGACTTGGTCACCTCTTTAGCTTGGAAATTTCAGACACCGAAATTGCCCTGGTTTCGCAACCTGTCCTCCCACGAGATGGTGATCAGATATGGAAAATTTTATTCCCATTCTCTGTCTCGTTGGCCGCGTTTCATGCTTCTTTCTACCTGGGACAGAAGAAGATACGGGAGATGAAAGCCCTTCTTCGGGATGATGGGCACACAAACGACACTATAATGAGCATAAAAGACTTGGATCTACAATCAGATCTAAAAAGCCCCAAGAATTTCAACTTGCCGAGCTTCTCTGAATGGGAGATTTTGAACTCCAACCCAACCGAAGAGATTCAGGAAAATAGCTCTTCTGCAGACGAGAAACCAGCTCGGAATTACCCGTCTCACTTACCTTCCAGTATTACCATCTTACAAAACATACCTCGTCCCGACCTTAAGCCGGGATCTGACCTCCATTTTGCACTCTCTGTTTTCAAGTTGTCTCTATCGAGGTCCAGGCTTCTGCATCGAAAAATCCCTCAGCGAGGAGTGTTTTATTTCAGTGGGCCTGTGGCCCTGCATGGCCCGAAAGGTGAATTTAGAGTAGAAGCTACTGGTGAATACGATCCGGCTCACAAGAAATGGACTACTGTGCGAATATATTGGAAGGATATTACTTTTTTTGCTCAGGAGGCCCTTGGGAACCATAACTACGATCAGGATGACTGAACTACCCCCAATATAAGTCGTGTGAAAGAGAAAGGCAATGCGTGTTGCATGAATTCAAATTTTATAACTCCTGTCTTTATAGCGCTTCATTCGTCGGGGAGAGTGCATTATTACCTATAGAGATTGTCGATAAGCATGGACCTGTACACCAAACCGAGACTTGACCGTTATTTACAACGTGACTCCGAATCTTTGATGCAGCTTACTTGTGGGTCTATGTTTAGGCGATAATTATGTACCTTTAGAAATACCCTGCTTGTCAGAATTCAAGTATTTAGATGTTCCGCTTATTTATGGTAGACGGCTGCATACCAAACGCACTAGGACTTCATATGTCAACATCTGACGAGGTATGACAACATTGGATAGGTTTAGCCATTCAACTAATAGTTACACTTAGAATGCCAATGAGCCATCTGTAGCATCGCTACTAACTAAGCAATCTCTCTCCTTAGTCAGCCAACCGATTTCTTAATTACTTAAGAGCCCCTCAAGACGACGTAATTGCGATATCTCACCTTCCCCGCACATCGAGAACTTTGAATCTATTGATTCTACTCAGCCAGGAAGACTAAAGCCGCTACGATAAAGAGAAATGTCGCTCCCTCCGAAGTTCAAAGGCCAGAAACTGGCAACAGCAGACACGAAAAATACACCACATACACTTGAGCTCTGTAAGCGGGGTCATGCATTCACTTCAGTATGGCAGATACTAATATTCCTAATTTCTAACCCAGACCTCGATTATGTTTGTCCTGTGAGCCTCCTAATCGATGCCTCAAAGACAGTTTTGCTAACTCGAGATCGCAGTTTTCAGCCAAGATGTTTCATACTTTCTATAAAGACGTGAAACTAATCATCGCCGAAAAATACCCTTCACAACTCCAGGTGATATTCAAGCAGCAGATACAACCGTGGCATCCCTCGTCGACTCTAGTCCATGAAGCTGGCGCAGCTGTTTTGAAAGTGGCACCCGAAAAGTTCTGGGAATTCAGCGAGGCACTGTTTCAGAAACAGACAGATTTCTTCGATCTCAATGTCGTAAATGAAACGCGTAATGACACATACAAGCGTCTCGCAGAGATTGCTGCTAGCGTTGGAGTTGACAGTAAACAAGTCTTTGACCTTCTGGTCATAGCCCCTCGTGAAGGAGGACATCTGAATGGAGGAAACGGTGTGACGGATGACATCAAACTGATGATCAAAGTGACTATACCAGTACTTCTCACATTATCGAATGCACTCTAACATAAGATAGGCAAATCGCGTGATCGGCGTTCATGTGTCCCCGACCGTATTTTTCGACGTAAGTAGTCAAAATATCGAACATCAAGTCTCCTAGCATCTGATATATACTAACTGCATCTTGGATAGGGAATTGAGGAAAGAAGTATCAGCAGCAGTTTCTCTGTTTCCCAGTGGGATGATTGGCTTCGCAACAACGTGGTTTGAACAGCAACCGGAGACATAGCCAAATGGAATTATGACATAATGCATGCATGGCTCAAGTGATTTCAGGATAAAGTTAGCTGATGATACGCATTAGCATTCCAGAAAGGCGCCTTTTGTAATCCATCAGAATAGGTCATGAATATCCTAATAATATCTCGCTGTTCCACAGTCACCCCGTAATGTAATCACGTGTTTAATTTTTGGTGAGAGTAACAATGCGAAAGGAACAAGCAACGCCAATGTCGACCGACCTCTACTGATTTGCAGGAGGTTGGTAGTTGATGGGTCGCCTAAAATGTATCAGTTATGTCTTAGGAACAGCCAAAGTCATACATACTTAAAGAGTAGGATATGTGGCTCTGGTTCGTGAACTTCATAATGCTCCCAGCCTAGGCTCTGGTAGCGTGTTAGTATGGACATGCAAGAAAGAGGGTTAAAAAAACTGAGCCATCCCAATGCATACCTGGGTGATACCTAGACCCCGCCATTCTTCCTCCCATAATAGCTTCAATGTACCTTTAGCACTATCGAAGTATTCGGCAGGAATTCTCTTTAGCATGTTTTTAGGTAACTGGACATGGCGATATTCATATTCACTATCCGAGTATCTGGCATTTATCAACACTTATCGTTCGGTCGGCGTTTCTTAAAAGTCGCTCCCTATTGTGGAGTAGAAACATACCGGGCGGAATAATGGATGGAGTCGATGAATTCTTCAAGTTTTTCTCGTTCCGAATCGAGCAACAAGCGCGGCTTCTTGTTGCGTCTGGTGACGTCGATGTCTGCCATAATGGATGCGAGGTTAAGTGGACGGTCGATGCAACGTGTGCGGGGGAAGAATAGGAGAAAATGGCCGCGTTAGTAGTGTTGGACTTGGTAGGGGTGCAAGACGTGTTTTTGTTTTTGGGAAAATAAACACATGGTTTTGCCGTTTTGCCCCGTCAGACCGCAGACGGGCTGGCGCTATCCGCTTTGGGCATGGACCACGGATAAGGTTGAGACTGATCAGTGAGCGCCGGGCACGTACCATGACAGGAACATAACCGCCACACCTGTTCGCGTTTGCGCCAAGCGCGTTCTCTGGTAGTATACAGATTCCTGCGGAATTCGCGGCCGTGACTATCTAGCTCCTGCAGTTCAATGCTCGCGAAAATACACCCCTGTTCATAATCGAGACTTCCCGCCTCTTATTTGACACGCTGCGGTCGGACGCGCTCCTTGTGATTGATTGCCCAGGCACTTCCGTTTGATTGTCGGCATAGGATGAGCGCAAAACGCAGGGTCGCTTCCTTAGGCTCGTTGGAGCTATCAACGAATGGGCCGAAGCGACGAAAAGTATCGGTGAGTCTTTGTTATGTCGCGACAACTTTTGTCGAGTTTAGATGGGACGTGGTTGTAGAAGGCACGTCCCACCAGCGAATCATTGCGATTTTTCTCCCCAAGCGCATTATCTTGCCGGCACTATATATTATGCAGCTTTTGCTTTTTGAAATCAACATTTGTTCATGCTGAGTTGCTAACAGTATATGGTTTTCTTCGTATAGGGTGAAGAGACCAATGATGTTGAGACTCCCCAAACGACGACGGAGGCTGGGTTGAAAGTTTTAGCCCATATCAAACAATCTACTGACAAGAAGTACGCCTCAGCTCATTCTTTCCTTATCAATATAGCTTACCAACCTGTCGTTTAGTGGACGGCTCATTGCCACCCACTTTCTCAACCTACCTGACAAGGTACTTTATGTCAGTCGCGTACATTGAAAACTTAAACTAAAACCATCTCAGAAACGTCACGCCGACTACTACAAAGTTACAACACTCCCAATTGCCCTTGAAACTGTGGAGGTAAGTGATAACTTTGATTGTTATACGCAAATTGGCTACCGCGACGTCATCAATCCTTTACTCGGTTCGTAACGGAGAGCTAATATGAAACGTCTACCATTAGGCCAAGTTGAACAATCATGAATACCCCAATCTCTCTGCGGTAGAGGGTGACCTCAAACGGATGATCACTAATGCAAAAAGATACAATGATAAGAATTCTGTGATTTTTGCAGATGCAGAACGTGTCCGAAAGATGCTGTCAAATACTATGCCAAAAATTAACCCGGCCTACAAAGATCCCAAGTACGTTGCGGTCCCGACTCCGCTTCCTGAGGAAGTTTCTCAGCACGACGAACCTGCACACGTCGACAGTGATAATGACCAAGGCGCCGAAGACGATGCCTCTCCCGAAGTAGCTGAAGGTGATAACCAACAGTCTGAAAGTTTTGTTGGCGATGGTATACAACAAGCTCAGGATAAAATAATATCCGAAATGATACGCCTGAAAGATGACGAGTATGTCCATACCAATATTTTTAGTCTATTTAAGATGAAAAATCTCTTCGTTTTGTTATTGTCATATGCTAAACCTTCCCAGAGGAAGAGAAGTAGGCTCTCCATTTATCAATAAACCGGATCGAGCTTTATACAAAGACTACTATGAAATTATACAGCATCCGGTGTCGTTACGGAGCATTTTGAAGCAAGTTCGGGGGATTGAAGGGAGAAAACCACACAGCCGAAAAACCGCGTTTCCAACTTGGAAACTTTTTTCAAGTGAGGTCCAATTTGTTTGGCGTAATGCGCGGGAATTCAATGAAGACGACAGCGAAATAGTGATCTTTGCTAATTACCTGGAGGTAGATTATTCTTTTTCATTGGTTGCATGAACTGTTTGAGCTAATTACTTGTGCAGAATTACTTCAATGGCCGTGTTGCTGAAGCTAAAAGTGTTGTACCTGATTCTAAAGAAGTAGACGCTAATGATGCCAACCCGCGCATCAAGTTAAAATTAGGCTCAAGCAAAACACCGGAGCCCTCTGCTCAGAAACTGAAGTTGAAATTTCCGGGCCAAAGACCGTCTTCAGCTGAAGAGAAGACGCATGCATCAGATTCTATTGACAGTGATTCTGCTCACGACCAACAAGATCTAGCTCCCGCTACATCACCGGCTACAAGGGGCGTACCTCGCTCGACACTTGCCCAGTCGATGCTCGATGCTTCCAACTTGGACAGCCGTCTACCTATACCATCCCGGGACGAAAGTCCAATGTTTGCCAACTCTACACCTCAGTCGCTACCACTGGCCAACGCAAATACGTTACATCCATCGACAAGCTTTAGCAATGCTTGGCCACATTTGATGAAGCCTTTAGCCCAGAATCAACCTAGCCATTCATCTGTCGAATCTATCTTGCGGGAGCCAAATCAAGGTATGTTCATGGTGTAAAATGGCTGAGAATGTACGTTGGCTTATGTACACTCCAGAAATCTCAGACGCTTTGATAAAGGAACTAGCTATTAAAACTCACCCAAGTCTTGGTCTTCAAAACAACTTCAGCTTGAATATACCAGCTTCCGCGGTGGTGCGACAGCAGTCATTCGTCATTAATCTTCCTGTGTCCCACAACTTGTTGTCGTTATCTCTCAAAACCGTCGGCAATACACCGGAAAGACGGACTCGACTAGTAGCTCTAGCTGGGCCTCACAGAACCCCCCTTGCTCCGCAGGCTTACTCGGTTTCGACAAATCCGATTTACGACATAAGGTTGTCTCCTGGTCTGACCAAGATAGATTTCCAAATTATCTCACAACGTTTGACCGACCAAGAGCCAGGCCATACCAGTGAGCCTAAAAAGGAGTTCGAGCGGTTGACTGTGTTTTTCAGGCTGTTACATTAAAGAAGCTTTGGGGTGACATCAAAATTGAGATTTCCAAAACTGTTGACCGTGGAGGTGTATGACTGTATGTAAATTATATATTTAGCAAAACTATAGGCAAGGTCCAAGTTTTCTTTGGAGTCAAAGTTAAGGCAGACGTCATAGATTGCAGTAGTAGCTAGCTAGTTGACCTGTAGGCTGTATTAACTAATAGTTATTGGTAGTAAAGAGTGAGACGACTGGTGCGGTTGCTGCCTCAGGCAACGGACCCGCGCTTCGGCCCAGCAGCCAAGATTGACTTTTTCGCGCACCCGAAGGAAGTCTTAATAATAATAATATTTAACTGTGAGTGGTGGGGACGACCCAGAAAAAGGCGGTACGCAGCAAATTTTCTACTTTTGCCTGTATAAAGCCTCTCCCATCCCCACCTAAAATTTTTAGCCTGCACATATCGGTTTTTTTCCCTTTTATCATCCCCAGGCTCAAGCATTCCTTCGTTAGGTCGCTTAACAAACGTATTAATCATGTCTGACGAAGTTTACGAGGGTGCCATCGGCATTGACCTTGGTGAGTTGCGGTTGTGCTTCTGAATATAGAAGCGAAATATTATTTGTGTAAACGGTCGGTTGTTGACTATTCCAAAGGCACCACCTACTCATGTGTCGCCAATTATGAAGGCGCAAATGTCGAAATCAGTCAGTTCCCTATTCTTCGCTATTTCGTATAAGCACAAAAAGTTGCTGACTATGTTTCCGGTTTTCAGTCGCCAACGAGCAGGGAAGCTTTACCACACCGTCATTCGTTTCGTTCACGGACAAGGAGCGTCTTATTGGCGAGGCTGCAAAGAACCAGGCTGCCATGAACCCTCAGAACACCATCTTTGATATCAAGTACGTACAATTTTCACCTTCACTGGAAATGGAAATGGTATCACAAATCATAGCATGCTGATATCGCTTCCAGGCGTTTGATCGGAAGACGCTTTGAAGACCCTGTTGTTAAGAAGGATATTGAGTCCTGGCCTTTCAAGGTCGTTGACCAGGGTGGAAACCCAGTCGTCGAAGTTGAATATCTCGGAGAAACAAAAACTTTTTCTCCTCAGGAAATCTCGTCCATGGTCTTGACCAAGGTATTTCTTTCCTTTCATGTTGATAGAAAAACATGAATTAATCGTTTTCTAGATGAAAGAGGTTGCCGAAACCAAGCTTGCCAAGAAGGTATCCAAGGCAGTTATCACAGTACCCGCCTACTTCAACGACAACCAGCGACAGGCCACAAAAGATGCTGGTGCCATTGCCGGCTTGAACGTTCTTCGTATCATCAACGAACCCACCGCCGCCGCCATTGCCTATGGTCTGGGTTCCGGAAAATCTGATAAGGAGCGTAATGTTCTGATCTACGATCTCGGTGGTGGTACTTTCGATGTTTCCCTTCTGAACATCCAAGGCGGTGTCTTCACTGTCAAGGCTACCGCTGGTGATACCCATCTTGGTGGTCAAGACTTTGACACCAACTTGCTCGAGCACTTCAAGAAGGAGTTCCTGCGAAAGACCAAGAAGGACATCACTGGTGATGCTCGTGCCTTGCGTCGTCTCCGAACCGCTTGCGAGCGTGCCAAGCGAACCCTTTCCAACGCTACCCAGACCACTGTCGAGATTGACTCTCTCTTCGATGGTGAAGACTTCAACGCCCAGATCACCCGAGCTAGATTCGAAGACCTCAATGCCAAGGCATTTTCCGGTACTCTCGACCCTGTCCAACAGGTTCTGAAGGACTCTGGTATCGAGAAGAGTAGTGTTGATGAGATCGTTCTCGTTGGTGGCTCTACTCGTATTCCCCGTATCCAGAAGCTCCTCAGCGACTTCTTTGATGGAAAGAAGCTTGAGAAGGTGAGTCCTCATGCCGAAAATACGACTTTTCAGAATGATATACTGTCTCTAACACGTTCATAGAGCATTAACCCCGATGAGGCTGTGGCTTATGGTGCTGCTGTCCAAGCCGGTATCCTCAGTGGAAAGGCCACCAGTGCTGAGACCTCTGACCTCCTTCTTTTGGACGTTGTTCCTCTCTCCCTTGGTGTGGCCATGGAGGGTAACATTTTCGCCCCTGTCGTTCCTCGTGGCCAGACCGTTCCCACTATTAAGAAGCGTACTTTCACCACTGTTGTCGATAACCAACAGACCGTGCAGTTCCCCGTCTTCCAGGGCGAGCGTACAAACTGTGAAGACAACACCTCCCTGGGTGAATTCACTCTAGCTCCTATACCCCCTATGAAGGCTGGTGAGGCTGCTTTGGAGGTTGTCTTCGAAGTCGATGTCAACGGTATCTTGAAGGTTACTGCTACCGAGAAGTCGTCTGGACGTACCGCCAACATCACCATCTCGAATGCTGTTGGTAAACTTTCCAGCTCCGAAATTGAGCAGATGATTGATGGTAAGCCCCATTTCATTTTTTCTTGATGAAAATTTTCTCACATAATTTTTTTAGATGCTGCCAAATTCAAGTCCAGTGATGAGGCTTTCAGCAAAAAATTCGAGGCTCGCCAGCAGCTTGAATCCTACATCTCCCGTGTTGAGGAGATCATCTCGGATCCTACCATGTCATTGAAACTCAAGAGAGGTAACAAGGACAAGATCGAATCTGCCTTGAGCGATGCTATGGGCCAACTTGAAATTGAAGAGTCTACACCTGATGATCTCAAGAAGAAAGAGCTGGCTCTGAAGCGACTCATCACTAAGGCCATGGCTACTCGCTAAATTGGATTATGGAAATTAATCAAATTCAGCCCTTTTAAGGCTGACTACGGGAAAAGTTCTTTTTCTTTATTGCATTTCCTATGTGATTGAGCTCGTTTGAAAAGAGTTTCTTATGACCTCTGATTATGACTCCACCTTGTACGAGCATCTTGGTTGTAAAAAATTTTACGACTTGCCACACAAGATTTTAAGAGACGATACTTTAGTTTCTCGCCAGCAAGGCATTTTGTTGGCTTTGCCTAATAGAACGCATTTTATTTCTATCCGGTCATCCTATCTGTCCCAAGTGCTGCTTGTAACCAAGTTGCTTCTTTAGTTAATAATACAATCTAACCGTCGACAATTTTCGACCATTTCTAATTGAACTTGCGCCTAGGCCGCTATAAACAAGGGAATTTGCCATGCTATATTCACATAAATGAAGGGGATGGTGACGGAAGAGCCGATAGATCAGATGAAGGGTAGATTATCATCTGATCTTTAGTTTCATCCAGCCACTAGTGCCTTTCGGACGATTTGAGTTGCGGTCTTTTGCGGGCTCAGTATTCTTGTCTTCAACTTTATCGACGATATCCTTGGAAGTCTCTTGTACTTCGGTGCTCTCGTGATAGTTGATCTCAGTTGTAAGAGATGTTGGTACAGGGGATTGAGAAGGATGGTCTATTTCAGCGGTTTCATCCCACTCAGTTTCCTCAAGCAGTTCCCATTCGGCATTCGCCATTTCACCCATAAGAGCGGACTTGAGCTTGTCTGCGAGCTTCGTCGGTGTTGGCAGCTTCCAGCTCTTGACAAACTCCATTCCTTCTGCAGTACCTAGAAACGAATGAGACGTGCCGTGGGAGTAATGGCCGAAAATGGGGAAGGATTTCGTTCGCTGTATAGTAGTTTTTGGCGATTTACTGTCGATCCTTAGTTTTGATTGAAGATCATGGTTTGAAACCGCCCTTATGGCATGGAGATGTTGGGTAGGAGGAGAAACTAGGAGCTGATACAAGCTCTTGCCTGTATTGCAAACAGTTTCCCAAGTGTCTGAGCCGACCTGCAGTCCTTGAGTACGACATAGCCAAGATACATTCCATGCTAAAAGTGAAGCCCCCTCTATAAACAAGGCGTACGTAGCAGGTTCCTCTTTCATTAATCTCGGTAGTGTCTTCTCAACTGACAACGGGCGCGGTCGATGTTTGCGGACATCAGGTGTTTTTGACGGAGTAGGATTGCCGCCTGGGTACCAGGGCTTATATTCTGGGGTCATAACCTCCCTTGTTGTATAAGATGCTGCAGGTGTGAATATCATTGGCGTGGCATAATTACGATGGGGGAGGACTATTTCGGCTGGTAACCGGAGGGACAAATAGTGAGATACGAGGACGAGGAGGTGGGCGACATTCGAGAAAGAAGTAGAGATCTGGCTAGGCATAGCTCCTATTGAGTGTTAATAATCTTTCCACCTCGAAGTCTCCTTCTCACCTACCATTTAAATCTCTCAGGTCAATGATCGGCGTACCTCCGATCCAGTAGCTTTCGATGATTGTATTGTCCTTTCTCCTTACTTTCTGCTGCAGACGATACAGCTTTGCAGCCTCGCGACACAGGAAAATTCTCGATTCGGCGGTCTTGGTGTGCAACGAATGCCACAAATGTTCGTTTCTTTTGATCGCGTTTTGGATGTTTGATAGGGCGAGATGACGTCGGTCACTCAGTTGGAATTTCGCAGACTCGGCATCAGAGCGTCGTTGCCTCAAATTTGATCTCAAACTATTCGCATCAGCCGTTTTTTGTTGTATTTCAGCTTTGAGGGCGTCGGCGCAGGCACGTATAGATTTCGCGCGACTGGACATCTGAGCATGTTCGGTTTGGATAGCTTGGATAGTCCATCGTAGACTTCTTTCGTGGGCTGCGATAGCCAACTTGTCGTCCACATGGTTGGCCTCAGGATCACCAGCTACCGATACCTCAATCTCCTGCCCGATCGATTCCTTCTCAAGCAAGACCCTGGCATTTTCATATCTCAAGAGGTAGAGGTAGCTGCGCGCACACGAAGGACAGTAGAGTGGGGAACGAGTGCTGGCGCTTCTCGAACATATGTGACAGCCCATTTCAAACTATCTGGTAGTCGAAATCTAGCAGGTAACATATAGTCGGCCAGGTTTTAGCCTTTTCCATGATAGAATGGCGACTGACTCGGTGGAGACAGAATGTTACTCTTGATGGTGGTGAACGTGGGCAGCGATGTATGAGAAGCCTTCATGACTTCAACAGGTTCTGTAGGCAAAAAAGCATGGATAATACCTTCGTCTGAATGGATTATATAATCGTACAGTCAGCCATGAGGGTGTATAGGTGGCATTTTGCTTGTACGTATGTGTACAAGAAGTCCATAGATATATGACTAATAATATGCAAAGTCCAAAGTTAAGGAGGCAAGTCTGGTGATCACATGAGTCACGGGAGTTGCGGTTTACATCATTATCTTGTCCCGACTTTATGAAAGCCATTGTAAGAGTGGACAGTATTTCATATGCTTTATTCTTTACGTATCATTCATGCAATATCATTTATTATTACATACTCATCTTTGTTAGACATCTGCACTATATTACTACGTCAATGAGAGATAAAGACAGAAAGCAGAATAAAAGCCGAATGATAGCTTTTCATACAACAGCTAAAATATAGTCATATGCATGTGATGTGAAGTTAGCATATACTACTAGTAGTCTGATGCAGATGCCCTGTGAGCTGTGATGAACGATGCTCGCAGGCTTGCCGGAAGTTAACGGTCACATGATTCCATCGGAATACTCTGCCGCCAAGGCAACGAACTCGTTGTAGTAGGACCTATCTCAATGCTATTAGAGCCACGTTTAACCTAGCATAATCTTTGTTAGGCAAGTCGATTTAGTAGTACACATACTACTTATTGGCTGCATGTTGGCATGCATTTCTTGCTTTAACAAGTCAATCACGCCGAATCACGCCGCCCATCTGCTTTCTCGTCTGGACGCATTGAAAAGCGCTAACCACTGAACCGTTTCGAAATATTTATTGGTATAAGATGTCTCGGTCGATTGGTCCAATTGATACAGATTGAGACCAGTTTTGCAAAAGGCACAGTGCAGCGGACAAGTAAGAAAATGAGGCCAACCATTAGCCTTTCATTGATTATTGATTAGATCTGGCGAGGTTGCTTCATGTCAAAGACGACATGTCATTCCACTCCATTAAAGATGATTATTCTCAGTCGATCGAGACCCGACTGACCAGTCGACAAGACGAGGGGTCTACGTGCGGTTCAGATAAGGCTGGATACTATAATACTCCGCTGCATGTTGTAGCACTATTCATCATATTGATTCTCAGCACATTAGGTTTGTGCTTATATGCCTTATTTTTTCGGGGGATTATATCACTGATGCTTCTTTAGCATGCTCTTTCCCCATATTAGCGCGCCGATTCCCTCGACTACCTATTCCACGCCGCTTCCTGTTCCTTTCCAGACACTTTGGTACAGGTGTCCTCATAGCCACCGCATTTGTCCATTTGCTTCCGACTGCTTTTAATTCCCTAACGAATCCATGTTTACCCGAATTTTGGAACAAAGGCTATCCGGCAATGGCAGGTTTCATAGCAATGCTGTCGGTTTTTCTTGTTGTTACTGTCGAAATGTTTTTCGCAAGCAAAGGCGCAAAACATATACATGGGAAAGAATACGATGAATTAATGGGAGGACTTAGCACAGAAAACGATCACAACGGGTTTTCTCCAACAGATCAGGAGGAGTATATTCACTTAACGAACCAATATGACAATCAGGAAGTGTCCGAGATGGGAACTACGGAAATGCTTCCCCAGCCTCAAACAGGAACAGATACAAGAGCATTTGAATATGAAAATCACGACAAGGATGATGACGAATTAGACCTGGAAGACTTAGATCCATATTTTGACGAACGCCATGACCATAGTGCCGAAACCCTGAATACACCGCCACTCCATACCGACGCCTCGCAAAATAGACCTCTTAGAGGCCACCAACGCCAGGGTAGCGAACCCTACGTACTACAGAACCCTCAAAGGCAGCTACTCCAATGCCTCCTTCTCGAGGCAGGAATTCTTTTTCACAGTATTTTCATTGGCATGGCACTAAGTGTAGCCACCGGAACCTCTTTCATCGTGCTCCTCGTGGCCATTTCCTTCCATCAGACCTTTGAAGGCTTCGCGTTGGGCTCACGTATCGCATCTCTAATCCCAGATCTCTTCCCTCGCTCTTCAATGAAACCATGGCTAATGGCCTGCGCATATGGAACAACAACACCGATCGGGCAGGCACTCGGTCTTCTTTTGCATAACCTATACGACCCTGCAAGCACGATGGGCCTTTTGATGGTCGGTTTCACAAACGCAATCAGCAGCGGCTTGCTTCTTTTTGCCGGTCTCGTGGAGCTACTGGCAGAAGACTTTTTGAGTGATTCAAGCTATGAGACATTAAAGGGCAAACGTCGAGTAGAAGCTTGTGTAGCGGTGGTTGGTGGAGCTTTGCTCATGTCTATGGTTGGTGCATTTGCCTAGTGTTTGTCGTGATATCGGTTGTTGTTTTGTCTTTGCAATATGTATTATAATTCAAACGTCGTTCATGGTCGATGTACGGTAATTATATTCTATATAGTATAAAAATTTTCACCCAAACACTCCATGTCTGCAACGGGAAGAGGATCACCTAATTTACATCTACTCAAGTACTACAGCCACCAATTTGATACAATCAGAAAATCAAATCAATTCTTTTGTAAAACGACCTTCTTCACTAGGAAACTATGTCTTGTAAATATGAACCGTTCATCATAACACATTGGAACTCAATTTTCAAATTGAATGAACATACTCCAGGGGTGCACTTCTCCTGATACTCATGTCATAATCATTGGAGCGACTCCAGAACCAAGGCACTAGCACCGCCACCTCCATTGCAGATACCGACACATCCAAGCTTACCATTCTTCGCCTTCAACACCCCCAAAAGTGTAGCGATGATACGAGCACCACTGGCTCCAAGAGGATGACCAATAGCAACAGCACCGCCGTGGACGTTGACCTTTTCTTCAGACAATCCAAGAAGCTTAAGGTTGGCAAGGGCCACAACGCTGAAAGCTTCGTTGATTTCGAAAGCATCGATGTTATCTTGAGAAACGCCGGCCTTCTTGAGAGCTTTGGGGATGGCGAGGGCCGGGGAGGTAGTGAATTTGCTGGGTTTCTGAGCAGCGTCTGCCCAGCCCAAGATCTTTGCAATTGGCTTCAGATTAAGTTCTTTCAATTTCGCTTCAGAGACGAGAACGACAGCAGCAGCTCCATCATTGAGGGGTGATGAGTTGGGCGCAGTTACGGTGCCGGTGCCTGGGATGAAGGCAGGTTTAATTGCTTTGAGTTTGTCGGGGTTAAGCTGTTTGGAAGCATTTGATTAGAACTCAAGAAACAGGACTTATAGAAATTGGGCGACTCACATTCTTTGGCTCTTCATCCTGAGAGACGGTAACGCCCGGCTTACCCCTGAATCCAGGTAGTTCTACAGGAACAATCTCTCCATCCAGGAGTCCGGCCTTCTGTGCGGCTTGAGCACGCTGGTAAGAACGAATCGCATATTCATCCTGATCTTCACGGCTAAAGCCATGGTCCTGGGCACATTCCTCGGCTTGTAAGCCCATGAGCTCTTGTTTTCCATACGCATCCATCAGACCATCTTTCATGATTCCGTCCACTATGTTCTGGTGGCCATATTTAGCACCGGTTCGTAAATTTGTGATGTAATGAGGAGTGTTTGACATAGACTCCATGCCACCAGCCACGATGATCTCCGCACCGCCGGTCTGGATAGTCTGAGCGCCGAGAATGATGGCTTTCAAACCAGAAGCGCAGACTTTGTTGACAGTTGTACAAATTGTAGAGTCCTGAAGGCCTGCGCCGAGGGCAGCCTGTCTAGCGGGGTTTTGTCCAACACTTATATGGCAATTCTTAGTTTCAACTTCGACGAGAACATAAACACAGGAGCTTACCCGGCCGACAAGACATTTCCGAAGAAAACCTCTTCGACATCAGCAGGATTGATGCCTTCTGCTCTGTCCAATGCTCCTGTAACCTGGTTAATCGACGTTGAGACAAAGCACGAGTCAATTCGTACCCTTGATGGCATGGGAACCAAGCTGGGTGGCAGACTGGGAAGACAGAGCTCTATAGAAGACCGTGTAAGTAAATCTGGTGCTGCACAGCTAAGAATATACTCCTGACATACCCCAAGAAAGAGCCCAATGGCGTGCGGGCTGAGGAAACGATGTAAACAGGGGGAAGAGACATGATATATACTAGTGCGGGGTTGAATTTGATGGAGCAAACGCGAGGATAGAGCACACAAGGACCCTGATCTAGTAAATTATGATAGATATTGAATGTGGATGTATCACTGGAGATTGAAGCGCAGGCGTGGTATCAAATGAGAGACTAGGAGCTCCGGGGATAGCAGCTTCTTTATTAACAAATTTCCAGCTGGGGCTCGGGGGCTCGGCGGCAATGGGGGGTAAGCGGTCTGACTAGTGGAGGGTCCTATTTGCTTTAGCCTTTAGCATTTTAGTGTATGATAGCCAGTGTTCGTCCTTGGCTCAGGTACGAGCAATACAAATAATACGCTGTGGCCCACGATTATTTATTGAATACTAATCCAACCGTTGGGGCAAGCCGTCTTGCTTTACTATTATCATTATCGTTGTGTTCTATAAAAATTCTGCTGCCTTGAGTACTGCTCTATAAATAACGAACTATTGAATTCATGGTGCGATTTCTTCGAACTAATTGATATTATGTTTAATAGATTACGATAGTCTGTACATTATCAAAATGGAATCAAAGCAATCGACATATAAATACCTAGTAGAAATTATTTTTATAATATCGAAGGAAAAAAGTAGTGACAACGCTACACGATTGGCTGCAGCCACAAAAAAAATGGATAGCTTCTGACCGCCTGCCGCATCGAGAATGGCAGGAACCTCATCCAGCAATACTGCAGATAAAATCTTGGGTTTACACAGTATTTGTGCTGAGCAGCGAGCTTTTACGTATACATCATGGATGATCTATACGATGAGTATGGCCCATTATGCTCCCACACCTATCTCGAATTTTTGGTGGAAATTACTGATTCCCTTGCAGGTTCGGCAATTATATCGGTGAAGGTGGATTGTCGGAAGAGGAATCGCAACATGGCGATGCGCCTGCTGCGGGCTACATCTATGAGGAGTCTGAGGAGGGCGACGTGCATGAGGCAGCCGATCAGGAGCTGATGGAAGTTGACGGTCAGTAAACACCTTCAATTAGGGATCACGACTGATTCACCACTATAGAAGGACCGTCAAATGCAGTGATACTTCATGAAGACAAGCAATACTACCCAAGCGCACAGCAAGTGTACGGGGCCGAGGTCGAGACATTAGTACAAGAGGAAGATGCCCAACCGCTTACGGAACCAATCATCAATCCGATTCAGGACAAGAAATTCGCGCTCCAGGAAGCAGACCTCCCACCAGTCTTTTACTCTCGAGAGTTTATGGCAGACCTGCTCAAATTTCCGGAACAAATAAGAAATGTTGCAATAGCAGGCCATCTTCACCACGGAAAAACCGCGTTCATGGACATGTTAGTTATGCAGACTCATGACATAAGGGATCGATTGGAAAGGCGCACGGGTAGAAAGCGAGATGAACAACTGCGCTACACTGATGTACATCTTCTGGAGAGACAACGAGAATTGTCAATCAAGTGTGCACCGATGAGTTTGGTTTTACAGGGTAGTAAGGGGAAGTCTCACCTATTCAATATCTTGGACACACCGGGTCATGTCAATTTTGTTGACGAAGTTGCGGCATCCTTCCGTCTGGCCGACGGCGTGGTGCTCGTTGTTGATGTTGTGGAGGGTGTCCAGGCCAATACCGAGCAGATTATCAAATACGCAGTATTGGAGGATTTGGCTTTAGTCTTGGTTGTCAACAAAATGGACAGGTTAATCCTTGAACTCAAGCTCCCGCCAAATGACGCCTATTTCAAGCTGAAACACGTGATTGAAGAAGTCAACTCAAAGATAGAGAGTGTCATTCCTGGTAGAGGAGAAAGCCGGCGACTGAGTCCTGAGAAAGGAAACGTTGCCTTTGCCAGCAGTTCTATGAATTGGTGCTTTACGCTATCCTCATTTGCGCAAATGTACACTGAACGCTATTCCAAACTTGATATCTCAGACTTTGCGCGACGCCTGTGGGGTGACATTTTCTACAACCCCAGAAGCAGAAAATTCACACGAAAAGGGATTGAAGAAGGGGCTAAGCGGTCCTTCGTGAATTTTGTGCTGGAGCCCATATATAAGCTTTATTCACATACTATCAGCGAGAGCCCGGAGGATTTGAAAGAGACATTAGCGAGTCTAAACATATCTTTAAAACCTTCTCAACTCAAGGCCGACGCGAAGGTGCTTTTGAGTCTTGTCTGCGAGCAATTCTTTGGTCCTGCGGCTGGGTTCGTCGACATGGTTGTCCAACACGTACCATCTCCTGTCGAAGGAGCATCAAAAAAGTTGGATAGGTATTACATTGGGCCTCAGGATACCAATGTTGCTAGATCCATGGCAGCTTGTGACCAGAACGGGCCTTTAGTTATTCATGTCACGAAGCTATACAACAGTGTTGACGCTTCCACCTTTAACGCGTTCGGCAGAGTTATGAGTGGTATTGCTCAACCGAATCAACAAGTCCGAGTACTAGGAGAGGGATACTCACTTGATGACGAGGAAGATATGGCGATCGCGACTATATCTGAAACATGGATCGCTGAATCTAGATATAACATTTCCACTGACGGAGTACCCGCAGGTAATTGGGTACTCCTCAGTGGTGTGGACAATTCCATCGTGAAGACTGCAACTCTTGTTCCTCTCAAATTGGAAAATGATGAAGATGCATATATCTTTAAACCGATCCGTCATATGACTGAGTCGATATTCAAAGTTGCTGTGGAACCTATCAATCCGTCTGAGCTTCCAAAAATGTTAGAGGGACTTCGCAAGATTAACAAGAGCTATCCTTTAATCTCTACTAAAGTAGAAGAGTCTGGAGAACATGTTATACTTGGGACTGGAGAACTCTACATGGATTGCGTTCTCCATGATCTACGCCGGCTCTATGCTGAGATGGAACTGAAAGTATCAGATCCTGTGACTAGATTCTGCGAGACTGTTATAGAGACTTCAGCTATCATGTGCTATTCTATCACACCCAACAAAAAGAATAAAGTCACCATGATTGCCGAGCCACTAGACGATGGTATTTCGGAAGACATCGAGAGCAGTCGTGTCAGCATTAAAGACCCAATTCGCAAAGTTGCAAAGTTTTTCGAAGAGAATTATGATTGGGATAAATTGGCAGCGCGAAGCATTTGGGCCTTTGGTCCGGATGAGACTGGGCCTAACATCTTACAGGACGACACTCTCCCCTCCCAGGTAGACAAGAAACTTCTCGGCACAGTACGCGACTCAGTCATTCAGGGCTTCAGTTGGGGCACGAGAGAAGGCCCGTTATGTGAAGAACGTAAGTTTGAGCCTATCGTACACTATTTATTGCAATATTTATAATGATACTAATTTATTACTGAAGCTATTCGCAATGTCAAATTCAAGCTCACGGATGTTACCCTTGCCGACCAAGCTATATATCGTGGAGGTGGACAAATTATCCCTACCACCAGGCGTGCGGTTTATTCCTCGTTCCTCATGGCTTCTCCTCGATTAATGGAGCCAATCTATTCGTGCGAAATGCTTGGACCAGCGGATGCAGTGGCATCAGTGTATACCGTATTGTCACGCCGCAGGGGTCACGTGCTCTCAGATGGACCTGTCGCTGGAACGCCATTGTATTCTGTTCGAGGCCTGATTCCAGTGATTGACTCCTTTGGTTTCGAAACAGATCTTCGAATCCACACGCAAGGCCAAGCCACTGTAAGCTTGGTATTTGACAAATGGAGCGTTGTACCAGGCGATCCCCTTGATCGTGACGTCAAGCTCAGACCATTAGAGATGGCGAATGCGCAGGCTACCGCTAGAGATTTTGTACTTAAGACTCGAAGGCGAAAGGGATTAGCAGAGGATGTGACCGTCAGCAAATTCCTGGAGCCAGAGCTGTGGAAGGGTCTCAAAGATAGCGGGGTCCTCGAGGGATGAGCTTTTTCGCTTTGAAACTTTTTGGATGGCAAGTCGTCTCAAATTTTTTGTAACAATAGCGTGTCAAAAAAGAATAGCGGTAATTAATGGAGTAAGGTCCACGGCGACTCGGCAAAGTTAGACAACTGTACATTGCACACCAGTAAATTCCATAAACACATGCTGCACTGATAAGTAGCACTTAATAGACCACTTAAATTTATTGACAGTTTTCCAACATTTTCCCAATAACCCCCATCAGTGTTCCATTTTCTAATGCCGCAGCTACTCGCTCCTTGTCGGCCAGCTGTTTATTCACCTCTTCAGCGGTGCTATGCGTTCCCTGTTTGATCCGGACGTCGACACGGAAGCGAGACGGCAACGACTGCTCCAACCGAACGCGTACACCGAGACCTATAACTGTTGCAAGGCTGCAGTGCGTTATCGTCGGGGTGATCAGGACTGTGACTGTACGGAGGGGGGAAGAGGGGCTATCTGGCAAGGACGGTGTGATTGCGATATCAGGAAGGGAGACGACGGCAAGCGAACCAAGCGATATAGGGTGCTCTGGGTCCGATATCGTTGAAATAAGATCTAGACGATGTTAATGGCGGTTCATTCTTGGCCAATAACATGCACCGGTTCATGGTTTGTTTTAAAAACAAAAGATTCTTACCAAAAATTTCCTGCTCGTCGATGGGTTCTTCCAAAACATTGTCATCCTCGCTATCAGTGTCTGATGTCTCGTAAAATTCGGCCGCAAATGGGTCTTTTAAATCGCTGACAGAGAGATTGCTTGAGAATATAGTTCCATCGAAAACATGGTCTAAATGCTGGTTTGATTTGGTCTTTTGTCGAGTAGGAAGATCGGCTGCGTTGAGGATCGTGGGGTTTTCGTTTTGCATTTCAGATGCCATGATGGGTGTAGGTAGGGAGTTTGAATATGAAGGAAGGGAGTAGAGAGAGAAGATGAAGAAATCGGTTGTGGTGGTGGCGGTGATGACAAACCTGATGTTGGAAAAGTTTTATAGTTTGGTGGTTCTTACTTTCTCCTCCTTCCGTACTTTTCCTTCAATTCAAAATTTCTTGGGTAGTAGGCCAGTGGTATCCAAGGTAGTGGGCTCAAGATGATAATCGAGGAGTGTGTTGGATTTTCATCAGATCTTCTAATCGTGATGCGAGTCATCGACCCCACCGCCACTCTCCGATGCTGACAGTAGACAGAGGGCACGGTCCTCAGTTTATTAGAGTTGGTAATCGACATATTTCATCATTTTGCTTACAAAATTTATGTCAGCAGGTACCCTTTTTTTTAACCGAGGGGAAATCGCAAAAGGATAGAATATCGTTACTGAGGGGACATTAATATATCACTTCTTTGAGATTCCTATATACTACATGTATTGAACCGAGCGATATCAAGTACATATAATCTTCAGAAAATATATATTTCCTGAGTATATCAAGACTGATTAGACCTGTGAGACATCATTCTAGGCAATTTTGGTTGTAAGACATTTATTGCCCAAATGGTCCTACCAATGTATGCTTTGCAGCGAGACATTATGGCGACTTCTCACAACAGCGCTCCTAGACCGTAAGGTAAGTCGTATCTCAAACTGGCATATCAAGTCTCATCAGTAATAAATCGATGATGCCCATGGTTAGCACGGTAGACCCCATCTAGCGACTTGTAATGTTGCATTCAAAATTGCTAATACAACATGCAGAGAAAGCGGAGGCCCGCTGATCTAGGAGAATTAAAGCCGTATGTAGATCCCTGATACCTGCACAAGCAGGTGCTAGCAAGCCACCAATGCTTGAGAACTAAATGTATATCGCCGACCTTGGTAGTTTGGCCTGTTTCCGGACATCCCGAATTGCATGGCTGGAGATGAATGTGGCATTGCAGCACGGGTACCTGTAGCTGTATCCTTCTCCCTTCAGATCCCTGCAGCGAAGGAATCCCAGCAGAGGAACCCCAGCGATGCAGTGCATCTGCTCGCTAGGCAAGGCCGGATCATCGTGCTCACTGCTCTGCGCATCTGCCGAAGATCACCAAGTGGGCGTTGCGGGCGCGCTAGACGAGCAATAGTAGTGGGCACTAGGAGATCGCGCAGTCTCAGACATGTGCTTGTCTGGCCGCTTTTGGTCTGGAGCCGACTTGGGAGTTGCAACTTGCCAGTGGCCCAGCGACTTCCCCCACATGGAGACAGACAGACCTCGTCGAGTCTGAAGTTCACCACGACGCTCCATTATTCTGCACACCGGTTCCTCTGGCTTCCAGCGACATCAGGACTCGCCTGCCCGGGTGTGTGTGCATGGCTTACGTACCTGCGCTGCGACTGCTTACCTGCCCATCCGCTCTTGCGCCTGTTAATCACCTCGGCGCGCCCACATCGTCGAAAAATCGCGAAACGAGGCTTGTGGAAACGACTCATCTCGTCTAGATTAGCAGGACCATTCATCTGAGGGCAACTTGATGCGAATTCTCCTATGCGCTAGTTCGCGCCGACTTCGAACACACTACGAGACCTGTTGCGAATTGCGTTTTCGCGAACAATTGCCATCTGAACTTCGCCACTCTGTGTTTGAGCGGGCCACAGTTTCACATTTCCAAAGTCAATCGTCGCAGGCGGACGCTCGGTTTTTTCTCGCTACAAGTTTATCAAATTATAGGGGACGATAATTTCCAAATTACGTTGGTATTGTCATTTAAAACGATCAGGTCAGTCCTTCCCATCGTTGAGGATCAAGCGTGCATAAACAAAGCGCAGCACGAAGAGCGCTTACGAGACGCCTCAGCCTTCGGCTAACTGTTCAACTGATATGCTATTTTCGTACGACAGGTTTCTTTCGATTTCGGTACTCAGTCATATACATGTTCAACTCAACCACGTATAACGTATGGTTCATATTCTGCGAGGCTTGATATTACGTCTCAATTCCATTCTGGGCACGGGGCTAGCCTTGACTACTCTCGCAACCCGGTCTCCTTTCATACTTTGATAGATTTTATGGGGTATTGAATATTTTACATTCGCCATGGAAGGATATACATTCACGCCGCCTTCGGGCCCCCGCGAGAAGGGCACAAAAGTGAGAATCTGGATTTGACATATAAAGGCATTTGCTATGATGAAATTGAAACTAATTCAGAAATAGACTACGTTTTTGTTGACGAACATAACAGGCATAAACGACTTAAAGGTATGTATATTCCTTAGAGTCTTATCCTCTAATGTTAATCTCATCCATAGTCATGCGCGCTTGCCATGGTTGTCGAAAACGAAAAATCAAATGTGACGCTGCTACTACAAACACCTGGCCTTGTTCAGCGTGCGTGAGGTTGAAACTGGTTTGTGTACCTCCAACAATTAATCAGGAAGGTGACCAGGCTGGCTCTGGACTGGACTCTGAGGCAGAATTTGGAGCGTATCCAATACCATCATCATCGCAGCCAGAGTTATTGCAACATGACATGGCTCAGCAAAATATTGATACTACCGGCAATCCTCACATGCCGGACCATATGGCTTCGTACGGCGTATATTCGTCTTACATACCCCAGAATCGTGGTTTATACGAAGACTTGCAAAGACCGCAGATTGCTGTTACACATCATCCTTATCAGGATCCATATTTCGAAACCGTTGCTCCCCAGACTTTGCCAGCTGCAGACAGTGGCGTCTTTATTGATCCAGATCAATCTAATGCTGGGGATCTGAGCGAGGCTCTTGGTGAATTAAAGATTGACGAGAGTGGAATTGGTAAGGCTTGAATTTTCTCCGCTCTACGATGTCAGAGCTTATCTGATTCTTTATTAGCACCTTACATCCGACAACAAAAAAAGGGTCCGGCCGAGCCTGCGGCTCCTGTTCAGGAAGATTCGGACGAAGAATTCACGCGGCTTAGCACTGGTGCTGGCTCTACTATTCGCATCCCACCGGCCTTAATGCCTTCAAATGATGAAGCCGCGAAATATTTCAAAATTTTCTTTGCTGACATTCATCCATACGTACCCGTAGTTCACCGCTTACACCTGTATCAGCAATGGCGCAATGATCGCTCGGCGATTTCTCCACTGCTATTGGAAGCTTTATTTGCTTGTGCAGCTAGGATGTCTGATGATCCTGCTCAAGGTGCTCAATGGCTCGCACTTGCTAATCGTGAGTTCTGCTTGGTTCTTATATTCCTGTTCTGCAAACTCTAATCCGCTATGTTCAGGGCATGAGTCCAGCTTCATGGACGTCCCACGATTGAGCACTATCCAGGCACTGCTTCTGCTACTGAAAGCGCGAGAATCAAATCCTAAAAAGGGATACTATTATCGGTCTTGGCAGACCGTGAAAACGGCGATTTCTATGTCTAAAGATCTTGAAATTCACGAGCATTACAGTACGCACCAAGAGGGAAAGCCCTGTGATCTTGAACCTATCGAATGTCTTATACAAACGAGAGTTTGGCAGACGCTGTTAGTTGTAGAGGTGATGGTTGGGGGTCCCCAAGGTTTGCAATCGTCTTTTATAGCCTTGTTATCTTCTAACGTTTTTTTCATCTAGGTCGTTCCGATTATGAAGTAAATCCTGAAACCGTCGATATGCGCCCAGAGCTACATATTCCTCATCTAGATCAATTTGAGTTGGACCGCTCTCGACAGTACTCCTTTTTTGTCAAAAATGCATACCATATTCGTGTATACACAGAATTATATCACAAGATAAAGAAACAGAAGGACTGGGGGGCGGACCCACGATTCACGGAAAATAACCCACTTTTTGCTGACTGGTATCGTGGTTTGCCTCAAGATCTTCAGGTCACATACTCCGAAGATGGATCTCCGCCATGGCTACCGTCGCATTTCGTGGGGAACATGCATACGCATTACCATCTAGCTATCATCATGCTTCACCGGCCTCAATTATTGGCATCTAAAAATTTCTCTTCCGGTGGCGGATGGAGAACGCACATGAGTTTGTGCTATTCATCTGCAAAGTGTTTATGCCGACTACAAGAAGCTCTAATTTCTCGTTTCGGACTACAGTCTCTGCGTTTCATGCAACGAGGCATTAATTTCACCGTTTACGCAATCTTGACTTGCACCATGCTGCACTTGGTAAGCAACTCAATCTAGTTTAGGGCATTTATATACTGACAGACGCTCTAGGTTGCAATCACCTCTCCCGACCCCGAGTTTCACACTGACGCGCGCGACTATTTTACCCGACATATGCGTATACTTGAACAGTGCTCTACCACCTGGCCACTTCCTGAAATCAAAGCTCAAATAGATGCCCTGAGACTGGCCTTCTCTGCCGACATTACGCGGCCTTTCGAATTGAAAATGACTTTCCCTTATGGAAGTCCCTCTGAGCCATATCAGCCCAGTCCTCCCGCATTGGGAGAATCGCAGTACGGTCAGTTTAGTCAACCTCAGGCTGCTAGCCCTCACCGACTGGGCTATCATCCAATAACGCCGCCTATTTCTGCGGGTGCTGAAGATTCCAAACCAGAATCTCCGCAAATATCCCATTTGAACGTACTTCATCAGCATCCAGCCACAAGCCAGAGCTTGGGCGTCCCACTTGTCGACGAGAATAGCTGGGATCCTTCTCGTATCATGGCGTAAGATAATGCTTATCCATACTTTTCACATCTGCTAACATCTATCCATAGTTCGTGGGACATGGCATTCTCCGTCAATCCATCTAATCTCCCTTCTGCCTCTCCACATATGGCGTATAGCAATGCCGGTTCATCAATAGCCGACACCGTCTCGCCACAGTATTCTATGCAATACCCGACTCCTGATAAGATGATGCCCATAGACCACACGCATACGTTGCCTCAGCAACCATACAACCCTCAACCCATCATGACAGCGCGTGACTGGCAACAAAATGTGGCAAGCGTATATGATCCGCATGGGTTGAAGCGCAGGTTCAATCATTCAGTGGATCTTCCCAATAACAATGCCGTTAAACGAGCAAGGTGACCTGTGGATCAGCCAAGCCTAGACACCGGCTAGAACCTACTTTGGATGAGCCTGATTTCACCCTGTGGTTTGTATATAAAATACGAATTTGGACATAATTTGTCTAACTTGATTGAAGCATTTACGGCAACGGCGTACAACATGATTTTGCGGAGGTACAACGGAAATATAACGGGATGTATTTTTGGTTTCATTGGGCGCAGGTCTCGCTCACAACCATTATCTCCTTTATCCTAGCGAAAAGTCATTGCATTGTTTGATGTCTGTCCCAACATTTGGCCTGTACACTAAGTGTATATTCTGGATCTATATTGACTTGATACCCATGTGACAAAGATAATATGAAAACATTTCATGGATGTCATACGTTTTAGATCTTTTGAAGCGGATAAATTGACTTCACTTGATGATAATATGGTCGGTGATGTGAATAAATGCGAGCTGTAGACAATTGCAGAGTTCGTAAAACAATGAGACATTGCTTCTCATCTTAATGCTCACAACGGTGTCTGTTGGTAGAATGACTAACGAGGTAAGATTGCCCCATGTCAATTCTCAATTCTCAATTCTATCAAGAATGACAACAATCAACTTCGGTGTATGCTGCAGCGTAGCGAATGTACATAAACGCGCGTCAGCGATGTTTCGTGATAAGACCCTGAAAGTTGATGGTCACCATCACGTCCGACGATTTACACCTATACGCTCATCCCTAGTTCGGACAATTTTCGCTTTATCACCCGGCAAAGGCTTCAATTCATCATTAGGATCGTATTTGTTGCCAGCGAATGCGGATTCGGAAGCCGAGTGGTCAGCTGCGTTCGAGCCATCCATGGTCTTCTGGCGCACGCGTTCCTCCTCAAAAGCAATCAAGTCTTCCGGAGTGATTGTTATTGCGGTGGGTTTCCTGCGAAGCATTTTTGCAGACTGCTAGGATATTGTCGTGTCCTAGCATTCATATCATGGTTGTAAACATGGAAATGGATGCACATTTGCGCCCCTTGGCAGAATTCACCACGTGATTTACGGGAAGTCTGTGGTCTAGTTTTGTCCAGCCAACTTTACGTCCGAGCTCGATGTTATCACCTGGGTTTGGTCTCTAAAGCAATGGCATGATAAAATTGTCTGCTGTTTAAAGACCAATTTTGTTTCAAGTAAGTGAATTATGCGAAAGTCTGCAATGCTCATCAAATTGATTCGTTGTATTCTAATAGGTTTTGCGTGATTTTTTGTTCAATTCGAATCGGGATTGCACAGACACGTTTCTCAGAATGGCTTTCTCAGGCCAATTTCTGTGTCCTAGGGCGGTTCCTCGTCGAACTTTTATCCAAGGCTTCAATGGAATTGTCTCTCATTTGCGCTGCTATTCAGAGGCCTCCAGGGGGAGCAACCAAGCGAACGAACGTACCTCATCACAACCTCGTCCCCGCGCAGTGGATGCAAGATCCCTCGCAGCTTCGCATGTCGGATCCCAAGGGCCAGTTCTACGACCAGCACAGCTTCGTCTCAGAGGACCTCAATTCGCCAATCGCCGGCGACCAGGGTCTCCTTTGGCGGCAGCAAACCGTAAACCGCGCCTAGCCTCGAAGAGGGATCGCCCTAACAAAACGAAACGGTCACCAGGGGAGGAAGAAGGAGGTGATGCTAAAGATGCAGATATCGAAGGAATCCTCAATAATAAGACCCTCCAAGTTCCTGTTCGCTATACGCCAGTTCAACACGATACCTCCAACCTCAATGAAACCTGGCCATCTTTACCTATCGGGAAAACGGCGACGACAGAGTCAGTTTTGGAAAAACTCAATTTTATGAGTCGCCGATATGCCAATGGGTATATGCCACCTCAGGAACTTGCCAAGAGACTCTTTGATGGTGACCGTGTCTTTTTCCGTAATGAAGAGGAAAAGAAGGAAACAATTGACGAGTTCAAAAAGCTTTCTCAGGAACGAGCAGATAAATTGACTCAGCGAAAGGGTGATATAGTGGAAGCTGAAGACGCGAATTTCACTGCTCTCAGCAATGACGACCGGGATGCCTTGGTTGGTCAACTAGTCCGGGGAAATTATGCGCGCTGGACACAGGACCGCTCGAGTCATCCTGTGTTGGGGGAAGTGGAGAGACAGCTTCTTAATAACGAGACCTATCGTTTTGAAGGGAAACAGTCTGGATTCGTCACAAAATTCCAGTCCTTACTAGCATCCGGACAACCTGCTAAGCGAAGAAGTTAGACGGTTTTCTTTGATAATGGGTCATCATGTAACAATTCTTTTCTGTATAATACACTTGTCACTTTAAGAGCCAACCTGTTGGATCCAAATCTGAGGTTTTGTGGGTTTAAAATAAAGTACAATATGCGTTTCTGGTGGAAATATGACCAAAATCGGGAGACATGTTCTGTTCAAATCCGTAGTCCAGTCGACCTTACGCCTGCTCCAATGTCTTCCTTGCCATTTCGACAACATCCTTGATATCTTTCTGAGCCTTCTCGACAACCTTCTCCATCTGATCATGGGCCTTGCGAATATCATCTGGTCGCGCTTCCTTTTTCTTTTGCATGTCTTGCAACTTTTTGTGTATTCCGGCTCGCGAGCTTTTGACAGAATTTGCCGCTTTCTCCATGGCCAATTTGGCAGTCTTAATGGCCTGCTCTCGGGATTCCTTGGTCGGCGGTGGAATGGGAACGTTTAGTTGGAGAGCATTATGTTGGTCAGGTTGTGGTGTAAGAGATAGATTGGAGGCAATGATGGCTGAATTGACGGGCTTGATGAGCTGCGAGGAGTATAAACATTAGCCTTCTCGATCATTGAAACAATTGCTGAATGAAGGTATATCTCAACTCACATCCTCTTCGCCAACAATAATCGCGACAGAACGTCCTCCCTTAGGCACAACTTGCGCCAGCTCGCCCAGTTTGATCGTCTCATTACTATTCTTAGACAAACTAACACGTAAATTCTCGAGAACTTCCGGGTTGAATCGCCCGCCTGAGCGCAACTTGTGCAAATCTTCCTTTAACCGCGCAATTGCGTCTGAGATTCCGTTGTGTAGTTGAGTCAGGTCAAAAGGGTCGGATGGTGGTGAATCATCGTTCTTCCCTTTCGATTCAACATCCTCGCCTTTTTTATTCTTGTCTTTCTTCTTGCTCAGTGGTGCCGAATATGTGAAGTGACGTTGCGTTTGCTGGGAAATGGTTAAGTTCGATCGTGATGGATTAATCGCATGGTGCCGCGACATAAGGTAGCCAACTGGAACGAATCGAGGGCTTTGTGAAATCACATTATGCTGAAACGTAAATCTGCGAAAAATAACTGCGAAGCAGTCAGACTGCGAGATACGAGCTGTCATTGCTGAAAAGGTCATGAGTAATGGCGCGAAGTTGAAGCAATGAAATCTATGGTAGTATATAGCTAGCGCGACTCCACCAATAATTCCTAATGATCATAGAAGCTATGGTTTTATCTCCACAGAGCATACGGACGATGCGTATGAATTCGATTTTCGTATATCTATTTATGCCATCTTTTATTAGGTATTCGAATTGAATGTGTGTTGGTTCAAAGAATGTAAGCCGTGATGATTGTCCATAGGTGGTTGTTAGTCTAGGACTAAGATCCAAAATATGCAAAATCTATTTTCTACAACTACCTACCACCTACGAACTTTGATAGCATGTCCCCAACTCAATTCGTACCTATATTCTGTTAATACGATCAATAATAATTGTCTTTTACCAATCTCAGACCTTTAGTTTCTTCATAAGCCTGTTATCGACAGTACACAATGACTGAACCAAAAAACAAAGCTCCAACCTCCGACGAGGATTCCAGCTCTGCCGATCAGAAACTCAACGCGACGAGCGACTTGTTTTTACAGAGCCAAGATCTCCAGAACTGCAACTGGCAGCAGCTCATGGAAATGTTTTCTAGTGCGCTGCGAGAACATGAGCGTATTGATCATGATCTCCAGGAAGAGGCCACTCAATTGCTCAAGGTACAGAAAGAACGCCATGATCCATACTTTTTCGCGGGTAACTAGCTTACGGTCTTCTGATCCCAGGTTTTCGTTACTTGGTCTGAAGTAACCGTTTCTCGCGATGAAGCTCGGTCATATAAAAGGTTTATACTGCTCGCAGACTTGTTTTGCATAGTGAGATGTTGATCCGGACAGATTCCAGACTCGCATGCAATATGTACAGAATACCGAACGTGAATTGGCGGAGAAGAAGAAACACTGTAAGGCTCATATACGATACCTAGTTCTTAATATACACATTCTGACATGTTTAACTACATAGATGGAAATGTCGTGAAAGCCTTTGAAAACGCGTTGGCCCTCTTAAAGTAGCTTGGTCGAAGCTGTTGCTTGTGTGGGGCCAAGTGCGGGATTTCACTGCCACCGCATCCGTGACATCAGTTGAAACACGACACTTTCGAGGCAATTGTGTATCATGGTTAATAATGATCAAGTCGCTGCAGCAGATGAGCGTTTGCTGGAAAGGCTAAATGCGCTCAAGCCGTCCACAGTGCGGCTTCAACGCGACAAGTATGCAGCTGCGTATAGAGAATGCTTTGCAAAGCCCCAGTCTGATAAACATCAATCAGGAAACCAGCCGATTTCGACACGCGTTCTCACATATCAATCGGGCGACCCGGTTATGGTCCCATATTTGGATATATAGACGATCCCTCTAGTAAAGCTCTAGAAGAAGAAGCGCTAGCGCCAGAATCGCTGTTCGACGGTGATGCCATTGAAGAACTTCTCGCGAGCATCGAACAAAGAGACGATTTGACACTTCGGTCGCAAAACAATACTAATCAAGTGCAGAGTCTTTTGACAGGCGCAAGTGATTTTGTCAAAGACTCTAAAACCATAGGGTTTACAGCAGATAAACCCATTCTTGAAAGCCGAGCGGGGACACATGATTCTGGAGACTCTCTTGCATGTAATGAAAACTCCTCTAGCGACGAGGAAGAAGATGATATAGAAGCAGCAAGATACGTCAAAGAGGCTTTAGATGAAGTCAACGTACCATCTCACGACGATTTTCAAGGACTAGATGGCTTGGAACCCTTAACTCAAGGTTCGGGTTCCCCATCTAACCAGGACACCAATGATGACGCCCTATCATATCAATTAACAGCCCTCTTTCTTCCATCTGTCCCAAAGGACTTGCCTGTATCCAATAAAAAACCTCCCGATGCGAGCCTACCACCTCAGTGCTGTTGTATTTGCTATGATACTGCTACAACTACATGTTTAGACTGTGAAGGAGAGTTATTGTATTGTGTCAGTTGTTGGAAGGAAATGCACGAAGACGACGAGGATGCACAACCGCATAGGCATATCAAGTTCAAACCATCATAATGATAACATTGTTAGAGGATCGATAATTTTATTTGAATTACCTAACCATAACCGATTGCGTGTATCCCATCACACTATTAAACTAAGTAGAAAGTAACTAAATATTACATGATTATTCGGCCCAGTGGTCGTAGGTTTAGGAACCATTTGACCTCTGTTCACCTGCGATATCCTGCCAATTCGCATTGAAGCGCTGTGCTGTGGTGGCTAATAAGCTTTCTTCCTCATCTTCTTCAGCGTCCTCGTCAATCTGGCGTTCGTCTAATTTTGGTGTACGAACTAGCGAGGTTATGAAGACTATGAGATAGAGACCTTAAAGACACAATATTAGCCATCTATGGATTGATGATTGCGATATGGATTGATTGTTCTTACCTAGGAAGACGAACTGCGCCCAGAAGAATATAACACCAAAGAAGGGGAAACTCAAGGTCACACGATTCAGAAATGTGCTCACAACACTAGGTGTGCATATATCTTTAGCAGCTGGGTTATCAGCAGTTTCTGAGCATGGTTTGATGAGATCTTTGTTGTCCGAACAGTCTGGTTGTGTGAGGGAAGGTGGCACAGGCTTGTCGCAAAATGTTTGAGGACCAAAAGTAGCATATTGCGGAGCAACAATCATCGCGATAGAGTAGTTCAGAGCCAATGTGATAAAGGTCAGCATGGTAGTTGCCATAAGAAGCGCTTGAGGCGAGGTATGGCCCCTGCGAATTTGGAATATTTTGATCCACAGAAACCTAATTCCCACAGTTGCAATACCGACAACAGAGCTAGTGAAGAACAGTAGCACAAGAAGTGTGAACAGCACGTAATCCACGGGGAAGACTTTTGCGGAGTGGACAAAGACCCAATTGACTGGGTTAAAGACGTTGATGTGGCCTAATATATAGCCGCAGTTGCTCTTGCATACAGAGTTTTTGGCCTTGTCTATCGCTGTGAGAAGCATTGAGATCCAGATGATGAGGGATATCAGCAAAAGGAGGATACCTCCGAGGAGTTTGAATGGTCTCAGGAGTGCTCCAATTTTGTACCATGCTTGTATAATCCAGTTTCTCGTCTCGCCTTGGGCCTCCTCAATAAGCCTCTGTCTTCTGATAAGCGTTCTTTCCTCTCGCACCAAGACATCTAATTCTCTGCGGTCTTTGGAAGAGAGCTGGCCAGGGTCACCTCCACAGCGGGCATCTAGTTGGCGTTGACGTTCGCGGTTCGCTTCGAGTCGAGTAGATGTATTGGCCTTTAGGGCTGGGTTTGAGATGGATGGCGCGGTCTTGATGAGAGTGATGGGAAGCAATGCAATTCCGGTTGATGTATAAACAACATAGAGGCATGTTCCAAGGGTAATCAAAACCCCCAGTGTAAATGCTAGCATTCTCTCGCCACCTGTGGTTTGTATTAGTTTGATATTGTTTTGGCTTTGCCTGGTGACACACTCACGATTCTCTGTGAGCAATTTCTTGAAATATTCAGGGTTTCGACCTGATTCAGCAGATATGGGAACGAAAAGGCCAATAATAAACAAGATGGCGGTAAATATTAAGAAACCAATCGTGTACTTCAAAGCACCCCAGACACGCTTTCCAGCTGTCTGTTCTCCCTCTTGCACAGCCACTTCATCATATTCCTCATACCAGAAATACGTGAAAGGAATCACCAGCAGGACCAGGAATATGTCCAAGGTATAGAGCAAATAGTATACGACTTTGAGGGAAAACACGATTTCATCAACCTCATCCTGAGAAGCCCAGCTTTTACGCTGGCCTCGCTTAGATGAGTTTGTGACAGACACTAGAGCAACATCAACTGGCTGCAGCAGAACAGTAGCAAGAAGAGTGGTGATGGCGATGATCGAGACCAGTATCACAGGGCGCGAACGTTCTCTGGATGTATTATAGACATAGATGAAAATCGAAGCTACCCCGAGCAAAATTGCAATCACAATTGCATATACGATCCAAATCAGGGAAAATTGTATGCCCGCCATGCCCGGCTTACTCGGTTAAGAGAGGCTTTGAGATGGCACTCCGCTGGGCACTCATCAGTTCGCCGATAATGTGTGAAGAGATAGACAAGTACGGTAGATAAAGGGGTCAAGAATTAATATGATTTAATGATGGTGAAACCAGTCAGTTCATTCTTGAGCTGTGTTGAGACGAGTCGCACCGAAACCTGATGTAATGCAGGGTGGGGAGTGGAGCGGATCGGCGATTACGGTAGGCTATTATTATTTATGCACCCCGACAGTCGTCATGCATCATATTATTTATTCCAAGCATGGCTTGGAATAAATAATATGATGGTATCCATCCCAACAAATCTCAATATATATGCCAAAGCTTCGGTCTTACAGTTTGGCGATCTCAAGGGTGAATAGGACTACGACTAGTAAATAAATTTAGGGCTGCCTGGGCCATTGATATCCTTTGCACACGTTTCATGTGATGAATTGACAGTGGTGTAAGTATATTGTTAGTTCAATTAACTAGCAGTTTCTCAAATTACACTGTCCTAGCTGTAACAATAGCCAATATATAGTTACATATATTATCCAGCACCATCAATTGATAGAGATATGTCAGCCCCAAGCTCTCGAGAGATATACGAGTCAGCTAACTAGCGAATAATCATTATAAAAAGCCCAACGAATTTATTAGAGTCACCCACACAAATGACCAAACATGTTCAGGTGACATGAGGAGCCAAGACGTGAGGTGAGATTACACAGGCACGTGATCTGGTAATTCTGGCCAATGAGAGCGCATATTTCCCTACTGGCAGTCGGCAAAGGAGCCTCTTACTGGCTGTGCTTCTTCCCTGTGCCAACATTAAATAGCAAACATTGATCCGCCCATTGCGCACTCTCTCGTCAACAAAGGACTAAAACACCCACTGGAGCCCTTCGTCCTGCACTTTCATTAATTTCTGGATAGGCAATCATTGCTTTTAGAAGGACAGATTCACATCTTGGTGCAAGCCTCACCATGTTCGCTTCAATCTAGCCTAGCAGCGTGTCAATATTGCATCTCCTTCATCCAAGGACAAATCCTTTGGTACTTGGCATCAAGCATGCAATGTTATACTGAGATCTTGCCTCCTTCGGGAATAACACACGCTCTTTCAGCTAGCTTCACCTCGGCGACATCTAATAATTTAATAGTGGTGAAAACATCGCTCCTTCAGATATTTGACCTGGTTACAGACATCAGCTCAAACAATGCTCAACAGCCAGGGGAGAAGGAAACTGCTAAGCTGAAATTGCTGGCCGAGTACGAGCTATATGGCACCGTGGTTGATGTTGCTAGCGTCAAGATTCTCAACTCTAAAAGCGGAGGGGATGCTGTTGTATTAGCTTTCAGGAACGCGAAGCTGAGCCTGATCGAATGGAACCCCCACAATCATGGAATCGCAACTATATCGATCCACTACTATGAAAAAGAAGATATTACCCAGAGTCCCTGGGTGTCTGACTTGAGTAACTGCGGTAGCCGCCTGACAGTGGACCCAGGTAGCCGCTGTGCTCTATTGAACTTCGGCATACGAAATCTTGCCGTTGTTCCATTTCACCAAGCGGGCGACGACCTTGTCATGGATGACTATGACCCGGGGCTAGATGGTGGGATTGACAACGAAATGCAAGATGTTTCGCACTCGAAAAGCAAGAATGAGACGCAGGCTGCCCTGTCTTATCAGACTCCCTATTCGGCTTCCTTTGTTTTGCCATTGACAGCCTTGGATCCCACATTGCTTCATCCAATAGGCCTTACATTTTTACATGAGTACAGGGAGCCGACTTTTGGCATTCTATACTCCCCGGTAGCAACTTCGTCTGCTCTTGTCCATGAGCGCAAGGATGTCGTTGTATACTCTGTATTCACTCTAGATCTAGAACAACGCGCATCTACATCTCTTCTATCTGTTACGAAACTTCCTAGCGACTTACTCTCAGTAGTGGCTCTCCCACCGCCTGTGGGTGGCGCCCTGCTTGTTGGCTCGAACGAGCTGATTCATGTCGACCAATCTGGAAAGTCCAACGCTGTCGGGGTTAACGAATTTGCCAAGCAAACATCGTCCTACCCCATGGTAGACCGATCTGATCTGGCTCTTCGATTGGAGGGCTGTGTGGTGGAGACGCTCGACAGCAGAACCGGCGATATGCTACTAATATTATCGACTGGCGATTTGGCCTTGATCCATTTCAAATTGGACGGAAGGTCAGTATCAGGCCTAACCATAAGGCCTGTACCAAGGAATGCTGGAAACGAGATTATGAATGGTGCTGCCTCAAGCTCCGCGGTCCTTGGACCGGGAAGAATTTTCATTGGTAGTGAGGATGCTGACTCGGTCGTCCTGGATTACTACACCTCGGCCTCTACCACCAAGCGAAGCAAAGAAGAGGATTTGGATGGGTTATACGGGAACTCGGAGGATAACGAGGACAACGACAACGATATCTACGAAGATGATTTGTATTCTACCGCACCGAAAGAAGCCCCAAAACCGGATACCCTGAATGGCCACTCTCAAGAAAGTTACTCATTTCAGCTTGTGGATAAGCTAGTCAATATAGGCCCCCTACGATCAGTTGACCTGGGAAGACCGTCCGTCTGGAGCCACACCACAGACGGAAATTCCGATGTCGACTCCAGTGGTCTGGAGCTCGTCGCGGCCTCCGGATCTGGAAAAGGTGGCGGTGTTGTGTTTTTACAACGTGAACTCGACTTAAAAGCAGTTTCAACTTTTGAGAGTGATAGCATTGATTGTATTTGGACGGTCACTACCAACAAGACAAAAGAGAAGGAATCGCCAATTGATCAGTCTGCTAAAACGTATGTTTTTATGGCAAGACCGGAATCTCTTGAGAAGGAGGCAACTCTTGTTTATTCTGTGACCGACGAAATTTCAGAACTGGTCAGCTTTCCTGACGTCAATCCGAATGAAGACTACACAGTCGAAATCGGCACCCTGTCGGGAGGTAGTCGTGTTGTCCAGGTACTAAAGGGTGAGGTGAGGATTTATGATTCTGGTAAGCCAACAACTTGAAAAGGGTACGTCCCCTGTTTTGGTATTGACAATCTTTCAGATCTAGGACTTGCGCAAATATATCCTCTTTGGGACGAGGACGAGGATGATGAACGAACTGCAGTTAGTGCTAGCTTTGCAGACCCATATCTTCTTGTACTTCGGGATGATTCTTCATTGTTGCTTCTCCAGCCAGATGAGAGTGGTGACCTGGAATTTTTGAGTGGAAATGAAACCATTGCTTCTCAAACCTGGTTGCATGGGTGTCTTTACACGGACAAAAATGGCATTTTCAAAGGTGATTCTGCGAGAAATACCTACGCGGTTATGTTGAGTGCCGAATACAAGTTATATGTCAGTCGGGACTTCCATCCCATGGGGCACACTTCTAGTACATCATACATGACTGACACAAGTGGACAGATGTTTCAACTTCCTGATTTTGAGCTTATATCTGTGATCGAGGGGGTCGACTTTTTACCCCCCATTCTCTCAAATGAGCCATCTAGCAGAAGATTGACTTCTCGGGAAAATATCACAGAGCTTTTGGTGGCAGACATTGGAGAATTACCATGGACCTCGCCTTATTTAATAGTGGGTTTAGTCTTTTAAACGGGTGACTTAGCTTTACTGATTATAAAACAGTTCCGAACGGCCACAGACGACCTTGTTATATATAAGCCTTATCAAGACTACAACTCGGAAGGTGGAAGAATTCCTACTTTGAAGTACATCAAGGAAGCCAACCACGTACTTCCAACAGTGCTATCGGAGGCTGTATCAAAGTCCTATGAAAGTCAGCAACGGCGGAGAGTTCTTCGAAATTTCCCCAATATTGGCGGATTCGCTTCTGTTTTCATGCCTGGGGCATCCCCAAGCTTGATTCTTCGGACATGCCAGAGTTCACCTCACGTTTTCAAAATCCGTAGCGAATTTATTTGTGGCTTAGGGGCTTTCAGTATTTCAGGATGTGAAAACGGAATAATTTATGTGAATGATCAGGTATTATTCAATAATGACCGTGGTAGTGGATAGACTATTAATGACCTTTAGAAAATCGCTCGAAGCTATCAACTTCCAGACGACGTCCAATTTGAATTTGCCTGGCCACTTCGCAGAGTTCCTTTAGGCGAACAGGTTGATCACGTTTCATATTCCACTTCCTCAGGAACATATGTTTTAGGAACAAGTCGTGAACAAAACTTCAAGCTGCCGGATGACGATGAGCTTCACCCCGAGTGGCGCAACGAAGGTACTTACTTTCTACTTGACCTGAAAATTTTTCTGAACTTCATTGACATCACATAGCGATAGCTTTCCTCCCACAAATCGTACAAGGCTCCATTAAATTGCTCAACCCGATTAATTGGAATGTTATCGATAGGTATATCTCCAGCATACTACTCTTTCAATACCAAATCCTGACAGTTCTATAGCTATGCATTCGGCACCGCAGAGCACATTACAGCCATGGAAAATGTTAATCTTGAAATTTCGGAACAGACGCAAGAGCGAAAGGACGTCATTGTTGTAGGGACAACTTTTGCCAAAGGCGAAGACATTGCAGCCCGAGGAAACATATATGTTTTTGATGTGATAGACGTGGTTCCAGATCCAGATCAACCGGGAACAAATCTCAAGCTGAAGCTTATTGGAAAGGAGTCAATCAAAGGTGCAGTAACAGCGCTATCAGGAATTGGGGGGCAAGGTTTTGTGATGGTCTCTCAAGGGCAGAAATGCATGGTGCGGGGTCTAAAAGATGATGGGAGTCTTCTCCCTGTGGCATTCATTGACGTGCAATGCTATGTTAGCGTTATCAAGGAGCTGAAAGGGACTGGAATGTGCCTGATTGGAGATGCACTGAAAGGTCTATGGTTCGCAGGTTATTCGGTAGGACTCCAGCTTGTTGCTGGCCTTCATATTATGAGACGAAGCTGACTGTTTGGAAATATAGGAAGAGCCCTACAAGATGGCTTTATTTGGCAAAGATGTGGACGAGCTAGAAGTTGTTACAGCCGACTTTTTACCCGATGGCAAAAAACTCTATATCCTTGTTGCGGACAGCGACTGCAATCTTCATGTTCTCCAATATGACCCAGAAGGTATGCTGCTTCTTGCCTTTTACTTCGATTTTGTTCGCATATGGGCATCTGCTAATTTACATTTTGGATAGATCCAAAGTCTTCAAATGGCGACAGGCTCCTCAACCGTTGTAAATTCCATACTGGGCATTTTTCTGAGACGCTTACTTTGCTGCCCCGTTTAGCCCGGCCATCTGAATCAGTGGATTTGGATTCTGATGCGATGAACGTGGACTCCGACACGCCACTTTTCCAGGCAATGGTCACAACACAAACGGGTGCAGTGGCATTTGTGACGACATTGTCCGAAGATTCATATCGCCGTCTATCGGCTTTGCAGTCGCAATTAAGCAACACACTTGAACATCCTTGTGGCTTGAATCCTCGAGCATACCGAGCCGTCGAAAGCGATGGAATTGGAGGCCGTGGTATGATTGATGGCAAATTGTTGATGAGGTGGCTAGATTTGGGCCGACAACGTAAATTAGACATTGCTCACCGGGTGGGTGCAGATGAATGGGAGATTCGAGCAGATCTAGAGGGAATCAGTGATACAGGGCTCGGGTATCTATAAATGAAATGTATCGTTAAAGAGAGGCATGAAATGACTCCAAAGTTCAAAATCGAAGTTGAAAATAATCTACATATAATTTACACACCGCGACATGACTGCCTTGTAAAAATGCCTTCATCTTGCGTATATTGGGGCATTCTGAACAAGCGCTTAGACAGATCGCTTGTGCATCGAATAGAGTTTATCAAAAAGACACCATCCATGTTATTATGTATGCATACAAAATGATTTAATCCAAGAATTCATTATTTTGTTTTTGCAGCCAATTCCTTGGCCTGTTTCTCCAGACTGCGGACCTCCTCTATAACCAAGTCAGCCAGATTCTCACGAATAATACAAAACATTCAACCTGGGTCACCAAAGAAGCAGTACCATTCTTCAACAACTTTTTTTCACTTGCTTCAAGCTTCGACCACCCCCAGTAAATGACTTGGTATGTGAAGATGGCGCCGAGAAAAACCTTTGCAAAGGGGCGCCCAAAAGGGCGGAAAGCCGACGCCTATATCCAGGAAAACAAATAATTTAGACACACCAGGTCCTACAGCAAAGCACTCGTAGATGTTCTTCTGGAATTACTGACCCCTTCTTTGAACGAGCTAGTCTGCTCCGTTTGTTGGAAGTGACATGCTGATGATGTGAATGTTCGGTTGGGCACCATACATGTCCTTTGCGCTGACCGTGCTAGGCTCGCCACGGGGGACGTTGAGCGCAAGCCGGATTTCAGTAACATATTTGCGTCCGTATAAATAATATTAACATCTGGCGGATGCTCACTATGGCGACTTGACGGGGCCCTCTACAAAGTGTACTAGTCTAGTCACGTGACCACACATGTCATCGTCAACGGCGCTTGGGTGGAGAGGAATAAACGCGGCGAGCAGAGCTATGGTGGGGAACCCCAGAAGCCAAAAAACAGTCGCGAGAATATCCATATTCCTCCTTGGACATGACCAGAGCATCGTTTGTGAGGCCTGGCCGCGGCGTCTACCGGGCCCGTCCTCGCGGCAGATGGCAGGGATATATCTACTGGGACGTTGCAGTGAAGTAGAGCAGACTTCTATCTGCGCTCTCAGCTCTTACCACACGTGCAAAGCGCGTCGAGCAGTTTGCACGGTGTTCTCAGCGCTTTGCAGGGCCGAAAGACATGCCAGGAACAAGCGTCATGCCAGCACCACTAAGTCGCCCGATGGGGACTAGCCGTGGCATGGCTCGCGGGCGTTGTGGCTAGTCTGGTCGCCCGTTCGGGTTAGACTTGTCGCTCTCGTCTTCGGGCGTTCCGTCTTGTCGTGCTCCTTCCTCGCCCAGGCAGTCACGCGCGCTAAAGCTTCCTGTGTCTTGCATGCTCGTTGTTTGACGCTATTCCTGCATTTCACGGCCTTCTTCGACCCTGCCGTGCGTCCCTCCGAGCAGTTTTGCGCCCGCTCTGTACGATCCCTCAACGGTGCAACGCCGTGTCGACGCGGCGCATCGCATCCGGGAGATTGGCCCATCGCTCTTTATCCATTGGGTCTGATGGCAACGCAGTGACCTGATCTGCTTTGGCATTGACTGTCATTTAACTAATCTATCACCTATATGACTGCGTAATCGGATCTACGTGACTCTTTCTTCGAGCGACTGGCCGTTGCGTTATTGTCAAGTAGTAAGTTGTATCATCTTGATATCCGCAGTCACCTTTTCACAACCATAAGGAGCCGTTGGCGTTTTGCATGTGGGGAAATCTGACTTGTGGTCGAAAGGTATATAGGACAACGTATTGAAAATCTCATCATGGCACGTTTCTCAACAAAGCGCACGTTGGAGGAGATAGTCAACAAATCGGACTCCGACGACTTCGACTACAGCGATCACCCCATTCGATCATCAAGGCATTCGGCATCCAGGTCTAAGAAGAAAAAGTCAAAGCCTGCGAAGAAACGACGACGCCAGAACTCTGACGACGACGACGATATCGATTCGGACGACGATCTTAGTGAAGTCGATGAGCTTTCATATGACGAGTCTGAAGAAGACGAGGAGGAGGCAGCTAATGTCGAGAGAAATGCGAGGGGTATTGCGCGTCGCAAAGCGGTCCGAAACCGTCCGGTTTACAAGGAAGACGATTCCGAGGATGAAAAGGAATTAGATGATGCCTCAGACCAAGGGGCTAAAGAGGAAGACGATGGGGATGGAGAGAGAGAACAAGAAGAACATGAAGAAGTGCCAATTGAAGCACCGTCCAGAAGAACCCGCCGAAATGTGATTACGCTGAAGGTCGGCCGATCTTTGAAGCGGCTGCCGACACCAGACCTGCATAGAGAAACTAGGCGCAGTACCCGACATCATCGTGACCCATCGGAAGATATTTATGCTTTGACGAACTCTGGGAGGCACGTGGAAACTGTTGAGCATGGTATTCCAAATCCCGATTCAAAAAACACCGGAACGCGACGCGTATCAGACACTGTGAACAGGAAAGAGACAATTGAAGAAGAAGACGAGGAACGTTCTGGTGGAAGTAAACCTAATGATAACAATGAAGACGCGAAGGTATCGTCATTGGAAGTACTTGAGAGCGATCCTTCTGGTGGATTTCTCGAGGGTTTGTCTGCTACTGCGCAAGGCACCATTGATAATGGTGATGTTGAAATGGCCGACGAAAGCGTAATCCCCGAATCCGACAATGAACTTGCAAAAGCAGAAGATGATGGAGATGACGAAGATGACGAGGACGAGGAACCCACGTCACGAAGAAGGACTCGACCTAGTCAGACGTCGCCAGCAGACAACACAGATGACGGAGGACGTGAAACTCGCCCCAGTCGCAAAAAACCCGCGCGCTCATCACAACGGAAACAAGACGATAGCAGTGACTTTGAGCCCAATGAAGAAGAGTCCGAAGACGATGACGTATCTGCAACAGATCCCAATGCGTCACCCCGCAAAGGTGAAGCGGTCGTCCCGGATGAAGAGAGTGGTAATGACAGGCGCCCAGGGCTTCGTAATAGAAAGTCACAATCGCGTGGCCGGGGTGATTCGGAAGCTTTTGATGGCGAAGCTGAGGAGTTGGCAGAGGAACTTGAAGACTTGCAACCCGCTCGTCGTCGACGAAGGAAAGAAGAGGCCATTACCTATGAAGATAAACCTCGTCGTAGCAGGAAGGATGTGGATTACCGCCTTATACGACCTGATCTGTTCCTTCCGATCGAAGAGGCAGAATCTGAACCCACGGAATCCCCTTCCCGCCGCGGACGAGGTGGTGGAGGCAGCTCCTGGCAACGAACCCTCTTTTCAACATCTGGTCCCTTTGGCGGTGGTGGGCCTGCAGCTGTTCTTGGTCCGCCGGGGGCACTAGGGGGAAACAATATAGACAGTGACAGCAGTGACGACGAAACAATGCAAGTGAAGGGTGCTCCTGCAGCACAAGGAGTGCCAACATTGGCTACAGGAGGGACCGGATTTACATCAGCCCAGCCTCATAGTACAGACGCCGCCGCTCCTGGTCTCTCGGGGACACCTGCAAACTTTGGCAAGGTTAAAGACAAACAGGCATTGGCTGATGCCGATCCTCTGGGAATTGACCCTAACGTTAATTTTGATAGCGTTGGCGGCCTTGAAGGTCATATCGATCAGCTCAAAGAGATGGTGGCATTGCCACTTCTGTACCCGGAAATTTTCCATCGTTTCCATATTGTTCCTCCACGAGGTGTCCTCTTCCACGGGCCTCCTGGAACTGGAAAAACATTGATGGCTCGAGCTCTAGCATCCAGCGTGAGCTCAGAAGGGCGAAAGGTCACCTTTTACATGAGGAAGGGTGCCGATGCCCTAAGTAAGTGGGTTGGTGAAGCCGAAAGACAGTTACGGTTACTCTTTGAAGAGGCCCGGAAGACACAGCCTAGCATCATATTTTTTGATGAGATTGATGGTGAGTTTTCCTGGTACAAGGGTATTTGACATTTGCTAATTGTAGTACAGGGCTTGCACCCGTTCGATCTAGCAAACAGGAGCAGATTCATGCATCCATTGTTTCTACTCTGTTAGCTTTAATGGATGGTATGGATGGAAGAGGTCAGGTTATAGTTATTGGTGCTACGAATAGACCGGATTCTATCGATCCCGCTCTCCGTCGACCGGGCCGTTTTGATCGCGAATTCTACTTTCCACTACCGAACAAGGATGGCCGACGCGCTATCTTGGATATTCATACCAAAGGCTGGGATCCTCCTCTACCACATACGATCAAGGATGAATTAGCGGAACTGACCAAAGGCTATGGAGGTGCGGATTTACGTGCTTTGTGCACTGAATCTGCGCTCAATGCTGTTCAAAGGCGATATCCGCAGATATACAAATCTAGCCAAAAGCTGCTGATTGACCCAAAGACCATTGAAGTGACACCAAAGGATTTCATGATTTCTATCAAAAAGATGGTGCCTTCCTCCGAGAGATCTACTTCGTCCGGGGCTACACCATTGCCTAAAACCGTGGAACCATTGTTGCGAAATCGATTTACAGAGATTAAGGAGTTCTTGGCCAATATTCTTCCTCAGCCGAAACGGCTGACAGCCTTGGAAGAGGCACAATTCGAAGAACCCGAGGGCGGCGGCAGTTTCAGGCGAGAACAAATGCAACAAGAGTTTGAAACATCTCGCATATTCAGACCACGACTGCTTATAAGGGGCTCATTAGGGATGGGTCAGCAATATCTCGCCGGTGCTGTGCTTCACCATTTCGAGGGTCTCCATGTCCAATCATTTGATCTTCCCACTCTTATGAGTGATTCCACCAGGTCCCCAGAAGCTACTGTTGTTCAACTATTCGCCGAAGTCAAGCGGCACAAGCCGAGTGTGATCTATATACCGAATGTTCAGACATGGTATGACACAGTTGGGCACACGGTGATATCAACATTTATTGGTCTTCTTCGTTCCATTCCTCCAACAGACCCCGTACTGCTTCTTGGCGTCATCGAGGAGGATGGAGAGCCGTTAGATGCGACGATGCTCAAAAGCCTTTTTGGCTATTCACAGAGGAACCTATATGCCTTACCACCACCAAATCAGCAGTCTCGACATGAATTTTTCGGTAGAGTGATTGACTATGTCAAGACCTCACCGGAAGACTTCCCTGATCCAGAAAATCGCAAAAGAAGAAAATTGGAGGATCTGGAGGTTGCACCTCCTCTCGAGCAGAAGGCTGACACACTCTTGACAAAGGATCAATTGAAAGCACAAAAGAGAAAGGATCGTCAGACTCTGAATCTACTGAAAATTAGGATCCAGCCTATCATGGACCAAATCAAAAAATATAAGCGCTTCAGGGCCGGGGTAGTGGATGACTCACAAATTCGTTACCTATTTGAAGAAGAAGACCCTTCAGTTCTTACCAGCGACCTACCATTGGACCAGCAGACGGCGTTCCGACCTTTTGAGAAGAGCATTGATAAAAATGGAGTACCTGGATTGAAAGAAGTTGCAACTGGGCGTTTCTTTTACAATCTTGAAATTGTCACTATTGAAAAGCGTCTCTCCAACGGCTATTATAAGCGCCCAAAGGATTTCCTTGCTGACATCAAAAGGATCGCAAAGGATGCACGTGCACTCGGAGATCAAGAGCGACTCCTACGAGCCAATGAACTTTTGACGAACGTGGAAGTTGACATCGGCGGCATCGAACAAAGCGATCCAGTCTTAGTTGCCGAATGCGAAGGCGTGTATCTTCGCGAACTAGAGCGTGAGAAAGCAGTAATGGAGCGCGCCAAAAAAGCAGAATTAACAGGAGACATGGCACCACCCAGCCAATTAAACGTTCCACATGGCAACACTGATTCAGCCGTATCTTCTGGCCCAGTTGTTCTCGGTCAGCCTTTTACGAACGGTGCTCGGCCGGTGACTCCCTCACATCAATCCACTAGTGGTCCTATGAGCAATGGGAATCATGGTGCAGGCGGCTCTGATCTCAACGAAGGGGGTATTCATGGCTCACATAGTAACGACCCTTCAAACGCATCTCGCGCAGAAGATGGCGATACCTACATGACAAATTCCGACGAGCTAGACTATACTGGACGCTTAACTGCAAATAGCTCGTTTGGGCCTTCAGCCCAACCGAAACACCCGCTTTCTAACACAGCACCCTCTCAGCAAATTCGAAGAGAGTCTGGAATCTCAAGTCTATCACAAAAAGGCCCCATGACTCCTATGGCCCCAGGCTCCCAGCCTGGTGACTACACTAACGATGCTTCAACGACACAAACTACCTCTGATAAGAAGACGTCGGATCAGTCCACAGGGCCTCAGCTTCATACACAGAGTCTTACGACAGGGAGTGGCCCACGAGGGGAATATCCTGATCTGACTTCATACCCTGATCGAATCTCACAGGAGGAGCATCTTCCTGATACTCAGCAAGGTAAGAATACTCCAAATCCATTTTTTCACCCTGGCCCATGAAACTAACTTATGCATTAGACTTGCCCTATTCTCAAGGCAGTCTTCTTAATACGAGTCAGCCTCTGATACGTCCACATTTGCAAAATAACGCGCAGCATCGTCCGGTTCCCGCTTCCGATGCTGCCGCCAAACCGTCTGCGCAACCGACGAATATCAAATCTCTTCTGAATAATGAAGAACGAAATCCACGGGTTGATATCGATCACGGGTACATCGACCAACTTCACATTCAATTGACCCAGCAGACCAGTGGCTGCTCTGTGGAACAGCTTGAACAGATCAACACGCAATTGATGGACAGTATTTGGAAGCAACGGGGAGAGTGGGATAGGACAAAAGTTGCTGGTCATGTCAAAGATAAGTTCAACGAAGTGCTACAGGATATGCAAAGCAACCAATTGTTCTCTTCCATGAGCCAGCAGACCCGGGAGCAGTTAGCGGTGCAACAGGTCAGCGCTGGGAGACACGCGATTTCATAAATAGAAGACTCGGGGTGATGTCATTTTCTCTGTTCTCATTTCTTGGAGGGGTTACTGTTTTGCTGTACATGCCGGTACTGTTGTGGCACGATTGATTTACATATATGGATGTATCTAGTTCATTGTTTGTGTAGCTGCTATCAACCATACTTAGAGAGCACTATTATAACTTTACCGTTATCTGTATTTATCTATAAGCTATTAGATAGATGAACGAAGACATCTTATTTCCAGACATCGTGTGTAGATCGTCAGTCGCATTGTTCATGTGTTAGTGGCGGGCGACTAAGCATTAACCTTGTTGTCGCTGCTAAAACCAGCCTGGCCTTTCCGTTGGCGCCAATGGGAGGACCCGGGATCATCAAAGAAGATCCCGGGGGAATGTGACCGATTTTCTATGTTCGATTCTTTTCACTCTTTCAACACCAAGCACTCACTCGGAAATTACAACTCGTTTACACGCAGAACCTGAGGCCGGAATAGTCTGTCACCAGCATCGCCATCTGCAATCCCTCTTTTCGCACGCGCATCCAGAGCTCGCGCTCTGAGCCACCGTTTCTTTGCACACGAGCATAGTCTCCTCGTCCAATATACACAATGGTTGACTGGCTTCGTCTCGCTATACCGTTTGCCTATCTTGGCATCCTGATAGGCTCGCTAGCCATATTTTCATCGCTGTACCGTAAACGAAAAGCAGGTACGTACTATCAGTTGCGCAATCGACCTGCAATAAATCTACTTTTTGCTAACCTAGAACTTTGACATAGCCAAAGCTTTATCCCTGGAGCCATGGTTCCCTTCACACCTCCAACGAGATATATACAATTCGCTGCTACATCTTGAGCAGCCCACGACATCGGGGAAGGAGAAGAAAGCCCCCGCTGTACCAGAGACTGTGTTGAAGGCTGCGCTCCTGCGTCGGGCCGCTGAGGATATTAAGCGAGTTATGGCCATCAGAGATCAAAAGCAGGCTCTTGCTTTGCTCTTACAACGAGGCAGTGTTGGTGACGACCTCTGGCAACGATTTACACGAGCAGAGAAAGAAATGGAGGATGAAGTTCGTGATGTGGTTCAAGAAGTCAGTTTCCATTTGCAATAAATAAAATAAGCGTGAAAATTTTCCATCTTCTGAATTTTTGGGCTAATCTTGTTTGCCTTAGGCCAACGCATATGCTCCCAACTGGGGTCAAGTTATCTTCCAGTCAGCCCGAGAAATGGACCAGAACAACTTATTCCGACAACGTATTGAGGACTACCAGAGCAAAGCCAGCGAGGAACGACAATGGTGGGACCGCAAGAAAGCCAGCATTCAAGAGGGATTCATGAAAGAACTGGACGAGGAAGAAGGTTCAAAGGCAGCCGGAAACAAGAACACCGAAAAAGCTGCTGCTCCAGCATCAACTACAGGCACAAGTGACGACGATGGGGTTTTGGTTGAATCTGAAGGGATAAACGTCACAAGTGGCACGAGCAGTGTCAAGAAGAAGAAGAAGGGCAAGAAGTGAGGGATTTAATGGAGTTTTTTTTTTGGTGCTTTTGACCTTGACAGTGCTGTAACATCGCGGTTGGCGGTCTTGTTTTATTCTGTCACATGTCTTTTATTCTTCTATTCTTCTTTTTTTAAGCCGTTTTCGAAGAATACATTGTAACACCAACAGGCCTTAGGGATGTTTAGAAATTTATGCTCCAGACAAAGCAGTCTAACGTTGATAGATGTTTGTTCCATCTTTAGGATATCTACATATTAATGGAGGTCAGATTTCAATTATGTAGCTATTATGCGTCCCAGAAGGCATCTAATATTGTACAATTGATTTTTGGAGATATGAGATATTGTACAAAGCCGCACAAATGCGAGAGTGGACTGAACTCTAACTGAGAGAAATTGTAATTATGTACATAGAACGAATTAACACATACTCTAGTGCTTATTATGAACTCGGTAAGCCATCAACCCTTGCACCCATTTCTTGCATAGCTGTTGTGATCTGCTCCTTGATATGGTCTGGGCCGGTCCAAGTACGTTCGATCACGGAGATAATAAGATCACCTAGAATTTCTAGCTGATACTGTTTTCGTTCGTCTTCGCTGAGTTCGTCAATGCTAAGCCCCTGCGCTTGTAGCGCTGATGCCTTTCGCTCTTCTAGAACTTGTAGTAATGTTTGCACGTTCTGTATATTTTCTTTGTGGCGGGGTGTTGAAGATAGCCGGCGTCTGGCCTTTTTCGGAGTGTTTCCGGGGATACCAGCCATGCTCGTGATTTGCAGGACTAGCATACGTGCTGTTTCGCTGTCCGGGTAATAGCCGAATATATCTCTCAGAGCATATAGTGAAACCAGAGTGCCGTAGAGGTCTTTGGATAGACAGAAGCAAAGGGTGATTTGGTCATAGAGCTCTTTTGAGAACTCCGCATGCGTCTGCTGTTTTGCGCGGGGATTGAGGCTTGTGTACCAGTGCATCATCATCGAGAACAGCTGGCGGACGGGTGGGAAGTTTGGATCGTATGGCATTCTGGATCTTCTGGATCGGTCATATTGAAGCTTGCCACAGTCCCAGAGGCAGGCAAAAGTCTCTAGATCTGGCTGGACCTGAGTGCTCATGGATTGGAACTGCTGCCAAAGGGGACCGATTCGGTGTTTGCGTAGCTCGGCATAGAGAAGATGATTCATGAAGTATGAGTTTGGGCGGATTTGGGAATCATCGAGACATTTTTCAAGATATCGAATCATACCATCGTCACCGCGACGGGTGTAATGAAGAAGCAAAATAGAGAAAGTCTCGATATTTGCCGGAGGAAGCGTCCTCTTTAGAAACTGGGGGACTCGAGGTTCCTCCGTCATTGAAGGAATTGAAGGTTTCGATGAATCTGGTGAAGGTTGTAGCCGGTTCCAGACAGTATCAATTCGATGTTGAATCATAGACCAGCCAAGTTGTTCAGCTTTGTCCCTTGATAAAGAACTTCCATGACGAAGCCAACCACTAATGATGCCATTGAGATGTATTGCGTCAGGTCGAACACCCCTTTCGAACATTAGTTCTACCACTGATGCGGCCGAATCAACCTCGCCCATGCCAATCAGCTTTTTCATCCAGCTGGCGTAGAAGAATTTATTCTGGAGGCGTCGGGGTAGAAAAGTGAGCGCTGACAGGGATATCTTATTGACATCTTCTTCTTTGATATTTGATGACTTCAAATGCCCTGCAAGGCCAATAGCTCTCGTAAATATAGCAGTAGAGTCATTTGCAGAGTCTCCCCCTGTAATCATCATATCCTTGAACACAGCTAGCGCAAGGTCAACCTTTCCATTGTGCAAGAGACCAATGCTAATTTCATCATAATCCCCCATTGTCATTTCCGAGCCCAGCAGAGTTCTGAGTTGAAGATAAATAGCCCAAGCTTTGTTAGTCGCGACCTTATCGGTTTGCTTTGTCCAGGCCGTAATGATGGGTATCAAAATTCGTGCAAAACGACATCCACGACTTTCACTATTTGAAAGAAAGGCAAATGCAATGTCTTGAGCTCTTTGTGGATCGCCGCTCGCTGCAAAAAGTCGGACCCCCATATTCCAATACGCATCTATGTCGCCTTCGCCACTGCTGATAAGGACTTGTTGTTCTTCCCACATTTGTAACGCTTTTTCAGTATCGCCTCCAGAATGCAATACTTCAACATATTCCAGTGTTTCATCCGGTGAGAGAGTCCTTCCGATAGACTTAAAGTCTTCCACAAGGACTTGCATATGAGTTAATTTGTTAGGTGTAGGCTGTGGACCTTGAACATGAGCCTTCCACAATGACCGAAGAACATCTGGTGGTAACGACTCTAGAAACGATGGGATGTTATTTTTACTGCGTTGATACCATCTCCATAGCTCATGTATATTCGATGTGTCCGGCTGGGTTATCGCTAGTTCGAGATAGTTTCTGAACCGATGTTCATAAGGATGACTTTGTGTGGGAACATTTTCCGTCTCAGTCGCTGCGACTGGGCAATCTGTCTCAATTAATGGTTTTCTAAGATCCCAACTGTCTTCTTCTTCCTTGGCCAACCCTTCAAACTCCTCCTTTATCATGTCGTCAAGCTCTTTGTCGAATACTTTTTCAAGTCCTGTACCCTCGCCAATGTGGGCCTCCTGGCCGTGTTCCGCTTCATATTTACGAAGAGCTTCAATAGCAAGTTTTCGATCCGGCTCTGGAAGATTTTGTATAAAAGGGCTGTCGACGTCAAACGGTCCCTTCTTCAAGCTTTCCAATTCACTGTCTAGCTTCGCCAGCTCGTCTTTCATATCCTCCCGATCAGCAGCATCGTCTGCATCAGGATCGATCTCAACTCTATTCTTGCTTCCAATGCTATCTTGTTCAAAGAAGCGAATCTTATCACCCCGCCCGACATTTCGAACATATTGCGATGGTGAAGCGGAGAATGGACGGCGGAGGAAAGAGGACCGTGTAATCAAGCATTTTTTGGAGCAGGCTGAATAACGATATCGCCAAGCTCCTTGAATAACCTGGCGGAGCATGAAGGATGCGTTCTCATGACATCGGCGAAGGCGTTGGAATATGCTGGTGGCGCAAATAGCAGCGTGATGTTGTGACGGTGACAAAAATAATTCTTTCCCAATATTGAGGAGCCGCAGCCATTTTCGGTTTAGCCCTGCCGATGCCGCGGAGCTCTGCCACTTCCTCCAGAGCTGTCCTAGATGGTTGTTTACTGATCCTCTATCGCCAATTGCTTAATCGTGCTGAACCATACCATGGAATTGGATGACGAGGAGTTGAATCTCCCAGGAAAAATTGATGGAGACAACCCAGTACGGTACTTTCATTTTCCGTACTTGCATACGCAGCGCTAACTGGGGAATAGGGTGTTTATATCTACAATCCAACGAAAGCAACCATAGATCACCTCGAGCCATCCCCAAAAAGACGCAAGACATCCAAAAGCGCAAGCTCGAGCTTACTGCCGAATAATGCCACATTAACACAATCGACGTTTGTGCCATTGCTTGACGGGAAAGAACCCTCGGAACTTGTTGAATCAAGGCAGTCTATTTTCCAGCAGCTATGGACATTTCAGGAACAGAGAAGCAAGGTTAGTAGCTGGAGATGAATAGGGCGGGACATGTTTTGATTTCGTGAAGGAGATATTAGAAGAGCTTGATTCCGGAATCCTGGAGGCTATATCGTCTTTTGTTGACACAGCCTCCCCAGAGCTGTAAGTTCAACGATCACTGCGGTGGTATGACACTAAACAACAAACTAGCTACGATGGACGTATTCCTACGTCTCTAGTGACCATTGGTTCGAACGTATCGGCCCTGCCTAGACTTTTAGACTCACTACACCAGCGTTTAACGGCGCAAGGCAGCGGTCAAGTGGTTCTGTTAGAATCAGGCGATGCTCCAAATTTAAAGGCCGTACTGAAAACAATTATAAGAATTGCTGTGACGAGTATCGAAGGAAATGAAGGGTATCAGCACATATTCACCCACAGACTGGTAGGATGGTAGCTATCATCAAGTGACAAGTTATTAACCCGTGCCAGGGCCCTCGAATGTTACCCTACGACCTCAATCTTCTTCATGAGTACGTTGATAAACACAAGTTAAGGTCTTTAGTTCTTGCATTTCGCGATAGTGAAGCTTTTGACTCGGGTGTGCTCAATGATTTGCTTTCATTGCTAAGGTATTATTCATCAAGATGAAATATGAATTTATGCTAACAAGTTTATAGCGCCTGGATTGACCGTATACCGTTTGTGCTACTATTCGGTGTTTCTACATCTGTTGAGATATTTGAAGCCAGACTTCCTCGGTCTATTGTTGCGTCACTTCAAGGTCAACACTTTGAAATCCATGACGCGGGTGATGCCGTTGATCGGATATACGAGGCATTGCAGACCAATCCGAATACAGAGTTATGGTTGGGACCGCATTTGAGTAAAAGCTTGTTTGAAAGATCAAGAGATTATTTTCAGAGTCCAGAAGAGTTTATTCGGGAAGTGAAGGTGTGTTGCTCCTATATTATCATGCGCATGGCTTCTAATGGACATAGTATGCATACATGTCGCATTTTTTCGCCAATCCTCTAAGTGTACTGCTCTCACCATCTGCGCCTCGGAAAACAGAGCTATCGGAAGCTATCCGCAATTTGAATTCTTTTCGAAGGTTCGTTCTGCTGATTACAGTTACAGACCTTGGCTGATCTAGCAAAGATTTTGCGAAGAACTCCTCGAGGCAGGCTACACGAGCCGAGTCCGAGACCTTTTGAATGATGACGAAGCTTTACTTAAAGAAGTGGACGGAGCCCTAGTCGCTGGTCAGTCACAAATGAGGGACCTTTTGCGCGCAGCAAATATGCTCCAGTCAATACAGACTGTGCTACAAACAAGCAAAGCAAGCAACAGAACAGAAATAATCCTTCCAAGTGTATCCGGAGATATACGGAGCTCATTGACCATTAGTGAAATGTTGACCACTATCAAGAAATCACACTCGGACGGGTTTGCCTGGATCTTGACAGCTGTTCGGGAAAGTAATGCAGCTTTTATTGATGTTGAACAGTACGAAGGGGAGCTTAATACAATGCTCAAGACACACGAATCAGAGATGCCGCTTCGCAGCAGCCACGATGATCAGAATTCTACAGTAGAAACGACCATTGTCAAATCTCGACTTAATTTGACAAAAGTTAAGAAACAAGTCTCTGCACAAGATATCGAATATACCGATCTTCTCGAACGATTTCTCGAGGAATTCGAGAAAAAGCTGGACACAACCTTTATCAATCCCCAAGATCTCTTCCTACACGAAGTTTTCCTCTTCGACATACGAAACCCACTGAAAGACACATTCGCACCACGAGCTAGATTCAGTGTCGAGCGCGCGTTGTCTAATCCATTTGATTATCTCACGTCGGCGTCTGAAGGAGCGGAAGCAAACTTGTCGGCGAACCAGCCAGAGACGGCTATACTTTACCAACTATATCTTGAATCGGGATCGCTGGTTAATGTGTTTGATTTATGGAAGGCATTTTCTACTATTGTTGCGAGTGACGAGAACGGCTCTTGCGACGAGCGAACAGCGTTGGTGCTTTTTTACCGAGCAACCTCCGAACTGAAAGCGTTGGGTATGATGAAAACTAGTCGAAAAAAGATCGATCATGTTAGCAAGTCAGCCTGGAAAGGTCTCTGAGTGGAGGGTGTGGATGCTGAAGCAGAAATTTACCGGGAAATGCATTAACATAGCATTATATCATATCACAACCAAAGTATAATACACAAGCTGAATAGTCATGACAACACCTTATACATGTAGTAATTTCATAGGTCTTGATCGATAACCGGTTGAATAATATTTTCATCACCAAGCGGCCTACCAGCTTCACCAAAAACCATAGCCTCTCTCCTCCGTCTACGAAGCGCTTGCTCTTCCAAGCTCTCGTCAGATAAGCGAAGTCGTTCTGCAACCCGACTCCTTCCAGCGGTATCATCACCATTGACCATCCACACATCACTGTCGACGTCATCTTGGTCCTCGTCTTCCAGCAAGGTCCATATCAAGCCGAATCTGCGGAGTTGCCGGACCGCTTCCATACTATTCAAAAGAGTCGTAACGATTGAACTCATCAATGTGTCATCAGACCAGTACGTTTTCATCAGTACTACGAGATCTTTGCCACGATAATCGCTGTCGTGAAGGCATGGAAAAGGGTATCGTGATAGCCACCGACGAATGATTCCAGCTTCCAAAGCGGCTGGGATGTTTTCAGCGAGGATTATATTCAACACTGCCAGTGCCTTTTTCTCGCCGGGTGGTCTTGTTTTAGGGAGGATAGGAGAATTTGTGGTTCCCGTTTCTTCGGTGTGTTCGGCTATGAAATTGCAGAGACAATCGATAAGGGCCTCAAAGGTAGGATGATCTTTGAGTCGTAGGGGTGAGGATGACCGAGCCACTTAATAGAGATGGTTAGTATAATGAATGAGCGGATCGACAATAGTACTACTTACATGCACGACTAGACACCAGAAAATGGATAGCCGTCAATGCCCGATCCCGTCGTTTTTTGTTTTTGCTCTTCAGATCTTCTAATAGAAGATCTCGAGATGCCTCCTTTGTAGCTCGTTCCGATAGAATACGAAGAGACCTAAATCGATCAGAATGATGCGCAAGATATCTTTAAAGGAAGTACACATACGCGCCCCGGAGCTCGTAAGTCGGGCTCTCGGTCAACTTCTGTAGAGTGTCAAGCTTGAGGGCTGCAGAGCGATTATAAGAATATAATTCACAAGATATGTGCTAGCCAGCATACCATCTTCAGTGCCCTGACTGATCATACGCTCGTCATTTTCATCGTGTCGGATTTCAGTCAATTTGCGGACCTCATACAGGTCTCGAATGACCCGGCGATAAGCAATAAAGCTCAAGGATGCTCCTGTGTGGACACCGTTAAGCAATTGGCTTTTTTAAGATAATAGTTAGGATGATACCTAAACATAGCCATAGAAGCGAAATGTTAGAGCGAAATGCCATACTAACATAGGCATGATTTCGTGCGGGCTACGAGGGCAGGTGCAGATGATGCGGTGGAGAGCTTCTACCATCTATCGGACTAGTACTAGTATGGTCTAATGCAGTGGAGACCTGATGGGGCCGGCAGAATTCTGAATTTTTTTTTTGTGTCGCGGGCGGTGAACAGTGCGGTTTTCAGCAGGAGCGTCGGTCGTCACTGTTGATAGTTGGTAGTTGATACCTCTGCAGAGCACAACCCATCGCCATGCCGCCCTCTCAGCTGAAACAGCTGAAGGCTTCTCTGCGTGACAGCGGTGTCATTCGTCCGCAGCAGTCCAAGAAAAAGCGTCGCCAGGATGAAAAGAGCGGCGCCAAAGCACACTCTCGCATACAGCGACAAGCGGCACTGCAACAAATCCGAGACCAATTTAATCCCTTTGAAATCAAGACGGCGTCTCGTGGTGCAAAGTTCGACGTGACAACAAGAGATGGCTCGTCCAAGGCAGGAGGCCAAGCCCGGCCTGGAGTGACAAAATCCTTGGGCGAAGAGAGGGTACGGTTGCAATCGTTTCTACTAGAGCACGGCTAATCGTTGTCTAGAGACGGGCGACCCTGTTGAAGGAGATGAATTCACGAAACAAAGTTGGCGGTATTATGGACAGACGGTTTGGTGAAAACGATCCCTCCATGACGCCTGAGGAGAGGGCCGCCGAACGATTTGCCCGGGAAAGCCAGCGCAAATTCAGGAAGGAGTCGTTGTTTAACCTTGAAGAAGACGATGACGAAGAAATGCAATTGACGCATATGGGGGAGTCTTTGTCTTTTGGAGGTCCAAAACGGAGCGATGACTTCGCAGAGGATGATCTCGAGGCGGAACAATCGTCTGAAGACGAATCAGGTCTAAAGCGCAAACGGGTCTTGGCTGTTGATGAAGTCGATGATATGGAGGGTCTAGCTTCTTATGGAAATGAAGATGGCGAGGAACTGCCGTTACGGAAAAAGTCAAAAGCCGAGGTTATGAAGGAAGTCATTGCTAAGTCCAAGTTGTACAAGCACGAGCGACAAAAGGCAAAGGAAGAAGACGATGACCTTCGAGCTGAGCTTGACCAGGGCTTGCCAGATCTCTTTGAGCTGTTGCGGGGTATCAAACCGGCGCCAAAGCCAGAAGCGCCCAAAGATGATTTCAGCTCGATGGACCCTGCTCGTGCCGCTCTTTTGAAGGGTAAAGAGAAGGGAGAGACGGATGCCGAGTATGATAAGCGATTAAAGCAGATGGCCTATGATAAACGCTCACAGCCCACGGACCGTACCAAAACTGAGGATGAGAAGGCGCAAGAGGATGCGCAACGATTGAGAGCCCTTGAAGCAGAAAGACTGCGCCGCATGCGTGGAGAGGAAGACAGCGAGTCGGAGGTTGAAAAGGCAGATGAAGAGCTAGAAGACGACGAAATGCCTGACGATGCGAAAGCTTTTGGTCTAGGCAATGCTGATTTAGAAGCTGAGGCCCGCTCGGAACTAGGTGTTGAAGATGAAGACGATTTCATCATTGACGAGGACCTTGTCGAGACGGACTCAAATGCTAACCTTTCTTTCATACAAAGCGACGAAGAGAGTGAAGAAGAAAGTGATTCTGACCAGGAAGACAGTGATGATGATGCACTGATGAATGAATTTGCGGACTCGACTGGTAACGACACTGGAGCAACAACAATTTCCATTTCCGCCAATGATGTTGCTAATAGTAAACTGGCTTACACTTATCCATGCCCAGAAAGTCATGATGAGCTCTTGACTCTATTGAAAGATGTCTCGGAAAATGACACCCCAGTAGTCATTCAAAGAATCCGAGCCCTCTATCATCCCCGCTTGAATGCTGAGAACAAGTCAAAGCTCGCTCGTTTTTCTGAAATACTTGTTGAACACGTTGCCTACATGGCTGACCAAGGGAAGAGGACGTCATTTGGAATCCTAGAAAACATGCTCCGTCATATTCATTCTATGGCGAAGAGTAACAGCGAACCGGTTGCCCACGCTTTCCGAAACCATCTTCGCAAGACCGCAGCAGAGCATCCTCTCAACCTATCACCCGGTGATTTAGTCATTTTGACTGGCGTTATGTCTATATTCCCTACGTCGGACCATTTTCATGCTGTTGTCACACCTGCGAATCTGTGCCTTTCGCGGTATCTCGGGCTAAGCTTTATTACCGGTCTCTCTGATCTTGCTACAGGAGCATACCTTTGCACTTTATCACTACAATTCCAGGCTCTCGCGAAACGATTCATGCCGGAGTTTATAAATTACTGCCTGAACGCCTTGAGCATTCTTTCGCCCTCAAAAATTGATCAAAACCTGGGCCCAGTCTTCCTTCGCGAACCCAAACAACCGCTGCGGTTGACATCCGCGAGTGGAACCAGTATAGAGAAACTCAATTTCTGGGACATCATCAGGAACGATATTTCCCCAGACTCCGCAGAAGCCTTCAAAGCATCGCTCCTCGGAATCTTTGTTTCCCTGCTAGAATCCGCCGCTGAGCTCTGGAGCAACAAATCCGCATTTGAAGAAATCTTCAGCCCAGTACAAACCGTGCTCAAGCAGCTGAAAAAATCCACTGCAAAGAAACTCCCATCCTCGATGGAACAAAAAATCACCTCCACTCTAGAAAAAATCAACAACCTATCCTCTCAAGCCTACCTCGGCCGGCGCCCGCTACTCCTCCACAACCACCGCCCTCTCGCAATCAAACAATCGATACCGAAATTCGAAGAAGACTTCAATCCAGACCGCCATTACGACCCGAACCGTGAACGCGCAGAACTCAACAAGCTCAAAGCAGAGCACAAGCGCGAGCGGAAAGGTGCAATGCGGGAATTGCGCAAGGACGCCAATTTCATTGCCCGTGAATCGCTGCGTGAGAAGAAGGAGCGTGATGCTGCGTATGAGAAGAAGTATAAACGACTCATAGCGGAGATTCAGGGTGAAGAGGGTAAAGAGGCGAAAGCTTACGATCGGGAGAGAAAATGGCGGCAGGGGAAGAAGTAGATTGTACATATCAATATATATCAGCGAATCCAAAATAAGTCTGCAATCCTATTACCAATTGATGCCAAGAAAAAGAAATATAATATCAAAAATATACAGTGAATTTCCAAAGCTAAAGAATATTCACTGGTTCAATTCCAGTGCTATAGACTGCAAATATGTACACCTCGTCCTCTGATCATCCGGAACAGTCTCCATCTTAGTCTGATTCGTACGAATAAATATCCGATTATAGTTATCCCCCCAAGAATCCCACTGCGGAGTGCCAGGTGCACGATGCGTATTCGGGTTATACGAGCGTATAAAACTCGTCCAATACCCCTGCATCACCGGCACAATAGCGCTATTATTTGTGAAATACGACGCCGGCGGCGTTGAACTCACATACTGTGGGCCCCATATCGCGTTAGTCTCAATCGTATGCTGCGTGCCGTACCCTGATGTCTCGGCGTTGTAGTCTGTCACCGCGTAGTGATAGTTCCAGTTACTCCACGCCGTGGAAGGGTGAGCGTTGAACGCCGTGGAGAGGTAGATGCCGGGACAGATATACCGCATTTCGCCGTAAGCGTTGGATACACCCTGCCAGTAGTCCCCGGCGGTTGGATAGACGGGGTCGTCGGGGCTGGTCAGGTAGATGGAGTTGATTTGGTTTAATTGGGCAGTGGTGATGGTTGGGAAATTGGCTTGGATAAATTGATCAGCCTGGTCTACCGAGGATGTATTTTTTGGCGGGAATATGGTGCCTTCGTTGGTATCGTCGCCGAAGATGACGGGTACTTTCATGAACTTTCCCTGGCCGAAGAGTCGCTCGGTGTAGTCTGGCACGAGGTCATGGTCAATTGTTGGGCTGTAGGGGTACAGCGGGGCCAGAGTGTTGCCAGGGAATGGAATGCCGTAGTTTTCCTGCTGTAGGGTGTTAAGTTCGAGATTCCGTAGACAGGAGAAGGTGTCTACAGTTCCGGCACAGCCGGTGCGCGTGGTGAGATTGTCGTAGGCGAACTGGCTTTCTGCAACGGTGGCCTGGGAGCCGAAGGACTGAGACTCGGCAGCAGAGGCGTGGAAGAGGGTGTTCAGTATTCCGCTGCCTCCGTATGCAGTGAGAAGCAGGGTGATTGCGCCGGCGCCGGCGCTGTCACCGCCGATAGTGACGTGGTTTGGATCACCACCGAACTTGCCAGTCAGAATTCGTTCGTACTTTAGTCATAGGAGAAAAGCACTTACAATAGCAATATGCTCGTTAGTCCACTCCAGGGCCTTGATGATATCTTTCAGGCCATTATTCAGACTACCTGCCCACTCGACCTCCTTCGAGGCCAGAAAGCCGTACGGGCCAACACGGTAATTGAACGTGACTACGAGGATGTTGAAGCCCGAAGCCATGACAAGACCACTGCCATCGTAATCCGCATTGGAGTTTGCATTGAACCCGCCGCCCTGGATAAAGAAATACACCGGCAGCAGCTCCTCTGTCGCGTTGGTCGGCGCGTATACATCCACGAATAGACAGTCTTCCGACTGGTTTCCAGGAATCGGATACGTGCTTGTCGCAATGCACATTGGACCATGCTGAATCCGTCAGCTTACTGCACACTTATTGGATATTGAGGGATCACATACGGTAGTAGCACTTTGAACGCCTAGTTCTATGATAGGGTCCTGCGGCGGCGCAAACCGCAATTGGCCGACAGGGGCAGCAGCAAAGCGCATACCTTTCCAGAACGACACGCCATTGTCTTGGTTAACACCCTGGTAGGAAGTATAGCCCAAGTTCTTGACACTGTTGTCCTCCCCGGCAGAGGCAACAGCTGCCAGGCAGAAGGAAACGACGACGACGACCAGCTGCATGATTACAGTTGGGACGACTGCATACTGCCGTTACAGAAGTGTAGAGAGGGAAATACAGGCGGGCCATTTTGAAAGACACGCGGTTCAGCGAGATCCTTTTATTTAGCGATATCGACTCAAGCCCCTCTCGTGTAATCCTCCTGGGAATGGGGATACGATGGTGCTCCTCCACCAGGAATGACCCAGAAGCAACATGCCAGCAGCCGGAGTAGGGAACAATGCTCTCGCCTTTCGCCTTTCGGCAAAAGACAGAAATCGTCACAAAGGCAACTAGGGGGAGTGACTAGGCGTGGTGTGTGCGGGGGGCAGCGCAGACTAGCAGTATTCATCAAGGGGGCATGACAATCATGACTGGGAATGACCAAAAATATCGGAAGGTCCTCGGGTGCGTGCAGAACCTATAAGGCTGCTGGGAGCAGTTGGAAGTGCATCGTCTGATATGCACCGGCCAATCTGGGCCAGCGCCAGACTCTCAATCGCGCAAATTAATCAACGGCCAATAATTGATAATTGGGCTGTATGTGTGGCTCGCATCTGGGGTGCTCGAAGGGATAAGAATCAGATCCGCCGATTCCACTCCGATCCAGCCTGGTAACAGCACAATAGCACAACAGCAGGACTTGCACAAGGATGCCGGATATTATTTAATATTATGCAATCTTGTTTAATCTTGTTTAATATCATTTAATCTTATTTATTGGGCATACTGCAAATTCGCTACTATCTTTAATTAAATCCATATTGTAGTGTTTATGATTATGGTTAAGACGAGAATCGCATCAGAGGGCAAACAAATAGGGCTAAACCCGCTATCGACAAGGACAACGTTAGTGTATGCTGCGATTAGCCGTTCTGTATACATCGACATGGTCTCCTGCAGGCGAGGCTGTGGAGTGGCTGAAAAATATGGCCAGGTCGTCATGCTCCCCGCAAGTTTTTTCCCCGCGACTACTGCATGGGTATGATGCTGAAGCAGTCATATGATATGCGAATATTGAGGTCAGCCCATTGGTCTGCAGTACTCTGTACCACGGTGGCTGGGATATAAAAATGAGCGTCGGCTCTAGATCTATGGCCGCGACGAGAGGAGTCGGCGAGTCGGTGAAGGAGGGAAAATATTTTGAGGACAAAGAACGCCTCTGGCTGATCGTGTGCGGCATTGCTGGTCATGCGATGTTGAACTAGTATGTTATCACTAGGGCTTAGCGAGCGAGGCTACTGGACAGCGTATACTTAGTACTATAGTAGTGACCTCCCCACAGTCTATACAAGCGTTTCTATGACTCTACCCCTCATGTCGTAGGCTTAAATATAATGGAAGATCCAATCAGATACAGAGTGATGTAACTGAACCATGAATTACGTGTACACTTGAGAGTGTCATTCAAAAGATGTGGTAGAACTTGATAATACTTTTTAATTTAAAATAATATTTTACCTCGAACTTAAATATAATAAACATGACAAAGATAGCAAATACGATTAATACAATAAATATGATTAATATTTATGTATTAAATTTAATACCTACAGGCTTAGACCTTAGTCACGACTTCAGTTTGGATCCTTCCTCTTGTCCCTAAGCAGCAGTTGATGAGATACATGTTTATATGCCTTTTATTGTGTTGTATATCCCATCATGGCGGCGGCTTGGCAATTAGGCGGCCGCCGACCGCCGCCCTTTAATTAATGTTTGCTGCTAAGCGGCTAGCGTCGCCTCAGCGCTAAATTTATCTCTGCAAACAAAGCTTGATCTTCTTTGTTGTTGAAGCTGGATATCTTGCGTGAATCCCACCACAGAGCGGCGCTGTCTCCCCCAGGTCCTGTGTTGGAAGGACAGATCTCGAGCATCCATTCTTTCACCCCCAATTGCGAAATGACCGAACCGACCTCCGACGACGAGCTTCGAGATGACGAGCCCACGTCTGCCCCTCCAGACCAGTCCCCGGACAGTATCCTTCCGCGAGACCGTCAGAAGAGAACACACAGCTACAATTATGCCTACGAGAAGTCGATGAGCCAGACTGAGGCAAAGCTTTTCTATCAGAGACATCGGGCATCACTGGGCCAGGATGGAGACCCAAGTCACAGCCCCAACTTGTCCCACCTTCCTTCATCTCAACGGCCTGACGATACTGCGAGTGTCGCCTCCTTCAGAAGCAGCCAGGGCATCCCTTCATCTTTGAATCTGTACGATATGGGAAACAGCGTGCGAGATACAGCGAATGCTCCTCCATTTGGGAAAATACACGAAGCAAGCCTGTTGGCAGTTGAGCAGTCGGCTCGGAACCACGCTATCCCCGCTGGGTTCTTGCATGGGTACAAACCACATATCCCCGTCTTTCAAGGCGCCTTAGGGGCCGGAATAGGAGTCGCCCACGGAGCGGATGGCCTCTCCTCAGGGAATGATGCTATCACGGCCGAATTGGAGATTGTATGCCATAAGATTCACAATTTGTTGGAGCGCAGAAATAAGTACATGCAGCTTTCTCTGCAGATGCCGGGTTGCAATCCTAACGATACTCCTGATTGGCGTATCTACCCACCTCCTCCAGAGCCGGCCTGGGATAACGAAGCATCTAGTACTAATTTGATGGGCCAAGAGCAAGCAGCGGAGTCGACATCCCGTAAGAGACGCAAGATGGGACAGGATATTGGAGAAGACTTCCACATGGATGAGCTCATGCCCCTGCCTGGACAATCGCAGTTAACATTTCGGTTGGATTCCTCCAGTGTCTACCAAGTCTATGAGAGTTCCGAGTCAAAGGATCCATTAGTTCGCCTTCCATCTCTGAGAGATTTCTATGTGGATCTAGATGCTATCACTGACGTATCTACCGACGGGCCAGTGAAGTCATTCGCGTTTAGACGGTTGTCGTACCTCGAGGGGAAATTCCAGCTTCATACTTTGCTAAATGAGTATCAAGAACTGGCAGACAGTAAAAAGGTGCCGCACAGAGATTTCTATAACGTTAGAAAGGTGGACACCCACGTGCATCATTCAGCTTGTATGAACCAGAAGCACCTTCTGAGATTCATCAAAAGCAAAATGAAGAAATCGCCGGACGAGGTTGTTCTTTTCAGAGACGGAAAACACTTGACTTTGAAAGAAGTATTTGAAAGTATCAATCTGACTGCTTATGATCTCAGTATTGACACGCTTGATATGCACGTACGTATTTCGAATCCCCCATTTTATTATTGTAGTTTCTGATGTATTTTCATCCCAGGCCCACAAAGATTCCTTCCACCGCTTTGACAAGTTCAACTTGAAATACAACCCTGTGGGGGAGTCCCGTCTTCGTGAAATCTTCCTCAAGACAGACAATTATATCAAGGGTCGATATCTTGCTGAGATCACGAAGGAGGTTATTTCCGATTTAGAATCGAGTAAATACCAGATGGTCGAATGGCGAATCTCAATATATGGAAGGTCAATGGAGGAGTGGGACAAACTGGCTGCATGGGTTATCGACAACAAGTTATTCTCACCGAATGTTCGCTGGCTCATTCAAGTTCCTCGCCTTTATGACGTATACAAATCTAGCGGCATGATGCAGAATTTCGAGGAGGTTATCCAGAATGTTTTTCAGCCACTGTTTGAAGTGACGCAGGATCCCTCTAGTCATCCGAAACTACATATTTTCCTCCAACGTGTGATCGGATTTGACAGTGTTGATGACGAAAGCAAGGCAGAACGTCGGATTTATAGAAAGTACCCGATACCCAGAGACTGGAATACAACCCAGAACCCTCCTTACAGTTACTGGATCTATTTCATGTTCGCAAACATATCGTCACTCAATATCTGGAGGCAGCAGCGTGGCTTCAATACATTTGTCTTACGGCCTCATTGTGGCGAGGCAGGAGACCCAGATCATCTTGCTGCTGGTTTTCTGGCTTGTCACAGTATTAGCCACGGAATACACCTCAAGAAGGTCCCCTTGTTGCAATACCTCTATTACGTCGATCAAGTAGGCATTGCTATGTCGCCTTTGAGCAACAATGCCTTGTTTTTGACATACGACAAGAACCCGTTCGCAAGCTTCTTTAGAAAAGGCTTGAACGTTTCTCTTTCAACAGATGATCCCCTCCAATTCGCTTTTACCAAAGAGCCTCTTATGGAAGAATACGCCGTTGCAGCACAGATATACAAGCTTAGTGCCGTGGACATGTGCGAATTGGCTAGAAACTCCGTCCTCCAGAGCGGCTTCGAGCTAGCTTTAAAACAAAGATGGCTCGGTTCTCAGTGCTACTTGCCTGGTGTTTCCGGAAATAACGTAGGCAAGAGCAATGTACCCGATCTCAGGGAGGCATTCAGACACGAAACCCACCTCGGTGAACTAGCTTTGTAAGTTTCCCGTCTTCCATTAGCCTTGATATTTAGGGCACTTGCTAATTTGACCTTAGGATTGAAAGGTACGCATTTGCAGGCGGCTCATCAGCAAACACAAGCTCAGTTCAAGGGTTCACAATGTCCCCCTCCCGTCAAGATTCCCCTCTCCAGTCTCACACATCCCAAACCCAAAGCCAGTCTCCAGTCCTGCATGCTACTAGTCTCAAGGGAAACTGGGTTTCCATGCAGCCTGACTCGCAATTAGTGCCGTCCGACCTGGTTGGTTCTGGTAGCTTACCAGAACAGAGAATCATACCTGGACTGGTCGCAGCGACCAAGACGACTAAAACAGCGCCTCCCAAATAACACCAACCATTAACGCTATCTCCCTGGCATTTATATTATAGACTTCGATGTTTATTCAAATAATAATCACACTAAATATCTTTATATTTTTCCATTTAAGTCCGGATACGCAGACTTCGCCTTCAGCAATCCATTTGTATGCTTCAATTATTTGAATAACCTTAAAATATGGCTTGAACGCCTTTCTCTTAGGGTTAGGGTACGGTCATGTTTGCAGGCTCCACCTTCACCCATGTCCTTCGAGGCTACTTCCCCCCGTGCCTTGTCGGAAGGTGGCTTGATTTCTCCTTCTTCCACCATTCTTCTACTCTGATGCATGAGGCTCATCTAGTTCAAGACTTCTGGCACTCTAGAGACCCCCAAAAATGTCGGTTGTATCGACATCTTCACGAGCACCCCTTCAATACAAAGTTACCAGGCAGAATCTACATTGGAGCGTCGCGTTTCTACTTGTCAACCTCGAGGGCGGCGTGACAAAACGAAAGATGCAAAACTTCTGCCTTTCTCTCTCAGCCATCAGCACCACCAATTTGTTCTCCCTTGTCCATCAGGACTCTCATCAACACATCTACTCAATGACTCATCAACTCAACAATCTACTCGACTCTCCTCTATACTTTGCACATCGGTGGCCTAACTTGACCCGACCAGCCAGAAACCAATTTGTCCCGCGGAAGAATGTTCAACGATACCACTATAGAGGAGACCTCTGTGGGTAGTACCCATTATCACCATCAAGGGTATATCTATATCTATGCCATCTATATGTATGTTTTGACACAGGAATTCCAAAAATCAGGAAAGAAGAATTAGAAGAGTGAGATGTAGATTCTGCATCTCACGTTCCTCTGGGCAGCAAAAATATATTCAAAGACAGGACAGCAGAAAAGTAGAGTGAAAATACAGCTAAAGAAATGCATGCATACCCTAAGTCACTACTTAATTTCAAATAGAATAGAATACTTACTGGCCGGGACCAGTGGTAGATATGTATTATAGCATGGCTGTGGCCATTGAGCAAGAATGGTGGAAACCCACAGAATATTGAGATTGAAATGAAAATACATACAATTCATGATGTGTAAAATGTTGGACAGAATCTGGCTGATGCAACAATCCGATTGGTAGATCGATCATTTTCCTACTTATAACATGTGTTGACCCTACATGTAGCCTACTACAACTAGTGAAGGATTCTACATATTTAAGAACTAGTTTTAATTCACAAGTGGATATCATAGTAATAATTAGCTGAAGATATCAAGAATATGCTGGGTATGAAAGGTGTATGGTGCTTAGACGGTTAGGTCGGAAACGCAAGAACTATACATATATATGCACGTAGCGCATTAGTGCTCTATAACCTTAGGGTTAATAGGTATCCAATCGACATCCACCATCAAAACGTCAAAAAACCTATTGTTAACCTAATAATCACCCAGTCTAATTATTTGTGTATTGTTCCCAATGATTCACTGTACATGGATTGTTGAACTGTGGCCAGGGTTCCAAGTACTTCATTGGAGTGATGAGAGCCATGGAAGCTCAGTGTTCTGGAGATACGAGCCAGGTACGAAGGCCCTCAGGATCGCGGCAGTGAAATTTGATACCAGCAGACCACGGAATGGCTTGAGCCTCAGTGGGCGTCGCAGTGTCTTGAAGGGCATCCATTTCGAGTGAGCACTCACGCTCAGCACGGAAGGGAGGGAAGACGAGCCTCTTCTCCTCCTCTCCAAGAGGTTGTCGCTCCCAGGTGAAGAAATGCAAGAGAAGCACAAGAGTTGAGTAGAGGCCGCGGTTGGCCACTATCATCGTGCGTTAGTTGACCATAGGACGCATCTAATATTAACTTGCGAAGCAACTTACCATCGATCCCAGGACAGGCACGGCGGCCAGCGCCGTACGTTAAGTGCGGGGTGCCGAGCTTATCCCTACCCTCACCAAGCAGATCGGTGCGACCTTTGCGTCCGCCCAGCCACCGTTCTGGGAGGAATTCGTTTGGTCGATCGAAGGCGGTGGGATCGCGGTTGGCACCGAACAGATTCATGATGACCAGCTGAACAGGCAAAGTTAGATTTATCGCAAGGATGCGAATCGATTGCAGCCTGAATATAGACGTACCGTGCCCTTGGGAATGATGTGGCCCATATAACTGGCGCCATCGAGGGTCTGGCGGGGGAAACCGAGACGAACCGGCGTGAACATACGGGAACCCTCCTGTATTTTCCTGCAGTCAGCAACGGTGGTCAACAATATAGAGAATAGAGTTGCGAACGGTATGCAGAGCCTTGACGTATCCGACGCGGTCGAATTCGTGGGGCCTAGGTGGTTCGCCGTTGTACACCTCACGAATAGCCTCAAAGCCATTCTGCTGCAAGTCAGGTCTGTTGGCGAGGTATCCCACGATCCAAGTGAGCGAGTAGCCGAGATTGATGCCAGCTGCGACTGCTGACAAGCGGTCATTAGACGATATGACTGAAAATAGCAAAGACAGATGACATACTGCCGGTGTAAGAAGCCAAGAGGACCTCTTCATTGGTCAGGAGACCTTGACGAAGAATATTTCCCAGGATGGAGGGAGTCTCGTCGCCAGATGCTAAGCGGTCCTTCAGGTCGCCAAGCATCTTGTCAATGTAGACTTGCTGCTTCCTGCGATACTCGAGGGCATTTTGCGCCTTCTCGTCGACAGCCCACTTCTTAATACGCAAAAGTTTGCTGGCAATGTAGCGAGCCCGGCCGGCGGCGCGCAAGACAGGGATGTAGTCGCGAAAGGGTGAGCCGATGGTGCGCTGACGGACTAAATTGGAGCGTGAGTCCAAAACATGCTTTAGAGCAAAAACGTCTAATCAATAGTGTACTAACAGATGTTGGTCTCGTTCTCGGCGAGCATTCCCACCGCGTCGTCATCAAGGGTTTGACCCATGAGCTGCTCGGAGACCTGGCCGGTGCCAAAACGATGAAGCCTATCGGCAACGTCGACTGCGGGACCCTGGCTAATATCGAGTAAGTCACCGAGAAGCTGCTTGAGCTTCGGGTGAATGACGGTATTGTAGATGGGAAGGATACGAGGCGCAGTCTGGACAGAAAATGCTTTGCGAGTGCGGACGAGGCTATCGCTGAAGGGGGATGCTGTGGAGAGCCATAGCTGAGCCTACAGTTCAAGCACACAGAACTATACCAAAACTTACTGCCGATAGTCCAGATACCAGAGGACGCATAATCACTGTGATAGAGCTTGAAGGTGGGACGCGACTGATAAGCTGGACCCTGCTGGACGACCGTTTGCGCGAGAGCCTTGTGGCTATTTATGAACACCTGCGAAGCACCGCATCAATTTCTATGTCTTTCAGTCATGTCACCACATGGAGAACATACCGCCTCACGTTCACCAAGGGAGACACGGATCACATCACCATACTTTTTGGTCCACTGGGCGAGCTTTTGGATGTGGCCGCTTTCCAACTAGACACAACGATTAGATGAATCAAGACCAGGCTTTCATATACAACTCACGTGGGTAAGGCTCCCGACGAGAGGGAGGCCAGGAGGGCCAGGAAGCGTAATAGTATGAGGGGCTCCGCCGAGTATGCTGTCAAGAAACCAGACAGTACGCTGAAGAGCTTTGCGTCCATCATCAAATACGGTAAGGATGACAGCAGCGAGGGCAATTGCAGCAAGCGTATAGACAATGGAAGGCTCTCTGATACTAGTGGCGACGGGTAAGTCATCCTCAGTCTTAGCACAAGTCGCGGTTGATTTAAAAGAGGCGCTCATGTCGGGTGAATATGAGTTGTGATTGAGAAAGCTGCTGCGTAAAGTGGCGACCTCCTATACACTGGTGCAGCAGAAATGTGTATTAAATACGGAATTCCTCTAGCAAGAACAGACCGGGGCCAGGAATACCGATGGAGCCATCTTCATCTCCACTCGGTATTACATGCGATCTCTATTAATCATCTGCATATATGTTGGTTGTTGCGAACGATTATTGCAAAAAATTCGGGAACCAGGTACATGGCGCGATCTTTCACTCTAAGGATAATGCAGCAGCCTGGTATAACACACTACACATTGTAGGATCTACAAACATACCGGGTCATATATTGATTCGGTCACTATAGTTGCATAAAGGCTGTATTTTATTCTGACATCTATGCTACAAAATGCACCTGAAATCGCAACAGCAGAGGAGGACAGATCCCAACAAATTGTGGGTACTCAGAGGTAATGGACCGGAGAGACCATCCATTGATGTTGATTATCTATACACATGTAGCACTATGCTCGTCCCCAAACGAATATAGATACATCATTCTCTTATATAGTAGACTCCCAGCATTAGATAACAGTCTAAACAGCAACGTGGTGATTGCCTACGCAGTTAATCACAACACCCGCAACTTCCGATATTATGCAATGGACATAGACAACATGGCTCCGAGTCTAGAGGGCCTGCGCTGGGCGATTTTGAGAAAGTCGAAACGCGGGTTGTGTTCTCTGAGGCCAAAACCACTGTGTCTCCGAGCACTCCGGAAGGAAAAGGAAAAGGAAAAGGATCCGGAGCCGAATCACGCCCTTTGGACGCTCTAGGATTAGGGGTTCCACAAACAGTGCACATAGAGGAAACTTGTGATATGTATTATTTTATGGAGATTCTGGCTCCTTTTGGGTAATTTTTTAGAACTGGTAGCAAATACCAACAGATGTATTAGTACTATAGAGAAATCTAGTTTTTAAAACATGTAAAAGTATTATCTTTATGTGGCGGTGTTAAGCTGCAAAATTATTCATCTGGTGACCACCAAATGGAGCGGGCGTCAGGTGGCTAAACGTATTAAGCGTCACAAAATCCTTAATAGGTTTCTGCAAATATGCTCTTCGCCCCTAACTTTGGTCCATCGGCCATTAAGACGGCACACATTGTAGTTAGACCAGCTAAGAGGCCACAGCCACCTCCGATTCCTGCACCCACAAGAAGTGGTCTTTCAGGCGACTGCGTGTCATCCATCGCTCTCGACACAGCTCTAACTTCAATTGAATCTCCAACAGGTGTACCGGTGCCGTGTGTTTCCAAGTACACCGTCTTGTTGGGATCGAGATATGCCCTTTTATAGGCGTGTCGAATGACCTTTTCCTGACCGCCGACGTTAGGGAAAGTGATTCCATATCCTGAAACCTTACAGTTGGTATTGCAGGAAGAGGAGCGGATCACGGAAAGAATGACATCGCGGTCGTGGACATCGTCGACATGCTGTCCACAACGTATCAGAAATCTTGAAACACACAAAAGCATAGATATAACTGACAGCATTACGTACACATCCCACAGATGGCAATAGGCTTCAGTTTGACATCCTCATGGGCAAGGGGTACTGGCATTTCGAGGTAGGGCATGATGAAAACAATTCAGTTGATATGTTTGGATTGTCTTCGATCTGACTTGAGTGCTAGGTTAAAGGGTCTCTATTCAGTTATCTTGCCCTATGGCGAGCAGACGTGGCCCCATATCGTGATTTCTTATAATAACTCCATTTCGGGTCGCAGTTGCCAATCCTTGAGGAGAACTAACAATCGGAAGTATTTCGCGTAGGTTGCTATACACTGCTGTGTCCTGATCTGCGGCGCGAGTGACATCGTTAATCGTTCTCTAACCTCAATTCGGGTACCGTGCCGGGCAAAGAATGCCGCGAAGCATTTTCATAGGAGTAAGCACCGTTCAAAGTAAGGTAGAGAGACCTGCATGTTGTAGGTGGGAGTAGGCGAGGTAAGACTCGGGCTTCGGTGGCTCGGGCGATCTTCGGCCGCCCCTGTCTGTGGATCTTATACATTGACCAATCACATAACAAAGCCAGAATTAAAAGACCATCACGATCAAGTTTGTGAAGAAATGATGCTTGTACCTGTCAATTGCGCTTTCGGGAAGCAGGTATCAGTATGAGTTCTAAGTACGACGCAATTTTCGTAGGAGGCGGAGTCGCCGGCTCGGTCGCTGCCGCTCGACTAGGCGAAGATGGAGTCAAAAGATTCTTGTAATCGAGACCAGTATAGGACCAAAGAAAGAACAGTTCCAGGATTAATTATGTAACCCACGACACTTAACACGAATACCAGAGCGGTGCTGAGCATGGGATCCCAACCTCCTACGCGAGGGTATATAAACTCAATGGCGCGGATGCCCCATATAGCTGTGATTATAACAAACAGGATGAAATCTGATTGCAAGAAGAAATGAACCTCTGGGGCCACCATGACTGACTTGGAATAATCAGTGCCTAGCATATACCCAAAATTTGGGACAAAGACCTTCACAAGCGAGACACCTGGATCGTCAGACCGCAGGATTACACCTATGGAGGCTGGATGGACAAGCGCCGAGAAGGAACCAAAAAGGGCATACGTCCCCTGAACACATGGCATGCTCACGAATTTAACCGTCATAACAAGAAATCAATTGGTGCTGGACGCGAAATGTTCTGAATAATTTGCATTGGATTGAGGAAGCTGTGAGCACGCTTCTTTTTCAGTGACTGGAGTAGATATCTAGAACATTCAGAACAGTGATGATACATGTACCTCCCGATTTTGCAGCCAAATATCGTGCCTATCTCGTTCTTAGGATTAAGATGAACGGTTTCTCAGCCGAGTGCCCGACTTATTGCGACATGGAAGTACCTCAAAGTATAGGGTAGGTAAAAAAATAACAGAAGCTGCAAAACAATGCAATTTCATCTCTCTATCGTGACCTTCAATCGTCCAGAAAGCATCACTCTTCGGTTCTGTTTTTGAATTCAGGACCAGTCATGGCGGACATCTTTCGAGATTCGACATGTAGCCAAATATTGGGAGTGCTCTTCAAGGGACGCCTACTCTACGTCGACGAGCGACAATATTGCCAAGTCCCTTCGTTCGAAGAAAAGCCCTCGGAGAGAGTCAGTCATGGTGATATCTCTACAAGTGGTGCAGAGAGAGGGAGTGAATCAAGCGAGACTCAAGTGCTGCCGAAAATAGCAGTTGTTGGCTGGTACGGCAGTGATGATCCAGACAATCCACAGAATTGGAGAATTGGCCCACCCGGAAAGAGGTCTTTGTTTTCGCTTTAATTACTCTTTTGATCTTCTCTGGTGAGTGTATCCCTTTATCCAGTAAGAGTTGAGCTCGATGATCATTGTCTTAGTCCTCTTATCATCACTCCTGCCAACACAATCATGGTGGAAATGTATGGAGTGTCCACACAAGTTGTCTCTTTGTCGTTGTCTATGTGCGTCTTGGGATATGGGGTAGCATCATTGTTCTTCAGCCCCATATCTGAGATGCCACACACACTGGGCGTAATTTACGCTACATGACATCCTTTTTCCTATTCCTGATGGTTACGATTCCTGCGGCCACCACAAACAGCTTTCCTGGCTTATTATCTGTCGTTTCCTACAGGATTTGATAGGAGCTCCCGTATCGCCACCGGGGGTGCTTCCGCCACGGATCTCTACGGCTTTCATAAGGTTACCTTACGCAATGACCGCCTGGAGTGCCGGTGCCTTCGCATGGTCAGCACTGGGCTAGTATTTCATCGTTTGGCTACGGCGGCACAAACGCGCACATTATTGTGGAGAACTTTGAGACCTTAGTTCCTAACTACAAGCACGGAAGACTCAAGAAACGAGAGCCAGGGTTTGAAATCGACTCCAAGGTGCGGAATGCCCGACCACTGCTACTTACAATGTTGGCTTACGATAAAACGACTTTGATCAACAACATCAAAGCGCATGCGGCTATTGTCGACCAGTACTATCTACGTGAGTTTATACACGCATGAGCAGCAAGCGTAGCATGATGAGCACCAAATACACGACCCGAATGTGGCTCAGGCACAGTGACCACACACCTCGGTCGCTGGCTGAGTAGAACAGTTTCACGTGGCTTTCATATCTGCAATGTGCTTGTCACTCAGGTGTCCAGCTGCATGCTGAGTAAGCGGCGGGAATGTCTATTAACTTTCTTCAGACAAGACAATCATATAATATGTGTAAAGAGGTACGGTGGTGTAGTATAGATCTCGGATGGTCATCCGGCTCCACTTAAACTGCCTTAGCGGGGCGCTTACGCTTCGGGGCTAGCACTCAAGCTTTATTTTACAAGCCAAAACGACCATTGAATATTATATAACGAGAAACTACCTCCTCTCCCAAAGAAACATTCGGACAATTATTATTTTTGCTATATAAATACCGTCGATGCTGTCACACTCTTTCTTACCGAGCATTTTCCTATGATCGGCTCATATCCAAGGGTATGCTTCAAGCCTGACTTCAAGCCGACCGCGAGCCTCGCGAGGTCTAAACCTACAAGACAGTCAACTACAAATTCTCGCTATAATCATGCCCTTGACCCCCAACCAAGCTAATCCCAGCTCCGGCGACGCCGATGATGACTACATGTCCATGGTCATCGAGGAGCCGCGGGGCAAGGAGACCTGGACGCAGCGCAAACTCCGGCAGCAGCGCGAGGTCAGTCTCACCCAACCACCTTACCTACTCTCTATCATGTGTGCATGACTGATCTACCTGACTCTAGGCCGAAGCGAGAGCACGAGTCCCGTCCAAAGCCGAGCGCGCCGCTGCCGAAGAAGCGCGCCGCGAAGAAGCCCTCTCCTCGAGCGTCCTCGACCCGTCTAATAAAGGCTTCAAGATGATGGCCAAGCTCGGATTCAAGCCCGGAGATAGCCTCGGTAAACAGTCTTCGACGACAGAAAGTGTGACGACGCGCGTCGACGAAACTGCAGGAGCGGGCGCAGAAGGCTCTGCGGCTTCGACGGTGACGGCGAGCGACTGGGTCCAATCACGCGCCGAACCCCTGCGCCTCGTGGTCAAGGACGATCGCGGAGGAATTGGACTTGAGAGTGAGAAGAAGCGGAAATTCCGCGAGGAGGTGGTGGACGTATCGAAGAAGGCAAAGGCGGAAGAAGGGGAATATCGAGATCGAATGCGGCTGGAGCGAGAGGAGCGGCGAGTCGAGGCACAGGTTCACGCTGCTCAAAAGGTGGCGGAGAAACTAGACACAGAGGCGGAAGAATATGCGCAAGATACAGTGGAACGAGATGATGGGGAGGGTGGTGGCCAGTCGAGTAAGAAAAAGCCAGTCAATATGAAGCCCACGTCGCAGATAAACATCCTCTACCGTGGGCTTGTACGGGAACGCCAAGAAAGAGAGCGCGAACGACTGGTCCGACAAGCCCTGGAGACGTCTCTACCTTCCTCCTTCTTCCCCAAGCCTCGATTACCAGGTACCCGAGAGGAGGAAAGCGAGGATCAAGACGACGAGCACGCCACAGGACCGCAGCAGTCGCGTGATCTATCCTATTTCGAGGAAGAGCAGGATGAGGAAGACCCCGAGCTCGACGAATTCAATGCCTTAGAGGCCACAGAAAAACTTCACAGACTAGTCATGTTCATGCGAGACAAATTCCAGTACTGCTTTTGGTGCAAGTATCGATATGAGGACGATAAGATGGAGGGATGCCCAGGGATTACAGAGGAAGATCACGACTGATCTTGATCGAAATGTGTCTGTACTATATATTCCAAGGATGCAAAGCGCCAGCTTTGGTCGGGCATTTCGCATGGCGATTGAAGTCGTCATAGACTGAAAGAACGTCTGCGTACGGGATATTAGAATTTGTTGCATATAATATCCTGAAAAGGATAAATCTTGGTATTCATCCACCCATTGCCGTTGAATTGAGCTTGGTCTATGAGGAATATCATGATATTGATACAGACCTCAGCATCGACATGGACTAGTTGGTATCGATTGTCAACGAGACCAAACAAAAACAGCGGAGATATCTGCTTGGGTCAATTTCCTAGCTATATGCTGACTACGGAATTGATCAATCTGATGTTGGTACATTTATAAAATGGAATTTCGACTCTGATAGAAGGTCGTGTATAGATCCCTTGAATAATGTATGAAGGAAATCTTGTGAAATATAGAATAGAAACAGAAGCCATTCGATGATCTTAATGTTAATTGATATAGTAATGTTATTCTCAATCAAATGCAAGTATAGGGAACTGAAATATTGGAAACATGCATAATAACGTTCAACTACATTAGGGGTATAAATAGCAGGATAATAAAACCATCGCCAATAATTCATTAAAAAAAGATATCCCGCCGGGCTCAACCGAAATGATAAGACATAAATATTCTTATAATTATTGATCACCACTGAAACGCCCAGCTAAAATGAAGATTGACAAAAATTGATAAAGGCTGGATAAGATGAAGGTTGTAATCAATGCTCAGGAAGAGTCGCAATCAGCTCTTTCAAAGAACGGTTCTTGCACTTCTGAAGCGACTCAAAACACGACGCGCAGATGCGCACGCAGCAGAAAGAGCATCGGTGGCGAATCTCCTGATCGAGTTTTCTGCACGTCATGCACGCGGTTGCATACCAGACATTATTCGAGATGAGCATAAGGCGATGCGACTGATAGCAGTCGTAATGGGTTCGGGTCAACGGAGGAATGACAGTTGGTTCTGGTAGAGGTGGAATGTAACTGTTGCGGCTCTCCGGTGTTTGTTTCCCATTGCCGTCAAAGGTGCCATTGGAGGATGGCGCTGAAGATGTATTGCTGATAGATGTTGGACGCTCCGATTGTTGATACTCCGGCTCCGGCTCAGGATCTGGAATGAATTGCGAGATTGAAGGCGCCTCACTCACTGGCCGAATTGCAGGACGAGGCGTGGCATGTTGCGGCGGTTGGAGACTGTTAGCTGGTCTAACCGGCGGCGGGTTCTCTAACCGTGGACTCAACGATGAGCCTCGCGGAGGTCGTACCGCTTGGGGTTGAGCCTGGGGTTGAGGGGGCGACACGATATGAGGAAGCGGGGGAGGTTGTGGAGGTAATTGAGGAAGATCTTTACGATCTTGGGATGGTGTGCTAATATCTGGACCCGTTGGTGCGGATGTTGTAATATGAATGTTTGGGCTATTATTGACAGCCTTTCTTGCCAGCACGTTCTCATTCGGTCGCGACGGCAAACCCTTGTTTTGGTGGAGGACGGAAGCTCCAGGACGGCGCAGGCCCTGGAATCGCTCGGTCAGCGCGACCATTGTTGGCGACTGTGCTATATGAGGCTGCAGTATTGCGGCGGGACTCGGCTAGCAAACCGCTGGCAATGACAGATCTGATAGTTTCTCAGGAGGATCTGCAGGCTTCCGATGCGGATCCGAAGCGTTGGGACGGCGATAAGGGTCAGTTCAGGTGTGTTATCAGACAGCGCAGGAGTATGTAGGTGGCTTCGAAATCAACCCAAGTACGGCTGATGGAGAGGAGCAGCCAGGTTGTTGATCAAGGAATAGTTAGAGGGGAGGCCGCGAGATTAAAAGAAACCAGTGCTGCACGCGTATCCGGGCTGATTGGCGGGCGATGTGATGTAACCAGCGGCTGAGCTGGAGCATCAGGCATCAGGCAGTTCGGCATTTCCACTCCTATTTTAATCGTTTTTCTTTCTTGGCCTAGTTGAACGCTAGATCCAAGTCCATTGTCAAAGGCTCAAACCTTGAAGGCTGATCGCAGCCAATGGTCAAGAGCCGTGGTGTACCCCCAACGGTTCTCCAAGCGCCGAGGATCCTCAGAATCGAGATCCTCAGATCCCGTCTGATCTGGTCGAGTGGACGAGCATTTCCAGCCCGATTCGAGTCCGTAACAGGGTAACCTGTAGTATGATCATACTATTTTAGTGGTTTTGTCGCGAAAACTCTGAGTGTGGTGGAGGGGCAGCGCTGTCCGTGCAATTTTACTTCTTGCAATTAATTAGTTAGGGGCGATCTCCACCGCGCACTTGCCTCTGCTAGCACGCTCCTTCCCGGACTCTCCGGCCTGCACCTGCACCTGCCGTCGCTTGTTGGCCACACCTACCATTACGATCCACTACAAAATTACCTACTAACTATCTACTACCGCGTACTGTTATCAGCCGTCTAATTGCGATGTGCTCTTTTCCAGTATTTTCCTCCTGCTTCCCTGCAGGCTGAACTACACTTCGTATTGCATCACCGAGCAATTTCAAAGCCGTTGGTCCAATCAGTGGCTAGTGCCTGGTCAACCAACCCGCGGTTCAGGGGTACCAAAGATTAATCCGGCCGCCGTCCAGACCATGAAGTTTGAACTGTGAAGAACACATCTCCCACGTTACACAATCTGATGTTCTTTCCGTGATTGACCGCCTGTCCGAGTCCAATAATTCCTCCACGCTTATTGACGACGCGTGCCTGTCCTGCCAGGTGGCAGCGCACTGATTCATCTCGTTCGCCAGGAACAACAATAACGACCTGTCCCACGGCCCTAAGCCTAAATCTGTGAGGGAGATCGGATCCGCAACGCCTCGCGCGCCAATCGTGCCGGGCTAGCATCCCAGATCCGCGTCCTGAATGGCCCTAGGCCTGTGGCTTATGCGTTGTCCACTGAGCACTGTTCGGCTTAGCTGTGGCTCGCTCGCTTGAAATTGCACAGGACAGCAGCCGTGCAATCCATCTGCAGAGAGTGATCTATTCCCCCCAAAATTGATAATTTCGCTGCATGTCTACCGTGCAATAAGAACTAGATGCAAAATCACATCAGAGGTGCATGAACACTCTTAATATTGATAACATTAATACTATGGATTATTATTGTAAAAAATTGTAGAATCTGTTGCGATCTCCAATTTTCAACGGTTCTGATTACATAAGGCTACGATCCTCAATCGGGGAAATCGTCAACAACGGGCAGAGTAGAACAAAACATAGACCGCCATGTCAACCGACAATAATATCCCACCCTCGGCGAAACCGCTACTACCCTACATTCGAAGTCGCCAGGAAGTTCATCGAATCCGCCAAACCTTGACCCTCTACTTACAATCTCACATCGTCTCCGCCTGCGACGATGAGGTCACCACCCCCGCAAACACTAATGACACTTCGCACGTCTCGCTCGGCGTCCCAATCGACCCTTCCGCCAGTGTGAAGCGAGTCCCATCCAATCTAACCGGCGTGAGGAAAGAATACCTGAAAGCCTTACAGGAAAACGCTGCTGCGAGGAGAGAGTACGACGAGCTCTCCAACCGTATTGCCTTCAGAAGACCTCCAGCACAGGACAACCTTACTTCGACAAAAGGCCATGATACCCCGCCGCTGCACGACTACTTATCCTCCATTCGAGAAGACCGACGGTACGAAAAGTTACGTCTCTTCGACAATTCTCTGAAAAGGCTTACTGGAGCCACCAAGCCGGATGGCTATGTCGCGGACGAAGAACAGCAAAATACCCTGCTCGATCAAGAAAAGCTCGAAAGTTTTTGGAACGGGCTGGGGTCGAGTCGAGAATCAAACGAAGGAGTCCAAGCTCTGATATCGAAGCTGGAAAGAACGGTGCTCCGTGCCAAAGCAAAATTGGCCAGAGAACAGAATTTGCTGAAAGAATTGAAGGCACGGCAGCTTTCCGAAGACGTCTCAAATAATCCATCGCGAAGAGTTATTGCACTTCAGTGTGTGCGAGATGAGCTGGTACAATGGGTAGAAGAAAAACTGGTCACGGCTAATTCGGGCGAGGCGGCTGAGTTTGGAGAATCGCCAAAAAAAAATACAGCTTCTTCGCAAGCCGTTGAAGAACGCAAGGGAGAAATTCGAGAGCAGTATGCAAAATATCTCCAGGAGCGCAGGTTACTACTCGAGGCATTGTCGCTTGTATCTCAGCCTACAAAGAGCACCACGCCAGCTGCAGAAAGGTGTCCTAAGGGACCGTCAGAACCCGTTGTTACTAATACAGCCGTCTGGAATTCAATAGACTTATTTGGGCCTGCATCTGAATTACTCCTTCCTGGGTCCACGGTTCAGAGATCCTTGGCTTTGCAGCGGTCATATCTAACTGGCTTATTGTCCAAAGAGAAAACAAATCTCAAACAGGCCTTGGAGCGCCTAAGCCACGAGAGCCATCTCCTGCCAGAATACCCTATTCTAGCACGCCATTCCAAATTCAAGCATATCAGCAACAATGCTGGAGGCCGGACCGACCGTACAGAAGGAGACCAAACCGACGAACTGTTGCAGAAAGCCCAGGCTTGGGCGTTTGCGTCCGAAGCGGCGAGCACCCATGAAGGTGATTATGTGGAACAGAGGATCGAGCATGGATTAGACATGAGTGAGAGTGCCTCTAGGACTCTGCAGCAGGTGTACGGCTTGCTGAACCAAGAGAACAATGCGGCTGCTGAGGATACGGCTTTGGACGAAGGCAATGAGACTGATATTTGGGTCGGCGAAGTCGAGTCACATCGGCCACGCCGGAGACGTCAAAAGAATGATCAGCAACCTGGAAACCCGTGGGCACGATTGAATGGAAACGTTGGATTTTCTGAAGGCTGAGTAGGAGTTAGATATTATGTTGCTCATATACTATTAATTATACCCATCCGCATTTCATCCAATTATCTCATCTCATTGCCTACAAACAAGCAGTAGGAAGATATGTATATGTTTTCAAACAGTCTTTTAACGTACTATTGATGATAAAATCCATGCACACTATAGAATTGACATCCTTTAGATCATAGTGAAGAATATTACGGCCAACCCCGCTGATTGGCCAGCGGCTTCCCCAGAGCTCCTTCCATGTTACATTGTCGGCAGCATGATCAAGTACATATCATGTCTTATATACTATATATTATATTCTATTTCCTATATCCTAGCAATACAGCGAGTCTGACAGGCCGGAACATCACAGTGCTTCTGCAGAGATAACAGGGCCAGGGGACGCGCTAAAGTCTTCCTGGAGCGCAAAAAATTTGGGGAATTTTTTCTTAGGGTCCGCACACCGGAGCTCTTATCGGAGGCTGAGCGGGCTCTTATCCTCTGCTGCTAACAAATCTTTCCCCATTGACTCATCCATCCTTTTTCACTTCATAGAGAACTCCATCTCTTCCTGTTCTCTCCTCCCCTCCTCTTCATTCGGTTCATCTACGCCACAATCCCAGCCGTGGACGTGGAGCGAGCGCGAGGAGAAAGGGCAATTAGGATATTCCCTCCGGATCAGGATTCTTTTCGCCAGCCACCGGCATTCGCGTGAGCTCAATTGACAATTGACCCTCGGTCTCCACTCAAAACTGCGACGGAAAGTTTCTCGTAGTTTGCGCCTTGCGCAATGGCTCTTTCTGCTCGCTGTGGGCAGCAGGCTGCCTCTTTGTTGCGGCAACGATGCCTGGTTGAATCTCGCCCAGTTGCTCTCCGCTCCTTTTCAACGTTCAATGCCTCGCGATCAGCTGCTTCGAGCCTCCGGCTAAAACAGCAGACTGCCTCGGTGCTGCACTCGCAGCAATTGCGGCTGTTTTCTAGCTGCTTGCACCGATTAGCCACCGAGCCCCAGGCTGCTCCCTCCGCCCACTCCTATCTCGCCAGCGGAGCCATCAAAAACTCCGCTGATCTCGTCGATGTCAAGAAGGTTTTGGTGATTGGTAGTGGTGGTCTGAGCATTGGACAGGCTGGAGAGTTCGATTACTCTGGTATGTACACTGAACTTACTACCCGAAGCTGAATAGTCGTGACTCATGACTTTTCTCGACTATAGGATCCCAAGCATTGAAGGCTCTCAAGGAAGCCGGCGTGAAGTCCGTCCTGATCAATCCTAATATTGCTACCATTCAAACCGATCATAAATTGGCCGACCAAGTATATTACTTACCGGTTACCCCCGAGTACGTGACTCACGTGATCGAGCGAGAGCAACCCGATGGTATTTTCCTGAGCTTTGGCGGCCAGACTGCGCTCAATCTCGGTGTGCAGATGAATCGTATGGGAATCTTTGATCGGTATAAAGTCAAGGTTCTGGGAACCAGTGTCAGAACGCTCGAGACTAGTGAAGATCGTGATCTCTTTTCCAAGGCCTTGAACGAGATCGAGATTCCAATTGCTGAATCAATTGCTTGTAACACAGTGGATGAAGCATTGGACGCCGCCGATAAGATCGGATATCCCATCATTGTTCGTTCGGCTTATGCTCTTGGTGGTCTCGGCTCCGGTTTCGCTTCCAGCCGGGAAGAATTGAAGAATCTGTCTTCGCGATCTCTCAGTCTCGCGCCTCAAATTTTGGTCGAGAAGTCACTGAAGGGCTGGAAGGAAGTTGAGTATGAAGTGGTTCGTGATGCCAACAACAACTGCATTACAGTTTGCAACATGGAAAATTTTGATCCTCTTGGAATCCACACTGGAGACAGTATTGTCGTTGCTCCCAGTCAAACTCTTTCTGACGAGGAATACCATATGCTCCGTACTGCCGCTATTAAGATTGTACGTCATCTTGGCGTTGTCGGAGAGTGTAACGTCCAGTACGCCTTGCAACCAGATGGTTTAGACTACCGAGTTATCGAGGTCAATGCTCGTCTCTCTCGTTCTTCAGCATTGGCCTCCAAGGCAACTGGTTATCCTTTGGCCTACACTGCAGCCAAGATTGGTCTAGGTCACTCACTTCCTGAACTGCCAAATGCCGTCACCAAGACAACTACTGCCAACTTTGAACCTAGTTTGGATTACATTGTCACCAAGATCCCCCGCTGGGACTTGAGCAAGTTCCAGCATGTAAAGCGGGACATCGGAAGTGCCATGAAATCGGTCGGCGAGGTTATGGCTATCGGTCGTACTTTTGAGGAATCATTCCAAAAGGCCATTCGTCAGGTTGATCCTAGATTCGTTGGCTTCCAAGGGGACCATTTCGAGAACCTCGATGATACCCTTAAGAACCCTACGGACCGTCGTTGGTTGGCCGTCGGTCAAGCCATGATTCACGAGAACTATTCAGTTGACAAGGTGCATGAGCTCACTAAGATTGATAAGTGGTTCTTATACAAGCTTCAGAACATTGTGGACTGCCAGAACGAACTAAAGGAAATTGGTAGCCTTTTTGGCCTGAAGAAGGAGATGCTGATGAAGTCCAAGAAGCTTGGTTTCTCCGATAAGCAGATTGCCATGTGCGTTGGTTCAACAGAGGATGATGTTCGTGCTCGTCGTCTAAGCTTTGGCATTCGCCCTTGGGTCAAGAAAATTGATACTCTCGCTGCTGAATTCCCTGCCGATACAAACTACCTCTACACCACCTACAATGCTACCTCTCACGATGTGACTTTCGACGACCATGGTACTATTATTCTTGGTAGCGGTGTCTACCGAATTGGTAGCTCCGTCGAGTTTGATTGGTGTGCTGTCAATGCTACCCTGTCCTTGAGAAACATGGGTAAGAAGACGGTGATGATCAACTACAACCCAGAAACTTACTCGACCGATTTCGACACTGCTGATAAATTGTACTTCGAAGAACTCAGCTACGAACGTGTCATGGACATATATGAGCTTGAGAACGCCAGTGGCGTTGTCGTATCTGTCGGCGGTCAGCTGCCTCAGAACATCGCTCTTCGCTTGCAAGAGAAAGGTGGTGCTCACATCCTTGGTACTGACCCTGCCGATATCGACAAGGCTGAGGACCGTCACAAGTTCTCCCAGATCTTGGACAGCATTGGAGTTGACCAACCTGCTTGGAGTGAGCTTACTTCCGTGTCTGAAGCCGAGACCTTCGCAGAGAAGGTTGGATATCCCGTCCTTGTTCGGCCCAGTTACGTTCTTTCCGGTGCTGCTATGAGTGTTATCTACAGCCAGGATGAACTAAAGGAGAAGCTTCTCAATGCCAGCGCTGTCTCTCCCGATCACCCAGTTGTTATCACCAAATTCATTGAGGGTGCCCAAGAAATTGACGTTGATGCTGTTGGATCCAACGGAAAATTGATTCTGCACGCAGTCAGTGAGCACGTTGAAAATGCCGGAGTGCACTCTGGCGATGCCACTCTTGTCCTGCCTCCAGTATCGCTTGAGGAGCCTGTCATGGCCCGTGTCAAGGAGATCGCAGAGAAGGTTGCAAAGGCGTGGAACATCACCGGTCCTTTCAACATGCAAATCATCAAGGCCGACAACCCCGAAGGTGGCGAGCCATTCCTGAAGGTCATCGAATGCAATCTTCGTGCTTCTCGCTCTTACCCCTTCGTCAGCAAGGTTCTTGGCACCAACTTCATCGACGTCGCAACCAAGGCCCTTGTTGGCCGTGATGTTCCCGAACCGGTTGATCTTATGGCCCAAAAGCGCGACTATGTCGCTACCAAGGTTCCTCAATTCAGCTGGACTCGCCTTGCTGGTGCCGACCCCTTCCTTGGCGTCGAGATGGCCAGTACCGGTGAAATTGCCTGCTTTGGCAAAGATCTTATCGAGGCTTACTGGGCTTCCCTGCAGTCTACCATGAACTTCAGACTCCCAGAAGTTGGTGAGGGTCTTTTGTTCGGTGGTGACTACACCGACACCCTATCCCAGATCGTCGATTACTTGCAGCCCCTGAATTACAAATTCTACGCTGCCAGCCCCGAAGTCAAGGCTCAACTGGAAAGCAAATCTACGAACCCCGTCAACATCGAAGTCATCGAATTCCCCAAGGAAGACAAGCGAGCTCTACGTGAGGTATTCCAGAAATACGACATCCGTGGTGTCTTTAATCTCGCCAAACGCCGAGGCAAGACTCTTCTTGACGAGGACTATGTTATGAGACGAAACGCCGTCGATTTCGGTGTCCCTCTCTTTATGGAGCCTAAGGTGATTGATTACCAAGTTTCCCACAAGTATATATCAATACTAATATGAATATTTAGACCGCCCTTCTCTTCTCACAATGCATGAACGAGAAGCTCCCCCGCCCAGAAGGCATTCCATCCGAAGTCCGCAGCTGGTCTGACTTTGCTGGTACTACCATGATGTAAGGAAAGACAAGACAATTAATCGGCGACGTAAAAGATTATATCCATCACCACTCACCGCTCTCATTAGTCCATTATCTAACCATTTGATGTGAGAGGAAGAAAAAGTTTGTCCTATTGCAGTTTTTTTGCAATACAATTTCCTTCGGAATTACTCGTGTTTCTTGTGGAGGGAGTATAAAGGAGTCGGATAGCAGATAGTAGCGTAAATACTATATTTTTTGGTCTTCTGTCTGAATTAGCACGAGTTTGTGTTGTTAGTTTGTACCCGTAAGCTTCTTTGTTAGTTAATACCAAATATTTATTTAGCATATCTGAATTTTATTGGAATATTTCGGTATTATCAGTATATGTAGAACTTTGAATTTTATATGTTTATTGACCTGGATGTCTGCCCCACAAAAACTTGATGTCAACTTCACACATACTTTCAACACACACATCGCGCTAGTATGCTTTCATGTATTATCAGTTCTACATATACATGGATATCTGATTCTAATCATCAGCTCTAGGACTGAAATATAATTTGAAAACCCCCCTACAGAAAAATTAACGGTCATCTACCCGGTCGCAAGCACTATCTCGGAACTCGATGTCTACCATACACCCCCGACCTTCTTTTATTTAATTTACGCATCATATATGCCCTGAAATAAACCATCAGAATGTCTTCCAATACAGCAGAGCTACACATCAAGACAGTCACCCGTCCTACTGGCGATTCCATGGGCAATGGGCTATTCGCAACCGCTGACATCGAGAATGGCGGAGAGGTCCTACGAACCGACAAACCTTTTGTCATAGTCCTCGACACCCCTCGTTTACACGACACATGCGCCGGATGCTACGGCACCAGACAGCTCTTAAACCCAGAAACCGCATCGGCCGATTTAAAAGCTTGTACCCGTTGTAAAGTCGTTCGATATTGTAACAAGGTCCACCTGCAATTCCCCCAAGTATATAAAACCAACTTTATCGACTAACCCGTATCTCAGAGCTGTCAATTGAAAGATTGGAGATTCGCTCACTCGCTGGAATGCCCCATCTTCTCCAAATTGTACCCAAACATTATGCCGAACCACGCAAGAGCGGTGCTGAGGGTGATTCTTCGTCATCGCAGCAAGAAGTACAGTGATGACGAATTTCAGCGCTTTCTCGCCCTCGGTAGTCACCGGCAAGATATGCTGACGGGGTCACATAAGGACCGATGGGAGAATAATATCTTGCTGTCGGCAAAAGCTGTGAAGGAGTTTTCTGGCGTGGAGCTCAGTGAAGAGCAGATCGCGTTGTATATCGCAAGAGTAGGTTTTATGATGAGGTGTTCGGTGTACAGGCTAATAGAGGCATATAGCTCGATATCAATGCGTTTAATCTTGCCACGCCTTTTTATGACCGCATTGGTTTGTTCCTTCACCCCTACGCGGCCCTGATTAATCATAGCTGTGATTACAATGCAGTTGTTTCCTACGAAGCCGACAAGATCTTCATCAAGGCGTCCCGTCCTATCAAGAAGGACGAACAAATCTACGTTTCATACATCGACACGACATATTCCGTGAACACGCGCCGAAAAGAGCTCGCAGAACGGTATTTTTTCAACTGCAACTGCCCGAAATGCACGGAAGAGGAAAAAACCCCGGTTGGAGAGAGAGCATCTATTGAACACGCCGAGAACAAAACCAAGGAGCTCATTGAATCAGCTTCCAAACTAGAGGATTACGATGAGGCAGTCAAGAAATACGAACAGGGTATTAGGACCCTGCTGAGCACATTTGCATGTCCAATCACGAAGCAGCCATACGTATCTCTTCGCGACGAGCTCATTTTGGTTTTACTCTCAGCGCGACGGTTCGAAGAAGCTCTCGTTCATACCATGATACGCTACCTCAGAGTCGATCCATTCGTCTATCCGAACGAAAACAGCCCGGTGCGAAGACTACATGCGTGGACGTTGGCCAAACTAGGGGTTTACGTATCCGAGGAATCTGGACCGGGGAGACCAGATGGTCCATTCCGGAAATTCGGGATCAATACTGCTCTTATCACATGGGCGGCTCTTGTTTGGTTGGTCAGAGGCGAACGAGAAGCGTGCACTTCGCCGGGGTTTCAAACCGTTGTTAAAGAGCAGTATCAGCAGGTTAGTCGCTTGTTCATATCTGCTGGGTTTAAAGCGGACCAAATGGCGAGTTTGTTTGATGAGGAGTGGAAGAAGGTGGATGCACTTGCAGAGCATGTGTTGAAGCAAGAGCGTGAGAAGGGAAATGCTGCAATTACGATGTAGAGCGGATGCCACTTTAGCTTTGGCCATAATCTTGAATATGTTAGACGTTACGTCACGCTTGGACTTTGCAGCAGTATGATAATTCGAAGAAGAATGAGTGAAAGCGTCATCTAACCGTATCCTTACGCAAAGGAGGAGTGTTGTAATTAATCTTATATTTCTCTCGATCTGACAAACCGAAAGACTCTGATGACTTCAATTACTGAAAGTCAGGTTCATGCTTCTTTCATGCATCAGGTCCATTTCATTTCATGAGTATATGACATGAAAAACTAAGAAGCAAGCCAACAACCCATTCCATGTTTCCAGAACAAATGAAAAACAAGTCGACATACAAGCGCTCTGGTATTTTTGAATTTACTTAAGAGGAATGAAACGGGAAGAGTGGGTAGCACCGATACCGGGTCTACCGTGCTTGACGGGCTTGCTGTACGGTTGTTAGCGTCGAGATCATTTTTATTACTTCAGATCCGAGACAATGGAATAACGTACTATGAGATGGAGAACTCTCCCAGGTAGTGGCCAACCATCTCAGGCTTGATCTCAACCTGGTTGAACTCCTTGCCAGAGTAGATGCCGATGACGGAACCGATCATCTCAGGGACGACAATCATGTCACGGAGGTGCGTCTTGACGAGGTCGGGCTTCTCGTTGGGCTTGGCCTCCTGCTTGGCCTTGCGGAGCTTCTTGATAAGACCCATGGGCTTGCGCTTCAAGCCGCGGTTGAACCGACGGCGGGCACGGGCGTGAACGACATCACGGAGCTGCTCTGAGGAGAGGTCGAGAAGTCTGTTGTAAGGCGTTAAAACCATCCTTAACCGTATACATGCGATGAATTGAATATATCAAAACATAACATTCCAATCCATTTCCATCGTGATAAGAAAAGTGGTAAACGTACTGCTCAAGCTCGATACCCCGGTAGGAAAATTTGCGGAACTGGCGCTTCTTCTTGAGCTCTGTTAAGGATAATCGTATCAGTTATTGATCCATTCGCATCCATCTCAACCCTTCCACCCCAATAACCATCAAAAAATACATCGCCATTTCATAATTGGCAATTCTGGATATCGTAGACAGAGTCGAAGAGTTGGAAACACGTACCGGCAGCCTCCTCGGCGTTCTGTGCAAATAGGTATGTTAGTCTTTCTGTAGATACCATGTGCATCGCAGACTGCACGCTTTATAGCGACTTGAAAAGTGGGATGTAACTCACGTATTCCTGGTCAGCCATTTTCGCGGTTGGGTTTTTCCTCTGGGCGCTTTCCGACAGACGATTATCGAAAAGCGAAGGGGGAAAGGTTTGTCGAGGGCGCTGAAGTTCGTCGGTCGCGGGATCCTTTGCTGGCGGGCTTCAAGTTTGAAGGGTGGGTTTCCGGCTAAGCGACTGGTTTAGGTTATGAGCCCTATCATTATGCGCTAGGCTGTTTTTGGAAACAACATGAATCGGCATATCCTCCTTGTATCAGGCTGAATAAATTCGATTTATAGATTCTAGACTGCTATTTATTTCTAGTATTTAACATGGTTGACCGAGATTTGAGATTTACAGCTACTTAAATTTACAAGTTTACTCATTTGAATAGATCTTAATGCAGAAAAAGCTCCTGGATTGACAGGCTAGCTAGGTCACATAACGTATACGTATGATCGTAAATCCATTAAGATAAGCTGTAGATCGACAAATTCCTTGAATGCCGACAAGATCTGACCAGCTGAAGTATAACTCCATAATCTGTCCCCAGTATGCTCCTCCCAACACTTTTGCTTTTCGTTTTGTTTCGTGAACCGATCGAACGCAATTTGTTTAGTCGAAAAGACCGAAACCCATGTCCTCGTCGGACACCTCTTCCTCCTCTTCCTTCTTCTCCTCAGCAGGGGCAGCAGCATCACCAGCGGCAGCACCGCCAGCAGCAGCGGCAGCACCACCACCAGCGCCACCGCTGGGAACGGAAGCGAGCTTAGTGGAACCCTCAGCAATGAGCTGTGCAAATTACCAGTTAGCTATATACGTGTTGAAATCTTTGTGAAGGTCGACATACCTCTTGGATGTCCTTGCCGTCGAGTTCGGAGAGGAGCTTCTCAAGGCGTTCCTCATCAGCATCGATACCGACAGACTCAAGAACGCCCTTGATGTCAGAGGCAGAGGGGCTGGTGTTGCCAGCAAGGCCAAGGAGGAGGTAAGCTGCGAGGTGCTTCATTTTGAATGTTGTTCTATAAACAGTCCAGTAAGCACAGAGTAGCAGAAATCATGCACAACCATGCACGGTAGGGGTACGTTTATTGCAGCAACATACGGTAGACTTTGGAAAGAACAAGAGAGTCAATCGATTTAACCGCAAATTGGGCGGAGACTGAAACGTCAAGTTCGAGGTTATTGTTGAATTGATCGTTGATGAAGATCGAATGAGAAACTGGTTTAGCCCACAAAAGAAAAAGTGCGACGGCCCAGCACCTGTGGCTGGTGCTGGGCTTCTAAGCGAGGCTCCGGCAGGCCCTGTTGTGGCTTGTGTCGCCAAATCTCACCGCCTTCCTATTGTGGTTGCGGATACGGCACGTGACTCTTATTCTAGAAGAGTCACTAATTATCTGCGACTTGTTTGTCTCGATGGTCTCGTCCACAGCCCACTTCCTGTCGTCCAGGCTGGCCTTCCATGACATCGAGCCTGTCGTCGGAACACCATACAGGTTAAAATTATGCTCTAAAGACCTTTACATTCGGCTTCTCTTTGACCAGTTTTCTGTCTTGTGAGGTGCTGATAGTCGCTCGCATTGCGAAATTCTCGCTCTTTAAGTTGGAAACCATGAAGACCCCCCCTCTCACGATTTGGTTGCGGCGATCATAACCTAGTTTGATGTGGGTTTCGAAGTCTTTCCTACTATAACTTTTGGTCACCTATTCGACAATATGAGTGTAAGTGCTATGTGAAACCTCGAATACCAACAATTCTAAATCTAACACTGCTCAGTTCCTCAACTCCATCCTTTCCTCCATCGATACAGGAAGGCCATCCGTGGCACCAGTTCCAGAAACTCGACCGGCTGCTCCTGTGACATCCATCACATCTAAACCAACTCAGAATATAGATTCGAGGAAACCTACGCCGCCGTCAACAGCTCCTATTCGCCCTAATAATATATCGGCGGGTACGAAACGTAAAGCTGAAGCAACTTTACGACGACCCGACAAACCACCGCCATCTTCGACCAATGCAATAGCCTCAAGACCTCGCCCGAAGATTCCTGCCAGCGATGCCCGCCCTACTACTGCTAAACCTGCCGCACCTGCGCCACCATCGAAGCCTCCACCAAAGGGCTCCTTTGCGGATTTAATGGCAAAGGCGAAAGCAGTGCAGAAAGAAGCGCCGAAGGTCGGCGTTTTGAAACACCAGGCAGCTCTGCCTAAAGAAAAGCTTAGCAAGTCAGAGAAGAAAAAACGCATAGAGGAGGCTATGGCTAAGGAGAAAGAGGCAAGACGATCAGGAAAAAAGTCTATTTCGGGCTCTACGTCAACAAAGCTCGGTGTTAAATCCAGTTCCGACAAGTCTGGCGCTGAGACTTCTACAAAGCGACGAGAAGTTGATGAGAATACATACAAAGGGACTTCCCGCCCGACCCAACCTGCCTACAAAGGCACAGCTGGCTTGGCGCCACGGCATAGAGAAGGCGGCCGTGACCGTCACCGAGCTCCTCGACGTGATGAATATATGGGGACTGACGAGGAAGATGAAGGCGATTACTATAATGACTACGACGGTTATTACTCCGACGAATCATCTGATATGGAAGCCGGACTGGAGGATATGGAGAGAGAGGAATTCGTAGCGTTGCGAACTGCAGAAAAGGAAGACGCAGAAGACATGCGACAGGAGACAGAAGCGAAGAAAGCGAAACTTGAGAGGAAGCAGAAATTGGCTGCTTTGGCGAGATCACGACGATAGTCGACACATTGCACAGTTGAACCCATTTCATTTCCATAGCTCTTCATAGCACTTTGTGCGGTCTTTGATTCGGTAAGGCCTATTGTTTTGATGAGATACCATTCTTATTGCATTTCAGCGTGTTGGAGACAGGAGTACGTACGTTAGACGAATTTCCCTTTTCTTAATAGGATCAACTACATAGCTTATATCATATTACTACATCGCCGCTGTGCATATATATTTATTTATTGCTCAATTCTCACCTACCGGCCAATATTGTTGTGCACTGGATGATAATAGATTGTATGTAATAATAGTCCAGTGACGTCACACGCCTGTCACAATTGGGCGCTGCACCCCCACCTTGCTATAACTACATACAACCATTTATAATACAGCATTACCAGAGCAACAGTCATATTTTCTCTTAAAAACCTAAAATAAGAATTTACATCTACTTCCATAATCTTAATTCACAAGCTTTGACATCCATCCCACCCTCACAATGGAGCCAATCCACATTGCAACCCCGTCATCGACTCTGCTTGCGCGGGTGAAGAAGATGGTTCCGCCAATGCTAGAAAAGTTCCACAAAGGTAATTCCCTATCAAGAATAAAAACATCTTGTTTAAGTACATATGTACTAATGATTGATGTGCAGGGCAACTCGGACGCGTTGCTGTCATCGGCGGAAGTGCCGAGTAAGTCTGTCAAAATATATTTTGTAGATCATGCATGATATATCTAGATTCGGATTGATACGAATTTGATTGAATAGTTATACGGGAGCACCGTATTTTTCGGCAATGGCTTCGGCGCGATTAGGTATGTTTGCGAGGTCAACTTTCTTGGTATATTGTTAGGCTAATGTAAGACTAGGCTGTGATATGGTACGATGCAAATCTTATATATATACTCTAAACAAGTCTAATAAGAACCATGAGGTTTAGAGTCATGTCATATGCGAAAAGTCTGCTGCTCCAGTACGCCCCTCTCAAATCTAAGACAGAATAAACAATCTTGCCGAGTATATTTCTACCGCTGACCAACCCAGGTCATCAAAGCCTACTCCCCCAACCTAATGGTCCACCCCATCCTCGCCAGCAGCGTAACAGCCCCCTCCGACTCCTCCCCAGCAACCCTCGCTAGCCCGATTCTCGAGATGCTCCCGCGTCTACACGTTCTCGTGATCGGGCCAGGTCTTGGGCGGGACGGGGTAACACAGACGGTCGTCGAAGAAGTCATGAAGGAAGCACGGAACCGATCAGTCCCCTTCGTCCTCGACGCCGATGGGCTGCTGCTTGTTTCTCAGAAGCCAGAATTAGTGAAAGGGTACAAGGGGTGCATATTAACGCCGAATGTAGTCGAATTTGCGCGGCTGGCGAAGGCATTGGGTGTGCAGGGTGTTGACTCAAGCGGGATTCAGAAAGAAAAGGGGGGGTCGGAGGATGAGCAGACCAGTCGTGCGTCGGAGGCGTGTGAGAGGTTGGCGAGGGCGTTGGGCGGCGTTACGATTATACAGAAGGGGCAGAAGGATGTGATTTCGAATGGGATTACGAGTATTGTTTCAGATATCAGAGGCGGGTTGAAGCGGAGTGGCGGGCAGGGGGATACGCTTACGGGCACGCTAGGGACCTTTTTGGCGTGGCGCGCGGCGTATCATGATGAGTTATGGGAGACGGGGGAGAAGGAAAAGGGAGGGGGAAAGGTAGCTGCGAGTAAAGAGGAGATTCGCGCGGAGTTGGAGGATAGTACGAGGAGAATGTCGCCCACCACGACGCTTTTGTTGGCGGCGTATGCGGGGAGTGCGTTGACGAGAGACTGTTCACGACGTGCGTTTGAGGCGAAGGGGAGAAGTTTGCAGGCGAGTGATTTGACGGATGAGGTTCATGATGCTTTTCTGGAGTTGATAGGGGAGCCGGAGCAGTCGAAGCTGTGAGGTACTTTACATGCAAAGTACATGTATACTGGTAAGATAAAATTTGCATATAGATGAATCTCCAATTCTAGTGTCAAAAGATTTTGACTAGATAATTTGTGTTTATATAAGAGTTCTAGTTAGATATTATATGCCAAGTGAGGACTATCATGGCTTAGATGCTTCACGATCAAGCTAGCACTCTACGCGCTCAACCTTGCACATAGGACAGAATTCATGGGCACAATCCCACAACGGACAAATACCGTGCCAGCGAAGCACAGGGCCATCCTTGCATTTACACTAAATAGACCTATTAGCAAACAATAGATTGAGAAGTACAAAACTTACACAAAAGATTTTATCGTCTTGATTTGGCTGTGCTGCCGTACGGCTCCTCTTTTCCTGCTCAGGGCTCTCGGATACACGGACTTCAGCTTTTCTTTTCTTTGGCTGCTGAATGAGCTGAAACTCATCCCTAGTGATAGGATATACGTCCTTATCCGATGTATAGTCCGTGTCACTATCACTTATCTCAACAGAAGAGTGTCGAGGTGGAATAGAACGCGACTCTGCATCTTCAGCAGACGAGGAGTAGTCATTCACAGACTGGCTATCTTCACTACCGAGTTCATCATGATTGTTGTATCCAGCGGGATGATTATTTTTCCTCTTCTCGAGTCTTTTCTTCTCTTCATACTCTTTCTTGAGAATACCCTTCACTTTATGACCGCCTGCTGGAAGCCAATATTCGATTCTCTGATTGTTATTAAAGTGTTCCTTGTGGATATGATCGAATCTCTCGTTCCATGCATCCAGGCCCTTTTTATGCAGAATCTTGATTTTGCGACAGAACCCACACCAATATTGGGACTGACCATTCCGCCCAATTCGGTTTTTGGAAACCTGATGGCTGACGTCTTGAGCGTCTACGACGCCGTGATCGTTTGTGAGATGGTCTTTGTAGTCGTCTTCCCGAAGATAGAGTTTGGCACACTCCTGATGTGTACCCCGAGGTAATGAGCACCGGAAACTTTGGCGGTGGAAATGCTGGGAGTTCTCGTGACGTTTCCAGTCAGCTTTGCTGCCGAAACTCTTGTAACAGTCTGAGAATGTGCATCCAAATGGTTTTTGATGTCTGGCCCTGTGTTTTCTACACACTGTTAGTTTTCTAGCGGGTCAACTTTCGAGTATCGACATGAAGGAAAAAGAAAAGAAAGACGATAGAGGGACAGAATATGAGAAAAGATAAGAAAAAAGAAGAAGAAAAAGGAGGAAGAAGACAATGAACAGTTTTTTTCGCACTTAAGCTCGCATTTCCTCTGAAAACTCTTCTCGCACTCCTGGCAACTGTACTCCTTATCTTTCTTCACTGAAGATATAGATTGACCAACCGAATCTACTTCCCCAGTAGCGCGGACTACATCTGATCCATGTTGAGACAATTGCCATTTCATAATATTTGACACAGCAGCATCAAACAGAACGGTTCTCTCATGCTTGGAAAGATTGTTGATGTATGATACCCTGCTTTGCTGTGCTTCTGGATTATTTGCGACCTCGTGTAAATATAACTCCTTCATAAGTGCTACTCCACGCTCGAATGTTCTCATGCTTGGTAACACTCCTTTCTGTTCCTCACATGGCGGAGTTGAGGTTAAAATAGAGTCTTCCTCATTGCCCGCTGAGTTGAGCACAGTCTGCACACCTGGTAATTTTACATCTGATAGGGAATTATAGGAATGCTCCGTTCCAGTGCCGTTTGAAAATTTTGCAGTTGTCTGGGACTGTTCAATATGTCCAGGAAGTGCTTCGTCGGATCCTGGTCTTTGGATTGATGCAAAACCTAGCTCTTCTGGAAGAACAGGGCAAATTTCCAGGTCCTTTGAGGGATTTTTTGAAGTTTGCAAATCACTGATAATGTCTAAGGATCTAGACCCGTCAATGCATCCCTCTGAAATTGCTGGTGGTGGGAAGGATGACGACTCTGCCACATCCCCCTCCTTACGCGTCTCATACCATTCCCTTGCCCTATACAGCTCATTATCAGCAATTCAATACTTGATACCAACGATTTATTGCACATACAATCGTATTAACTCATTCTCATCCTCATCTTTATGCATCCGTTTAAGATGGGCCTTGAAATTATCGAATCTGGGCCACTCCTTCCACCGCGGACAATTACAGTCTGTACCGAAACACCTGAAGACCTCTGACGGACCACATAGAGGGGTTTTACGATGCACAGCTTTCCGGTGTCTTTCGAGATCATTTTTAGTGCCGAAGCGCACTGCACAGGTCAGCGCTTCGCATTGGTAGGTTTTTTCGTGGCGGGCTTCATGTTTTCTGCTAAATTATTAGATAGATATATTAAGATGTAAAAGAAAGGGGGGAGGACGGACCTTCGCTCGGAAGGGGTATTCCCTAGCCATCCACAATATTTACATACTACTGATTCTACAGCCTGCTGCGATGCCGTATATCCAGGATTCAGCTGATGAGGGTTAGAAGAAGGAGCATCGCCCCATCGATTATACGAGGACGCAACGCTCGGACTTGGGGCTGATTCGAATGACGAGCTGAACACGGACTGCGTATCGGCGCAGCTAGTGCGGCTGTCATATCCGGAATCAGCATACGCCCGGCGAGGTAGTACCAAGTTATCGGGGCCGCTTTGGGTGGGCAGTTTCAAGTATGCATGGTTGTACAGTTGTGACTGGGGGATATGCGGGATGTGGTGGATGTGAGAGTTGAGTTGGAGGTGATTCCAGACGTCGAATCGGCGGTGAAGATTCACGTCAGGTAAGCACAAGTCAAAGGATGGGGGAGAGGTAGTCGTGATGGAAGATGAAGGAGAGGGTTGGCTACTGAGATGCATATAAGAAGGGTCCTTCTCGAGCTTCAGATCAAAGACTTCTGCGTGAAAGAGTGGCCAGCGCTGCGGTGCAGTCCAGCTTCGTTCGTCGAATCTGGTTTTCTTTGTTGCCATTGTAGGGCCGGTACTGTGTTAGTTGAGCATACTCAGTCCACTGATTTGCTTCTTGAGTTATGGTTGTGTTGAGTTATGGAACTGCATCAATGTCAGTATGACTGATCTATATAATCTTACTCGAGACCCCATACCAGAAGTAAGCAAAGGATTTTGGCTTATTGAACAGAAACTAGATGTCTGAAAAGGCTGATAGACAAAGACACAGATATGCAAACCGAGTTGAGAAGAAATCAGGGTTAATCATGGTAATCTTGTTTATGAATACTCTCAATAACGCAGGTATATTACAGGTTTTTAGCCAGCACAGGAACACAGAACAATAAAAGGAGGAAAAAAGAAAAGAAAAAAGAAAAAAGAGGAAGAAAAAGAAAGAACAGGAATGTGACCAGGGAATAGCATCGGAATGGCCTTGCTCGAAAGGAGAGACAGTTGTTGATGTAATGTCATCTCGCGATATGACTTGCCTTGCCCCACTGCATGCTAAGGCCCTTACTGGATGAACATTCTAGATGCATATGAAGCTCAGTTCCAGAAGAGAGTTGTTCCATGAATCCATGCTGACTTGGTCCCACCAAATCCGGGCAGACAATGCGAATGGCGTACAGTGGTCGAATAAATCCACAGGGGGCTGTGACAGGAGGCCGAGTGTGCAGTTACAGGTGCACATCATTCTTTCTGTACCAATAATAGGCGCGAAACATGCATTAGTCGGGTGAAGGGTGTTAAACCCTTAGCTTCAGTGAGAGGCCCCAGTTGGGTGAACTAGGCATCAGTTGGCGCGCTGATTGGCGCGTCGGCGGAGATGGCTGAGCCGGCGTATTGCGGCCTGCAGGCAGTGCGACACCACTGTACACGTCGGTATGGATGTTTATTGCATTTGCCTGCTACACAGCCTCGTAGGCAATACCTCGTCCAATAATCTGATTCTTGTTGTTCGCGGCTGCATGCACAAAAAGCCGGGCGCTGATACCGGCAGCATCAATGAAAATCCAATAATCCGGACTATAAACCCTGCTCGTCTAATTGAGAATCTTGCAACCCACTCCAATAAATGCCACACATCGGGTTAAAAATAGCTGATAGTACATTGAAATCCAAACGCTCTTGACTACTTCCAAAAGTAATAAGGCTCAAAAATGACAACTTAATGAGAGGCTTAAAGACGCTCAAACATGACTTAGAGACAGCTCAAATAGGTAAAGTGTGGCCAGATGGCCGGGTATCTCAGAAATAAGTGACAACGTACATGATTCATTGAAACGGGTAAGTGGGAGAGTGATCTTGCGTCATATACGCAGGTGCAGATAGATTGTCTCCCTCAGGGGAGGTCGAAATCTGGTAGCCCATTGCTGGCGGGTTGCCATAAATGGTGGGGAACATCCCCTCTTGGGAAATATGCATGTTCTCTGCCGTAGGGGAATAATAAAGCTGTTGTGACTCATTGATCGTAGTCGTAGGAATACTCAACTGGTAGGGACCAGGCCCATTAGTCGCTGGAATAAACGACGGCTGTCGCGCGGGCATGACGTTAGCAGGAGGAGGATAGGACATTGAATTGCGATGAACCGGGATATAATGAGGGTTCAAATAAGCCGGTGACGTGACCGGATACTGTGATGGAGGAGGGTAGGTTGTTCCTGCCGAAGCATCTGACGGGCTTAATAACATATGACTTTGGTTAAGATGGAGCCTAGATTGCTGGGTTTTCTGGCTAGCGTCGAATGAGGCTTGACCCGCCATCATCGGGCTATTTATCGATGCCTCGGCGTTACTAACATCACTTGAAAGAACATTTGATGCATCGGCACCTGCTGATGGGCTGATCGAAGCGACTGAAGGCGTCCTTACTTTTTTCGCGTGGCTTTTTGTCGTAGACGACTTCTCTTCCACCAAGGCTAGGACTGGAAGCGCGATCTGCTCCATGTGACGTGCAAGGTGGACTGTGAGCTTCTTCCAGTCATTGCAGATATTCCCACAGAATCGACAAGGCTCATCTTCGGGCGACTTTCTGGTTTCCTTGTGACATTCATCCACCTGTTTCCATAGCCTTGCAATCTCCGGATCGCTCTCAACAGCGCCTACAGCGGGTGATTTTGCCTTTTTCGTCTTTGGCTCAGGTCGTTTGTGTTCCCGAACCAAGTGTTGAACAAAGTTGTCCTTACGATAGCACTTGTGGTCACAGTCGGCCATATTACAAGCCCACCATTCCAGCTGTCGATGGCGCTCGGTTTCATGCCGCACCCAGTCAGCCTTGCGTTTGAACGACTTGGGTTCACCGCAGTTAGGGAAAGTACAAGTAAACGGCAGAATATCTTCATGAACATGTTTTGTCCAGTCGGATGGTTTCTGGAATTTTTTCACCTTGAAACACAGAGTGCATTCGAATTCGGCAGGCAGTTTCTTGACTGGAGGAAGTGGAATGCCCGTTGGAAATCCAGCGGGAGTAATGACCCCATCAATAAATGTGTTACTCTCCTCATCGCTAGCCTCATATCCTGGTATTTGAAATTGACAACGCGTTGCGTTGGGGTCTTTAGCATTTTCTCTAGGGGGAAGAATCTCTGCCCCCCCTCCGGACGCAAAGCAACGATGACGAGCGCTGCAATTTCCCTTTTTGACCGCTGCAACATGCCTTTTTTTATTTTCAATCAACTTTCTGTAACGAAGCAATTGCTCGGCAGCGAACCGCTCTACCAATGCTGGCTCTAAGCGGGGATTCAACGTAGAGATTTGTCTTTTGAAACCTTCCGGAGTAGGTATAACTTTCTCTTGCGAGGGAGTCAGGTCCATGTGAAGACCTTTATCATCCATCGAATCATCATCGTCCTCATCAGCCTCATCCCCGTCTACAGGAGTATTTAGTTTTGCGACGGGCGAAGGCACCTGTGCAACAGATGGCCGTGGTTTGGGTATGTTTAATTCCTGTAGATTAGGTGCAGCGTGTGAGCCTTCGCTCCTGCTTCGCATCCTGAAGCGATCCATAATGGTAGCCGGGCTAAGATTTCCTTTTCCAGAAACAGTAGGAGTAGTCGAAAGAGAACCGTGACCGCCAATACTAGCAGCCATTTGGCCGGCGTAAAAAGCGGCCGCCATAACACCAGTGGGAGATTTTGGTCGATTCAAGCTCGATCGCCGAGACAATCTTGACCCAGCCATGCTATCTTTTTTACTGTCTTGCTCCTGGGGCTCAGCTTCAAAGCTGGATTGCCGCGACCCTGCTTGGGAGTGTCGTCTTTTGTGCTTGGAGGTACTGATGCTTCTCTTGGGCAAGAGTTTTAGAAGAGTGCTTTTGCTACTAATGGATAAATTCTTGAGAAAGCCATCAGACTCCAGCAAATTGTTGACTTCAGTATCATTCAATCGTTTTGTACCCCATGTGGCCACACGAGAAGCAGTCTCAAATTCTTTGGCAAGGTCATCGTATAGTTGCATCGCGGCTCGCGAACTATCTGGCTGTGATTTTGTGGCAACAGGCAGGGGAAACTGGGCATAGTCCTTCCACGGGTAACGGCGAATGAATTGACGAGCCAGTGGCTCATCTTCAAGGTACGATTCCAGGGAAGGAAGCCCCTTTGATGATCCAGGCTGAGAATCATCAGATCCCGTTTCGAAGTCACTCCCAGGGTCGGATTCGTGAATTAGCTGACCAGGCCCAGGGATGTTAGAGTTGTCAGGTTGCATGATACTGAAGTAATCGTGGCGCGTTTCAATGGCACTGACTGATCGGGGTCTTCCGCGAGAATGTTGATACGAAAAGCCATAGTCATCGCCTGCATCGCTGTTGGCGGCGGATACAGATGCTGACCAGATCTCGATATCAACATTCCTCTCAGCACGCTGACGCTCCTCTTCCATATCTTTTGGGCTAGGAACGAAATCGTTGCCTCGCACGGAAGGATCCAGACCTGCCTGCCCAGTTGCTGGATTCCGATGCCATGAACCATCCTCAGCCCGTGAAGCATTTAATCCGTGACTGGAATGGGATTGGTTATTGTCATCGTTGTACGTTGCGTGTTCTTCATTGGATTCCAAACTTGGGGACAAATGAATGGATGAGCGACTGCCTCGACGACTTTCCCATTGATTCTCATCTCTTGTTGGAGAATCGCCTCGGGAGTACGTAGATACTTTTACCATTGGACTTTGCGACTTCACCGATGTAGGTGTCGGGTTGACGCTGAGTTTATCCATGTTATCGGTAGATGACGAGATATTTAGCCTAGGAGGTTGATGGCTATTTGTCGAGTCTGTCGCTACAAAGTCCTGGTGCTGATTGTCCATGCTTGGGAAAGCCGAAGACAAGGTCGCCTCCGCAAGCGATTGTAATGATGATAGTTGGTGCCCCTCTGTACTCTGAGGGTGAAGTGGGTAGATGCCACTTAAGGAATCGATGCTGTGGTCTATACTAGCTAGATCAGACGTAATATGTCCGCCGTCGCCGTTGGAGCTTAACAATAGACCATCGCCTGGTGAAGTGGTGACACTGCTGAGAATGCCCGGATCCGAAGCGCCGGATAGATCGTAGTCAAAGAGATTAGACGGGTCAAAGGAATTGTCGCCGTATTCATAGTTCTGCATTGACTGATTTGGTATTCGCTCGACGGTTGGTGGTGACACAGGCGAGAAGCGGCTGGCAGGGCCTTGGTGTAACGATCCGTCGGATGTATGCTGATCGAAGGAGAATTCGTCCAAGTCAGAGGGACCTGACAGGTAAGGGTCTTCGATCGCCTCGGTTTTGAATGCGGATTGTGGAAGAGAGAGCCGGTCACGAGAGGAACTATTCGATCTCGCCATGGCCGACGATGGATTCCGTGATTTCGGGTGCAATGTATATATGGAGAGTAGTCAGCCTTACGGCCTACGGCAGAGGCAGCAACAGCAGCGAATGGCCTCGGCACAAGGCTGTGTCGACGACGCTGATGGAAAGGGCAGGATTTGCATTCACTGCACTCGCATCGCCATCCCACAGCGGCACGCGGGGACGGATAAGATAGGACTGAAGCGGGAGCGGGGAGAAGAGACACGGCGCGGATTGTTGATAGTGGATCGATCAGACGAACGGGCTCGATGCTACCAAGAACAACAGCGATGAGAATCTTGGTACGAATTGAGTTGAATCCAGCGTGGCTCACGGTATTTTAAAGCCACAGCGGGGAGAAGAGGAAGACGAGAGGGTACGTAGCAGCAAGTATTACGTCGTAGCAGCTAGTCTGGTAGCGTGCGCCTAGTTCGATAACAAGCCGAATCACGGCAGTCTTGGTGCATGCGAAAGATGCAAAGAGGCTGGGGGATCAGGTGTGGCGGTGAAGGATATCTAGATGTACAGTGAGTGAGGAGAAGAGCAACAATTAAGAATCGCATACGACGAGGCTGAAGCAGAGGAAAGGAGAGAATGAGCCTGACGAGATGGCAGCAGGGACAGCAGGCACAATAGGCATACTCTGGTACTGGAATGGCTCCTGCCGCTGCTGCTCCGGGCTGGGCGGTTAATTCCTGCCTGGCATTGGACAGCGGCCCAGCCCGGGGCCCGTGATTGGCCAGTCAATGCGGCTGATAAGTTGTTTGCTCTTAGCTGTTTGCGTGGTTTGCAGTCTGAGGGTGCCTTGTACGCATGCCTTGTCTGCCAGGCTGGCCCCTATATCAGCCATTGGCTGCCGTGAGTTCAGCTGCTGTCTCTTCGTATGGCGGAGGCTACGCATTGTTTGCTTTTTCTCCCTAGACGTCAGACTCAGGGCAAACCAGGCCGAGCGTTGTTATCGCGTTGAGACAAACAACAGCTGAAGAGGTGTATTCTCTCCATGTGTCCGCCAATCACGCATGACATCATGTACACTACTGGGAGGTGTGGCTGCTGTGGCTGGTGCGGCTGGAGCGAGGCTGACTCGCTCTGAGGCTGTGCAGGCTGCCCGTATCCTCGACACCGCTCTTTGTCAATATGCTAAATAGTTTGCGATAATAACGTGATCGATGATGGTTATGGTCTAACAGTGGCATTCTTGTAGAGTCTGTCTACATGTTTACATGTTTATATATTCGTATGTTTGCAGTGTTTGCATAGCGTGGAGAGCAGCCTCAGGCACCAAGGCAGCAGTTCAGAATCAACTCGATCACGCCATCCGCGCTAATCCCAATCGGGACTCGACGGGCCAGCCCAAAAGGTATAAGGACGAGCAGAGCTGCCCTGCTGCGCTCTTTCGACCTTGCAAAATCCCAGAATCTCATATTCTGCCGCTAACCTCACTAACCTCTACAGCTCCCGGCACAAAACAACCCCCCCGTTGTGGCCTTCATGTCGACGTGGTGAGAAGCGCATTTTGCGGACGGCGGCTCCCACCGCTCTAGCCTTGATTTTCTCGGCCGAACAGCCCGGCACATGATCAGAGATGCTTCCGACGCAAAGCGACCGCCTGGCTGCGCTGTCTGCGAAGGTCCTTGTCGGCCGCAGTGGGGCCTCAGGCACGCATAATGAAGCGGAAGGACCAAAGCCCTCGAAATGAATAGTGAATAGCGAATTGCAGAAGAATACATGCGATGAGCTTTGCGTGTCTGAGAATTCAGGGCTGGACTGCGACAGACACGATCCAAGAGACGGACTATGGTTAGGGCGGAAAGAGACAATATGGATCCTGGCTTGTGTCATCGTGAGCGACTCTATCGTGCTCGGCGCCGGCAGTGCAGTCAATTCTATCGGGCGATTGCGCGGAGGGGCTTCCTCACCCGCCTTTTATCTCGCCCAAGTGACCCTCCGGTTCTGTTGAGACATTTTCTGTCATCACAGCGACTGCACCACGCCCCCTTTTGTCATTATTATTATAGCCGACGGTCTATAGCTATTCAAATATAATTTTGGCAGTTTTTATATATTCTCTGTTGTTCCTTGACTCTCTCTCCCTGCGCCTTATCTAGCATTTCTTTTCGAACAGACGCCATGAGCCGAGCCATTTCGCCCAGGTACGCCGCTGTCGTGGTAGGAGCTGGCCCAGCCGGCGTGGCAGCGCTTGGAAATTTACTGGAATTGGGTCTCACCAAAATCGCCTGGGTCGACCCGTCATTTGATGGCGGAAGGGTGAACAGGAAATATCGTGAGGTTCCTAGGTATGCCTCTGGGCCCTGAATCGTTAGGTGAAGGAAGGGGGTATGGGCTCATGCAATATTCCAGCAACACCAAAGTATCATTTTTCCAGGCATTTGCTACTGGCGCACAGCCGTTCCGCAACATTATTCAGAAAACACCGACGCCTAATGCCTTTACGGTAATGAACAAGCTGGAACAAGGCGATACATGCTCCCTGCATTATGCGGCGGACATGTGCAGAGCCTTGACAGATGGACTGCTCAATTTAGACCAAGTATCCCAGTACCGTGGCACCGTTGTTGCTGCCGATTTGAAGGAGAAAGTAAGCGCTCAGTATTCCCGGCTGACCTGAATACGTATTAATTAATGTAATTCTCAGACATCAAACTGGGCTGTCAATATCAGACTGCAGGACCCTTCCTCAAATATCGAGGTGATAACACCTCGACTCATTCTCTGCACCGGCTCGTCACCATCCAGCCCGGCACTGCCAATATCTGGACTGTCCATGGAGCCACTCGACCTGGACACTGTTCTGAAGCCCAGTGTTCTGTACGAGCAGATACCCAGGAATGAAGCCACCACTGTCGCTGTCATCGGTGCATCGCACAGCGCCATTCTAGCCCTCTTGAACCTCTTTGACCTTGCCCGCACAACTCACCCAAACCTACGCATCAAGTGGTTCACCCGCCACCCGCTCCGATACGCCGAGTTCATGGACGGTTGGATCCTGCGCGACAACACCGGTCTCAAAGGGCAAGCCGCCCAATTTGCTCGCGAACAGCTGGAAGATTCGCGTCTGCCCAGTTCCGCGGCAGGACGTTTTATCGAGAAAATCGACACTAGCAACAACAAGGAAGCAGCCGCGTACGAACGAGAGTTTCCGGCATGTACACACATCGTCTACGCAATCGGGTACAAGACGGACCCCCTCCCAACGCTTACCAGAAATGGAAAGCTGTCATTGAATAATAAGCTAGAATGGGACTCGCAATTCGGCGGGTTTGTGGATGGGCAGGGGGAAGTGGTCCCGGGCTTGCATGGAGCTGGGATTGCGTTTCCGGAGAGAGTGGTGGATCCATTGGGTAATGTTGAGCATGCAGTCGGCTTTTTCAAGTTTATGAAGTTTTTGAAGAGGGTGGCGCCGCAGTGGGTTTGAGGTATTCGACTTGTTATTATTATGAGACATGGCGTTTAATATATTGTCACTAGCCGTTGATATCAATTGAAAACATGGATTCCTTCGTAACCATATATTCATCAAGCTGAGATCATCTGGTAAAGGGGAGTTTACTGGCGCATAAACCTATGGCCTGTGTTTAAATGCCTAGTCTCCAGACTTTTGTGACTATCGATTGCCAGCACTGAGTAGCGTGTTCTATGACGCTATTTTAAGGAATGTGATAATAAAATGCCTCACATTTATACCATAGCTAAATATGTTTTCAATTTTAGTATAAGATATAATATTATACCAATCAATTTATATCCATCGTTAGGACTACAGCCAGCTCTGAATTGTCTACGGCGCTTCCCACATCGAGACATTGCATCCACCCTACAGCCCAGGCTGACGTCTTGTCTTGTATAGCTCACAGTGACTGCATATCCGCCACGAGCGGGCCCATCGAAGGATCATACCTCGTTGGCCTACCCTGCAGCACCTTCTGCCACACAGGACTCGTAGCCTTGACAACATCCGCCCATCGCTGCAGTTCCTGGGGCACAAGCTCGCTATTATCGACCTCAACACAGCGCAGTACGACCGGAATCAGATGGCTGTCCAGCACAGTTGGGCCTACCTTGCTGCCAAACGTCCATTCCCCCTCGCTCTCCGACGCACCGCTCTGCCTACGCTGCTCTACGACCTCGGCGAGAATGGCCTGCAGCTCTGCGCGTGCTTTGGCGACGTTGGCCGGCTTGAAAGCTACGCCGTTGATCTTGTTGTGACTGGGAGCGAGTCAGTGAGGGGTATTGGGTATCAAGGCTGATGATGAGAGGGGTAGATGTACAATTCGAGCTTGGCCTCAAGGAGCTTGCGGTACTCGGGGCTGATATCTGTCCGCTTGAGGATATCGTCGACGGGGGACGGGTTATACTGTATCATCTGCGGGGTGGGGTTCTTGTTGCTGAGAGCCAAGCCGGGGATGGCATGGAAGCGCGCAAGAAGGTCCCTGATGACAGCGGCATGTTGGGGCGGCAGCATAGCCGGGTAGTGGTTCTCGGCGAGGTGGAGCGAGATGGAGTGGCTGTCGGTAAGTGGATGCGCAAGGACGTTGCCGGTCATGGCGGGTACCTGGCCCTTGGGGTTTACTTTGAGGTAGGCCTCGCTGAGATTCTCGTCGTCGCGGTGGTTGATGAAGTGAAGCGTGATGCTTTTTGGTGGCTTCGCGCCGTGGGTTGTAGGCCCGAGGAGAGCGGTGTGTCGCGCCATCATGGAGTAGAGGGAGAAGGGCGAGGAGTAGAGCGTGTACTCGGCATTGCCTAATTCGGACATGTTGTTGGTGATAGAGGGTTGTTGTGCTTAGTTGGAGTGCAGCTCGGATGGGTTGCTGGCGGCGTGTAGAATGTCGATGATATAGTACGGTACATATATATGTACTGAGGGGAGGATCACGGTGACACTTGAGAGGTTAGTCATATTCTGTTAGCAAAGGTAATTTGTAGTTCTCATTGGTCTAGTTGGTGTCTTCAAGTCTGCTGCTGACATATGTATGGACAATGAGCTCCGCTGTCGGACTAGGGCCGACGGCTAAATTGTGTATCACTCTCAAATAAGTATAAATACCTCCACAATGACGCTATGGAATGCGTATTACTAGGAGATGATTCCTGATCACAGGCAAGTCCATTAATTAACCAATAAGGAAAAGACCAGGGATTGGGGCTTTGTATGAATCTGAAACAAGAATTAAAAAGTGGATCCTCCTTGTGATCTACACAGGTTCTAATCCAAGCCCAAAATTGAATTCTTCAAGAGTCGCCAGTATCTCGCTCATCGACGACCGCCGCCTTGCCGACTTTAATGTCTCATGAATTTGGCCATCTTTGTTACCCGCATGCCACTGAGTCCTGCTTCTTACAAAATGGATAGCCTCTTGGACCTGCTGCTTCCACCACAATTGCACCACCTTTCGTGTTTCTTCTGCCGTTTCCTGCGCAACAAGCCCAGTCCCCTAGTCAGGAAAAAGCTTGTATCCCACTCGTCCAGCATACATCCTGCTTCCCATCCATTCTGGAGCCCTAACAGTGCGGCGTTCGAAGGAAGATTGGAAACTTATGTTCGGGATTTACCTCCCTGAAGATCTCAGCTCCGAAGAAGACCGCTTGAGTTGATGCTAGCTTGGAGCTCGAAGATACACCAGAGCAATTTACCGAATGCAAACACCACTGCGGAACCATGCTCGGGTGCCGTCAGCGTTGTCCAGGCGAAGTTGTGGACGTCTGCATGGTCTTTATAAGGCCCTCCGGGGCCTGAGTGAGATGAAACCGCCGAGAATTTGTCGATGAACTGAAAGTCCCATAGTCTGACCTACCCGTCACGTAAGCGCCATCATAAGGAAACCAACGAGGAAATTCTCCATCCTCATCGATCTCAAGTCTGAATTCCGGCCTTACAACCCTGTCTCACAGTTGACCGATGAAAACCGTACCGTAGCCCAAACACTGCAGCCTATAACACCTACAGATTTCTACAAGGCAGTCGATGAGAACCATATCGCCTTGCCATAGGCAGATGAGACTCTTCGATGAGGAGGATTGTCAACACTATCGATGCGTGGCAGGTGTAATGCCAAAAAATAATAATCAAATTGTCAAGCAACTTAACCAAGAACTAGAGTTTGCTATTTCGTCCAGATAACTCTTGTCCTTACCAATTTTCAACGCATAGAAGATTCTGTTATAACTAGATCATAAAGCAATTGAGACCAATTTTGACGTTTAAACGACCACTGTCGTAACATAGGTCTTCCATAGAACTCTCTGCTGCTCGGCGAACCACTTGGTGGAAACCCTAATTGCTGACTAGTTGTGTCAGGACGGATGTCCCAATTCGGTATGTATCATTGCACCACTCAAGACGGCCGCTGCACATGCACATGCAGAATCATCGACCCTCGCTATGTAGTCGTTCTAGAGATTCTGAGGACCAACAATCACTCTATCCGGAAGCAATATCCAAAAATCGTTTCAAGGTATTCTTAATACAGGCGATAACTACCATGGCCCTATCGGCGATGCTGTGCCTGGCTACCATTTGCTAGACCCTGGTCTAGTCGCCTAATTGGAATCATATGAGCCCTACGCATATTTGACAACTTTCCCTCCAGACTACAACGGATTTTCGGAGGGCGAATATGTCCTCCAAGATAACCGCCTTTTGGGCAACTCGGCTGACCGGTCCACCTTCAGAAGTGGTATTTATGAGGCCCCTGTCTGTCTTCACGAGCAATCCGACCTATATGGACGGGCACACTCCCAATTTCACTGACGGCAGTTTTGTCCCTGCTGGGTTAGGCGATGTACAAACAATGAATGTGGCAACAAACAATACAATGATTCCCAGACCTCCAGGGGGGTTCGAAAATTTCCCTTCATTTTCAAATCACCAGTCTTCCTTGCCCAGAAGTCTCGAGCCTCCTGCACCTTTCGACACAATCCAAAGGCTAGTTGAATCTATTTTTGTGAATCCCGTCTCGTTTGTCAGCAAAATTTGCTAATAGTTGAGTAGTAACCAGGCTGTCCAGGGCGACTGCCCTGAGCTCACTTGCAAATGGGAGGGCTGCAATTATAAGGGAAGATTTGGGCACCAAGCTGACCTGGAACGGCATATGACTGCATGTCATATATCCCCAAGTCTTATTGGTGTCCGGTGGCACCTTGCGCAAAGACTTTTAGTTGGAAGGACAATTTGACTGCACATGTACACCGTATGCATGGAGTACGAATGGACTAGATAAGTAGTATGAAATTACCGCATGCCATACAGTTGGAGTTAAACTAATAATTTACAAAATTTAGCCGGGCTGCATTTCTTGCGTAGGTGTAGAAGTCCTATTCACATGTCCCTGCCAAGTATCTGACGAGGCCAGGGAAGAGTAGGCTTAAATGATGTTAAACATGAAATTAACTTTTATATTGAAGACGCAATCTATAAAACACATGACATACCATATGGGATCGTTTAAATCTCGTAACAATTGTGCATGATAAGAAATTTGCAAGACAGTGTGCAAGTGCATGAACAAACTTTTAGGAACCAGTCAAACGCCGCCAGTTTCGACTCGAGAAAAAGCCAAAACCAAAACAATTAAAAAAAGAGAATGATATTTTGTTAATTTTCCGACACCTCCAGCCTCCTCTTCACAATTTTCCTTGCTAGTTCTACTGCTGATGCCCAGGTGACAGATCGTCTATGTGCTGCCTTATTCGATTGCCGTGGCAAAGGATGCAAATCTCCCTGGACAGCCCTAGCTCCAACATCAGTTGCAGACGATGAATTACCCGTAGAAGATGCAGTTGTCATCATTTTGTGTGCGACATCACTGTTCGATTGTACCAGGGCTGTCATTTGACTCATCATAGTGGGACATTCAATCAGATCGTCCAGCTGTGCTTTTAAGTCTTCCTGCTCGAGAAGCCATGATACCTGTGCAAGAGCAATGAGATCCCCACCAAGATCGAAGAATGAAGAATCAAATTTTAGTGGTGGGCTGTTGTTGTCATTGTCTGCGAGAACTTGTTCCCATGCACGGCGGAGGACATCAGAGAGAACCAGAATCTCCGCTCTGCTAAGGTGAGCCAGTTGTGATGATTGAAGTCCACTATTGGTCGGTTCCTGCTCAGTTTCCAAAATGTGCTGCTTTGGTAGGCTTGAAAGAGCAGTCGGTGATGGTAGTGCCATGTTTGGGCTTTTTGTAAAGCTTTCGACAGAGTCGCATACCATGTCTAGCACTCTTTGAGCAAGTGGCATAGTAGACTCCCCCTCCATAGAGAATGATAGTATCATTTCCACTTGGTTCTTATCCAAAGACCTTGAATTGATGGAGAAATCCGCAAGCTCTTCATCGCTGCCTACACCTTTCACCACGTATGTGTTCTCTCCAAGTTGGATTTCGTTCGATGAACTAGCCGTATCATGTTGCAGAACAGTACTAAAGCTAGTCCAATTAGGCCAATCTGTACACTCATGGATTATATGTCGGAATCCCAGTGCTTCATAAGGCATATTTGCCAGTTGCTGATCTTGGACGTATCGAAGGAGCTCTAGAATAGTCCACTTCTCGCCAAACTTGACCCGGACTGGAATAATATTCATGCAAGGCCCGACCATAGACTCAACTCCGGCGATAGCTGCAGTGTTCCTGCCGCTGATTGTGTGGCCAAAGACAACATCTGCACTTCCAGTGACTCTTGCCAACGTCAATGCCCATGCGGCTTTGATGACAGTGGCGGTAGTAATGTTTCCGTGTGCCATGGGAGGCACATGTACCGTCTTGCGCAAAGTTGTGGTATTCCCTGCAGGCTTGCGGTAGCCGGTAGCTTGGCGACGGACAAGCTCAGTCATTTTGGAATCTTTCAATAGAGTTCTCCAATGGTTGTGATGGTCCGTAGTGATGAGCCTTGCTGAGTCACGGACAAAGTTCGCAAAAGAAACAGGAGAAGGTATGGGGCCACCTTCGTATCCAGCCTTGATTGCCGAGAGGATTCTCGGTAGAGATACCCCGTCATATTGCGCATGGGACAGTCGCAGGATAATGCGATGCCTGTCAGTATTTTTCTCTTTCACGACATAGAACTGGGTGAACGGTTCGCCCTGCTTAACACCTTGCTCAATATCACGCTGCTGTAGCATACTAGTGAACTCATCCAAACTCTCGTCAGTTTCGTAAACATAGAATTCAGGTCGAATTTTGCGAAGTATAACCTGTAAAAAGCGTCCCTTTGAAGCAACGAAGACTGTTCGTAAGATGTCAAATGCGTGGACCACACGGAAACAGCTTTGCTTAAGGCGTCGGAAATCCAAGGGGCCATGTCCATCAAGACAAAAAAAGTTCAACATCCACCGAGACTGCAGGAGGGCACCAGTAATGGAGAGCGCTTGGAAGTCGGTGACAGGAAGGATATCCGCAATGCCGCCTTTGAAAACTCCAACGCGAGGACAAATGTATTTTTGAAGGAAAGCTTCGTCGATGTTGGCAGATTTGAGCAACGCGAACCGTTCGTAAAGATTGCCATTAACCGAGCCAGAAGATGGCTGACCAAGTCTGTTCATGTTGCTGATTTCAATGTCGACATAGCTCACGTCACTTGCTATCTGAACTGCTGTTGCCATGTCTTTGAATATGGGATTGCGAAAAACATCGGCAACAGTCAAGACTAGACCCACATCACGCGCATCCCCAACTAAGGCCATTGCAGTAATACTATCTCCTCCTAAATCAAAGAAACTGTCATCCTTTGTTATCGAGTCTAAAGGTATTTCAAGCTTTTCACTCCAAAGACGCAAGAGCTTTTCTTCAAGACTCGCCTGTCTGCCACGCTCGTGAATTTGAGCAGCAACTGGTATTACTGAATTTTCAATATCCGGGCTGTAAATATCTTCCGAAACAGTCGAGAAGGCATCGGATTCAGATTGAGCAGCTTTTAATACCTCACGATCTGTGAAATTCGACTTGACTGACATCCTCCTTGTCCCAATAGAGCTTCTTCGAGCTAAAGAATTGCGCCGACTAAGACTGAACATTTGCTGTACAATCGTTTGAACCCTCTCATCTATGAGAGCTTGCAGCCCTGGGTGATTTTCTAACAGCTGATTGATTTCTTCTCCCTGCTGATGTGACGTGGCATTTGTGAGTCTTTGTTTCTGTGCAACATCTGCCACTTGTGGAACGTCTTTGTTCAAACGAGACACTGTTTCTGTGGGATCATTTGCAAATGCTTGTAGAATGGCGGTGATTGCCTCCGAAATCCCCGAGGCTTGATCACTTGAAATAATATCAGTCCAGTACCGAATGATAATTCCTTCTTCCTCTCGAGCTGTTTCAATGTTTAGAGTAATTGGATACTTGGACTCATCATTAGCAAAATGATAAACAAATTTATGGAAGAAATATTACTTACCTCGCTGGGATCATGTGCATCTTCAGCGGTGAATATCAATGACCCTTCCACGGAGTCACTCGCTATAGAATGATTTTGAATGGATAGCGCTGTGTTGAATATTTTCTTTCCCTGCAATCCTAGCTCGTGCTGAACCTGCGCCAACGAACAACGTTGATGTGGTATTCCATTAACATAGTCATCCTGAATGAGACCGGGGATTTCAGCCAAAAGCTGTGACCCAGAGAATCTTACGCGACAGCAGAGCATGTTAATGAAGACTCCGATACTATCCTGTATGCCGGGGACGGGCGCATCTCTCCCAGCTGACAGGTAACCAAAGCACACATCATCAGAACCTGTGTACTTTCGAAGCACCAAGGCCCATGCTGCTTGGATTACGTTTGCCAAAGTAAAACCTGATTCCTCACAGTATTTCTGAAGACTTGACCAATTTTTGAAATTGACTGTTGTTGAAGCAAGACGGCGCTCACCGGCAGTAGCAGAAGTGAGGCGAGGGAAATGGCACACCTGGACTCCGGCCAGATATCTTTTCCAGAACGTGATATCGTCGCGTGTAGAGTTGCTTCTGATAAACTGGATGTAGTCCGAATATAATGGCCCCGAACCATCAAGTAGTTGGCCATCATATGCAAGAGATAGATCACGAATCAATATTGGAGTCGATCCTCCATCAATCACTGCATGATTAATTTCAAGTTTGATGAACACTTTGCCAGAGAAGGTATTGCAAATTGCCATCTGATGTGGTATTTTCTGCTTTCGTTTGGTGTTTATTTCGTGCAATTTGATCGACTGGAGCTTATCAATGACTTGGGAATCATCACAGTTGATGTGGACAATTTCGGAATCAACCTTTCTCAGAACGAGTTGATCGAACGCACCTCCTTTGTACGTACTATTGATAAAGATGGTCCGCAAGGCGGCATGCCTATCAATGACCTTTTGCCAACTGTCAATCAATCGTTGAGACTGTATTTTTTCCCGTGGATTGACTGAACTGACTTCGAAAATGACGTGGAAAAGATATGTGCTTGGGTCACGGAGTTGGCTTAGAAGCATGCCTTCCTGTGTTGGGGAACAGGGGTAGATATCTTCAACCTGGTCTCGATGCGAAATACCTGCCTTCGGGAAAGCCTCCTTGATCAATCGTTTCATGCCATCGTAGTTGACAGGAAGCAGTGGATAGTCGCTCAAAGTTGGCTCGGCGCTGCATCGTCGTAATCTAATTATGATCTCCTCCAAGGTCCATTTGCACTCGGAGATCCACCGACGAATCTCATCGACATGTCGCATATGACGGTTGTACATGAATGTGAACTGTAGCCTGCCTTGTACCACAATGGCTGAAATTTCGAATAAGGCAAGTCGAGTAGTATCAGGTCCCATATCACCGACAACTAGTGGGTCTTCCTGTTCTGGTACTATGTCTGCACTTTGTAGTAAAGAGTCATCACTCTCGAGCTGTTGCATGCCTCCAAGGTAGTTGAATAAAATTTCCATAGGCACAGTAGATCGTACAGGATGGGCTTGACCGTCTTTAGCAAGAAGGCTATATGCGAGGTAATGTTTTCCAATTTCTTGCACACTTCTCCTAGTATCTTTCACTCGTTTCAAAGTATTTAGGACATTATCTGGTACAGTGTTAGTACACCCAAAAAATTTAGTTTCAAGAATATCATGAAATAGCGGCTGACTCACCCGAATCTATAGAAACTTGCAAAGGTGAAATATTTGTAAACCAACCCACAGTCCGTGATGGGTCATTTTCTGAATCCCAAGACTCTCGCCCATGACCTTCATTGAATAAAGTGGGCAAGAACCTATCATTGAACACGCAGTGGAAAGAATGAATAATTGCGGAAAGTAAAATATCCACAGGATCAGTTCGGAAGACGTTGTGGCTGCCAACCATTGTAGACGAAGTGGTTTCTTCAGTCAAACTAAAAGAGCTTTGTAAAGCATCCCCATATTTATTCGGGATATTTTCCATTCCCCAATAGCCAAGATTACCAGGTAATACCTGGAATGGTAGACTTTTTGCTTTGTCGTCTCGCCTGACATGTTCGGTTTGTAATGTACACCAAGTCTGGAATGAGAGGGGCTTGTCGTTGGGAGCCGAGCCAGTCTCAAGCATATCCTGTAGATCTTGGATGATAATTCGCCAGGATACCATATCAATGATGAGATGATGAGCGACCATGAATAGGAATTGCTGATTGTCCTGAGTTTCGAGCATATCCACAGTAAAGAGAGGACCACGCGAGATATTGATGCTTTTCTGGCTTTGTGCAATTATTGAAGTCGCTTCTGAAAGCGTAGATAGGAGGTGGTGATTGAAAATGAATGATGACTCGATATCCTGAGATTTGATGTTAGTAAAATATCTTCTGTAGAGGAATGAATGCATACATTAGAGAGTAGTTGCACCCACTCCCCATCATCTCTCTGCCGGAAGCGTGCTTTCAGCATTGAATGATGGTCCACAAGACCTCGAATAGCCAAGCATAATGTTTGGGGACTGATATATCTTGACAAGCGAAGACTAAAGCTCTGATTGAAGCGACTGTTTCCTTGGTGCTCTTTGCTTGCCTTAAAGTACATCTTTTGTATGGGCGAGAGCTCAAAGTCCTGTTCCATTTTTTCCTCACTCTGGACGGTTACTATACCGGCTTCGACTGTACTGGCTAATTGAACTATTGAAGTCGAACGAAGGACGTCGTGAAGAGAGAGCCCTATTTTCTGTCGTCGGCTTCTAGATACGACAGCCATGGCTGTGATACTGTCTCCACCTGTAACAATTCAATCAATACTAAGACAATAATAAAGCAGTAGGATATAGATATAGATACCTAAACTCATGAATGACTGGTTCAATTTTACCTTCTCAATAGGTAAATTTAATACTTGGCCCCAGACGTCTCTCAGTATAGCAGCAACTCCCGTAATTTCTGCATGTGGCTCGTTGCTTTCTTCGTCACGCATGATACGCCGACTAGTGCTCTCCGATATGTTGTCAATCCAGCCTTTTACCGACTTTCTATCAAGCTTCCCAGAGACTAGCATCGGAACCGTGTTGACGATCGCCCATGCATGAGGAAGCATGTATGAAGGCAATTGGAGTGACAAATTGTGTTTAATATCTTCCAGCTGGGAGTCGGTAACAGAGTTGTTCTTAACAAGCTCAAATGACTGGGAAGAGCTAACAGACTTATTGGAGGTGCTGAGAGAAATGACTGCGACAAGACGTTTTTGGAGATGTCCTGATTTCGGAAACAAAACAATGACATGACGGATGCGGGGATCTGTTTCCAATCGATGCTCAATTTCACCAAGATCTATGCGTTGACCGTTGATTTTGACCTGACTATCTTTTCGGCCGACAAAGTTGATGGAGCCATCGGGTATATATTTAACGAGATCTCCTGTCAAATGAAGACGTCTTTGGCTACCAGAAACAGTTGATGGAAACAATGTCGTCCATGATGGATTGTCAACAAAGGCTGCTTTTGTTTTAACATCATCTCCTAAGTAGCCCCGTGCAAGCGTCGGCCCTTCTAAAGCCAATTCCCCTACAGCTCCTAGGGGTGTTAGTTGTTCATGGTTTTCCGGGTTAACAATCCAGGTGAGAGTAGGTTGTGTTCCGCAACCAATGTTGCTTGGAGTGTCGTTGGATACATTTGGATTAACAAGAGCTACAACTGATGCCTCAGTGGGCCCGTAAGCATTGACCAATTCCACGTTGCCAGTCCATTTAGAGATGGTCTCTGGACTCATTGCTTCACCGCCGCACGCTAAAACCTTCAGGCACGGAACAGTGGACGGATCAATCAAATTGGCCACTGAAGGCGTTAAAAGTGTCCAGGAAACGTTCATCCGGCAAATGACCCCTGGCAGATCTTGTAGGCGCTCTTCTTCATTTGGCACACAAACGCAACCGCCAACCGTCAGGGTCGTAAATATTTCCATCATGGCAGCATCGAAGCTAAGTGATGCAAATTGTAGAGTCCGGATCTTTGAGTCCATTCGTAATGCTGCACCAAAGGCTGCCGAGCTGGTGCTAAATGCTCGGTGCTCAATAGTAATCCCTTTAGGCTTTCCAGTACTTCCCGAAGTGAAAATCACGTATGCAGAGTTGGAACTTGACACAGAAAAAACATCATCATCAAAGGATATTTCTTTGAACGCAAGATTCTTAATCATGCTTTCATCAATAACAACCACATTGTTGACGAGGCCATCGTATCGAGAACGGTATTGTGGAGCGCACAAAATTATATCTGCCTTAATTTGTCCGATAATCTCAGTGTGTCTATCAAGGGGGTGCTTTGGATCGAGAGGAACAATGGCCCCTCCAGCCATAAGCACCGCAAACATGGCAACGATAGTCCAAGCAGACTTATCGAGACACAGTGGAACCAAAACTTCTGGCTTAACATCCAGTGCTTTCAAATCAGAAGCGAGCTGTGATGCATATATTTTCAGTTCTTCATATGTGAGGTTCCCGTCCCAAGAGTGAATTGCCGATGCTTTAGGATGAGCGAAGGCTTGGTGTCTGAATAGATCGTGAATGCATTGATCTACAACTTGTGGCCTCCGTCGATTCCACCAGGTGATATCTTCCTTATCTTCAGGACTCACCATGCCAATAGTGTCGAGAGTCTCACTGTCAGTACTACTACCTGATGCAAGCTGTTGGAGGACATATGAAAATTGCATAAGTATCCTTTCTGAATCCCAGGTAGAAATTATCTCTTCGTCGAAGTGTATGTTGAGCTCAATATGAGAGTTGAAAAGTTTACACTCCACGACCAGGGGATAAGTAAAGAAGCTTCCCAAGGCACCGTCATTTTGGACTTCCCAAAGTTCATTCTTCTCTTCGGCCTCAGCGGTTTGCACAATGATCAAGTTTTGGAAGTCACAAGCAGCGGCGGCATCCTCTCCGAGCCTCCGAATATGCTGTAAGCCGCAGTGTTGATAAGGAATCATGTCCGTGGAGATTCTCTGCATCTCCCTGAGATAATCCTTCTTTGTGACCGTAGAGTCTATCTTCACGCGAGTAGGCACCGTCGTAAGAGCAGGTCCAGCCAAATCAGCGATTCCATTTACGTCGACATTTCTACCACTAAGAGTTTCCCCAAAACAGACGTCATCTGACTGGGTACGATTTGACAAGACAAGAGCCCATGCTGCTCGTATCAACGTTGGAGTGGTGATATCAAGATTTAATGACTTGTGCTTAATGTCTGTAATGGTACTCAATGTTTTGCTGGTGTTCTTTCCACTGTTATAAATTGCCTTATTCGTAGGCGGGAAAGGCGTTGGTGACACGTCTGCGAGATAGGATTTCCAGAAATTGTCCGAAACCGAAAGATCTTGTCTTTGTAGATAGTCGATGAAACCTGCGAAGGAAGCCACGGGAACGAATAAAGGATTGTCAAAATATATTTCCTGAACTCTTTTGAGAATGATGCCCAGACCCCAAGCATCATACAACGCGTGATGAATTGACCATACAAAGTGAGTATCAGACGAAACAGCATCTTCCACAAGGATATATCGCGTCAATGGACCGCCCTCGGATTCCGGTACTACCGAGGGGTGTTTCGTGATTTTTTCAAGATTGTTTGAATGATGCCACACAATTTCATGTTGCCTGAGAACAACCTGCAGGAAGTTGGAGGAAGCGGTATGAACAATACGCGTACGCAAGATATCAAATTCGTCAGTCAACTGCTGCCAGGCAGCTTTGAACTTTTGGATATCCACATTATGAGCCAACCGGAGAACGTTTTGTGCAACATAGGCCCCACGCTGCTTGACAGAGGATGTGATAAGGCCCTCTTGTAAGGGACTGCAAGGGTACACGTCGGCTACCATGTCCTTGCTAACACTGCACTGCGTTGCCACTTCTTCAATAATGTCTTCCTTGGATACCGGACCCCTCAATAAACTGAAAGGTTTGGTCTCAGCTAGTGTCTCTTTAGCCGATTTGCACTTCGAAGACATTTCTTTCAGAGAAGGATGACGGAAAACGTCTAAGACACTCAGAGTGATATTCCGAGACCGAGCCATTCCCACAAGCTTCATGGCTGCCAGAGAGTCACCGCCGAGCCTAAAGAAGCTATCTTCACTACCAATCGACGTTGTCGGTAGACTGAGGATCTCTGCCCATAGAATTTGCAAAGCTAACTGTGCTTTATCCGTAGGGGCCTGTCTTTTAACTGTAGTCATCAAAGAATATGTTTTGATGGCGTCTCTAGAAAGATCGTTAATCTCTCCGTGAAGTTTCTGACGATCAAGCTTGCCGGAAGTAGTAAAGGGGATGGAAGAGACTGGGAAGAAGAGCTTTGGGATCATATATGATGGCAAGACTTTCGCAAGGGACACTTCTAGCGTTTTAATCGTATCCTGAATCGAGTCATTCATTTGTAGTAGTAACTTTTCGTCACGTTGACCGATGCTTTCTACACCATTCACGTTCATATGGGGAGTGAAAAACATTGCGAGTTTCTTTGCACCGGGCTGCGACCCAGGAGCGGCAAGATCGACCGCCAGCTGCAAATTTTGGGGCATGTGTTGCGCACATTGGTATTCAATTTCACCTAATTCGATACGCTGACCATTAAGTTTGATCTGCATATCCATTCTTGCCATATAGGTGATGGTGCCATCTGTATTGTAACGAACAAGGTCACCCGTGCGATACATGCGGCTTCCAGGAGCAACAAGTTCTCGAATTTTCTTGTTGGTTGCCCAAGTAGGATCTTTAATAAAAACTTCTTTCGTCTTCTTCTCATTGTTGAGATATCCGCGACCCACGGTATGACCTTCAATTACCAATTCGCCGATGGCTCCTATAGGCACGAGTTTGTTGTAGTCCCTCTGATCTACAATCCATGATCGACCACCAACTGCTCTACCGATGACAGCAGGGTCAAAGTTGACGATGTTACCAGATAAATCAACCTTGTCATGTGCGGCGCAGACAACAGAGCACTCGCTAGGACCGTATGCCTCAACTAGACGTACCGATTTCGACCATTTCTCGATGCTGCCTGGGGTCAGTTTCTCGCCTCCCATAGCGATCACTTTCATAGTCGGTATGCTTTCTGGTTTCAGCGTGCTAGCGACGGAAGGCGTTATGCACATCCAGTTGGCGCGGAGTCTTCCGATACTACCGGCAATGTCGTTCATGCGTTCTTCAGCACTAGGCACGCAGACACATCCACCCAAGACAAGGACTGATAAGATATCCAAGATGGATGCATCGAATGTATAAGAGGCAAACTGATAAGAACGCGTCTTCGAATCCATGTGAAGGGCATTACCATGAGCCAAGGCAGCTGTGCAGAATTGGCCATGCTCTATGACTGTTCCTTTAGGCTTTCCAGTTGACCCAGAAGTGAAGATGATATAGGCAGTATTATGTGGTTTGACAGGGGAAGATACCTGGCCATGGACCTTGGGGAGCTTTTGCAAAGCACCCTCGCTCACAGTGATGGCATTTTTCGTGATTTGTGAAATTTTGTCATATTGATGAGCTGATGTCAATACCGTGTGACCTTGAACATCCTCTATCAAGCTTCGAATTCTGTCCTCTGGGTGTGATGGATCAAAGGATACAAAGGCGCCTCCTGCTTTAAGCACCGCTATTTGCGCAACGATGGCCCATGCTGACTTTTCGAAGAAAAGAGGAACAACGACTTCCGGACCTACACCATGCCCTTGGAGATGCTTTGCGAGACGATTGGCGTGGATGTTTAATTCTTGATAGGTAAATTTTGAATCCCATGCTTCAATCGCTTGGGCGTAAGATGGCTGTGTCAAAGACTGTTCTTCGATCAGCTCGTGGACACACTTTTCAGTCTTTTCCAGGGAGTCGCGATTCCAGTTGTAAACACTGATGCAACTCAGATTTCCAAAACAGTCAACGTCACCAATAGATTTAGTAGGGTTAAAGTCGTTAGCAATGTCATTTATAATCTTTTCAAAAGTGTCTGCGATATTCTTGGCCTGGATGTCTGACAGGTAATCCCTCCAGAAGCTGAAATGAACCTCAGTGGTCGTATCAAGCATCTCAACATTCACTGCCAATTTGTATTCACTGGGATCATGAGAATCAAACCCCTTGAAGGAAAGAGAAAGGGTAGTATCTTCTTCCAGTACACCGCGTCTCTGGAAAGTGAAGGCAGTGTTGAAAAGTGAGGTGTCTCCAAGACCGAGCTCATGTTGAACTTCCGCCAGCGAGATAGATTGGTACTCCATGCTCTTCACAAAGTCGAGCTGAGTCTTTTTCAATGCCTTTTGTAGCGACATATCTTTCTTTAAGACTATTTTGTATACCAACATATTGATGAAAGCTCCAACCGCGTCTTGTATGTTTTCCACTGGAATATCTCGTCCTGAAGCAACGTAGCCGAAGCATACTTCATCCGAGCCAGTGTATGTTCGCAAGAGCAAGGCCCAGGAAAGTTGGAAGAGGGCTGACATTGTAATACCCATCTCCCTGCAGAATGCACCTATCTTCTCGTTGTCCGGTAGAATCAATATTTCAGAGCCCAGCGCCTTTTCGCCCTTATTATCTTCTACCAAAGATGGGAAGAAGCAAGGCTCAGCACCTGAAAGATACTGTTTCCAATACTCAATACCCTTTTCCTTGGGTATGGTTTGCAGATGTGCAATGAAATCGCCGTACTTGGGTGGCTTGGAAGTGGCAGGAGGTAAATTCATGTATGCTCGTGAAAGATCCCTAATTATGATTGGCATAGATGATCCATCAGCGATAGCATTACTAATGTCAAATCGACAGAAGACCTTCCCAGATTTGGTCTTACAGATAGCAAGACGGTGAGGCGGGTTGCTATCTTTGAAGTCAACGCTGGGAATCTGTGATAATGATTCCCTAGCATCTGCTTCTGATGCATCGACAAAGACTATTCTTGCCTTTCCTGGCTTGAACACGATTTGATTCATTAGTGAGGACTCGTGACTGCCGTCAACAAAAATTGTTCGGAGAGCAGAGTGACGATCAGCAACTTTTTGCCAGGCTCTAGATAATCTCTCAATGTCGACCATTCCCTCGCCTACAGGAGAATCAACCTCAAACACGGTTTTGTAGGAGTAGGTAGTAGCGTCTCTGAGTTGACTGAGCAGAATTCCGTCTTGCATAGGAGAAGATGGGTAAATGTCTTCAATCTCGTCAAAGGATTGGATTCCAAGAGCAGCCAAACTCTGTTTTAGCTTTTTAATACTGTTGAATGATAACGGTAGTAGAGGAAAGTCACTCAAACTCGGTTGTAATTTCCTCATGGACGGATCGACAAGGGCATCGCATAACAAGTCTTTGCAGTCTCTAACCCATCGTCCAATGCCGGTCTGTCGTTTCATAACCTTGTTATAAGAAAATGACAGGCTCAGACTGTCCTCAACAATTATTGCGGAGATCTCAATAAGGGAGAATCGGGGAACTTCTGCACCAATGTCAAAAGAAGAATTGACTGCCTGACCTGTACCATTGATGGGCCGCAGCAACTTATTTTGATCTTTAGAACTCTTGTGTTGACCAAGGTAATTAAAAACAATTTCCATCGGCCAATGGTGACGGTGTTTTTCACTACCTTCCCAGGTAAGGAAGCGTTGGGCGAAGTAAGGCATACCCTTTCCTGGAGTTCTCTTGCGAATGTCCTTAACCCAGTGAATGCACTCGCGGAAATCATACCCATCATTTGATTCGGTATCAGAAGGTAAACGCACCGGACTTAGAGTTGTGAACCAGCCCACGGTACGTGAGAGATCAATATTGGGGTCCCAAGGCTCCCGCCCGTGGCCTTCGTTATAGATGCAAGGTGGTGTCTTCCGGTTAGGGAATACACGGCGGAAAGATAGAAGAAGGCTTGCGAGAAGAATATCAACCAACTCGGCCCCCAAAGCCCCATTGACCAGTTCAAGGATATCTCTTGTCTTTGGTGGCTCGAATTTGATTTCCTCGGTCACAACATCGCCATGAGTGTTTTTGATGTTTTCCATACCCCAGAACTCAAAGTCAGAAGTTGGCATATCATCCAATGGTAGAACTTTAGTTGATAGATTTTGTTTTGCAAAATCAACTTGCAATTTAGACCATTTTTGGAAGGAGGTTGCCTCACTCTCTGGGACGAGCCGCTCTTGTAAGATGTCTTCGAGATCTTGCATGATGATTCCCCAAGATACAACATCAATAACCAGATGATGGACGCAGATGAGGATTTGAGGATTGGATGATGGGTCGTCGACAAGCATCACACCAATAACGGGGCCATTGACGATATTCAGAGAACCCTGTACATCCTCTACCTCGCGAGGTACATCACCGGGATCGAAATATTCAACCGTACGGAACAAATATGAATCTTCGATAGACGATGTAATACGCTGCTTCCAGATACCATTTCCATCCCGCGAGAATCTAGCTCGTAGCATTGGATGCATTTTGACCAATCTTGTAATAGCGTTTCGCAACTGGGTTTTATGCAATGGTTTAGTTACCTCCATCATCATACTCTGATTGAATCGGTTGTTTTGGCGCTCCATACAACGGAAGTAGAGCGTTTGGATGGGAGAAAGATCAAACTCATGAAAGTTTTCTTCTTCGAGAATAGCCTTTTTAGGTGAGGTCACCAAGGTAGCGAGATGCCGGATTGACTTGCAGGTGATAATGTTTTCCACTGTTACGCCTAGATGTTGGGACCGACATTTTGACATCACGGCCATAGCTGACATACTATCACCACCCTAGATCAATGTTAGTTTCTTATTCAATAGATTTAGAATAGACCCTAGTAAATTTTGAACCTACCAGGTGGATGAAAGACCGATCTAGGCTTAGGCTATCAGAACCTATATTCAGAACAGAAGCCCAGATCTTTTGTAAAGTTGCCTCAGTCTCCGTTATAACAACGATCTTCCCTGGCGAGTCTTGCTCCGCTGCAGCCATGATCTTCGTGTAGACATCGTCACTTGTATTCTCAATAAATTGACTGATCATCCTGCGATTCAATTTCCCTGAAGCAAGCAGAGGAAGCTGTTCAAAAATAATCCAATTCGAAGGAACCATATAGCCCGGGACCTTTTTCCCGAGTCTATCCCGCATTGGCTGAAGCTTTTGCATTGCAGGCTTGGTAGTCACAACTTGTAGACTACCGCTTTCAGACTTTAGGTCCGATTGGTTGCGTAGAGAGAGGACAGCAACGAGCTTTTTCGCAAATTTGCCAGATTTTGGCACAAAGACAACAGCGTTCAAGATCTCGCCGTCAGAGTTCAGATGATGCTCGATTTCTTCAAGTTCAAGTCGTTGTCCATGGATCTTTGCCTGATTATCCTTTCTTCCGATGTAAATCAATTCTCCAGAATTGTCAGGTGCGTACTTCACGAGGTCCCCTGTCCTATACATCCTTCTCTCTACGTCTCCATAAATAGACTTGTGCGTAGCCCAAGTTGGATTCTTAATGAACACTTCTGCAGTCTTCTGCACGTTATTCAGATAGCCTCTAGCCAAAGTCGGTCCTTCAATAAGGAGTTCTCCAATGGCGCCGACAGGCATTAACCTGTTGTGATTGCCTGGATCAACAAGCCATGCATTTCCGACGGCAGTTCCGATATTAGAGGGACTGGTTTCGGATACCATACGTGGCTTGACGGCAGCAACTATAGAAGTTTCCGTAGGACCATACCCGTTGATCAATCGGAGCTCATTTGCCCAAGTCGTGAGATGATTCGGTGCCATGGCTTCTCCTACGAGAGCTAGATTCTTCAGACCAGGAACATCACAAGGCTTGATAGTTTGGGCCATGCTTGGAGTAAGAAGCGCGGTGTTTATAGTTTTCTCATTAATGAATTGAGCGATGCCATTGAGTCGAGTATTGTCATGAGGAACACAGACGCAGCCGCCCATAACCAGAACTGTGAGAGTTTCGAGTATACTTGCATCAAATGTATAGGACGCGAACTGAAGGACCCTTGAAGATGGCCCGAAAGAGAATGCTGGGCCATTTCTCACCGCCCCTGAACAGAAACCAACATGTTCAACTAGTGATAGAGTCAGACCAAGCTATTTAGCAGGTGAAATAAAAATGAATAAACTTACTGATGCACCCCTTTGGTTTCCCAGTACTTCCAGAAGTGAAAATAACATAGGCAGCAGAACTTGGATCATTCTTCTTCAGCGATACCTGCTTATTCGGTAGCATGGTGAGAGCGCTCATATCAACGGCCAGAGTCTGCTGGACGACTTCCTTGCACAAGGACAAGTACTTGGGAGAGCACAAAATAAGATCTGCCTCGATGTCCACGATTATTTCTCGACGTCGAACTACCGGATGTTGAGGGTCCAAAGGAACGAACGCACAACCAGCTTTCATGATAGCTAGCATGGACACGATAGCAAAGGCAGATTTCTCAAAGCAAACCGGAATGAAACTTTCCTTCTTTCCATTAACAAGCTCGGCGATGTGATGGGCGAGAATTGTCGAATGTTCATCAAGTTCTCGGTAAGTGAAGGAGCCATCCCAAGCGCTGACTGCAGGGGCATCCGGCTGCGATTTGGTATTCTCATCGATCAGCTCGTAGATGCATTTATCGACGCGGTCCAGACTGAGCTCTGCATTCCAGTTTTGAATTACAGAAAGATCATCGGTACTGACTATTTCAACGTTTCCAATCTTTTCTTCTCTGTTCTGTTCAGAACAAACCATTGCAAGTACGGTCTTAAATTGATTCAACATTCGCTCCAACTGTATTTCGGGAAGGACATTTTGGTCATAATGCACCTGAACTTCTAATTCAGACTCCCACATGAAGCACGAAACATTCAAAGGGTAAGTATAGAAATTCGTCTCGCCTGAATTGGCACTCAGAAGAGACATAATGCCTTCAATGTCATCTGAATCTCCATGTGCAATAGAAAACAGAGTCTGGAAATCGCACGCTGCTTTCGCATCTTCGCCGAAGCCCCTGATATTTTGCAGGCCAGTAAACTGGTATGGTATCAAAGAAGCGGCCTGCTTTTGAATACTTTGTAGAAATTGAGCAACTGTCAATTCTAGATCAATCTGTAATCGCATTGGCACAATTGATAAAATGGGGCCAATGATATCAGCAATTCCAGGAACCGGGGCATCGCGACCTGTCATAATTTCTCCAAAAATAACGTCCTCGGAGAAAGAAAATACAGAACTTGTCAAAGTCCAAGCTGCGCGAACTATGGATGGCAGTGTAGCTTCTAGGCGGCTTTGCGTCGGAAGTCTGAACTTCTTGGTAAGGCGATTTTTCGGTGATGGTTTGTAAGATGCATTGGGTAGAGCAGGAAATTGCACCCTAGTCAATCCATCCAACTGCGCCGTCCAGAAATTTTTGGCTTCTTCGGAATCAACGCTGGCGAGGTATTTTATGAAATGGAGGTAGGAATTGTTTGGCTGTTTTGCTCCTTTAAGGCCATCTTCGTAGTAAGCTCTCAATTTGTCTAGAAGAATAGGCATGCTCCATCCATCGTAAACTGCGTGATGGGCAGTCCATACAAAACGTGGACTATTCGAGGACTCCCCAACGATCGTATATCTAGATAACCTTCCTCCGTTTGTCGCCAATGGTGAACCGCTAGGAGAAGATAAGGCGCTCATTTCAAGAATCGATTCCCACTCCAGAGACTCGCGAACAACAACCTGGAGAAAACCCCCTGATTTAGAATGCACAATTCTCGTTCTGAGTATAGCCTCCGCGTAAGCCAATTTCTCCCATGCTTGTTTGAATTTAGCAATATCGATGCCATTTGTCAGTTCGTAAACATTCTGAGTGACATACGACCCTGGTTTTGTATTTGACAGAGCGATGAGTCCTTCTTGAATTGCAGTGCATGGATAAATATCTTCAATGGAATCTGCGGGAATCCGGCAGACTGTGGACACTTCATCCTTGAGCTCGGCGAGAGAAACCGAGCTATCGAGCATTGAGAAGGGAATTATTTCTACGTCCATTTCTGCAATGGCGGTTGATGACAGTCCTGAGATGCTCTGAGCCATTTCGGAAAGCATAGGGGTCTTCAGAATATCTGCAACTCCAATCGTGTATCCCTCCTTGCGAGCGGCCGTTACTAGTTTAATGGCTGATATGGAATCACCTCCATGTCGGAAGAACGTATCTTCTGCACTGATAGTAGAAGCATCAACGGATAAGACTGACACCCACAGCCTCTGTAAAACCTTTTCGGCATCAGTAGATGGCGCTCGGCCACTTCTACCTCCAAGTCTATATGCAGATGCGTCTCCCGATAGTATTTCCTCGGCCGAAACTCGCAACAAGCGTCGATTCAACTTCCCTGAAGATGTCATTGGCAAGAAAGATACTGGTATGTAGACATTCGGTACCATGTAACTCTGCAACTGGGAAATCAGAGTGGATTTGGTAGCCAGTGCTATGTCTTGAAATTTCTCCGACATGGACAGGATAAACTCTGAATCGTTATGTACCTGTGCTTTGCTTTCTGCTTGAAGACAGACGAATGCAACTAGAGCTTTCGACGTTATACTTCCATTGCGGGTGACGATCAGGTCAACTGAGCACTGGCTTTCTGCAGGTAGTGCTGCTTGCATTCTATGCTCGATTTCACCCAGCTCAATTCGTTGGCCGTTCAACTTAACCTGCGTGTCTTTGCGGCCGAGATACACCAGCGACCCATCAGAGTTGTATCGAACCAAATCGCCCGTCTTATACATTCTATGGCCATTTCCAGTGGCAGTCTGCGCATTCGCGACCTTTTCAGAGATTTTTGATCTAAACGTCGGGTTTTCAATAAAACTCTGCTGTGTCTTTTCTGGGTTATTAAGGTAGTGACGCGCCAGAATAGGCCCCTCGATTAGCAATTCACCAACACAACCGATGGGAACTAGGTGATTATGATCACTGGGATTTACAACCCAGGTTAAACATCCTACTGCCCGACCAATATTCGTAACGTCACTCAACAGGCTCACATCGGCGTTATGACAGCAATTGATTGAACATTCCGTCGGCCCATAGATGTTCTGAAGCCGGAGAACCTTTGTCCACGTATCCTTGATTTCCTTGGTTGGAGCTTCGCCGCCAATTGCGAGACCCTTGAGCTTTGGAACATCGGATGGCTGGAGGAAAGATGCCACCGTTGCAGTCATGTCTGTGAAATTGACGTCGAGGTCATTGATCGCTTTTGCCAGGTTGTTCATTCTGTCGCTTTCAGATGGAACACATACACAGCCGCCACGCATTAATGGAGTGAATATCTCTTCCAGACTGTTATCGAAGGAGTAGGAAGCGAATTGCAAGAATCTGGTGGAGGAGTCAACACCTAGAGCGGCCCCATGGGCAGCAGCACTAGTCACTAGACTCTGGTGTTCAAGAACGACTCCCTTGGGGTTTCCGGTACTACCAGAGGTGAATATCAGAAACGCGGCATTTTCAGGGTTGGCCTGGTTCAGCATGGTGTTTTCAACCGTCTCGAGCTCTTCAAACAGTGACTCATCAACAGATATGGCATATGGGACAATATCTTCAAGTAAGTGGGCGCGGGATGGAGAAGAGAGGACGACATTGGCTCCGCTTTCAAGCACTCGAAGATCTAAAGCAGTCTTCGGATGGCCTGCGTCCAGGGGTACACAACCCCCTCCAGCTTTGAGAACGGCAATCATTGAAACAATGGTGTAGGCCGACTTGTCGAAGCACAAAGCCACAAAACTTTCCGGTTCAACACCAATACTAGACAAATAGCCGGCAAGGCGAGAGGAGAGCGCATCCACTTCAGAATATGTGAAGTGCCCATCCCAAGAACAGATAGCAGGGGCATTTGGATTTATCTGAACCTGTTCCTTAAAGACCTCGTGGATGCACTTTTTGATGGTCTCCGGTATTGAATTGTTCCATTGTGAAACTTGCTGCCAGTTCGCTGACGACATGTAGTCTAAATCACCCACAGCAGTTTCAGGATAGCTAATAATATTTTCGAGAGCTTTGATAAAAGTTTGAGCAATATTAGCCGCTTGACTAGTGGACAAAAGATCAGTCCAATAATCGAGGTCAATAACAGCCTCTTTGTCCGTGGCCTCGACGTTGATAGTAACCAAATATTCAGTTGGGTCGTGCAAGCCACCGCATTCCGAGAACTGAATAATCGGTGTTCCATCAACTTTGGGTGGGAGCTTTCTGTAAGAGAAACACGTATTAAAAAGAGCTGTGCCAGAAAGACCCAATTCGTGTTGAACATCGGCCAAGGAAAAGTGCTTGAATGGTAGACTGTTCATATAGTCGCCCTGGATTCTTTCTAAAAGACTGTTGACAGTGGCATCAGACGGCATGTTGATTCTACAAGCTAGCATATTGATCAACGGCCCAATCACTTCTTCAGCGCTTTCAATCGGGGCATCTCGCTCTGATATTAGATATCCGAAGCATACATCCTCGCTTCCAGTGAAACAGCGAAGTGTCAGAGCCCAGGCTCCATGCAAAGCGTTCGCAACGGTCAATCCGTATTTTTCGCATGTTTCTTGAAGTCGACCAAAGCCCTGAAAATCGAGACGGAGGTTTGTGTATTGTTTCACCGAATCATGCCCGTCGTTGAGTACTGATATATGGCATGGCTCCACTCCAGAAAGGTATGTCTTCCAGTAGTCAATAGCGGCATTTCTGGGCTGTTTGTTCAGGTATGAGATAAATTTGCTGAAGAGCGGATTAGGACCCTGAACCAGCTTCCCGCTGTAAGCCCTTTGGAGATCCCGCAGGATTAGCGAAATTGATGTTCCGTCCATGATAGCATGACTCATCTCTAGTCGACAGAACAAACGACCAGAATTAGTCTCACAGATAGTGAATTGATGCAGTGGCTTGCGGTTATTAAATTCCATAATATGGGTATCAAATACAGACAAGACTTCATTATCATCAACAGAGCGAATGATTTTAGGGGGGAAAGCATAATGATGCAGGACAACCTGAGAATAAATATCATCTGAGCTCAGATTTTCGACAAAGAGTGTTCGGAGCATTGCATGTCGGTCAATAACTCTCTGCCATGCCTGTGCAAGAAGCTGTGCATCCACTTGGCCGACGGACGATTTGATTTCGTACGTTCCCCGAACAGCATAAAACGAACTATTCCGGCTCGTGGATATCATAAGTCCTCGCTGCATTGGCGAGCATGGGTAGATATCCTCAACTTCATCAAGCGCTGCGATACCTAGAGCTGGTAATCTTTCAGCGGTGAGTGCTGAGAGGTCGGTGTAATTCAAGGATAGCAGCGGAAAATCACTTATCGTCGGGCGAGGTTTCAAAGACACCAGCTGATTTGATAGTTGACAAAGCGCCTCTCGACAGGATGTGATCCAACTCCGAATTTGCTTCTGGTGCCTCATGGAGCCATTGAAAGAGAAAGTGAATCGCAAAACATCTTGAACAACGACGGCAGATATCTCAAATAGGCCGAACCGCGGCGTATTTTTTCCAAAGTCGGCTGCTCCTCCACCTTGACTTGTTTCACCGGCTAGACCTTCGACAGGCTGGAACAAAGCACCAGCTCGTTCCAACTGTTGATAGCGACCTAGATAATTGAAGCTGATCTCCATAGGCTGGTATTGATTTTCGCAGTTGCCTGTCAGAATGCTGTTGGCAAAATACTCTCTTCCGTTATCTTCGACCTGCCTGCGGCGGTCTTTAACCTGGACTAGAGTGTCAACCAAACCATTTAAAACTTCTTCTTCCACAAATACTGGATAGATTATGGTAAACCATCCGACAGTTCGAGAAATATCGATTCCTTCGTCCCACGTTTCTCTCCCATGACCTTCGTTGTGCACGACAGGGGAATTATGGTCAGGAAAGGTCTTTCTGAAGGAGTATAGCAAGGAGGCCACCAAAAGGTCCACGGTCTCGGTTCGCAGTGCAAAGTTAGAATCACCCATCACTAACGCTGTTGTTTTGGGATCAAGTTCAAACCCATCACAAGCAACCTCACCATATGTATTAGTGGCCTCACTCATTCCCCAGTACGAGAGGTCACAAAGTGGGACATTGTCGATAATCATACCCGCTTCATATATTCTCGCTGCTTGGAGCTGACACCAGTCTTGAAACGGCAGAGTAGGTTCAAGAAGTGACAATGAAGCAGAGTGTGTAAGAAGCTCTTCTAAGTCTTCAAGTATTACACGCCAAGACACCAAATCAATAACGAGATGATGCGCAACCAGCGACAGAAGTTGGCAATCATCCTTTACATAGAATAGATCGACTGACAGAACTAGGCCTGTAACAGCATTGAGAGATGCCTGGCTCTCAGCAATGGCATCTTTCGCCTGCTTTCGAAATAGTAGCTGATGAACTCTGAAACGATAAGACTCGTCGTATCGACTCGTTATCCGCTGCTCCCACTTTTTTTGCGCAGTGTTATAAGAGAAGCGGCCTCGTAGCATAGAGTGACGTTTTATAATCGTTGTAATGGCGCTCAGTAAATCCTGTTCTGTAACTTGGCGGTTAAGACGTAAAAAGAAACTTTGGTTGAAGTGTCCTTGTTCGTCAGTGCGGGCGTGAAAATGCAACTTCTGTATCGGCGACAGGTCAAAGAATTTGTCGATCTCTTCATGATACTCGTTTTGACGTCCAACTGGCTTGACGCAGTTTGCAAGCTCCTTGATTGACTTACTTCGTAATATTTCCTGCACGCTGAAGCCGAGACCAGCCTTTTTGCACTGGTTCATGCATGTCATGGCGGTGATAGAATCACCACCTAGGCTAAGAAAACTGTGATTCAGGCTTGTCTTCGATAAAGAAATATTAAGAACCCGGCTCCATATCTGGCGTATTTTACTTTCGACATCGGTCATTTCCTCCTCGAAATCTCCAAACACTTCCTCTGACACAGGGAGCAGCTTGTCTATAGCCTCCTGTGTTAGTGTCTCAAGCCATCGGAGAGTAGTTCTGCGGTCCAATTTGCGAGATGCAAGCACGGGAAATGCTTCCACACACACCCATATTGAAGGGACCATATAGCTCGGCAAAATCTCACCCATCTGCTCTCGAAGGTTGGAAATATGCACTTGATGAGTAGCATTCTCGAGAAGTTTTAGTGGAACTGGACTGCTGGGCATGTTTTCAAGCAAGCTGTCGCTGAGTGAAACAATTGCAACCAGCTTTTGCGCCACAGGGCCAGATTTTGGTAATAAAACGAGGCCATGTTTTGTGGCCGAGTGACGAATTAGATGCGATTCAATCTCTCCCAGCTCGATTCGCTGTCCATGAAACTTGACCTGGGTATCTTTTCTACCAACAAAGTCAAAAGAACCAGCATCGGAATTATACCGAACCAAGTCCCCAGTTTTATAAAAACGACGCTGTCCATCGTTGTTGGCATCTTGTGACCATGCAGGATCAAAGATAAAAGCTTGAGCAGTTTTCTCTGCGTTATTGAGATAACACCGAGCTAATGATGGACCCTCCAACAAGAGTTCCCCGGTGCAACCAATAGGAAGCAGAATATCGTGATTTTCCGGATCTACAACCCAGCATCTCACGGCGACCGGAAACCCGATGTCTTGAGAAGCGGTATTACTGGAGATATTTGAATTGACTACGGCGACCACAGAGCTCTCTGTGGGCCCGTAGCCATTGACAAGGTTGATCGATGACCATGTCTCAATATTAGCTTGCGTGAGAGCTTCGCCTACCAATACAAGTATTGAAAGACCTGGCACTTCGGCAGGCTCAATGAATCGAATAAACGAGGGGGTGAGAGAGGCATGATTCACGCGCATCTCATTGATTGCGGGAACAATCCCGTTCAGTCTAGCATCTTCACTGGGAATACACACGCAAGCACCGCACATAAGTGGAGTGAGGATCTCAGCCAAACTGGCGTCGAATGTGTGGGCAGCGAATTGCAGCACGCGCGAGTCAGAGTCTATCAATATGGCTGGGCCATGGGCGCGGGCACCTGAGCAGAATGCTTGGTGCTCAACCACCGTCCCCTGATGATCAATCAGCTTCACATCCATATCAATTCGAGAATGAATAAGTTTTCAGCGTCTTACCTTTGGCTCTCCCGTCGAGCCTGAGGTAAAAAGCACGTAAGCTGCGTTCTTGCCGTGGACGGAGTCACCCGTTTGCTCCTTCCCACCCGCTGCTATGAGAGACTCCAGCCACTCTCCATCCAGCGCAACAACCTTCTCAACGGCCTCTTCCAGCCGAGAAGCATGTTGAGTCGAGCACAGCGTCACTTTGGCTTCGACTGCTTGCACTAGAGCCCGAAGTCGGGCAATCGGGTGGGTTGGATCCAGGGGGACAAAGGCACCACCAGCCTTTAACACCGCCAGCATGGCGACGATATTCCATTTCTTGCGATTTTTCATCAGCTATGTTTTAAAATACTGCTACAGAAGCAACTACTTACCGACTTATCAAAACAAAGCGCGACTCGAGTTTCCGGCCCCACTCCGACGTTCATCAGATACAAGGCGAGCTTGGTGGCAAGCTGATCAAGCTCGAAATACGTGAGTGAGCCATCCCAGGCACACACCGCCTCTTTTTCAGGGTGACTTGAAACTTGGTCCTCGATGATCTGATGGATGCATCTGTCCACCGTTTCCGGTCGGACAGCGTTCCATTTCATGATCTGGTCTTTCTCATCAGGGGTGATCAGACACAGACTCTGGATGCAAGAGTCTAGATCATTAGTCAAGGAGTTAAGCATGCGACTATATATATGCGACACATTAGAAGCAAATGACGCAGAAACCTCCGGATGTCGCCATTCGAGAAAAATGCTAAGCGAGCTATTTACGTATTTTGCCAATACTCGGATCTTGCACTAAAACCACTCAGCGATAAATCGAACTTACAGTGGAAGAGAATTTACCTCTTCTGAAAAAACCATTGCAGCTTGTGAAGGTCCCAGAGCGGCCGTTCTCGGCGCATTCGTTGCCGAACTCCGCACTTGAAGTGTCACTGTCGTGTTGTAGTGAAATTGTGATTGTTTCAATCGTCCCTGCCCATTAATCCCTCCGTTCATTCCGTACTTACCATCCTTACCTTGGAAATCATCCAATACCTCCCTCGGCGACATATTATCATTAATCCTGGTCCTTGCGACAGATGACCTCGGTTTCTGACGCGAACCAGCCAAGTCGAACTCATCGTATCCAAAACACACCTCGGTTAATCCAGTGTAGTAATACAAAACCAGCGCCCAGGCCGATTGAAGCAAGCTGGTGATAGCATCCTGGTCATTTTCAGCAATCTTCTGAATCGCCAGAACATTAAATGCCAGCCGCGAAGTCATGCGACGTTTAATTCCAGTCGCGGGATTGGCACTGCGCACTATCGGAAGATAGCATGCCACAGACTCTCTGACTAGATCAGAGCTTAGATGTTGAGTAGAAGATGTCATTGTGTCTTCTTTTGTGGTGTTGATTATATCTTAATATCATTAGCATATTTCATATCTCCAAGATCCAATACTAACGTGTGTATGTAATATGGCTCGCTGAGAAACGCGATGAGATATATGGATTTGATAAGAGTATCCAACAGTCCCAGAGTGCAAGTCCTGGTCTGGACAAACATAGAGGTTTGTTTGTTAGATATTACAATATCAAAAGCGTCAACTTTACAGCGGACCGCAATTCTTTGGATTTAGCTAAGACTCCGACACACGTTGCGGTCTGTTAATACCTCGTATGTTCAATAGCCAATATCCCTTGACAACGATTTAGTCTAGATCTTGTAAAAAGATTAATCATGGGATAGCTGAAGCAACCCTTTTTTTCCTTCCAGATCCACCTGACTCAGGGCTTATGCCTTGAAGTAGCAAGGGAAACTACTGAAACAAGCGATATTATTAAAAGCCGATGAACAAATTTTGGAGCTAATCAGTGTAACCAACGCCACTGGGGACAGAGAAGCGCTAAAAAAATTTACAAATAACCCCAAGTGATAGTGCCACACATTGCAAGACTGTTACTAAGTATATACTAGCAAATGCAAAATGGGTGGGACAATACGCTTTCGGACTGACAATAATCATCTAAGACAGAGTCCAAAAGTAACAAGGAATCTCGAAGGCACGCGTAATTCGGTAAGAAGGGTGCTGTATTGATTGAATACACGCTCTAGGATACTATTTGAGACAAGCATGGCCGGGGAGCATCGGAGTGGAGCGGATCCATCGCCTGGTTGGTGTGAGGCTATTTCCCGCGAGAGCAGAGCAGAGTGCAGGCGCAGTGCAATGCAGTACAGTACAGAGTTGGCCCAGACCGAATGACTAGTATCACATACCAGACTAAATACGCGTACGCATGTGGATGCCGTGACATAGTGCCGGAGTCTATATCCTTCTGGAAATCGGAGTTAGTGGGTGGTGCCGATTCTCGAGGACAGGGTGCTAGTGTTACCCATGCCTAGTTACTGTGGACAATGCCGTCCCTTACAAGGTCCTTACAATGTCCCTGCCAGGCAGGAGCTGTGGAGGGAGCCGGGATTAGCTATAATTATGACTACTATTAGTATGAGAGGGGGCAAAAAGAAAAAAACATGATTGTGCGAGCAAGACAACGTCATTCGTGGCACCACAACATCACGCGTCGACGCAGTATTGCGGAGCCCTAAAGCTGATTACGAAAACTCAGCGAGCTTCCCATCCAAGTGAAAAAAGAGCGACAAAAAGGAATCAATCAGTCAGTCATCCCTCATCCCTTATGACTCAGAAATCGGATATAATAGCATTGTGGATCGGGGAACCAGATCGTCGATATGATGTCGACTAGTCTGCTGTCAAGGCCAGACAGTGAGGCGATTGATGACAGTCTTGCCGCCGTCGCGGGAGCCAGTGGTTAGCCTGACTGCCGCAAGGGCCGGCGCATCGATAGTTTTATTAGTTCGGCTTCTGTTCGGACTTAATTTTGTATATGTATATATATTTTTTTTTGGTTCGTGATTTTTTAATTTAGTGTTTGGCAGTAACTTGGCAGTGGCGTTGTCATTCGAACTGCCTCGAACTTTGCTGTAGCTGTATCCCTGGCTATAGTATCAACAATATTAAATACGAGGACTTCGCTTAGCAGATACGATTTGCCCCCCCACAGCGCCTCCATGTGGAAGGCTGGCCTAGCTAGTCATGGATCAGCGCAGAAACGAGCGTGGCTGAATTTAGGTTAAATCTATCTGAGACCTCCTTGCGTTTGCTGGCTGCTGGGTAGCTGACGCAAGGTCCCATCATCGAATATGATAATATTATTAATATAATATCATATAATATGCCAGCAGCCGACGGTCCAGGCTCTGTTGTGTTGGCTGGCCATTGGCTCGCGGAGGCATTGGGGGTCAGAAAAAGGAATGAGACGAGGCCAATCACGGCTAGAAATGACCTCCACGAGAGAATTGTTGATTTAATGACGACATGAGATCAAGACAGTACACCCACAGCCTGTCAGGATATTAACGATATGTCCCGAATGAGATATTGAACGTAGGACGAATAAGTTCACCTGTTAGGCGAGCACATTAGTATGGCATAGTACGGGAACTAGGGCGGAGTAAACCGGAACACAATATCCAATGCATTGCCTCTCTAGCGTATACGGACAAATGTCGTACCCATATGAAGAACTAGGGTCACCGAGTACTCGGTTCCTATTGTGAGAGAAACGCTGGGGTCGCAACTCAATTATTGGCTTGTTTTAAAACCGCGCGGGCTCCTCAGAATTGGCCTATCAGAACAGTGGCCCATTGTCCAGTGGTCCCAAATGCATTCTCTATGCTCCTCCGTACGGAAGGAACAGTACGTATCAGAAGGATTGTTAAACTTCAGAGTCAACGGGGCATGATTCAGAATCTGAGAGCTCTCCGGACGAGCATAGGAAGAAGCCTGGGAATGGCGGGCTCGTACGAGGGCGCGGCAGCCTAGCGGGTCGATCGGCTACGATTCGTGCAGGGGCTGACCCCTGGCCTGGACAGCTTGGCCGGTACTTTCTGAGTAAATTTTATATGAGTTTATCGATTTTGGAATATGGAGGCAAATTGCAGTGCTACATCAGACAATCGGAGTTCGCTCCAGCAGCTAATCAGCGCTGAATTTGGCATTGTCAACAGCGAAGCTATTGGCGGTCTGTCGCGCGTGCGCCCCGTCAATTTGTATGGATTTATATTTAGTGGTGAGTTGATGGCATCAGATATTGCAAAGATCCTGTGAGCTGTAAATAGATGCATGCAGGATTTAACTATATTCTCATTGCGTCCGGATTGACCGAGCGCGACATATCCTCGCACATATGCCAATCCATATGATGTATAAATGATGAATGCCAGCAGTCAAAGCATTGCCCCCTTTCGATGCGGGCATCAATCAATGCTTGCATGAGCAGTAACACATCTCTGTTATGTGTCATATTGTCTGCCACCGCTCCGAATTCCGAGCGAGGGCGGTCAGCACACGAAAACTTTGATCCTGGGCGATCAGGAGGTGAGAATAGGGGGATAGGAGAATAGGAAACATAGCCAATAAACTTCAGACCCAACCGGTTCATACTGCCATTGACTCCAATTAATCTATTATTATCTTTCTCGCCAGGCTGACATAGCTCAAATATTCGATATAACCAACACTTCGCTGATAATTCATTTGTCGTGACAGTTGCGCAATGGCTCCCGCTAGCCAGCGGGATGTTCGATCATAAGCCCCGCCATTAATGTTATTGACAAACATTATTTGGACATCCACTCAACTCCTTGACAACCATCAAAAGCATAATTATGCGCAACGCTTGGCTCAAGCCCAAACAAAGGCTATTGTTTTTAGCCTCCACATAGCCAGTGGGGTCCGCCGGGTCATGTTGGCCGATGATTCGCAACTGACGTAGGAAACACTAGTAATCCGAAACCCCAAAAAGAGCAAAGGGAGCATAACAGTGATCTAATTCGATTCCATCGCTTCGGTAGGCTCTTTTTCCCGACCGGAGCCATTGATGGCAATTCGGAAATTTAATCGGATAAGCCGTGGCTGCTGCTAAGTCTCTAGGCTGTTAATTTGTTCTTGTGTGATCCATTAGTCGTCCGGTATGTAACTCGAATGTTAGATTGATATATTTCCCGTCTTATCCTAGACCAGCTCTGCGTGCGAATGGTGTTTAGCCCCACAAAAACGTGCTCAGCATGCAGCAGACCCAGCTTTGGGTACAACTGGCGGGCTGGTTCTTCTTCAGGCTTGTACCAGCGTCAGCCATTGCTCCAGACGCAATGCATGTTCCAGGACCTAGCCAGACAGCGTGGTGGCTGCCCGACAAATAAGACCTCACATCGCCCTGAGTGACATACTCGTACGTAGCGTAGGGTCGTGTTCTGGAATGAATCAGATAGAGCTATAAAACTGCAGGATCCACTTCCCGTGCCTCGATGAAGGGATTATTTGTTCACGCAGCTCGCCCTGCGGCTTGTATCTCTGGCGATCGCCCGCCAATAGTCGATATCCCGGGGCGCTAACTGCTCCCCTTCAGTTAGCGCTCCCCTTCAGTCTCGGCCTGCGTAGAACACGATGGCAGGATGTAACGCTGTGTGGGAGAAGCAATATTCTGCCGTCACTCTGGGGTATCTGATGGACGATGGAGGATGGAAGAAAAAGAAAACGGAAGTGTGTAGCGAGCCGGCTCCTTCCCCTGTCAACCACGGAGCAAAATGTCCACTGGCTCCTGCCGAAGAGGAAGGAGAAGCGCCTTCCGGTTCAGGCAACAATCGCTGGCCTCGCCGGCAATAATTCGTCCAGAGCCTTGCTTGCCTCCTCCGAACCGCCCTGGACCTGAACTTGGACCCTGGCCCTTCACGATTGGTCTTCGGCGTCGACAACACTTTCATCCTTTCGTGATTATTCTCATCCCTAATTACGAGTTCACGATGGTGACTGCGCTCAGCCATCGACGGATATACCCGCCGCGCCGTGTTTTCTTGCAGATGTATACACCCCATCGCTTCTTTTTGCCATCCGTAGGCCGCTGCAGCCGATCTAGTTCATCTGTTGCATCGTTGAGCCGCCTCTATGTTTAGGCGACGAACTGGCCGGAGTCTTGGGCCGAAAAAGGAAGGACTGGAGGTGTAGTAAGTAACGTGTACTATCCAGAAGTTACAGCGGTACGTGCCAGGCCAGTCTCGTATTCGTCGTACAAGACTCGACCCAATCTTACAGTCCATCTTGTAACACTAATAGTCGCACTTTATGACCAGGTAGACTCTAGCCTAGCTCGCGAAAGGGTGAAGACCTAGAATTAGCAGCACAGATCCACCTGCCTGACTTCCGAGTCGAGGGCGCTATCCCTGCAGCCCACATCAATCTCCGATCCACATCATATACAGCCCGACAACTGCGTTCGTTCTCATTCTCCACAATACGTGCGGAGTATTGCTAACAATAATTCTGGCTCAACGCTGCCGTAAGGCATGGCCCCTACTAGTGAGCTATTTTCCGCACAATTTCAAGACATGCAGACTCCAGATGTCGCCACCGCCAAATCATCTCACCTCCTGGCTCAGCTCATGTACACCTCTCGTCCTCTGAGAACTGGCGTAGTTCACTACCCCGTACGTTGACTGCACGTCCCTGGCGAATGCTTCGGGAAACACGAGGCTAAATCAGATGATTTGATGACCCGCATAGGGTCAAAAACCATCAATTGCCATCTCCGCGGGTGGATATTGTCGATGTGACAATTCAGGCCTGTTTTTGTCAACATTCGACAACTTTCATGTCTGGATACTGTAGTGCAATTGTCCTTTAGAGCACGCTGCCATCAACATGGCTTCCAACTCAACAGCCTCTTGCTACGAGATAGACAATTCCTTCCAATACTATGCACAGGATTGTCGTGGCGGCTTTGATTTCACCCTCCTGTTCGAGGAAACCATTCTGACTGCTCTTCCATTGGGTATTCTGGTTTTAATATCTCCGCTCCGGATTTGGAACCTCCTCAACCGGCCAACGAAAGTTGTCGAAAGCTTCCTACTTCCATTGAAGATTGTATGTACATCAGCAACGTCTTAGTATCCTCCTCGCTCTATACTAACGTTCCCGCTCGTCCTTCAGGCCTCATATGCCGGGCTTGGTGCAGCCCAGCTCGCTTTATTGACGTTATGGACATTACCAAACACCGAAAGGACCAGCGCGTCCATTCCAGTGCAAGCGATTTCCTTTGGCTCAACCGGCGTCTTTTGTTTGCTGTCTTACTTTGAGCACACTCGTTCCGTCAGACCCTCGTTTTTACTAAACGTATACCTCTTCTTGACCTTACTCTTTGATATTGCACGATGCCGAACGCTGTGGTTGAGGGATCCGAATACTTATGGCCGGACAATAGCAGTCCTCTTTACTGCCTCCGTCGCCTTGAAGGCAGTACTAGTCCTACTTGAAGGTCTGGAGAAGCGATGGACTTTGCGATCCGAGTACAAAGATTATCCACCCGAAGCGACTGCTAGTACCTATAACCGAAGTTTCTTTTCGTGGCTAAATCCTCTCTTTATGAAGGGGTTTACGTCGCTGGTTCGTGTGGATGATCTATTTGTCGTTGACAAAGACATGCTTTCCGAACGTGTTCACGCCCGATTGGAAGCGGCTTGGAACAAAGGTAGATTTGAAGCTCAATATAATAAGTATCTAAAGCAGACTGACCGTACATAGTTGCCAAAAAAACGCCATATTCATTGTTTCTTGTGTCACTCTCAACCCTAAAGTGGCACATTCTAGCTGTCATTCCGCCTAGAGCATTCCTCATTGCTCTTAACTTCTGTCAGCCTTTACTTATCAATCGGGCGGTGTATCTGTCAGTTGACAATGTAACACCTTGGACCACACATGTTGGCTATGGGCTCATCGGCGCCTACATCATTGTCTATGTTGGGGCAGCAGTGAGTGCTATCATATACTGAACGGCATTGGACATGTAAATCTAATGTTTAGCAGATTGCCATGGGTCAATACCAACATCTGTCATACCGGGCAATCACTATGGTTCGCGGCGGTCTTATCTCTATGCTAACCCGCAAAACAACCGATCTCAGCGTACGAGATGTAGACCCCGCTTCATCCTTGACATTGATGAGCGCAGATATCGAGCGCATTGTTCAGGGTTGGCAAACCATGCACGAAATGTGGGCGAATTTGATTGAGATTGCCGTCGCGATCGTCTTGCTAGAAGCACAACTTGGAGTGTCCTGTGTTATTCCTGTCGCTGTCGCAATAAGTATGTATCTTTGAAAACAAATTAAGTTACCGAGAGATTTTTCTAATATAGCGCGCAGCCTCTCTTGTTGCTTCGATCCTTTTTCTCGGTATTGTGGTATCACGACAGGCTCTTTGGTTAGAAGCAATTGAGAAGCGCATATCGGCCACGACGGCAATGCTTGGCTCCATGAAAGGAATTAAAATGACCGGTCTCAAAAATGTTTTGTTCAAAAGTATCCATGGACTTCGTCTTGATGAGTTAGACATTTCTAAGGGATTCAGACGGCTTCTCATCTGGAACATGGGATTGGGTAAGTAAATTGTTCAGCGGATCGTTCGCGGCTAACAACAACAGCATATTTGTCCCAAATATTTGCGCCAATCATTACCTTCGCCGTCTTTGTCTCATTGTCGCATGACCACGGAGACGATGTCGCGCTTAACACGGCGCGAGTCTACACGGCCCTCTCGATTTTTGCGCTGATGACGGATCCAATCACCACACTTGTCATGTCACTATCAGCATTTGCTGGCTCCGTCGGATCTTTTACGCGAATCCAAGAATTTCTTGATAAAGATGTGCTCGTGGATGAGCGAAAGGTTTCTTCATTGTCGGAAGTTTCTTCCGAAGAATTTAACAAATACGATGTAGCACCGCATGTGTCCGAAAAGTCGAGTTTTGCAATTAGCGATAATGATACGCTGAGATATAGCGGAACGGGGACGCCAGTGCGATCTGACACACCTCAGGGTGATATGATCATTGTTCACGACGCTGACTTTAGCTGGGACTTGAATGGAGAACCACTTATCAAGTCTATCACCCTCACTGTTCAAGAAAGCAAATTGAGCATGGTTGTCGGTCCAGTTGGCTGTGGAAAGTCTACTTTGCTGAAAGCCATCCTTGGCGAAGTTCCCTTAGCACGCGGCTCAGTATACACTGCGACTAAACAAATCGCCTATTGCGACCAAACTGCGTGGCACATGAACGATACAATTAGAAACAGTATTACAACGTCCAGTGATTTTGATGAGCAGTGGTACGACACTGTCCTCAACGCATGTGCGTTGTATGAAGATTTACGTCAATTACCCCGAGGAGATCAAACGATGATTGGAAGCAAGGGTGTTGCCCTCAGCACGGGACAAGGGCAGCGAATTGTAAGTTCTCTCTGCATTCACTCTTACAGTAGGCTGATATGTCTTAGGCACTGGCTAGGGCGGTATACGCAAGAAAGAAGCTAGTAATCTTGGATGATCCGTTCAGTGGTCTTGATACATCCACTGAGAATCATATATTTCACAGCTTGATGGGCAAGTCAGGTATATGGAGAGCAATGCAGGTGACAATTCTGATTGTATCATCTTCTGGTAAGAACTTCCCTTTGAGTCCCCAAAAAATGCTAATGAGTACTGATAACAGCTAAACGCCTCCCATATGCCGACCATATTATAGCAATGGATGAAAAGGGGGCGATCATGGAGCAAGGTCAATTTGATGTGCTTGCGGCAACAGGGGGTTATGTTTCCAGTTTCAATCTACCACAAGCCGATTGGAATTATACTCCTGATGACCGAACCTACCGCCGATCTGGAGCATTGCTAGCCACACCAAATAATGACAAGGTCATCCAGACAGATGATGACCTCGAAGCTGAAGCCAACCGGGCAACAGGAGATTTCACTATTTACAGATACTACTTTTCGTCCGTTGGGTGGATGGGAATTATTGTATTCGTCATATGTATCTCAGGCTTTGTGTTCTGCATATCTTTCCCAAGTGAGTACCATGTACATATTAGCTTTTTATTGTACTAACGACAGTAGGTATTTGGGTTAAATGGTGGGCGGCATCTAACGTACAATATCCCTACGAGAAAACAAATTACTACTTGGGGATGTATGTGATGTTAGGTGTCGTTGCTATGATCACTCTTTGCATCAGCTGCTGGTACGTGCTTGTGATTACACGTTGAATTCATCTAACGGTAGCAGGCAACTCATAATTACTATGGTTCCAAAGACTGGTGAAAGATTCCATTTTACACTTCTCAACACTGTTCTAAGGTAATATCCTGAAATTATAAGCCGGTTGTGAGACTAAACTTTACAGTGCTCCGAATTCATTCTTTGCTTCCACTGATATTGGTGTCACACTCAACCGATTCAGTCAGGATCTGCAGTTGATTGACATGGAATTGCCGGTAGCTGCACTAAATGCATTTGCAAGTAAGTCAATAAATAACATATAGTCGAGCTGGGATAGCTAATGTTTCAGCCCTTGTATTATGTATCGCGCAAACAACCCTGATTGGTGTTGCATCACCATACACGGCGATTTCATTTCCTATTGTTCTCATTGCTCTCTACTTCATCCAAAAGTTTTATCTCCGTACTTCACGCCAGCTTCGTTTCATGGATCTTGAGGCTAAAGCTCCTCTCTATTCTCAATTCACCGAGTGCCTCAGCGGTCTGGTCACAATTAGGGCGTTTGGTTGGCAGAAAGCCATGGAGAAAAAGAGCAGAGATCTTCTCGAGAAGTCACAGCGTCCATTCTATCTTCTGTTTGCTGTACAGCGATGGCTCACCTTGGTCTTGGATCTTGTGGTAGCCTGTATTGCCACGATATTGATAATTCTTGTGGTGGAATTGCGTGGATCAATCAGTGCAGGATATGTAGGTGTTGCTCTGTTCAACATTATCCAGTTTAGTCAAAGCATCAAACTGCTTATTACATTCTGGACAACGCTGGAAACGCATATTGGGTCGATTGCGCGTGTCAAGATTTTCAATGAAACCGTCAAATCTGAAGATGAACCTGGAGAGAATGGAATGGTGCCACCTGAGTGGCCAGGCCAAGGAGCAATTGAGCTCAAATCGGTCTCCGCGGGCTACAGGTAGGACTTAAAATATGCGTTGTGGGGATACAACACTAACAGCCGTAAAGACCAGATGAGCCGATTCTAAGAAACATAAGCATTTCAATTCGCAGCGGGGAGAAGATCGGTATCTGCGGCCGAACTGGAAGGTAGGTTTCAAAATTCCTATATGCAGTTTGATACTGATGTACTTTATAGTGGCAAGAGTTCGTTAGTTTTGGCTATCTTCCGAATGATCGAGCTTTCAGGGGGTAGTATCAGCATTGATGGTATTGATTTGACTACAATTCCGCGTCAGGAGATTCGATCTCGGATTACAGGCGTTGCTCAAGATCCTTTCCTGATCAAGGGCAGCGTAAGGCTTAATGCGGACCCGACTGGCAAGGCCACGGATGAAGCCATCTGGGACGCTCTCCGAAGTGTTCATCTGCAGTCTACGGTGGAAGAGAAAGGTAGTCTGGATGTTGATATTGAAGAGGTATATCTATCACATGGACAGAAACAACTCTTCTGTCTTGCGCGAGCTATGCTGCGACATAGCAGTATTCTCATTTTGGACGAAGCCACTAGCAAGTGAGTAATCGTAATATTTTTTTTTGCGAGATTCTGACAGAAAGCAGTGTCGATAGTAAAACAGACGAGATCATGCAGCGGGTGATCCGCGAGAAATTCAGCAATCACACAATTCTCGCTGTCGCACACAAGCTCGACACCATTCTCGACTTTGACAAGGTGGCTATGTTAGATGCGGGTCAATTGATTGAGTTTGATGATCCCTACACGCTTCTTTCTACAGACTCGGCGTTCAACCGTCTGTACACGTATTGTATGGCGGAAGAAGACGAGAAAGATGGCCAGTTAGGCGTGGAAGTGATCGTTCGGGACTCTCGCACACAATCGGGTCGCGCATCCACAGAGATTAACCCCTCAGCAAGTGGGTCAGATTGAAAAAAGGCAAATAGCATGAAATATTCAATATATGGGCGGGTATTTGGTTTCGTTTTTATGAATTTGGAAGGCATATTCATACTACATGACGCACGTCACAGCGAGGAGGGGTATTGAACATTGAACATATGATAATGGGGGTAATCATTGTTGATAGACAAAAGCATGTTACTATGGTATTACTAAACTCGAAACATTTAACTATACATATATTATTATAACCATAACTCATCTACCATACACGAATTAATATATACACCAAACCCACATCCCCTAGAATACAGCACGAATCCACAAATATTTGTATAGGAAGAATTTACAGCAACGCAAACGCGCCAAGCGCCACAGCAGCAATCAAACAACCCGGCACCTTGATCGACTCAACACCATTCGTATGCGGCACGCTCGTCGGCGTCGTCGCCGCAGTCGTGGTCGCAGCAGCCGTTGTGGTGGTGCTCGCCGCCCTCGCCGAGGACACCGCACTGGTCGAGCTCAGCACCGTCGACGTGGGCGTCGCACTCGTCGAGGTCGAAGTAGACGTAGACTTGGACGTAGACGTACTCGATGCCGAGGTAGTCGTGCTCGTGCTCGTGCTTGTCACCAACGTTGTCGACGTGGCACTGGTACTGGTTGACGAAACCGTAGTAGAGAAAGACGTCGACGCGCTGATTGACACGGACCCGGAAACGCCGGAAATCGCGAATCGCGCGGAATAGTTCACCTCGCTGGCATCGCTGTCGCTGGCGATGCGGATGAAGTAGTCGGATTCAACGGGAATGGAGGACGGGGGGGTCCAGGAGAAGGAGCCAGTGTTGGAGATGGCGCCTAGATATATTTAGTATATATGTACATTAAATTTGAAGTTGGGAAGGGGAAGGTACTGGCGATGGCAAGACCCTCGTCGGCGGTGGTCAGGGCGCCCCATTGCAGTCGCAGGTTGACGGTGCCGCTGGTGGTCGGCGTCCATTTGAGGGTGGTGGTCTGGCCAGCCTTAAGTGTGGTGCCGGCGACAGGAGCGATGAAGGCATTGGCGCCGGTGTCGGTGGAGGAGCTCGAGGCTGCCGCGGCGATGGCAGCGAAGAGACCGGTAGCAAGGGTGAGGAAGCGCATGTTGATTCAAATGTTGTAGAGTATAATTAAGCAGATATATAAGTAGACAGTTCGAGGGTATGTAGTGTAACCCAACGCAAGATGGAAAGGAGTGCAGGATAATGCGATTGTTTTATATCAAGGAGTGTGAACCACGGAGGGTAAAGATAATAAAAAAAGAAAAGATCGACTGATCTCGTGCTAGAGCAGGGCAAAGAGAAGCGAAGGCGAATTCAAAGCGAAAGCGAAAGACTGGCGAGAGGCGGAAAGCGAATTATTAACTGTCGGTGCCTGGGCACAGCCATTATTACGACAGCCTGTGACACTGCGAGTATGGCGGTTGTTGGAGGCGTCGCAGGAAATTATTACAATATAAAGCGAGCCAATCATAACACTCACTATTCTATTATAAGACTAGTCAATTGAAGCGGACCAACAGGAACTGACATATCGTCAATAAGCTATTTTAGTGCCTGTTTAGTGTCTGTGGAGGATCCTGCTTCTGGGATTGTGATTGGTGGATGATCCGGCTATTTCGGCCTAATTATGGTAAGGGTTTGCGCTATTCCTTTTTGTGCGACCAACATAGTGGCCGGAGTTGCCGCTGCCAGACTGTGTTAATACCGAATGTATTAATAGACAGGATCGACATTCCGCCATGGATGTCTGCTGCGCCTCAAAGTGCTTTGCTTGAAAAGTTTTCATATTGATAGTTGATATTTGATTTGATATTCTTGTTATTTGTTAAGATACTGGACTGGAGTCTTGATTAAAGTGCTTAGTGTAGAACGAGATGGACGCGCAATCTATAATTAGTGACTCCACAATGGTCCACACTAGTCAATGCTTGGCTTGCTATAAGAATAGTTATTATAATTATTTACATATACATGTATCAATTGATATTGGAGGACAAAGATATCTATAGATGCAGATATGCATAGTGCATATGATGCAAATGATGCAATGATGAGATGTCTATATAAAGTACACCAACTGAAAAGACAGCTGGACAGCAGTCAAATCGCACCTACGGAATTGCCGGCAGCAGCTTGCTGGCCTGGTGGTAGGTCTTCGAGAAGCCCCTGTGACCCGAGCCAGGAAATGGCCTGCATCACCTGGCGGTCTCTTGCTTCCATCTCCTGGTTGACGAGCTGCAGCATGGTTAGCATCATGCCGGAAATTTCCAAGGGTGGAGGTATTACCATTTGAAAGAGCCCTCTCCTAGCAGGCTGCCGCGTTCCACCAGCCTTGGTCGCATCAGATCGCGACTTGTTGGCTGTTTCTGGGAGCTCGTGTGAGAACCGGCATTGGTCGCCTCGTGGACAGCGTCCTCTGCGTTGGAAATTGTGGCATAGTTTCTTCCGCTTCGTGCTACCATCCCGTGGCGGAGGAGGGACTCGTTCGGGGCCATCACGACGAGATGATGCTTCTTCTGGTGCATCCTCTTCGTCGTTTTCACTGTCGTCATCAGATGAAATATCTGATTCACTGGAAATGACTTCTCTAATAGGTTCCGTCGGTGATGTGATATCAACAGCGTTTGCATTTTCCTGCAACAATTCAACTCTACTCTGACTTTCTGAAGTCTGTGTACCATCAGCCTCTGATTTCGGTTTCTGCTGTGACGCCTCTGCCATGAGCCGCGCCCGCTCTGCCACTGCCTCTGCCTTTTGCAAGCGTTTCTCTTCCTTCATCAATTTTTTGCGCAGCTTTTCTGCCCTCAACTTAGCCTTGTTAGCTGCATCTACCGGATCTATACCCTGCTCTCCCTGATCCCTTTTCGCTTGTTCCTTTTTCAACCTCGCTTCTTGCTGTTTTCGACGCGCCTCCTCGCGCTGTTGCTCTCTCTGTTTCCGAGCTTCCTCTTGAGCTTTCTTCTTTTCGTCGACCCGCGCTTGAGTTGGGAAGCGTTTCTTGCGTTCTTCAATCCAGGACTGAAGATCTGCCGTCGTCTCCAATGTCGACGTACGCCCTCGGAATGTAAACTGAAGAGTTCCTGACAAACCGCTAGCCGAGGCGAAGCGAGCTTCTTCATCCACATCGTCTTCCTCCGCACTAGACTCATGCTCTTCTGTCTTAGGGGTGAGGCCAAGCTGGTTGAATTTGCGCTTCTTCTTCTTAGGAACTTTCTTCACCGCATCGGCTGGCTGCGGCGGTTTTGCCGGTAGAGGAACTCCAAAGCTGGGTACAGCAGGCGGCGCTGGTGCGCGCGGGACGCTTGACATTGGCTTTTCAAAAGCAGACGAAAACGGCCGTTTATGTCCGGTCATTCTGTAACCGCCGCCTGCATTGCCGGGCGCAGAGCTTTGATATGGCGACGCATTGTAGGTAGTTTCATTAGTAGCACCAGGATAGAACCCTCCAGTTCCAGTACTATCGTACCCCCAACGCATCGGCGGTGCCATCACCGGCCCTGCCCCGGCGAGTCCTCGCGGCGCTGAAGAGGGTGACTGCGAGGGTATATTACTACCGTAGCCTGTTTGCTGCGATGGCGTTGGCGTGTTACCATGTACATCATGCGTATTTCGGTACCCGGCATCGTAATTCGTGTGCGAGTACGTTGAGCCCGCAGTGTGAGGATACGACTGAGCGACGGCCGGATACGATCTCGATTGCGCGAGTGATGGGTTCGAATAATAGTTTTGCGCTGCCACAGGGTTCTGTTGCTGGCCCGTAACAGACGGTCCATGGGGGTATCCGCCATAAGCACTGGCACTGACACTGACACCTTGTTGTTGGTTTCGATAATGGGTATTGTTCAGATAGCCACCTCCACGGCCTCCTCCTCGGTTCATACCGCCGCGACCACGCCCTCGATTATAGTTCCCCGACCCACGACTACCGCGCTGCGAATAGGCATTTTGATGCCCGTAGGCTGTTGCATTATTCGGATAGCCGGGTCCTTGCTGTTGCTGTTGGGTCGGTGGTGGTGGCGGTGGTGGTGGTGGCGGCGGAGGAAATGAAAATCCTTGGGAAGCCATCGTCGCAGCTTGTGTCGGTCAGGAGAGTTTCATGTTGACAGGTGCTGTCACTTGTCTGGCTGTAGGAGCATGGCGGTTGGAAACTCCATATTATTATGGGATTTAAGAGGAGGAGCTGGAGAGGCGATCTGATGTTGGTAGACAAACAAGGCAAATATAATGTCACGTGATAGCAGCTTCAAATTTGAAGAGCTTCATCGATGATTGGCTGTCTACACATCACCACCCATCACCACGCCATCTATGAGCTGGAATCCGTTTTGAATTTCTCTATAACTGTGCCTAGAGCCATGACTTTCTAGACACCGATTTCCTGGCTATTCGATATTCGATTGACTGTTGGATTGACTATTCATGTCCCGGTGACGATGGGATATGTAGTTTGTTTGTGCTAAATTTTCTCACTCTTTATTCAATCATCGACGTGACCTCAACGAATACAAGATGTTCATTCTTGTAAGTCCCCGAACCAAACCAGGCTAAACTAGCTAACAATATGATAGTCGACTATTTCCGATCTTGTACAGATCACCCCAGAGGATTTCTCCAAATTCAGTGCGGTGGCCATCGAAGACAACATTAATGAGAAATACGCCAACAAGGTAGGTCACTTTCTAACTCATATATATATATATAATATAAGTCCAGAGTTGATTCTTTCAGATTATTCAAAAGGTTGGACTGTGCATTGGGTTCTATGATTTGCTGAAATCCTCTGATGGCCTGATTGGACATGGAACTGGGCTTGTTAATGTTAATGGTGCGTCATTCACTTATCGTTATTGTATCAAACTGATAATGTTCAGTCACATTTCGATTACTTGTGTTTCGGCCATTCAAGGGAGAAATCATCCTTGGCAAAATCACAGGGTCAACCGAGGACGGTCTCAAAAGTATGTATAGTAAACCGAAATTTTAAATTAACTACAGGATATTTCTGACAGGTTACAGTCGGACTCGAATTCTTCAACGATATCCTTGTCCCCCGCAAATGCTCTTCGAGAATTCCAGCTTGTAAGTCGAGCTATGCCGAATACGAAATAATCACCAATCTAACCACGCTCCATTTAGTGATATCGCCGAACAGCATTGGATCTGGGAGAGCGACGGGACCACCTTTCACTACGACACGGGTGAAATAGTCAGATTCCGTGTGGAAACCGAAGAATGGCATGACCAAATTCCCACAGCGCCAGAGAAGACCAACGTGACTCCTGTCTCTGAGCGCAAGCCTCCGTACTCTATACAGGTATGACGTCCTTATCTGATACCCTCAGTTCAAGGCTGACTTGACTAGGCATCGATGTTGATGCCCGGCCTGGGACCTATCGTGTGGTGGCAATAATCCACATGTCGCAGTATCTCATGTTTTAACGATTGCAATACAGAAATCAAATATTAGTAATGATTCGCAGATCATCATCCTCATCGCGGCTACCAACGGCACGTTCTGCGGGGTCCGCACTAAGTGGGATGCGGCATGCTTAACTAGGGCGTGTCAGCTAATTTCTAATATCCTAGCGACTTGCTGTAATTTCCGTGCTTACGATATCAAGATCACGAAATAATAGAATTATAGAAGGAGACGGATGGAAGGCGAGAGACGAGTGTACCATGGCAACACATATATTTCACATTCCAATGGGGCTATGTGTTGCGTCGATGGCGTGCTGCTGTAACCTAGAACATAACCATGTACATAATGAGGAGCGGTTGACAGGTCTCGTCAATAATATGGCCGTCAGTATAAGCCCATTTGTCATGGTTTCGCTGTGAGACTTTGGGTTACTTCATAGTTTCTAGGCGGGCGTGGATGGATCCTTTTACTAATCCGTTTGTGAATTATTTTTTTAAATGCCCCGCGTCCCCGTCGAATTCAATTGACCACTGCGTGTCTATTTTCTCATTTTCAATTTATCGCTTCATATCGCTAGATCTATTACTTGTTTGATATAGCCAGACATCTGCCATCTGTTCTTCTTATCAGCGTTGCGATTACCAGCTCTTCTCAGCAGAAGTATCAACATGACTCTCCCTACTCACAGCCCCCGATTGCCACCACTGCTGCACGCAGACGTCGTGCAGACCCCTCCAAGACCGCCGTCGCCAGAGCATCAATTTGGCACACGCGCTGTGCATGCTGGAGCCCACATTGACCCCACCACAGGCGCTGTTATCGCCCCGGTAAGCGGCGTCGAGGAGCGTCGATAGACCGTGCTGATAACGTTGCTTAGATCTCGCTTTCGACTACTTTCGCCCAGTCCAGCGTTGGAAACCCAATTGGTATCTATGAATACACTCGCAGCGCGAATCCTAACAGGCAAGAGGACCCTAACGAGTCTCCACACATTTTTCTAAACTGGACCTTTCTAAACTGACCTGCAGAGACCACTTCGAAGAAGCCGTCGCGGCGCTTGAGCATGCCCGGTTCGCCCTCGCCTTCTCCTCCGGCTCGGCCACTACAGCCATCGTCCTTCAGTCCTTAGCAGCCGGATCGCATGTGATATCCGTGTCGGACGTCTACGGCGGCACCCACCGCTACTTCACCAAAGTCGCCGCTGCACACGGCGTGCATGTCACATTCACGCCCGCCATCGAGGTTGACATCGAGGGGCTGATCAAACCGAACGACACAAAGCTGATTTGGATTGAATCCCCCTCTAATCCTACCCTTGGCTTGGTCGACATTCGCAAGGTGGCGTCGATTGCGCATCGTCACGGGATACTGGTTGTCGTGGATAACACTTTCTTAAGCCCATATATTCAGAATCCGCTGGATCATGGGGCTGATATTGTGGTTCATTCGGTGACGAAATATATCAATGGTCACTCGGTATGCTACATTAACCTTCATAAGATTGAATACTATACGTTGAACACTATACTGACGTGATGTGATAAATGTAGGATGTCCTCATGGGCGTTGCCGCCTTCAATGCTATCGACCTCAAGGAACGTCTAACGTTCCTCCAGAACGCCATCGGTGCCGTGCCCTCTGCATTCGACTGCTGGCTCGCGCACCGCGGCCTAAAGACTCTCCATCTCCGCGCTCGAGAAGCAACCAAAAACGCTACAACCGTCGCCAAGGCCCTCGAAGCCTCTCCATTCGTCAAATCTGTCAACTACCCGGGCCTCGACTCGCATCCGCAGCGCGCGATCGCCGTAAAACAGCACCGCGACGGGATGGGCGGCGGCATGCTCAGTTTCCGCATCCAAGGCGGCCACGAAGCTGCCGAGCGCTTCTGCCAAAACACACGTGTTTTCGTTCTCGCCGAGAGTCTGGGTGGGATCGAGAGTCTGTGCGAGGTTCCCTCTAGCATGACGCACGCTGGCATCCCCAAGGAACAGCGCGAGGCAGCCGGCGTGTACGACGATCTAGTTCGGTTGAGCTGCGGAATTGAAGATGCGGCGGATTTGAAGGCGGATGTTTTGAAGGCGATTGAAAAAGCTGCTACCTCGATTAATGGAAGCAAATAATATATCTGCTTGGGTAATATAAATAGATTTGGATGGCGTTAGCATAAGTGTTTAACATAGATATAATCTATTTTTTTTTTCTTTTCTTACCTATGAGATAGACATTGATCAATAATAATATTCTAATAGTTGATGCAAATCATCAAGCGGCCCCGCATTAATCCGACAAAGCTCAGCATCATTGGTTGATTGGACGCATACATCAAAATCTAATTTTCTACTACCAAGTTATATCCATAATTTATATCTACTTGCATCCCAGCAATTAATCTTTAATTAAGAAAACAAATGGCATCCATGTTCAGCTTTGGATTTTCCGGCGACGACATCGAGGATGACATCGACATCAACATCGACAGTGCAGAGGTACACTACAACACCACCTCGACAATCCTCCCTGATTTATTTCCTGCCGAAAAGCATTTATTCGAAGAATGGGTGAGCTGCCCATACCCTTTACTGAAACTGTAGTTTCTGATGCATGTGTTATGTATGCATGTGTAGGCATCATCACTACCGTCTCAAATCGCATATAACACATTAAAACTAGAAAACCCAGAGAGTACTGAACAGCCCCTGCGTCTCGGCAGAAGAGAGCTTTTCGACGTTCGCACCCAGCTCATGGCCGAAGATGCGCCTGGGCATGAAGAGCTGGTCTCGGGACTGGAGCAGGGAGACCTAAAACCGACTTTCTACGAGGGTGGGTTTAAGACCTGGGAATGCGCGCTTGATCTTGCCAGGCTCGTGGCGATGGAGCAGCATTTGCAGTATCTCGACGCTAATGTCTTGAATGAGGATGAGAGGAAGGAGGAGAGGGGGTTGCATGTTGTCGAAATGGGCTGTGGCACTGCGGTGCCTTCTCTCGCGCTGTTTGCGCGGCTGCTGAGGGCTAATGATGGGAAGAGTGTGCGGTTTACGTTGGCGGATTACAACTCTACGGTCCTGCGGATGGTCTCGTTGCCGAATCTGTTGTTGACTTGGTGGTTGAATACGACACACGGCGAGATGGATGAGAAACCAGACGAGGGCGAACTAGACATCGACGCCACGCTTCTCGATGCCTTCCGTGCTGATGTTTTGCAGCGAGGAATCGTTGTTGATTTTGTGTCGGGGGCATGGTCGCCGGAACTCACTGCTCTCGTCTTGAACGATAGCACGGCAACTGATACGCTGGTGCTGGCCAGCGAGACGATATACTCGCCCTCTTCCCTCGGTGCGTTTTCCGAGACATTGATGTGTATTCTGCGTAGGGCCGGGAAGAGTCGGTCCCTGGTTGCAGCGAAGAAAGTGTATTTTGGCGTTGGAGGCGGGATTGATGAGTTCCTGTCTGTTCTGCACCAGCAGCCGCTGCAGGCGGGGGAGCGCGTTGATGTGCAGAGGAGGAGAGAGATTAGCTCAGAGGGTGTGGGGAGGATAGTTTTGGAGGTGAGCATTCACGATACGACGGAAACTAAATAGCAAATATATAATAAGAGGAACAACATATGAAATTCTTAGCAGCACGCTGCATGTTGTTTCTATGTACAAATACATAAATCCCAATCTCTTCCCTGGCACATTCTAACTAATACTCGTCCGAGGGAGATGATGTCTAGTCGTAGATACTGACAACCTTCCCATCCTTCAACCGACTAACACGGTCTTCCTCCAACTTCTTATTGTGGTTCTCGTAATACGCAGCGACAGCAGAAAGATCCGCCTGCGAGCCCGCACCGACATTGAGTCGTGAGCCGGTATTAAAAAGCCTGTCAACCGCATTAGCACATCCTAGCACCTAGCAATTTTATTCCAATCGTTTTATGGTTCGTTTATGGTGGGCGGCATACTCTGGACTCCTCAATTCAATATGCTCCCGCCGCGGGGTGCCAGCAAACAAATGCCTATCCGACGCAGCCTTCTCGATCGCCACCGTTCGAATAGCATTGCGTTCTTCAAACACCTTCTCGTCCGGCGTGTACTTCTTGATCAGGCCCGTGATCCACGAGTTGTCGGAGTCGGAGGACTTGGTGATACGGTAGAGCACGAAACCGGCGGCGAAAGTGGACACGGCGATGTAGAAACTCGGCTAGAGGGGAACACAATGTTTAGAATGGAATGGGTTGTGGTGTTGGTTGATGAGCGGATACTTACGCCGAACCCTTCGCTCACGGGCTCTGGGTGGTGGTGGTGGTGGGCGTCGGACGCATAGCGGCGTGGTTGCTGACGCAGCAGCAGCCGCGCAGAGGCTGCCGATCGCCTTGCAGCAAACATTGGGAATTGGGCGGTGGGAAGGATAGAGCGAGGCGTCTATCTTGAATTGTCTTGGAGTTTCGGTACGGTGTTGGCTGTGGTCGGCCAAGCTACGAAGCTGATCACGTGACGAGGTGCCATTGGCCAATCAGGGAAGAGTGATTACTGGCTTTTCAACCGGTGTTTTATGTTTTAAGCATACACATTTAGATTTTAGATTTTTGTTCTGTGTTACATACTACGCTGTTTGGATTTTCTCATTATCGATGGTTTCTCCCAGAATGTGTAGATCTTTTGCTCCTCCCTGTTCTCGCTTTCTTTGCATACCAAATCGAAGGTCAGAGAATCCCCGCACTAAACGCATGCGTCTGGTTCAAAGCAAGTCTCTTCCCAATGCAGTTTCGCCGTTCATATGCGAAAGGCTGCATCACGTCGCGGCTGTCAGTATGGTATGGTGACGAGGGTAGTTTTGCTTCCGGCAGCCATCTGTCAGAGATGAATTGATCTGGGCTATGGAAATTTCCTGGAGACAGAAATGCTGCTAGTGGGTGAACTTCAACTTTGGTCTATATACTGTCAGTGGAATAGTAAAGAGGTATATGAATATTTACCTTCGGTGGAATATCGTAGCCCGAGATTTTGACTGTCGTGGAACAAGTGTCTCGCTGCAATGTACTTGGAATAGGAGGGTATATTCTAAGCGCCCCATTCACACAGGCATGTATATATGGCAGTCCCATCATCGCATTGTCAAATGTAAACTCGTATTTTCTATGGAATGCCGACCGAACCCCTCTAGTCGCCTTTTCGAACGCCTTCGGGGAACGCAACAACCAGTATATAATCCCAGACATCAACAATGCGGCAGTCTCACTTCCAGCAGTCATGAGAACGCCCACATTGGCAACCAACTCGTCTTCTGATAGTATTACCTTTTGGTCACTGACGGTATCCTTTGTAGACTTCGATATCGCATCATCGCTGTCCATCAACATTTGAAGCTGGGTTGAGGAGGTATGTAGTCATTTCTTTGGAGGCATCTATGAAGATCGCTATAACCAATACCAAGATCACAGGTTTCGCTTTAGAGCATCTCAGTTCCTCTCAATGAGTCGTCCCATTTGATTGTATATTTCCACACTATCACAATAGTAAAAGTGAGTCATCAAGCTCAGTTTGAAAGGCACCCCTTGTCTACCCAGTTTCCTACACAAGTTGCAGTAATTAAGATCATTGTCTAACTACTATTTGAGTAAGCACACAAGATTAGTGTTAGAGATATCATAATGACTTAAGAAGTTCCGCTATAAAGATATTTTGGGGCAAATTTCATTGACAGCCACCGCATCTCGATGCCTGTTCTCCTAGATATTCATAAAGTTAGGTATTAAGGTTTAAAAGTAAACATATTTGCCATATAATCACTATCAATTAGTGGTAAAATATTAAATAATTTGACAATAAGGTTATGTATTCCGGTCCATGGGTAAACATCCCAATCTCCAACTACTGACAACCAAATTAAAACAAGGCACTCATATGTACGAGAGTATCTACTACTTAGTCAGTTTTATTGTCCGGCTTGATTCCTAGACTGCTGGGAACCTTGCACGTAAAGCAGTATTCTCCAAAGGCAAGACTGATGGCGCTAGTCATTTTTGCATATGCAATGGAGTTACTTTCCCACTTTGATAAGTCAGATGTGCCTTGGAAAACCTCTGCCAAACCCAGCGCTTGCATAGCCGCCTGGTTTGTGCTCGAACCATTATGGGGCCGAAGCAAAGAAAATGCATCTCCAACAAGAATCAGCTTGCCGTCATGGAAGACTGCTTTTGATGCGGCACAATCCCTAATGGCAGAAATAAACGGATCGGTGGTCTTTTCGAGAAGTTCTGCAAATGATTTGCTGGGAATATCTGTACCACGGCTACGCTTTTTGGCCCATACGCTCGGTTGCATTTTTCCTCTTGGGATTGTTGTAAGATGCCTCTTCCCGGAAATATCGGTGAGAATTTCTTTCAAGTCATCCGAGTCCTCCTCTATCATCTCATACCAGACCCAAATAAACTGACAGTCGCCTGGCTCTAAACTGCCGGTTTCTGATGGTACGTGATAACTAAAACATGGAAGAGTCAATTGTCATTATCATTCCTGTTATCTCGGCGACGTAGGGAAGGGCGATTCTTACGACACAGTGTACCCCTTTTCAGAGCACTCTACAGATTTCTTCACAAATTGTACTTCGTCAATAAATCAATACCTGGTTGTCAATACAATGAGAACACTGGTGGTTTTCTAGATACTGTGTTGGTATTATGCATAATCCATATAATCCAATTTAGATCGTAAAAGGATTCCAACAGAATTCTAGCATGACGAGTCATGAACGAGGTGCTGTGGCGGTTTTTTAACCTTTCTTTGAAGTGGTCTAACGAAACTTTGTTTTGAAGGAAAGAACGACAACGGGCGTGGGAGGGCCTTTGAATGTGGCATTTTCCCCTTCTGGCGCTCTGATGGTGGCAAGAATATTGACAGGGAGTTCCGGAAGCTATCCACAACTGCCAGACGGCCGCAGCGGACGGCATCCTAGTTGATACCAAGAACCTCCCTACAGCTCTGGAGATTAAGCACTGATTCGATTAACGGTCGCCGTTTCGAATTCTTGAAACTACTCCTCTTCTCCGTTCTCCGCCTCTGAAAATGAACACTGTAGTATTCCATTCCAATCCGGCCGCGTGTACGACCAGAATAAACCTGCCGTTGTCACTGGCTCAACGGGACCGCCAAAGGGTGTGGCTGTCTGTCGATACAATTTTTTTTCTGGCGCTTATGGTGCAATCCGATCACAAGGCCTAGGGCCTACCAGCAAAACGGTCCAATTCCTCCTCACTGACCATGCCACTGGCTTATTGTTCAATACTATGCCGACCCTTGTCGCCGGTGGGTGTATTGAGTTCGACCAGGGCGACTTTGACCTTGCCAGAGTGTGGGAAAGAATCCGTCAAGGAGACCTTAAGACATTCTCCGCCGTACCAACAATTTTCGTGCGCCTGCTAAGATACTGGGTTTCGGTCCTTTCCTCTAAGTCAGATAGCAATGAGTATCTCAAGGGACTTTTGGGATTTCTTACTTTGCAAGCTCGACATCTGCACTTCCGCGGATTGTCTTTGAGCGATGGATCGAGCTCGCCGGAAGGCCAATATCTGAGAGGTAAGGAGGGTCAGAAATGGGAAACTTATATATTAACCCTCCTGGTCTGCCGCCTGTTCCGGTATGTTCACCTCGTATCCCGATCCCAATGTCCCTCCTGCGTCTAATACTAAGGGCCTGTTTCTATTTAATGACGGAATTACAGGGTTCATTTGGTATTAAAAACTCCTCGAGTGAGTCTAAGCCTTCTGACGGAAATCATGGAGAGGTCCTGGTTCGTGTGCCTATGCTCTTTTCAAAGGAAATTCCCTCTCTTGTCTACAAGCAACGAATGAGGTACTAACAATATTTAATGGTGAAGATATATGAATGATCCTGTCGCGATATATGCCTCGTTTGACCAGGACGGGTTTTATAAAACTGGGGATATTGCACGGGAGAAGAATGGTGTTCACTTCATTGATGGCCGTGCATCCGTTGACAGTAAGTCTATATTTCAAGTGCTGTATCACTCCGCAGACCAGCGCAGACGAGCTAAGCGGAATGCCATAGTTATCAAATCGGGGGGCACAAGATCTCAGCTCTGGACATTGAGAAAGAGCTGAACTACCACCCAAAGGTCGCGGAGGGTATCATTGTTGGTGTAGATGATGAAGAATTTGGCCAACGTATTGAAGCGGCGGTAGTTCTCAAAGATGTAAGTCCATCTCGGAGATGCGAATTCCAGCCTTGCCGTCAATATTCATTGTAGCTGGACTACTGAATCTTGTTCTGACGCACATTGGGATTAACTTCAGCCCGCGGATACCTTGACCCTTGCAGAGCTTCGCAACGACCTTCGCTTATCGCTTTCTAACTACAAGTTGCCCACGCTGCTTCGGGTGTTTCCGAAACTGAAAAAGACGTCCACGATGAAGGTTCCTAAGAAACTTATCAAGAACCAGCTGTTCGGTAAAGCCCATTAGCGATTCAACGATGGACACTCCTAAGTTGACTTTTATAGTAGTCATCCTGGAATAATTAGGTGATTGAGCGGAAAAAATAAGTTGACGGATGAGAACACTTCACGCATGACAGGAACTCTTTTTTATTCGATTCTTTTTGCAAAGATATTGGGACACTATACATGAGAAAATGACCTGGCTATTCTCAATAACGACTTAATGGCATATCAGCCACATTATATCACTTTAGCCCTCTTCCAGTTTAAAGAACGACATTTTCGTAACAAAGTGTCAGAGCCAGCTAAAAGCGTACGAACTAGTAAACATTGTGGCAAATTAGGACTACCGGAATCATCAGGAATATGCGATTGATTGATTGTAAATAAAATGAGCGGCACGCAGAGGATATGTTAAATACACATCTGCGGAGTTGGCCCATAGTTGATGTGTGGATGGGACCAATTCCTCCGTGTCTTGGAGGATCCATGGGATACTCGAGAGTGACTGGAAAGGGTTGTCTCGGAACCCCGTAATTACATACAGGACACAAAGAAAGGCGGGGTACGAAGGGAACCAATAGGAGGCAGCTGTAAGTAAACTGCTCCATGTTCTGACACAAAGAAATCGAAAAGGTGGCCTGAAGAGGTAGCTGAGTGAGAAAGATTGCTCTTAGAAGAACAACTTGAAAGAATCATCTGTACTTTGAAAAAATGCAGGAAACGATATCAATAATCGAAAAATTTCTCACTCGATCCGCATCAAGCCCGGATTGGCTTGAAATCATTGACACTCGTCATATCATGCGTTTCGAATGTAACTTCGCGAACCCCCGCCTTTCTGGCCATCATTCCAATCAAATGTAGGGCAAATTCACCTGTAGGTGACCCCCGAGAAGCTCTTGCTATCATTCGAGCTTCGTGTCCAGGCAGGGAACCAATTACTGTGGTTAAGGTGATAATAGTGGTGCCCAACGTTACAGCAAAGATAGCCTGGATTCTCATTCGTACTCGGGATGTATATCTCGTTGATAGGACACGGTAACTCAGGTCGTCACCACCAAAGTAATAGAGAAGTCCGTGAAAGAAAGGAACTGCTGTCCAAGTCAAGATTCCCCGGAGAATAGGGTTGCTGACTAGATTGACAGCCCCTTCTGGAACAATAAGAAGTGAGTCTGCAACAGCAGGGGACCATTCGGGTGCTTTTCCATGGGTTGAAAGGATATAATCAAATTGCTCAACACCCTCTTGGAAATTGAGAGGGATGAGATTCTCTGAAACACCGAAAACGTAAGCAATGTACCCCCAGTGACGGACTGCTGCGTCAAGATCGCTCGTTGCGAAGTCCCTGCCAAAAGCGCTGTCGCCGATAAGATTCTGGATGCCGAAAGCCGTGATTCCAAGAGCCATGTCGGTGTTCGAGATAGGATTACCATGTTCACCAAATACCTTCTCACCCCATCGCTTCCTGGCTGCAAATCGCACCTGGCCATGCATGAATCGCACCTTAACAATTTCCTGGAATGTTTCAGAAAATCTGTGATATCCTTGAGGCAAAGAGACTCGATGAAAAAAATGCGCTGTTTCCAAATGCCTTCGCATGACCGTCTTTGGATTTGTGTATTGGCCAGTGGATCCTACGGCGTTCGCCACTGAAGAAGCCTGCGATGTAATGATGAAGTTCATAGCCAACGCAGTCAGCCGACCGAGGCCAGTAGAGTTGGCAAGGACGATACGGCCCCGCTCAAAAGTCTCTTCATCAAACCATTCCGGCTTTCGATCCAGGTGCTCGAAGAGATTCACGATCTCTTGGGGTGCGTCGGGAACGGATTCGATTCCGTTGGAAAGGGCTTGGAGCATCATTGCTCGAACCTTGCCCATACTCGTCTTTTTACCCAAGCTGATGACGGGATCCATGTATTCATCGCCTTGCCAGAAATGATCTTGCATTTTTTCCACCAAGGGTGTGCGCTTTGGAATAGGCTGCACGTCCATATAACGAGAAAGCAAACGTTTGCGCATGGGGAACCATTCCGGAGATTGCAAGGTACGAGATGGCGGAGGGCGAAGAATGTCTCCTGGTCGAAAGTAATAGTCGTAGGGATGGCCGTGCTCTGTCTCTATCATGTCTCCGGCCGCGGAAAGGGAACGCCGCGAATTTTGCTCTAAGCGTGCCACGCTTGGCTGTAGACTTTCAGGAGCTTGTTGGCCAGATTCATCTGGTATCTTGGATATATGACTGTCCCGGAACATCCAAAGCAATATGACTCCTACGATTATCAATCCGAGATAAAACCCTCGTGGTGATGTTGAGAATTGCCCGTCCAGGGAAGTGTTTGATATATGACTGTGATAACATTAGACAGGGCCCGAGAATAAGCCGGGTTTCAAATTACCGAGCTGCTAAGGCACCAAGAAGGACACACGTAGAGCTTCTTAGAATACTGTTCAGAAAGGAGAAGCCTGGTTGCGATACATAGGCGGGGAGGGTTGAAAATATGATACCGAATCCAAACCCATGAATTATTCGACTTGTCATTACCGATATCCCCGCGCCCTGAACAGTCATCATGGAGCTTCCAATAGCGATCAAAGAACCAGAAAACAAGTTTAACGAATTCTTCTCCATGATCACATCGCCCAAGCAACGATAGGCAATTACTGCCATCGCAGTAAATGCACCCAAGCAGCTTTCGGCCATAATAATTAAACCGCTCATTGTTTCTTACACTTGAGGAGAACTCAGCATCCGAATCAAACACGTTAAGTGACACAAGGGTAGAATGCCTATGAGTCCGTGTGAAAGGAGAGCATACCCTGGATATTTTCATTTATATTTCAGTGACGGGTATCATATGCTGGTTAACACGAAGCTGGGCACGTGTCCCTGCCCTACTTAGTCTCGTCTCTCTTTCAACTGAACTCAATCATCTGATCTTTGGATTGGTTCCCCTTGCCTCTTTAAGACCCATCTATGCGTAATAGGCCATACTGTAATAGCCCTGCTTCACATTACTGAATGCTGGTATGCCGCCGGTCCTCGGCATCGCCGGGACACCGCCGGGTTTAGATTGGATTCCATACCATTTACCGGTCTATCAATCGCCTACGAAACCTCGTTCCGGCATACTACCGAAATTTGTTCGCTCTGGGCCTGGAGGAAACGCTTGGGCTTTTTAAGATGCGACCCAGGTCAGTCAGAAGCCGCCCAATTCTCTCTCTCTCTTAGTAGACCGCTTACACGATCCCCGCAGACGACATGGCATCGACGATCTCATTCCAGGGCCAGACGGTCATCGTCACGGGCACCGAAACGAGTGTCGGTAAAGCTTTGGCGCGATTGTTTGCTCAGCGCGGTGCCCAGGTCGTTGCGGCCAGCTTTGGTGTTCCTGACGGCAGCAGGGCCATAGTTGATGAAATCAATGTTGCCGGTGGCAAGGTGGTCCCCGCCGACGTGACATTTGAAGATGCGGCGAAAGCTGTCCAGACTGCCATCGAGGCGTTTGGGTGCGTTGACATCATCATCAACCACTCAGACCTGGCTCGCGACAGCGCTTTGGAGAAGATGGCGGAGGATGACTGGGAAAGTCTGGTGGAGGCTTACCTGAGAGCGTCCTTCCGAGTCACTCGAGCTGCGTGGCCCTATATGAAGAAGCAGAAGCTCGGCCGCATCGTTTCCACAACCTCGCCAGCTGGATTGTACGGGAGCATAAACCAATCGAACTTGTCTGCTGCCCAGCTGGGGCTCGTCGGCTTCACCGAAACCATCGCGAGGGAAGGAGCCAAGTACAATATCCTCGCCAACGTTGTTTCTCTCTTGGAGAGCAATCAAGCGGCCGCCAGCCTGTTACCGGACACGGTGCGCAGCACGCTTGGCCCAGAAGCTATCGCCCCCGTGATCGCCGTCCTCGCCCATATATCCAACAAAGAAACAGGAAGTATCTTCGAGACTGGCGGCGGAGATGTTGCAAAGCTTCGTTGGGAAAGAGCGAGCGGCGCTCTGCTTCGGACCGACGAGACTCTGACTCCATCAGCCATCCTACACCGCTGGAACGAGGTGGTTGATTTCCGGAAGCCTGAATTCCCAAAGGGTGGAGCTGGGATCTGGGATAAGCTCCAGGCTTCACGGCTGCTCCCGGCGAATCCACAGGGGGAAGAGCCACAGTTCGATGGCAAGGTCGCTGTTATCACAGGCGGTGGTGCTGGACTTGGTCGAGCCTACTGCCTCCTGTTTGCCAGGCTGGGTGCCGCGGTCGTTGTGAATGATTTCAAGGACCCAGAATCTGTGGTGAAGGAGATCCGCAGCCTTGGTGGCAAGGCCGTGGCAAGCAATGCCAGCGTGGAACACGGCGACCAGGTGGTGAAGGCGGCAGTCGAGCATTTTGGCCGAATTGATATTCTAGTCAACAATGCAGGTATCCTGCGGGACAAGTCAATCACCAACACAACGGATAAGGACTGGACCGATGTATACCAGGTCCACCTGAAGGGCACATACAGCTGCACACGGGCCGCCTACCCGTACATGGTCCAGCAAGGTTACGGGAGGATCATCAACACATCGAGTACCAGCGGCATCTACGGCAACTTTGGCCAGACCAATTATGCTACTGCAGTGAGTTCTTAAGCTTCACCTGAGGAGCCATCCACGCTGACAGTTTGAATAGAAAGCTGCAATACTCGGCTTCTCATGCTCCCTGGCCGTTGAAGGAGCAAAGTACAACATTCGAGTCAACACGATTGCACCGACAGCTGGAACTCAGCTTACGAAGACTGTGATGCCAGAGATAGCACTGCAAGCTTTAAAGCCCGACTATATTGCTTCCCTGGTTGTCCTACTCTGCTCCGACAAGCTTCCAGCGCGTGGTACTGGCCTCCTCTTCGAAGTTGGCGGTGGCTTCCATGCACAAACACGGTGGCGGCGATCGGGAGGACGCACGTTCGGAGCTAAAATCACACCTGAGCGGATTGCTAAGGACTGGTCTTCGGTTGTAAATTTTGCAGACGGTCATGCTGATCATCCGACGACTCTCACTGAGGCCCTCGAAAGATTCGCGGTCGGTTCCATGGGTAGTGGCGTCCTCGAGCGCATTGAGAAGGCAAAGAGTACTCCGATGAAGCCGGTCCAAAGTTCTTGGATCAAGCGTGATGTGCTGTTGTATAATATCTCTCTTGGTGCTCGAAGCGACCAGCTGGAGCTCGTGTATGAGAACCACCCCAACTTCCACGTTGTCCCAGCCTTCGGAGTCATCCCGCAGTTCACAGCAAAAGCCAGCTTTAATTACCCTAGACTCCTGCCAAATTTTAACCCAGCTCTTCTGCTCCATGGTGAACAGTACCTGGAGATTCGCAAGTTTCCCATACCCACTGCCGCTGAGGTCATCAACAGTCCGGAGCTGCTCGAGGTGGTAGACAAAGGGAATGCGGCCGTGATCTACACGGGCATTACAACCAAGGACGCAAAGACTGGAGAGGATATATTCTACTCAGAGTCTGCCTCTTTTGTTCGTAAGTCGGGGGGATTCGGCGGGCAGACCAAGCCAACCGATCGTGGAGATGCTACCGCCACCTTCCAACCCCCAAGCCGCACCCCGGATCTCGTGCTGAAGGAAAAGACGTCGCCTGATCAAGCTGCACTATATCGTCTGAATGGGGACTACAACCCTCTTCACGTTGATCCCAGCATTAGTAAAAAGGGCGGCTTCCTGAAGCCCATCCTCCACGGTCTTTGCACATTTGGAATTACGGCCAAGCACATATCCGAGGCGGTTGGGCCGTTCAAGAGTATCAAGGCCCGCTTTTCTGGAACCGTGCTACCGGGTCAGACTCTTCTGATCGAGCTCTGGAAAGAAAAGGACGGTGTTATTTTCCAGACGAAGGTTGAGGAGTCTGGGAAATTGGCCATCAGTGGAGGTGGAGCTAGATTATATGGCGCTGAGAACGCGAGACTGTAGAAGAGGGTGGTTTGCTTGTATTGCTAGGCTAGATTGGTATGTTCAAGCTAATTTTGCCTCTCTCTACTGAACCCTCGCATTATATCGCAAGAAGTGGTACAAATTAGTCTTTCCTACGCTTACCCATCCCCTGAGAAGATATATGTGCGCCTTTTAATAAAAATAATCGGTACTAGGCAAGCGTGTAGATGTCTAGATTATTCTAGAGAGGGTACATATAAACAAGAATGGTGATAAATTATCAAAGGTGAGAATCGCTGGAGAAACGTGCGCTTGCCCTCGAAAGCGCTTCACTAGCCTCATGTTCAATCCTCTTCGCCAGCTCCATGCAGGTAGGGATGTCCTTGATCAGCCCAGCAGCCTGACCAACTGTCCAAACACCAGCGTTAATGTCGCCCGTTTCATAGACCTTCCTCCCTCGTATTCCAGACATGAGATGAGCCACTTCATCAAACTTGGGGTCCAGCTTGGAGTTCTCGATCTTGGACACTTCGAGGGAAATTTCGTTCTGCGCGAGGTTAGTGTGGCATCATCCATGGTCAATGGATCGATCGGTCGAGGGTGCGGTACCTTTGCCAGGCGTGTCGAATTGCGAAATTTGCGCAGTACGAGAATAGTAGAGTTCTCGTCCATGCGCGCGATTTCTTCCTTGACACTGTGATGGATTGGAGACTCCATTGTGCACATCCATCGGGTGCCCATGTTGATCCTGCACCGTTGTTAGCTTTTGACTTGTGAAACAGAAAATCAAAGACGGTCTGACCCTTGTGCTCCAAATATAAGGGCAGCAGCCAGTCCATTACCGTCACTGAATCCTCCAGATGCGAGGAAGGGGATCTTGAGTTCCTGCGCGCATCTTCCGAGGAGGATCATCGATGTGATATCGTCTATTTACGGTGAGCATCCCTTCACTATTTCCAGGGCGCGGATTTACGTACATTCTCCTCCATGGCCGGCGCTTATCATGCGAGACAAGTGGTCAGAATCAACTTGGGTTGGTAAGTTTGATCTCAAGCTTACCATTCGATGCTGACAGACGATTAGTGATAGTGCGCGCGCAATTACCCAAAGGGGAACCCACCCGTCGATTGATATACAATCCACCCCCTTGGCCTCCGCCTTCAAAGCATGTCCAATTGATACACACTTGTGAATCACAATGACATTGTTTTCCTTGAGGAATGGGAGCACTGGATCCGGATTCCCGGCTGTTTCGACGACCTTGATACCTTCCTCGACAGCGACTCGTGCGTAGCCCAGATAGTCGGGTGCGTTGAGGCTCGGGAGCATTGTGATATTCACACCAAACTAGTACTGTTAGGTTGCTGCAGTTTGCTCTTGTTCTCGTGGGGGCTCACGGGCTTATCTGTCATTGTCCGGCATCGACGAATCCTAACCACGGTCAACTTGGATTCGGATGAACACTTGCCAAAGCACTTACTCTTGGCGGAGAGTCTCTGGATTGGGCTGCGTCAAGGAAGTCTTATCTTGTTAGGAACTGGCGTCACTTCACGGGCTGAGAGGCGAATACCAGGAAGCCAAGTCCACCAGCATTCGCCACGGCGGATGTCATTTCTGACACGGTCAGTCTGCTTCATTGTCTGTGTGCAGAAATCAACCACGCATACCGGCTCGACCAACCCACATCATACCTGATTGGAACTATTAGAATCCTGATAATTACCAATACTCAATTTGATAGAATCCAAATACTCACCACCCTGAACAATAGGGACACGGACCCCGACAGTTTCTGTTAGCCATGTTTTGATCGCCATCCTCGTAGAATTGTGCACTCTGTCGTCGCTTCTGTAATGACTAACAGGGTGCTACGTAGAGCAATTTTAGATACAAGCTCAAATACCCCGGGTGGCAGTCTGTTGGTTCTGGTTAGGCTAGACTCGCGGGCGATGCAACTGGCTCGGCCCTGCGGATATCGGTTGTCGGCAACGACAAGATCGCAAAATCCACAACCAAAAGTTTCAATCGGGAAAACGAGTCCCGAAATAAAATCTAATCTATTTTTCGGTGCTAGGATAATTTTGAGCCGATACCTAGTGTCGACGGGGGGCTGTGGTCGCTATCCCGTGGGGAAATTTAGCCTCTACAAGGGGTGTATCAGGCACAGTTCACAGCTGAACTACCCCGTAGTCAAACGACTTTTGGTTAGTTTAGTGGTACTCTGGGTAGTTTTGGCAGTAGTCTTTGTGATAATTTAGTACCTTTTCATGCACCTAGCCGCGAATTTATTCCACCCATTCTTATACTTTGCTTTACCTTGCTTATACCTAGTTCCAGACTTAGGCTTAAGGTACCTATCCAGGTTCTTGGTGCCGGATTCAACATGATCGTAAATGGTTGCACGAACAGGAGGTACAATTCGTGGCTTTCCCTGGCGATCCCGAGGTGTCTACCCCATGGGGAACATTTATAGTTTACGAGAACTTTATACTTCTGTTGGGTCTAGATGTAGAACCATCAGCTATATAATGAGGATGCCTCACTACCATGTAGCATCCTGTATTTGAAAATTCTCCTTATACAGAGCCAATTCAACGTCATCTACGATCCCGCGCTTCTTTCTTGAATCTACTTCGCCAGCTATGGATCCTGAGGCTGCTGAAGAGCAGAAGGCAACGGCACATGTCGAGATCCATGAAACCCCACTGGTGGGTCTCACTAGATCTTTGCATCGCAGAGCTGCTTGGCTAATATGTCTCCTCAGAATTGGCCGCTGTGGAAGAGGAACACGATTTTCTTTGTGGTCTGCCTTACAGCATTTGCCGCCACCAATACAATCCTCGCAAATGCTGCCGGACTTGTGATTCAAGCTCAAGAGTACCAGAAGAGTGCTCAGGACCTTAGCTACACCGTGAGCCAACTCATCCTCGGCAGTCTTTTGTGGTGACATGTGCTTAATTCAATCTTAGTTAAGCGCCACACTGGCTGGAGCTGCCATCGGCCCGTTCGTCTGGCAACCGTTTGCTCGAAGATTTGGCAAGGCGTCGACAATCTTCACAGCGAGCAATCTTCTCTGGATCTTCAATATTTGGGCAGCCGTATGCAGAGGCAAGTATTCATACGGTTCCTTTATTGGAGCTCGTACAATGTCTGGCTTTGCGAGTAGTGCAGCTGCGTATGGTATGTTTTTAAACTGATGACGAGATGCCGGTTTCTTTGGCTAATGGCTCCAAGTTGGTGGCCCAATTATTCTCGAATTATATCCGCTTCATAATAGAGGAAAGGCATTTGGCATCTGGAGCTTTAGTCTGATTTTTGGGTGAGTGAGCTCAGCTGTTTTCATTTATTCTCAATTGACCTTGCTTGTTAACAACGACAAGCACCATCTTTGGCCCCGCCATGTCAGGATACATTGTATACTATGTTCCATGGCCCGTGCAATTCTGGTACAACGTTGGTCTTAACGTGTTCATTGTCATCTTGATGCTCATTGTGTTTGAGGAGACCGGAGTCTCCGCGACGGGTTCATACGTTTGCCTGAAGAACGAGTCATGGTTTACGCGAAGGCACTATTTGATCCCTGGATTGACAGCCAGCCGTTACAAGTATGGAGCGAGGGACTTGGTACGTTTTAACTTATTAAACCAGCCAAGACCATTTCCTAACTCCACGAACAGGTTCGGACTTTAACGGTTCCGTGGTTGATTCTTATTTGTCCCCATGCACTTATTGCTAGCTTCGGACTTTTCGTATATTTTGGCTTGTACGTCGAGCGATGGATGAAAAATACGTTATAGAAGCATGCTGATTGTGAAAGTGCCGCCGGTATTACCAATGTCCTTGCGGTCTTTCTCCAGACGCCGGTCTCTCTCGGAGGATATGGTCTCAACGCCATAGAAAACTCAAATTGTAAGTCATATCTGAACTGTTACAAAACAGTCCTGACCGAGTCAGTCCTCTTCTCCCAATGGGTTGGAACACTCCTGGCCCTCGTCTACAGTGCACTCTTGGGCGACCGTCTCCCTCTCTGGCTGTACAAGCGCAACGGTGGCATATGGAAGCCTGAGTACCGGCTGATCTCCCTCCTCTTGCCTTGCCTGGTCCTCTTCCCGATCGGCTACGTCGTGATGGGCGTCTCCCTCGCCCGCCACTACAACCGCGCCATCCTGGGCCTTGCAGCCTGTTTCCTCGCCGGCGCAACCGTACTCGTTATAGGCTCCCTCGTCGCGTACCTGAACGAGACATTCCTCCGGTACCGATCCGAGGCAAACGTCACGGCAAACCTCACCCGTCTAGCCCTAGGCATTGCGATTCCATTCTTCGTGTTTCCGTGGGAGGAAGAGGTCGGGTTGGAATGGATGTTTGGAATGATTGGGATTTTCCAGTGGGTCTGTTTCGTGCCCTTGTTGGTTCTGTACTTCAAGGGGGAGACGATTCGAAAGTGGGCGCTGTCCTCTGTGGCAGATGTTGCGGACGAGGAAGAGGGGGAGATCATGGTCAGTGGAGGGCATTAGGTTGCATGGGAACTTGGGTTACTATTGATTATTCAAAGGGAGTGTCCGTCGGGACTTGAGGGACTGAGGTGTGGGCCTGGAAGTGAGATTAACGAGCCTGGATTTGGAGGATACACTCGGCGCTGGCTCTTGGAGAAGAGATTACATGTATTCAGAGCCGATGCTAGTCTTTTCCCTAGTCTTTTCCTCGTGGATTCCAAATCAGATAACAATTTGCCCTCGGCACTTCGCCAATTTGACTTGAAAATACGCCCCAGCCCGGGCCCCAGCCGGGACCGGTTATCGGGCACAGCGCATCAATAAATACAGACCAACAATCTTTCAGAGGAGTAGTCTAATCAGAGGAGTAGTCTAATCAACTTTTCCAGCGACACAATGAGCAACGTCTACAAACACCTGGAGATTGAGCCAAAAGGAGACGTCTTCATCGTCACCCTCCGAAATGGCGAGGACAACCGTCTGAACTTTGCCATGTGCAAGGAGCTGATGCATGCTCTGGGCGCGATTCGAGATCAGCTGAAGACCGGAAGTGACGGGGCGCTGATTGTACGAGGGCACAATAACAAATTCTTCACCAATGTGAGACACCCGCCGTTCACGGTTAATTAGCCAACTGAGTGCTAATCATCCTCTGCTCTCTAGGGCATCGATCTCGAAGAAGCAGCGCAAAACCCAGAAGGCTCGGCGGATTCTTTCTACCCTGTATGCCAACCCAACTATATCCATCGCATAATATCTCAGTGCTTACAAGCTCGCATAGCTCCTCCACGCAATTCTCGACTTCCCTTTCCCCACAATCGCCATCGTCTCCGGGCACACCTTCGGCGGTGGCTGCCCCTTCTCCCTCGCCTTCGACTACCGCATCATGAACAGCAAACGTGGGTTCTGGTGCATGGTCGCCGTTGACTTCGGCCTGCATTTCCCTGGCATCGGGTCGCTCGTTAAGTCCAAGCTGACCCCGCGTGTTGCCCGAAAGGTCCTGCTAGAGGGCCACAAGTTTACCGGTAAGGAAGCATTGGCAGATGGGATTGTGGATCAGGTTGCCCAGCCCGAGGAGCTGCTGTCGACGGCCATGGAGCTGGCGGAAAAAGTGAAGAGCAAGGGGCGTGGAAATGTCTATGGTCTTCTACGGGCCGAGCTGAACCTCGAGCCACTGCATCGGCTGAGGGATATCAGTTACGTGCATAACGCGCGCCGGGCACCTATGGGAGGGGTCCCGGGGAGGCTGTAGTCGTATGTTATTCTTTCAACGGACCAGAGAATTACAGCCTAGATAATTTGGATCTCCCGGACTATGTAGATTATGTTCAAACCCTCTGATTCTATTGAATGAAAGACTATTGCCACACAGTTTGGACTTGCTAGACTCTATGGTTCTGTGTCGAGCCCCTCTAATTCAACCAAATGGAAGAGGACTTAATCGACCGGGACAGTTGTGGGTGGGCTGTGCTTGACCTACAGTTGATAAACACGGCGCGTTCTACCCCTACACAGAGGAAACAGTCAAGGGAGCAGATAATCTGGAATCTTGATGTCTGGGAGATCTCTAAGGAAGAAGAAGGGAACTGGGAAACAGAGACCTCGTATAGGCCAGCAGGGGAAACTGCGCAGGGCCTGAACCAAACAGGAGTCTACCGAAGGGGAGTCTGCATCTTATCATACGTGAGGCGTATTGTCAGTGTACCAAGGTAGAACCTAGATACTAATATCAAACCATCCGTTCACAACAGAGTGGCAAGGCGATCTCAACGCAAATCAAGTACGACCCTTCCGCTGATGTTGCCCTCCTCCATCTCCGCAAAGACATCACTCAGCTCCTCCATCTTCCTGAGTTGATAATGCGCCTGGACAGCACCATTGACAGCCATCCTCACGCACTCATGCGCGTCTGCACGATCACCCACCTTACTGCCTAGACATAGTGTTAGCCGTCCACTACACAAGAAGACGGAATCCGGAGTGCCATACCAATAATCCGAATCTGCCGACTGACAAGGAGCGGCACACTCGCCGTCTCAATCGGCCGTGGCTCTCCCTCCGGAACGCCGAGACAAACCAAGGTCCCCGCCTGGTCAAGACAGTAGATCGCCTGCGCGTACGCCGCATTGCTGGAAGTACAGACAAGGGCAACGCGTGCCCCACCACCAGTAAGCTTGACAACCTGCTGACACAGCTCCTCTGACTTGGTGAAACCCAACACGTCGACGAAGTGATCAGCGCCCGCCTCGATGCACATTGATTCTTTGCCCCCAACGTCCAGCGCGACGACGAGGTATCCCATAGCCTTGGCGTACTGGATCGCCAGATGGCCGAGTCCGCCGCCACCGCCGGAGATAGCGACCCAGTCACCTGGGCGGAGGTCGGTGTTCTTCAGTGCAGTGTAGACAGTAATGCCCGCACACATGATCGGGGCCAGGCCGGGCAAGGCATCGTCTGCGACATTGTCTGGGATGAGGGTGACGTAGTTGCTGGCTGCGACGAGGAACTGCTGGAATGTGCCTGGGTGGAAGGCACCGCTGAGCTTTGCGGCGATGCAGTTGACTTCTTTGCCGAGGAGGCAGTATCCTACAAACGGGTTGATGTTTCTCATTACTTCTTGGCTATAAGACAGAAGAGGGCCCAGGAGAGTCGACTCACGACAGGACAGGCATGCAGAAGCCACATATTTGATCCCGACCTTGGCCCCGACTTTGGGATTAACGACACCAGGCCCTTGAGAAATCACCTGGCCGACGCCTTCATGGCCGCCAATTTGACCTGCATGTTTTTGTCACGAGTCAGAGGTCGATTTGAGTCAACAACCACAACCGGCGAAGGGGCATAGCTGGACTGCACCTTTTGGAACTGTCACAGGGGCCTTCCATGAGTTGGTGCACAGTGAGTAATCCGTGTGGCAGACGCCGGAATAGAGCCTAAATGAGAGAATTATTGGCCCCGCTTGCCTAGACACCGCAAAAATCTGGATTCGTTCAGCTGGAACCTACACGCGCACGAGGACTTGACCTGGGCCCGGAGCTTCAATAGGGAGCTCGACCACCTCTGTTTCCATGGTCCCCGGCTTGGAGTAGATGACGGCCTTGTTGACCTTGACTTGTAGACCCTCCATGATGATGGGACGTCGAGTATGAGATTTGGCGAGGAAGACAAAAGTCACTGTAGTAGCCTGTAGTCTTTTTTTTTGTAAGCTTCCCAGGAGGCAGTAGTTAGGTACTATCTGCTTGGTGCTCGGCGCAACTGGAAATCGCTAATAGGTAAGATTCCAACTATGCCGCTATCCGAAGGCTCCCGGTTGTCGGTATTGCTCAATCTTCTCAACTTGGGAAGATCCATGCCACTGGCACCACTCTTGACCATTCTCAGGCCCCAATGCCTGCCGGTGCTCGGTGTATACAGGATGCCCTTGGGTACTTGGTGGGGCGTACTTGTTATTCCTTCTAGGTTCTCTACCGCTTTATCCAGCGGCACACGTGAACGGACACGGTCGAAACAGATTTGATTTTCCTAGGGACGTCTATAAACGAAAAAAAAGTACTAGCATGAAATAGACAGAGAGGCTTTACTCAGCGCCCTAATATCAGATCTTGGCTTGCCTGGCCTCAATCAGGTCCAGAGTTTTGTCCAAAGCGTAGTCACACGGCGCCTTCTTACTGCGCACTGCATTCCCCTGCGCTCGGGTGATATATCTGGCCTCCACGGCAGGATTGTAACCTAGCCCGCTTGCCTGTGCGATTTCACTCTCACTAACAGCTACATCGGTATTCTTCTTCCCATCCGCTCGCCGGTAGACGGTCACAACAATCGCACCACCGAGCCCCAAGTTATGCTGCAGGGCCACACCGGTGTTTTCAACGAGCCGGCCATTGTTTGTCCAGCCACGCAGCTGCCATGTTAGCTCGGCACACTGTGCGAGGCCGGTGGCGCCGAGAGGGTGGCCCTTGGATATCAGGCCGCCAGAGGGGTTCACAATGGGGCCTTTTCCGCCGTAGGTAATATCTCCCGCGCGGATAAGGTGATGGGCTTTGCCGGGCTCGCTGAAGCCCATGGCATCCAGAGAGATAAGCTCGTTGGTGGAAAAGCAGTCGTGCAGCTCGCAGACCCGGATGTCCTTGATTGTTGCACCTGCCTCCGCGAGCGCCTTGGCAGTTGCTTTCTTGGTCATTTCGTAGCCGACTAGGCTCATGGCACTCCCAGAGTACAGTGCCGGGCTGTCAGAGGCGAGGCATTGCCCTGCAATAAGGATGGCGTGCTTGAGCTCTAGGCGGGCGTTGAGGAATCGCTCAGACACAACAACGGCCGCGGCAGCCCCGTCCGAGGTAGGCGAACACTGCAGCTTGGTGAGAGGGTAATAGATCATCGGTGACTTCTGAATCTGTTCTAGGGTGTAGACGGTCTGGAACTGGGCGTAGGGGTTGCGTGAGGAGTGCTCATGCGAGACCCGCGCGATTTCCGCAAAGTCCTCCGCGGACGCCCCGTACTTCTCAATGTATTCGCGCCCTGCATTTCCAAACATTTGAGGGTTCTTGGGTGTCTTGTCCTGTCCTCGCGTCTGCGCCATGAGCCGCACACTCAGATCCGACGGCGTCGGGCGATCAGTCACGTTCCCAATCAGGGGTCCGGGAGACATCTGCTCGAACCCAACCACCAGGATGCAGTCATGGATGCCAGCTTTGACAAAGTTCCGCGCCATATGCAGGCCCGTAGAGCCCGTCGCACATGCGTTGTTTGTGTTGTAGATGGGGATGTCGGTCATGCCAAATTGGTAGAATGCACGCTGCCCGCTGCATGTAATGCCCCCGGCGTAGCAGGCGATTCCAGCTTCCACGTCGTCGTAGGTAATATGGGCATCCAGCATCGCCTTCACACCAGCCTCGAAGGCGAGTTCGGTGTACATGCGGGTGTCGCGCGGGCGGAGGAAGGCAGTCATGCCGACGCCGAGCACGTAGGCGTTGCCCTGTGTTTGTTCTGCCATGTTGTTGACAGTGAGTGATATGAAGAGACCGGTAATCAAGCTGTTGGAAAGATGCTCGAATGAACTGGACAGTCATAATGAGCGGTTTAAGCACCGCCGGGCACCCGAGGTTTCCCCCAAAATGGGCCCCCGAGGCTGCGATTGCAGGTGGTGAGCCTAGCCTCGGTCTTCCGGTTCGGTTTCTGGGCCCCGATTCTGTACATCTGCGAATGTCAGGTAATCGTCTGAGCAAGCGGCTGGCGGTTTCACTGGGATGAACAAACATACCATTAGGAAGGGAGTTCTGGCTGGGATGGTAGCACCCTTGTACTGGATGTCTTTGATGCTCTGGTAGTAAAATGAGATTGTGTACAACTCAATGTCGCCGGCCAAAAACATCAGCCTCATCGCCGCGCCCACCACCACGCACTGTTCTTGTAAATCAAACCATTCTCATCCCCCACTAACGCTGCCCACTTGTTGAAAAACCACGGCGTCACCTCCCAACTGCGCGCATCCCAGGGCGCCCCGTCACCACGCCCGTGCAGAGAGACTTGCAAAGACCCATGGCACTGCATGCCGCCATGCGCCAGATCGAAGCACAGCGCATGCTCGTCGAAATTTCGATCCCTCTGCGCGAGTGCTGACAGTGCCCGAGCGCGGAAGGACGGGAGGGGGATTAGGTCAAGGTACGGGTGGTGGGATACCGTCATTTGCTCGGCGATAGGCTGGAGGTCAGGCTTTATTGAGCTTGTATTCTCCCGCGGGTGGCTCGTTCAATCCGTCAGTATCGACGTGTTGTGGTGGAGAACCAGGGAAGGGGAGAAAATAGCCTCACCATGATGGCACACTGGTATCCGTAACTGTAAACGGTGACTCGGCATCATTGTCGGCGATCTGGTCAACCGACAACCCAAGATGCCGCGCTATCTCGACGAACGCCGACGTGTGTGTGTTTCCACACGGCGCCCGCGGTATTCCTTCAACCGGAACCTGGAAGCACCAGTTGGTAGGCCCTCTCAGCCGTGAGAGCACCTGTACTCCAGCAAGGAGGATCGTGCCAATCGTAAATTGAGGATTGATCTGCTGCTCAACTATCGATGACCAGCACGCGAAGCACAGGGCTCTTCGCTCCTCGAAAAGCGAATCATCCAGGCAGTAACCCATGGAGATGAGGCCATATTTGATAATAGCGGCAATTTCCATGTGTTCCGTATCAAGGATCCTGGCCACATTCTCCACATCCGAAGGGCGCGCAAAGTAATGTAGGAAATCGTCGAACTTGAGCTGCGGCCGTGGACAGGCGGCCGTGCCTTTACAGCCGATTGGACTACAATTTATGAGCAGATCGAATCAGAGGCTTGTTGGAGCTGCAATCGATACACTTACTTTCTACGCTGATATAAAATTGCATTTTCCTTTTGGAGAGCGTGCTCGAGCACCTTTCGCCGCGCACCTTAACGGGTCAGCTAGGGAGCCCCTGGCGTCAGCTCAAGGGACTGGGGAGCTCACGACTTCGTTGTTGCGCCCTCGCATTCTGCTCACGGCGCCGTGCTTGATTCCATGATTCGATCACTTTTTTAGGCATTGTGTGTAGACTGGTAGATACTAGGTGCGGTGAGAGGACGTAGGGAAATAACCACGGCCTACGGGGGCAATTGAACGTGAGGCTCGCTCGGACTTTAGACGGAGATAGCATTTTCTTAATTCCTTCCGTCCCAAAAATGTACACAAAACATCATCCGCATAAAGTAATTATCAAAGATACGCCTTGACCTGCTCCTCGTTCCAATCCCAAAACCTCTCGCTCAACTCCCGGTCAAAAAAATCAGCCCGCCCGCTCACCAGTTTGCCTGGCGGAACAACTGTCCAGCTGGTTAGCATTGCACACCCAGGATCAACCAACTGAAATTCAATGAACAAACTCACCCCAGGTCTCTGGCTTGTGCACGTCAAGATCCGGCTGCAATCCTGCGTAGAGCTGCGTATACGCGCCAATCTCTGGTTTTTGTGCGATGAGGCGCTGTTATATGCCCTGCGTCAGACAACGTTACCCAGCGCACTGGAGAAATTCAGAACCACTTACAACGATAATCTGAAGCCACCCTGGCATGGTCCTCTGCAGACCTGTCATGGCAACGCCAGGGTCTAGAGTCTGGACACTAATTCAGATACAACTTTCAAAGGGTGATAACACAGAGCAGCGACACATACCACACTCACGATCCCATCATCCTTCCCGCGCCTAGCCAGAGCCGCCGCCTGAAGCACATTCCCGGCCTTGCTGCGCCCGTACTTACTCCACGCCCCTTCATCGGTGTGGTAATCCATATTATCAAAATCGATCGCCGGCGTGGGCGCACGCGTGGCAACCACGGACGAAACCCAGACGACTCGGACCGAGTCCTTGGGTGTCTGTGGGTCCGCAGCCGCGTTCTTGAGCGCCGGATAGAGCAGCTTCGTGAGCAGGGTCGGGCCCACGTTGTTCGTGCCGAGCTGGAGCTCGTAACCCTGCTTTGTCGTGGATCCCTGTCGCGGGATCATGACGCCTGCGTTGTGCCAGAGAACGTGTAGCTTGGATTCCCGGGACAGGAATTCGTCTGCGGATCTCTTGATCGTGGAGAGGTCGCTGAGGTCTAGAGCGAGGGAATGCACGGAGCCGGTGGAGTTGGGAAACCGGGTGCGCAGACCGTCGGCAACTTGCTGGAGCTTTGTGGTGTCGCGGGCGGCGAGGTAGACGGTGCCATTCCGCTGGTAGAGAATTGTCGCGAGGAGGAGGCCGTAGCCTGAGGTGGCGCCGGTTACTATAAAGACCTGCGGTATTCTTAGGGCACTGTACTCGTATGTCGGAGGAGGGGGGGTAGGCTTACCTTGCCGGTTTGGTCAGGGAGGTTAGCCTCTGTAAGAGGGGGTGCCATTGACGAGAGAAAGCCACCCATGATCTTGATATTGTATAACTGCGTGTCCCTTTTGCTAATGTGAGTGCACCTCGGACATATATGTATTCAGGACAAATATGATTTAACAACAAATATATTCATAACGTGCATATATTCAAGAAATGCATTTGTTCATTACTGTCACGCACCGGGACCCACTCTAGTTGTCACCGGCTGTGTCAAGGAGCGATACGATGTGTTGAACCACACAGAGGTTCCTTGAGGGCAACTAGTAACGAAGTACTAAGGTTGCCGAGGGATTTAAGTGATAAGATAACGCAACTAAAGTGAGAGCGATGCCTTGAAGTGCCGTAGTACTTCAAGTAGGATTGTCCTGCTGACCCTCTCAGTGTAACTTGTGATATTGATCGTAGTGACTTATGTCAAAGAACTATGCTAAGATAAACTAATGTCATGGAAATGAGTTTGTTTATATAGACAATGTCTCCTATAATACATATACACTCTCATTGTATACTGATTGTAGGATCCAATTACCTTCCTTCTCCCGTATACAATTTCCCTACACTCCATTGTATATTAACTACCCGAGTGTATATGCTTATGTAACAGGTAATCCCGGGTGAACAGCAAACAGGCTGAACACGTCTTAATCTGTCCTTAGCTTCATTCATGTTGGTTTCGTAACAATTACATGCATAAGTCCAAACGGGGATAGTCGGTCTTGGCGTCAGCTTTAAACTTCAGGCCTGTCATTAGTCTATCCATGGATGACGGCGTCCAGGGCTCCACCAGATCCACGGGTAGCACTAACCTTATTTTCAGCACAGACGCACGGGCCATGCACCACTGAGCCGTAAGCCCGGGACTCCGGGCTCGGATGACTGGCTTCTGCCTCTCTCCAGGGCTGGTGCGTGGTTTCTTCATTGCATCCATTTGCATCATTATGCCTGGACTCCCGAGGTCCCAGGGGTGGCCACGAAATTGCCGAGGAATCTATAACCCATAGGTATATGCACGACACTATATTTACCGTATGTAAAAGGACAATCTAGGAGCATTCCAAGAGTGAGGTAAGATTGAGATGATAATGGAGAGACACGTGCATAAAATGGACGCTATTTATGCATTACTTATCGGCAATCTCGTGGCCAGGGAGTGTAATGTGCTTAGACTTGGAAGGTAACGGAACGGAGAACAAAAGGACCCGCTTAAAGAAAATTGCACTGCATTGGACTTTGAAACAAATAGCAGATTCATTCAACCCATGACGAAATCAAAATTGCCCTCGGCTAGGATCCGGTTATGCAACTTGAGCACTTGTGAATACGCATCTATCCGCGCCAAGGGCGGAACAGCCTCCGAATCCCCGTCTGTTGATCGGCCAGATTGCAAGCTGACACCACTGTCCAAGTGGTTCTGATGTTCCATGCAGTGACTCTGCTGGAACATGAGTCGATGGGTTAAGCTCAGGGCAGCTTGATGCAGGTTGAAAAAGAAATCGACATCGTCGTATCTCTCCGACAGGTATTCCAAAGCCTGCAAGCAGGTAAACATCCCGTGCACAATGGGCGGGTATGTAATTGTCGATGCTTTCAATAGTATGCCGTGGATCGTGAATGGAATGGAAATACACATGACTCTGTGGTGAATCAGTTTTTGAAAAGCCCTGGTATACCAGTAGAAGATGCTTACGCTGCAGACGGAAGGTATCGTAATGCATCCCATGCGATCAATTGCTTGGTGATATGCGTCGTCATGGAGGCAGACTCCCATACAGCTTGATGGGAGGCCTCTCGGAGCTTGCTAGCCCACGGCGTAACTTTTGGGTTACCAAAGATGATTCCAATTTGGTGTAGTGTTGAGACCATGAACCTACTCATCCGTCAGTAATCTTTCGCCAACTTAAATGGGGTAGAGAAATTTACTCATATGTTAGTTGTAAAAAGGCCTTGTGTGTAAGCCACGGTAGCTCCTCTGCAGTAGGTGGATGAGAAGCCGCCTGCTGATCTTGCATAATCTGTACGTATTCGGCTCTCCAGTTGGAAACTGCTGCCTCGCATTCTTCCAACTCGCTAGTGATTGAGCGCCCCGGTCGCCTGGAGCGACCGCTCTCCGCCGGTGACTGTTGCACTTCGGTGTGTTGCAGGATGACGTTACAGATTAAGCTGAAATGTCGGAACAACTCGAGTTTAGCCAGAAATAAGTCGGCAAGCTTGCGCTTCACACCAAGGTCGAGGTGCCAAGGTGCACGTATCTCATCCTCCATATCGCTCAGCGTGACCATAGGAATCTCAAGAGGCAGACCGGAAGCGACAATAACACGTTGGGAACCCAGTAAGAATGCAATCACCCGCAGGATGCAGCAGGCATACAGTATTCGCCATCTGGCCATTTGACGAAGGGGGAGTGAGTTTTGAGAAAGCAACAGCGGAACATTGGCCTCTTTCAAGATCCTCTGCGCCTCGATGATCCAATTTTCTCTCGGCATCATGCCATTCTCAAAGTTGGGGCAGGTGCTGGTGCTCATGAGAAGGCATATCTGAACCTTTTGCATAGGTGACTTTTCACAGCCCGCATCGTACAGCACCTAGTAAAGCACTGAGCATCGCCGCAGTCTGAGGAATAGGGAACGGACTTACTTTGGCCTTCGTGTAAAAGGCTCGCCCCATGGCACGAAATGAGAGGAATCCGGCACGATCACGTTCATCATTTGAGATCATGGAGCACGCGGAGAAAAATATTGTATACAGCAATGCGAGACTAATGGGCGAAGGCATTTCATCATTTACGACCGGGCGGTTGTTGATCAAGCAGTAAATATGCCACTCATTAAGCACTGGTAGGCGGGGGTGCTTGAACTGGAAGAAATACCGCAAGAGACAATCAATCGTTTCAGGCGATGGGATTGCAAAGACATCTGCTTCTGCGAGTTTTTCGAGAGCTGTTTTGTCAAGTTTATGCCGGCACCAAGTCGTGACCCAGGGTATAGTCGATGTACATGCGGGGGCACACAGGCAGTCACCTTCGTTTGGTGCCTCAGCGAGTGGGGGAGCATTTGTCATCGAGCTCACGTTATGCCATGCAGGTACGCTGTGATTGCCAGGGGGAGTGTCAATCCCGACCAAGCTGTTGCACGAGACTTGCTGGCCCAGGGAAGAATCGCTCGATGTGTTGCTGTAGCCAAATTGTAGATCCGAGGACAGGCTATCGGGGGCGCCAAAGTCGTGGTTTTGCGGAAATGGATCCGGGCCCGTTGAAGCAAAATCTAGAGACAGATCGTCACAGCCAGCGAGGAATGAGGCGTTGTCGTTGAACAGCATCATGCTGGCTGCAGGCGATGTATGACCCATTGGAGGGAAGACGGTCGGTGTGGCGGAAGAGACAGACAAATTGCTAGGATTGTTGGCCCCAGAGGAGGACTCGCTAGACCTTCTTGTGCGAGCGTACGAGGGTTCATTGTCCAAATTGCTCGGGGCGCCAAGAGGCTTCTTTATGCGCCTATTCGCAGTCAGAGAATTTAAGAAGTCGTGGTGAAAATCACGGAGGGGCGGGACAAAACGAACCTCTTGTCGGGCACAGCGCAGTTTATGCCATCCAGGCGACAGTTTGTGCACGGGTCAGGATAGCGAGAAGTCACATCGCATCGGACCTTCCTCGACCGGCACGAAAAACAGGCTGAGCGGTGTAAGCTGGGAAAGCACTGACTGAGCTGGAAGCGGGGACAGGGAACTAGGTGCTTTACCAGTTGAGGCGCGACGAGTCCTCGGGCGACGGACACGATGCAGTGATTCTGACACAGCTGGGCTGAAGATGCTGTCGTTCATGGTTTTGTTGATAAGGACGACAGAGATGGAGAAGGAGTAGTTGGAACTTGGGGAACATCCCCAGGCGATCACGATAGGCAAAGGTTGCGGGGAAAGATCCATTCTAACTTTGGCTGCTCGGCTTGTGTTTCCGGTCTGATGGATGCATACATACTCATTAATAATAAATGGTGCATAACTAAGGTTATTAACATTATTTCCTGCCCTTCAGCCCATCGCTTCCAGTTGCCGGATAACACGAACCCGGGAGAACTTTATTGCTAAAGTCACACCCTGGTTACTTGATGCGGCCTAGCTTTTACTAAACCTTTATGCAACAGCCTTTGGGCCGGGCCATGGATATGTCAACAACACATATATTCCTCTCTTTCCACTTAACGCCTTTACCCCTGGGGCCCTGTCCCCTCCTCTTAAGCTACACATCACAATATCATCCCCTTCAATATTGATGAATTAGTAGGGAGATTATATAAATTCTTCACTAAGGTACTTCTACCCACGCCTGCCATCTCGGTATACAAACACCTATTTGATCTACAGAATAGAAGCTAGATATCAAGATTGTGTGAAGCATGGAATTACAATATGGGCTTGTACGCATTGATGGAGCCTAGAGAAGCTAGGGTACCTAACTCGGGGTAGCCGGCATGCGTTTGGAAATAACAAAATGGGGGGTTTTTACCACTGCTCGAACCCGGAGGGATAACTACCCACACTGGCTACCATATTGCCTGAAAATTACTTGGCAGGGTGGCCGGAAGGAGAAGAGTGTCCGGCCTTCTGGCCAGGCAGATGAAAGTCACAATTTTGGGAACGAACCCGCGGATGGAACGCCAGAACAGCATATGCATTTGTCGGGCGATCCGTGAGAGGCCATCGAGTACGTCGTAAATCTACCTCGGTATCAGGCCGGGGATGCCGGATACGCTGCAAGCCACAGCCGCGGTCGTATGTCTTGGTTCCTTGCTCTCGGTCACTGGGCGGCTGGTCTATGTTGGTGTTCTGTTCCCTTATACTCTCCCAAGCTTTTGCGTTGTCCTGCTCCTCTCCAATTCTACTCGCACGATGGCTGTGGAGCGGCTGAGTAGTATTATGGCTCACTTGGGATGCACGACCTCTGGTGCAGCAGGCATGTATGTCTCAAGATTTCACCGAGAAGGAGCTCCGAGGGAAGAAGTCTGCTAATGAGAATTCAAGCTCTGCCAAAGATCCTAATGATGTTGTCATCACCTGTGCGCTCCGATCTCCATTTACGAAAGCGCTCAAAGGAGGACTCAAGGATACCCCACTGGACCTCATGGTGCACGCGCTGTTGAAGGAGATTTTGTCCCGGTCAAAGCTAGATCCGAGTCTAGTTCAGGACGTGTGCTTGGGCAATGTAAGTAGGGACGGACTAGCATTCTTGCTCAACTTACTCACACTGACCCGCTCAGGTACTAGACCCTGACTCTGCATACATTGCCCGAGCCGCATCGTTGGCTGCTGGAATACCGTACACCTCAGGAGCGTCTTCGGTCAACAGATTCTGTTCGTCGGGTCTTAAAGCTGTCCAGGATATAGCCAACCAGATACAGTCTGGAGCAATCGATATTGGCCTCGCAGTCGGTGCCGAGTCCATGACCGCATACGGAGGCCGGATCCCAGTCCCCAGACCCTTCAGTGAGGAGATACTCAAGAACCACCAAGCAAATAGCTGCATGCAGCCCATGAGCCAGACATCCGAGAACGTGGCCCAGAGTTTCGCCATAAGCCGAGAGGATCAGGATCGCTACGCAGCCGAGTCGTTCAGGCGTGCAGAGGCAGCTCAGGATGCAGGGCGGTTTGACGATGAGATTGTTACCATGACAGTTCGACAAAAGGACAAGAAGACTGGACAAGAGAGACGAATCACTCTCAAAAAGGACGATGGTATTCGTCGAGGGACCACGTACGAGTCACTGGCAAAGATCCCTCCTGCATTCCCGCAATTCGGCCAGACCACGACTGGGGGTAACGCGAGCCAAATCACTGACGGAGGTGAGTAATTGTTCAAACATGCTCCACAACAATGATCAAGCTAATGTAGCTAGCCGCTGCTGTCTTGTTAATGAGACGCTCTAAAGCCATCGAGCTTGGCCAACCCATCCTGGCCAAATTCTGTGGCGCAGTTGTCGCCGGCGTTCCACCTCAAATTATGGGAACAGGTCCGGTCGCGGCGATTCCAAAGTTGCTTGACCAATTCAAGGTCCAGAAGGACGAGGTGGACATCTTTGAGATCAACGAGGCGTTTTCATCAATGGCAGTCTTTTGTCTCCGGAAGCTCAGACTGGACCATGCTAAGCTAAACCCGCGCGGTGGGGCAATTGCACTGGGTCATCCCTTGGGAGCAACGGGAATTCGCCAGATCTGCACGATCCTCAGCGAGGCGAGGCGAGCGAAGAAGAGAATGCTGGTTACGAGTATGTGTGTTGGAACCGGGCAGGGAATGGCGGGATTGTTTGTGAATGAGCAGCTCTAGAGGCGAAATGTACCTCATTTTTCTAGAATCCTTCCATAGCAAGCTCTCCAGGTAGACAGGAATGGTGAATGTTGTTGCTTTACCATCCATGGACTACTTGTAGATATCCTCGTACTCGGATGACGCGCTAGGTATGACCAGTACGCACATCATCCATGTAAGCTCACAAGTAAAATAGCAATGGAGAAAAATGCAAATAGAAGCCATTGGACTCGAGAAATCGAAGCTATCACCCCTGGGCTGCTACTTAGCCAATCGGCGCCATGAATCCCAACCATGACTGACAAGACGCCCTGGACAAGAATACTTGCAACAATTATCTTACAATGTATCATATGACTAGGCATTGCTCTTCGTGTCATGCGCGGCAAAGTGGTGTGAGTAGGAAGTCAAAATCGCCGAATGCTCGTCCGGATGGCTATGCCGGGGCCCTCGGTTCGCCGGATCAGAGGCACGCAAGGAAATTTGCGAGAACATATAAAAACGAAGCCTGTTCTGAGAATTGCTCGATCCCGGGTAGCGGGATGCAAACCTACCTACATCGCACACATCACACGCACCATTACTGAAAGCAATCCCACCATGAACAAGCCAGCAATGGAACCTAGCACCACCCCTCTAGCCCAGTACATCTGGGGCGAGGAGAACTTGCAGCGTCGGATAGAAGTGCTCAAGGAGCTTGAGCACCACCCAGTCCTCAGCGTCAAGGTTAACCTTGCGGGGCTGTCCCGCCGTGATAACTGGGCAGTCCGTGTGCAGCAGGCGCAGGCCCTCGTCGAGCTTTATTTTCGCAAAGGCTGGAGCCAAGAGCACTTCCTCACGAGTAACCGGATCCTGGGAGATATGCCTAGCGCGCCCCAATTTCGCAGTGGGTTGTCACCGTGGTTACCATTATCGCGGCGGCTCTTACGCTAACAGGATTATTACCTCGAAGTCTTCATCAAGAATCTACAAGCCCAAATGAGCCCCGAGCAGAAAGCCTACTGGGTCCCCAAGGCCGAGCGCTTCGAGATCCTGGGCTGCTACGCACAGACCGAAGTCGGCCATGGCAGCAATCTCGGTGGCATCGAAACCCGTGCGACCTTTGATCCAGAGACGGATGAATTCATCCTGGAGTCGCCCACTGTCACAAGCAGCAAGATATGGATCGGGGCTCTGGGCGCTTGGGCGACCCACGCCATCGTCGTGGCCAGGTTGATTGTCAAGGACAAGGAGTTTGGTAACCATCTCTTCTTTGTTCAGGTGCGCGATCTAAAGACGCACGATGTCCTGCCAGGGATCACGATCTATGAGCAGCGCGACAAGACTTTGGGGACGATTCGGGGCATCGACAACGGTGTCATGCGCTTCTTCGGCCATCGGATTCCGCGTTCGCATATGTTTGCAGGCTCGAGCTCGCTGAGCCGTGATGGTACGTATAGCCCGCCGAGGAACAAGAGCCACTCGTACACATCGATGATCATTATCCGTGGCTTGCTGTCATCCGAGCTCGCTTTTGATGCGATGCGGTGTCTCTATATCGCGGCTTACTATACAGCCTTCCGCCGCCAATTTGGCGCCAATGGTCCTGGCCAGGAGGAGTCCCCGGTGATCCAATACGCCAGTGTTAAGAATCGACTGTTTAGCGCGATTGCGAGGGTAAGTCGCCTGCAGAAACGTCAAGGACGTGACATAATAACGAGTCGCATAGGAAGTCACCATCATCCTCAACGGTCGTCAGATCACTGCAGCCATTGAAAGTGGAATTGGAAGCAGCCTGGATAACCTACACATCATGACTGTTGGGGGAAAGGTCTACGCCAGCGAGCATGCGGCAAGGGACGTAGAAGTTGCGCGCCTTCTTTGTGGAGGGCACGGTACGAAAAGAGAGATTCAACTCCATGACAGAACCGAGAAGGATGCATAACTGATAGCAGCGCATAGGACACCACGAGAGTGCGGGATTCGGTGCCCCGTACGCGCTGCTCTCCGCCAGCAGGACCTATGAAGGAGACAGCTATGTTATTTCACTCCAGCTAGGACGAGCGATTATAAAGAATTGGGCGAGGTATGCGCAAGGCCACACATGTCCCCATCTCCGTGCAGTTAGTTGCTAATCTGAATCATGTCCAGAGCAGAGGAAGACCAACTGCCTGCACTGGCCTACCTGCGCCGGGTCAAGAATCCGTCCGCTTATCAGCAACGGGTCGGTCAAGGCAAAAATACCAACTGGTACGACCCTGCGGTGCAGGAAGACGTTCTCGAGCAACGCGTCGCACTGCTTGCAGGCGGCTTCCTTGCAGACGAAAAAGAAGGAAAAGACACCAGCTTCCAGGTCCTTGAACTGACCATGGCTCATACTGACCTGCACTACATGCGCGGTCTCTACGCCGCTCTCGAGAGCGCGCCTCCTGAGTCCCAGGTTGCTTTAAAGGCACTCGCAAACTTGGTAGGTTCACACGATCAGTGAGTATGCCCAATCTGCAGCGGGACGGCTAACAATTTCCGCTCACTAGTATATATTCGACACCATTACGAGGGGCCTATCGACCTTTGCTGGAAGCTCGTATCTTAGCCTGAGCGACTTACAGGGTTTGAAGGCTTCTCTCGAGAAGAGCGTTGCAGACTTTGAGCCTCACCTGTATACCATCTTAGAGGCATTTTCGTTTACTCCGCTGGAGACAAAGAGTACGCTTTGCCCGGTTGACAAGACACCCTACGAGGCGATCGTGGACTGGTCCAAGGGTAGCGAGTTGAACGATAACACCTTCATGCGCCCAGTTATTTTGGATGTTCGGTCGATGTGGAAGAAGTTCGAGCAGCCGAAGCTGTGAGGGAATGCTTTCGCAAAGGGCTGGCGGATAAATTTTTTTAGGGTTATTGATAATCTATCTGACACTGCGATCATCGGTACCGTCGTAGTAACCCTGTCTTTACTTCCAGCATCAGGCTGCATCAGTGGTATAAAGCATCTTGACCAGGACTTGCATTTAGCGCTGGAAAGGTGGAAGAGATAGATTTCTCGTAAATGGAAAGCTCCCGGATAGGATAAATAGAATTTTGCTCCGTGGAAGCAATCCGCGCTCAAAATCAACAATATTTTTCTCTTCTTCAGTAAAGAACGAACCGCCTACTTTTTTCTACTTATGACGACGAATCTTGGGTTGCGTGCCCAATTTGGATATTAGCAGCTGTCGAGCTGGATGTTGGCATACTATGTTCGCGTGTCCCGACTCTCCGTCTAGTGGCAAGGGAGTACCTGAAGAAAAGTCCCCGCGCGCTTTTGGGAGTGCAATCAGTGGAACAAGAGCTTTCACTCACTGGCCCGACTTAAAGCAGCACAGGTCTCGTACCTCGGCATCTTCCGCAGGAGGTGAAAGCGAGTGCCTTGACGGTTCTCTCTTTGATGCTTAAACACGGAATTGGTAGGACGATAATCAAAATATTTTCGATGATTATAAGCTACACTTCATGGAGGTCCAGCAAGTTTTGCTGTGTCCTTTTCACCTCCTCGCCTTCCCCTCCATCATTTGAAATAATATCCACCCTATTCGACATCGCGTTGTACTGATACCTTGACAATTTTAAGAGCAATGTTTCTTGTAAGACTTGATGAATTCCTTTTTATTATAGGTCAGAATAAAACGATGAGTAATCTTTGGATTAAACTTCTAGTTCATCGATATGCAGCGATCATCAGAACAGACCAAATTTGCTGGACTGTTGACTGAATAGCGTAACAGTCATGTAATAAAATGGACTTTCTATTATCTTTTCTGCCATCTATCATAAAAAGCGTTCATGCTGGCCGGGCCTTGTGGCTCCGCGCTTTTGTGCTGAGAATCTTCAGTTCTTCCATATTCGCGTCAAGCAACTCTAACTTGGAAGTCCGGATCAGGAGACCTTTGTTGAGATAATCAATGGGCACTAGTTAGGCTTCTTCGTCCAGAAGAATGTCTGTGTGTTGCAGTACGACTTGAGCCCTTCGACTCCCCATTCGGCACCCAGCCCGGATTTCTTGTGCCCTCCGAATGGTGCCAGTGGGTTCAGCAACATGTGAGAATTGATCCAGACTGTGCCCGCCTTTAATTTCTTTGAGATGCGTGACGCTCGCTCCGTGTCCTTTGTCCATACTGAGGCGCCGAGCCCATAATCCGAGTTGTTTGCTCGACGAATGACCTCGTCTTCAGAAGTCCATTGCAGAATGGGGATAACAGGGCCTGAAAAGAAGGTTAAACCAGCGCATGGTGACCTGATGGAAGTTTCTTCCTTACCGAATGGCTCCTCGGTCACCACCATGGAATCATCTGGTGGGTTGTCGACAACAGTGGGCGTGAAGAAATACCCTGGTCCTGGTCTGTTTTCATTGGTGAAATCGCCTCCCGCCACGACTGTGCAGTCGGTTTTGCCAATATTGTCGAGGAAGCTCTGCACGCGAGTGTATTGAGCCTTGTTCTGGACAGGGCCCAGGTGGCTTGCGCCGAACCCATCGCCGACCACTAGAGACTTGGTCATCTTTACGAAAGCGTCAAGGAACTGGGGATATATGGAGCTATGGACGTAAATTCTCTTGATTGCGACACATAGCTTTGACTGGGTTAGCCTGTGGCTGGAAGATTTATGCTCAGAGACACTATACCTGGCCTGAGTTTGCCCAGACATATTGCACAATCTTGGATCAGATGCATCAGTTTCGATTTCATCACCTGGAAGGGAAAGAAACACACTTGAGGAACAACGGTCATGAGGTTGACATCCTCACACACGATGGCTGGGTCATTACCCCCTCTGCTTTCGATCAGGCCTGATCCCCCTGCTCCCATCTGACAACTTACAGCTCCAAAGTTAAGCGCTTGAGTGTACGCGAACAAGACTCCATGACCCGCTTTCCAGTAGCAGTAGACCCGGTAAAGCTGATCTTGTCGATATCCGGATGCTCCGTGAGTATTGGCCCGAGGCTGTCATCGCCGCTGAGAGCCTGGAGCACCCCTGGAGGGAAGTGTCGCTGGCCTAGCTCTGCCAGTTTCAGGCCACAGTATGGTGTGAACGGTCTGTAGAAATTAGCAAATGATCATCGAGTATGGCTAAAATGTCTTACGATGGCTTTAAGATCAGGGCATTGCCCGTTAACAGCGCTGGGGCAAGCTTGCCACACGCAAGCATCAGAGGGACTAATACCACGCTAGCTCAGCCCAACTTGAACCAGAAATCCAAAGTAGATTGGAACAGACGTACAGTTCCACGGCACAATTGCTGCCGCGATACCGATCGGAGTATAGGAGGTGGTTACTCTTTGCTCCTCCGTGTCTACAATGACGTCCTCTGGAAAGGAAAGGGTCGCCTGCTGCTTCAGCCATTTCACGGATGCATCCACTTCGACCTCGGCCTGGTTGAGAGGCTTCCCTTGCTCGATTGTTAGCATTCTTGCAAAAGCCCCCTTGTTCTCTGCTAGAGAGTCTGCGAAAGCAATGAGCGCCTGGCGGCGTTCATCAAGAGGCTTCTCGGACCAGAGGTCAAAGGCCATTCGTGCAGCTGCCACGGCTCGATTGACATCCACTTCACTGGCCAGTGGAACTTTCGGATTGGGTTCCAGCGTCGACGGATTAATTCCGTGCGTTGTTTCGACAGTCGTTTCGAGCCGGCCGTCGATGACATTGTAGAACTGGGTAAATTCAAGGGCAGTCATCTTTGAGGAAATCAAGTACAGGCAAATTGATTTAAAGAAGCCAGCCTTGGAAGCACTGGACAGGAGTCCGTATATGTCGACCCACAGGTAACCGTTACCATGTGGACAGTCTGAATTTGGCAGGTGTTGTTGAAACTACCGACAGCCGTTTTCCTCGGCGCGGACCCAAGGCAAGACCCTACCTAGTAGAACATGGAGCAAAGAACCCCGGAACCCTCGGTTACGCAACCATTTGGAAATCTGCATTTAGAGATCTGCATTAATCCTTGGACCGAGCATGAATGTTTTATAGGTTGTGTGCTCTTGCGAGAGCGGGCGAGGATGAACTTCTTCTCCTATACGCCGTAAACATGGCAGCCAAGACCGTCAGGATCGCGGGCAAGGATGTGGAAGTTGGGTCGTTTGACCGTATGGACTTTGTCCCTTTCCATGAAGGGCCTGAAGTCCTTCCTCATGACCTCCTTTTCCACACGCTCCACTCCATCGCGGCCAGCAACGACAGACCCGCCATTGTTGACCGGAAGACTGGATACACAGCGACCTACCAGCAGCTTGTTTCTGACATTGTCGTGTGCCGGAACCGGCTACGTGCAACCCTCAAGCCCGAAACCATCGAAGCCATCCGCAGAGAGCGCGAGGTGAGTATCCTGCTCTGGAGCGCGGGCTATGAGTTCACGATCGGCTTCTTTGCGGTCCTCGCCCTCGGAGCCATCGCGGTACCGCTCAGTAAGTGGCCCTCTATAGCGATTACTGTGGCAATCTAACTCACTGCTCAGGCCCGCACATCACGGTTCCCGAAGCCCTTCACTACAGCCGGACCGTGGCCGCCCATGGCATGTTGACGAGCTCTGCGTATATTCCCAAGGCCAAGGAGCTTCAGCAGCATCTCGCGCAAGAGCTCGACTTTAAGATACTAGGGACGACTCCACTCCTCAAGTCACCGCTGATTGACATGCGAACAATTCGCTTCCAGTCCGGTCGCGTCTACGATCAGAACAAACCAGCTCTTGTCATCTTCACCTCAGGATCAACAGGCCCCCCAAGGGTGTGGCTGTCCGCAGGTACAATCTCTTCTACAGCTCACACAATGTTGTACAATCGCAGGGAATGGGCCCCCACACGCGGACAATCCAGTTCCTTCCCGTACACCATGCGACGGGCCTCCTGTTCAACACGCTTCCAACTCTTGTCGCCGGAGGATGCGTCGAGTTTGATCAGGGCAACTTTGACCCTGGTACTGTGTGGGAGAGGATTAGATCAGGCGATTTGAAGACCTTCTCGGCTGTGCCCACCATTTACGTCCGCCTGCTTCGCCACTGGGGTGCGGTCATCTCCCAGCGGCCAGACAAAGAGCAATATCTCAAGGCATTATCGGAGATTTCCTACTTTGCGTCCTCCACATCCGCACTCTCCAGGCAGACGTTTACAGAGTGGCTGAAACTGTCGGGCAAGCCCATCTCGGAGCGCTATGGAGGGTCGGAGTTTGGGAATGTGTATATCAACCCCCCTGGTCTGTCTCCCGTTCCAGTAAGGCATTACTCATTTTCCTGTTCTCTTCTTCGTCCACTCTGACCATCTTAGTGTTCTGTGGGGGTTGAAAATCCCGCAAGCGAGTCAAAGTTGGCTGATGGAGACCATGGCGAGATCCTCGTCCGTGGGCCGATGCTCTTTGCTAAGTAATTATTTCCATCCCGCTGGCTGTTTGGCGGCCTAGATGCTGATGGACTGTCGTTAAAAGATACATGAACGACCCCGTGGCAACATATCAAGCCTTTGACAGTGACGGATTCTACAAGACGGGCGATATTGGCCGGCGCGAGGGGAATATTCACTTCATTGAAGGACGAGCCTCTATCGACAGTAGGTTTTGGAACTCTTTCTGTCGCGTCCAACCACACATAAAACACGACTAACCAAGTATAACCAAACCAGCAGTCATCAAATCTGGCGGCTACAAAATCTCCGCCCTAGACATCGAGATGGAACTGAACTCGCACCCGAAAGTGGAAGAGGGGATCATTGTCGGCGTGGAAGATGAGGAATTTGGCCAGCGTATTGCTGCCGCTGTCGTCCTGAAGAATGTATGTTGTGCCGTGCCTCGGCATAACGAGGCGAGAAAATGCTGACGATCCTTCTCTAGCCCAAGGATACATTGACGCTGCACGAGCTGCGACAGGATCTTCGCGCCTCGCTGTCGAACTACAAGTTGCCTACAATGCTTCGCGTTGTTCCAGAGTTGAAGAAGACCTCAACGATGAAGATCCCAAAGAAATTGATCAGAGGGGACTTGTTTGGAAGCGCGCACCCGGACATTCAGAGATGGGAGAAGGGAAAGACTGATAAGGAGTCGAGGCTGTAGGGGTGTTTGGTGAATTTTCCTGAAAGCTGCTCTATTTACTAGCTCGTCTCGACAATTTGCGATGCCTGGTGAAGTGTTCGATTCACAGTACATACAATGCAAATGTTTATTTTGATCAAACTGCACAAGCGTAGAAAATGTAGAGATCACTGTGAACTGGGGTTACTGCAACATTGCCTCTCCATGGGGTGCGATCCCATCCCTCGGGCTTCGGTTATCGGGCCAGGCCCACTACAAGCCCGCTACCGCTACTCAGCCCTACGGAGAACACGGTTTAGTTGCGATACAGGTAGTGAGGGTATAGTGTGTATAAGCCGGCTCTGCGTACTCTGTGAAAATTCAAGCCCAGCTACATCCGCACAATGGATGAACTCACTCTCGAGTACCGCCAAAACAAGGCGATCATCACGCTTAACAACCCTCAAAAACTCAACGCCCTCACCTTAGAACAATACTACCTGCTTGCCTCGTATCTCCGCGAAGCAGCCAAACGACCGGATATTCATATCACCGTCCTAACAGGGACAGGGCGATTCTTCTCAGCGTAAGCCGCCGTCACTGAGGAAGAGACATGTTCTTCGTCACTGACAATGTCTTCGACGAGAAACAGCGGTATAGACCTGAAATGGACCAAGGCGAAAGAATCAACCCCCGGCAATGCAGCTCCAGAGGAGCTCCATCCGCGCCATGCGGCCACCAACAGCCTCGCGCACATCCCCGACGTCACAGAGGCCTTTTACAACCACCCAAACATCCTCATCACAGTGCTCAACGGGCCTGTCGTCGGGCTTTCCGCCGCCCTTGTTGCGTACTCGGATTTTGTCTACGCGACGCCGCATACCTACCTTCTCGCTCCATTCACGACCCTGGGCATAGCGGCCGAGGGTGGGTCGACGGCAATTTTCATACAGAGGTTGGGGGTTGCAAAGGCGAATGAAGCACTCCTTCTATCGAAACGGATCTCAGGTGCGGAGTTGGTGCAGGCTGGGTTTGTGAATGCGGTTTTTGAGACAGGGGAAGACGGCGGCGGCGGCGGCGAACAGGGAATCCTGGGGCAGGTGCTGGAGGTTGTGGATCGGGAGTTTGCACGATTGAAGATTGCGAGTGTGCTGGAGAATAAGAGGTTGATGAGGGGGCAGTTTGTGCCGAATTTGGCGGCCCAGACGCTGAAAGAGACACTGGCCGTCGTGGCGAGTGTCGAGGGGGTTATTGCACAGCGGAAGAAGGGGAGACTTTGATTCCTAAGCTAAATTATTCCTCCAGAAAATGTGGAATGGATGTCTCCCAGAACTACCGGGTCAATAAGTAGTGTTAGGGTGACCTAGATATTGCTAGACAGACATTGCATTGCTATGTAACAGCACTACCGATCTCGAGCATTCAACAGCAGGCCCAGGCCCGGATTGACTCGAACTATTTCCTTTCCATATTTTCTCAGCGCTGCCATCTTAGTCGAGGTGAGCTTGCTACTGTCTCTTCTTGAAACTGAGATTGAAGGGCTGCAGTCCCAGCGTAAAGTGATCCTTCGACTCATTAATCAGTTTCTGTCCGTCTTCGCCTGGTGCGAGGGACACGTTGAACTCAGTCAGCAGCCGCGCAGTCAGGCCGCGAATTTCCATATAGGCCAAGTTCTTGCCAATGCAATTGTACGGGCCGACACTGAATGGCCCCCAGGCGTCTTTGTGCGTAATAAGGTCCGGTCGATTGGTGAAGCGCTCCGGGATGAATCTTTCTGGATCGGGGAAGTATTCAGGATCTAGATAGCCAGGGTGAGCACATTTTCTCCCAAATTTGCGGGGTCTGCGTCCAGAGCATACCTCGACCCATGGAAAACCAGGGCATTTGAATGACTGTATCTGCGGGGATATAAATATCCCGAATGTGGACGCCAGTCTTGGGGGTCTTCCTGGGCACTCCTGACGCCACCGCTGGATGGAGTCGGAGGGTCTCGTTGATGCAAGCATTTAGTAGCGGTGCAGACTGCAGGTCACGGTTCGAGAATGAGCCATCCAGTTGACGATACTCATTGATCTCCTGACGAACACGCTCTTGCAAACCTGGAACCGTCGTCAGATAGTAGAACAGATGTGTTAGAGTGATGGCCGTAGTATCGCTGCCCGCAATAATGATCAGCCTTGTATCGCCCTGTAACATTGGCACAAGTTTCTTCTGCACCATTGGGTCTGACTTGAGGAAGTGGTCAATCAGGTAGTGCGAGACGTCCAAATTATCGAGTTTGCCTTGAAGCTGCATCCGGTGTTCGAGCTGGCTTATGAAAAACCCCTGGAACTTCCTGACGGCTTCATTGCCCGAGAAGAGTGCGTGCAAGAGGCGTATCACCCAGGTTGGGAAGTTGAAGCCGACGATGGTGAGCGCATCCTGGAGGGTTGCGACAGCCCAGTGCATCTCGCCGGCTTCGAGCATGCCAAAGGACTGCCCGAAGCCGAGATCGCCCATAACGTCAAAGCTGTAAATATTGAACCATCTTGTCATGTCCATCGGAGTGCCTACAGAATAAAATGGTAAGCTTATGTGGGGGTACATTGGAGGGCCAGGCGCTTACTGTTCGAGTTTCGGACGTGGTTTAGTAAGAGGTCGTTATATTTCTGGACACGGCTCTCGTATCCACGCAGCGCGGATTCACTGAATGCCCTGCTCCACACACGCCGTCGCTGTGCATGCTCTCTCGCATCACGAGTCACATGGAGAGACGTGATGGGCAGATGCTGGTCATAGAAGATTGATCGCGTGCACTTGGACTGCGCTGACGAGACCACCTGCACACAATCCGCATCGATGATGGACAGATCATTGGGCCCAATGCGGACAATGCGACCGTGCTTTTGATGCATGCGCAGCAAGTACATGTGGAAGTCTTTGTTCTTTCGGACCCGGAGCGCAATGTAGAGCGAGGATAGACGCGCCCAGAAGGGGCCGGGGAATTTGTTCAATTGGTTGAACAGCAGTCGGTAGAGGATCAGGCTCGAGTACAGGCCCGTCAGGTAGAGACCGGCAAATGTTGCCGTGGTCTGGAACGCGACACGCAGAGGAAAATCCGCAGTATACTGCAGAGTCAAGATCGAGGCCACAAACGCAAGGAAGAATGCCATCAGGTAGCGCTCTGGGTGGAGTTGGCGCTCGCCTCTCTTGAAGAAGAGGAGATGGGATAGGATTCCAGCCAGGACGGCTGCTGGCCTCGCTTCAAGCGCAGACAATGAATGGTCCATGATCAGGAAAGGCATTGTAGGTGTTGAACAAGCATTCTATCTGGAACTATGTTGGCGTTATTATACACTAGGAGGGTTATGAAGCGGTTATCGGCAGTCCGGCTTCCCCAACCTAATTAATGCGTACCCCGGGCTCTCTCACCGGTTGCAAGTGCGGGAGTCGTACAAGACAAAAGCAATAAGACAAAATAGGAAATTGCCCATCAAGTATTAACCGATAACCGCCAAGGGAAACACCCTGCAGAACCGAAGCCCGACAACGCCACCTCATATGCCAAAGCCCCTCTGATACTGAAAGAGGCCTCCAGCGGATCCATAAGAACGGAAATTTCCCTTCCACCGTCATGGACTGGCCTTATTCCGGCTTCTTTCCACAACCTCGCTATGGAACTTGTAAAGATTGCTCGTATTACCGTGGCCTGCAACTCGTGCCAGCGCCGCAAGGTCAAGTGCCACTACGTCTACGAAGGCTCCGCTTGTAGGCGCTGTGTCTGGAACGGGATGAAGTGCTCACTTCACAATCCCAAGAGATCACGGTACGTGTGGTGAGAAATTTTTGAAAGATTTCATACTAATACTTCCAGTAGGGATGAGGAGCCGAATGGAGGCCCCCGTCGTAATACTGTACTTGAGCAAGGAGCTGGTACACTCAAGACCACCAAGCAGGTCCACCCTCAGTCTCCTCATATTGATCCCAGCCTTAGATTCATCACTCAGTTCCTGGATTTGGACGAATGTGAGTTTCTAGACCAAATTGGCACCTCGTATGAAGACCATGCCTTTCTGGAACGGCCTGGGGTCGAGGGGCTCTCAAAATCCCAGGTCGAACACCTGAGGGCCCAAGGTTGTTTATCACTCCCAACGCAGGAGCTCCTTGATCATTTAGTCTATTGTTACTTTCGCTTCGTTCATTGTCATATCCCCCTCCTCAACGAAGCCGAGTTCTGGCCAGCGTACAAAAGCTCTAGCTTGGGTTCACCTTCTACTCCCTATACTTCGTTGTTTGTGTTTCAAGCAGTCTTGTTCTGCAGCCTTGCTGTACGTAACGCCCTCTTAGATCATTATTGCATATCCAGCCTAAACAAGCATACCTAGTACATCCCGCTGCCATTGATACACAAACTCGGCTACGCCAGCCGAGAACTCGCACAAGCCACATTCCATCTGCGTGCGAAGGTCCGTTTCTACCTCCTCAATCGCGGCATATCATACCAATTGACTGTACGCCAGCTCATATACGAACTCGAAGCAGAGACCGATCCCCTGTACCTGGCCCAGGGCTGTCTCCTCCTCAGCCGCCATACCACGGGTGCTCGTCCGTACCAAGCAAGCGAATGGCTCGCGATTGCTATCAACAATGCCGTCTCCATCCAGGCCCACCGCGCCGGAATATCAAGAAATGACGAAGAAACAAACAACAATGTAAAAAGGCGCCTATGGTGGTCGATCATCATCCGTGACCGTTCACTGGCATTGGGGCTACGCCGCGGAATTCTTGTTGCACCACCAATGCTAGACCTTACCATCGAGCCCCCCTGCGAGTCAGACTTTCAAGATGAAATCTGGTTTTCACGCGTTCACAGCCCACTGGATAAAAGGAGATTTGTCCATATGCTGCGTGCTCAGGTTAAGCTGAGTCTAATTCTAACGGAGCTGTTGGTGCACGTCACGGACAGTGATGTGGATGAGAAAGACAAGAGTGCGCTGAATATTGGACCGCATGCTAGAGAATCTCAGGTTCTACTAAGCGTTGGCAGTAAACTGTGCGATTGGCTTGGGGATACAAAGGACGGTCTGTTGCTGTTTGAGGACATCGCCATTCAGCCGTTGACTCAGCCGACAAATCTGTATAGCTGCTTGATTCTCCTCCAATTCCAGTATGTTCGGTGGCCAGGATTATAAGGGAAATGTTTCGGCTAACAGTCTGAGAAGCGCCGCCACAAATGTGCTCTACTACCGCCAGATTCAACTTATTGTTCAACGCCAGCCATTAACAAGCGAGGACATCAGCCAACTTTCGGGCATATTTAACGGGATCAACATGGCTGTTTGCTCAGTCAATTATCTGATCCGAGAGATGGTGCAATCTGAATGGGCCCATCAGCTGCCGCTTACTCTGTAAGTTGAGTCCTCCGTTGGTTTTGCCTCGAGCACACTGCTGAGTAGCGACGCATGCAGAACTGTGTACATTGCTTTGCCATTCCTACTCAACTCGCTAGACTTTGTATTCTCAAGTGAAGACCTGCGGCTCCAGGTCTACGAGGATACACTGCAGTACTACATCTGTCTGATGAACAATCTCCAGGCGACTCATCAAGCGGCAAGATTTCTGGCAGAGAGTATACAGGCCCTTGTTCGAGCAACGGAGGACTCACTGTAGGTACAACTGCTAGACAAAAGCAGAGGATGCCAAGTCAACTAACAGCGCAACGCGTTGCTTTCGCAGACTCCTCGAGCGCCCCGAAATCGGTTCCCCATCCCCAGGAATCTGGCGCGACATCTTCGTCTACCGTCCGCACATCTTCCTGCAGGTCTGCTGGGCCTTGGATCTAGCAATCGCAAGCGGCCAAGTTGCCGATCGGTACACCGTTCTCGAGAACATCTTTCAGGACAGCACAAGCCTCGCTCTCGAGGTACAGCTCGTATCCTGGGGCCCCTCGGCTCCGCGGGACATCCTCAGCCTCATGAACAGTAATGCGCACGTATCCTCGAATACGGCGCAAATAATCCACGCGGACGAACTACTATCTCAGTGCCAATTTGACTTCCCTGTTGCTGGTAGCGAGGGGCCGACGCTGAGGTGGTGGTTGGACTCGGCTTTGAATGAGATGCTGGGTTGTATTCCGCCGTAGTGGTAGGTAAATATATCTAGTTTTCAGTGCTCCACAAATGCAAATAAGCAGACCCAGAAGAAACATGCCCAAAACGCCGATGCGTGCTTTAAAGGGGAGATCGATTTTCCAAGCAATCGGTGCAGGAAGCAACGTCACCCAAATATCCAAAAATAGCAGTGATCAGACTGCCAGTGAAAAGGATCTTTTCGCGATTTCCGCAATGGAAAGGATAAGGGGAACGGAACAACGGGGGGTTAAAATCAAAAGAAGCCCCGGCTGGGCTATTTGATTCTCAGTTAGTACAATGGATGTAGCGAAACTGGGAGTTACAGTTACATGGCGTGAACGAACCTGCATCGAAATACTAGGCCGAAGATATATCCGATAGCTAGGCCAGTCGCGAGAAAAATTGTCAAGTAGATGACACACGTATAAAGTAGCGAAGCTCGATGCTTTATCAAACGTCGGTAAAGTGCAAGGAATGATACCCTTACAAGGGTGGATGCCAAACAGAAAAGAACGAAAGTGAGGGTGGCCAGAACACTAGTTGGCTGGAAAATATTGGGAGGTAATCCCACGAATGCCTGTCAAGTAGATATCTCCATTTACTCAGCAGAACCGCAACAGTGACACCAGTAGTTGGGATCTAGAGCGAAAGTCAGGAAACAGGCAGTTCAGTCGGCTAACGAGGGAACACAAACCATTGCAAGACCAATAAAAACATCTCCTATACAGACATTTTTGAATATTTTCACCTTCCCAAAAATGCGGAGACTGATTGCAAGAACCGCCAAGCTGTACAATAGAAGCACCACGATTGGTAAAGCGGGCCCCTGTGTATTCGGATATGCATAATTTGGAGTAGTCCAGCCAGCCACAACTCCAGGTGGGACTTCAATCATGGTAATACTTTCGTGGTGCTTTATTGTGCGTTGTGCGTTGATTACTGCATGAGCGAAGTAGGAATCACATATTCTACCGAGGGGTAAAGTGGCCAGATATGAGAAAAAATCTTGTGACAGCTTTCGTAAAGGGTGTATATAACGACAAAAAAACAAGGATCAACGGCAGTTAGATAGTCTGCCAAACTGAGGTTAGCTAACAAGAATAACCGAAGAATAAACATTAGTTCAGGGCTGCCCAATAAAGGTGTTAGATCAAAATTTGCAGTCCACCTACATTAATATTTAACTGAGGCAATATATTTCTAATCATGCCTAAGATCCACGTTTACAGGTATTATTTCAAACAAATACCAGATCTAATAGTACCAGATTGGCAACTTATCAACAAAAAGCGAATAATTGTGCCAAGATAGACAGCCATTTAAAAATTTTATATATAATATAACAAAATAATACTATACAAGATCTTCTCAGAAAGAGATTGTTACTGGATCAGTTTATGACAAAAAGATACAGGTTTTACACTTACAACTACAGCTTCAATCTTATGGGAAATGTGGCTTCGCGTATCTTATTTATGGCTATACTGGGATACCCGCCACATCCATAATTACTTGAACCACTTTCCTGAAACAAGACTAAGGCATTACCACTGGCCAATCATCAATAAAAGACAGTCCTAGATCTATAAAAGATTTCATGACTGGCATGTTTAAAAGACACAAGCAATTCAGATACAGATATAATTATACCGCGAGTATTGATAAAAACAACAGACCATAATAGACTCTGCTTAAATTTGAACTGCGTGGACCTGGGTATTAATCTAAAGAGAGATTTTACATATTAACAGCATCCATAAAGGGCTCTGCTATATAATAAGATGATGATCGAAATAAGAGGGATTTAAATGTTAAAAGGATGCCATGTCAGGACTTTCAGGCCTTCCACCATAGTTGGAAGTTAGGCGGGTAGCAAGTCGCTACACAAAATCAATCGTCACCGATTTAGTACGGAAACCAAGAAGAACAAACAATAATAACAAAGATCCAAAATCTCAATTATCTCGTTCTCTTCGTAAGGAACAATAGGAATCTAACCCCCATATATGGCGCCATCATATATGATTAATTCAGCCTCTTCTGGCATGACTTTTGACACATTCTATAGAAGCTGATCTTCGTTCGGAGAGCTGGTTCTTTATCCCCATCACAATTCATAAAATTCAGACAATACTTCATCAAATATTTATCACTGGAGATTGATTCCCGTACCGTGCCCTCTCATCTCGCAAGCAATCCATTCAATTACCCTTTCCTTGATTTGATGTGCGTGTTACCATTCATTTGTTTTAATCATCGCTGATAGCAAGTCGTTTTCTTTAGCTATCAAAGGAATCCAATCTAGATCAGAGATAGCCCCCGACTTGGGCAAAGCATGAATTCTGGTGTACATTCTCAGTCAGTCCACCCATACAAAGATAGAATTCAAAGTTAAACATACCCCACAAAAATATCCACAACATATTCATAGTACTTCCCAAGACTCATAGCCGTTCGCCCAAAATTCGGGATTTAATACTCTCCAGATCATGAAAACCATTCCAATCTAAGTAGTGCAAAGAGTCATTAAACAGATGCTTTCTTCTCTCCTCAAATACCTCCTAGTATCTTGCACAGGCATTTTGATTGCTCCAAACCGCTGCTCGAAGTTAATGCTAAGCGTTAAGGCTGAGTTTACAGGACCCTGGTTTGTCAAATATTACCACAAAGCTCTCTAGAATACTTACAACACAAGATAACTAGTCACAAAGGCATTTTATGGCTTTACATTTATGCTCAACTATTTCTAGACATATCAAAAGACCAATATCGCTACCATGTGCTACTTTCACAGCATCTACATTAAAGATGTTCACCCTGATGGATTCAGCCATAATAATTAAAATTCTGAATAAAGATTAGTTAACGCTTCTCAAAAGATCTAAGAGAGAACACAGTATAATACCTGAATATGATTTCTAACTTAATCATATTTCTAATCAGAGTAGTGGGTCTAATATATAACTTTAAAAGTAGAAAACCTCAACTTTATATCATATTTATCATTTTATTTTTTTGGCACACTTTAGAGACAATGGATAATTCGAGTTCCTAGAAACCTAGATGATTAAAGCAAATAAGTCAAAGATAGCTTACAGCGTAGCAGAATAGAATAAAGGCCTCCAGATTCCTAGAAGCAATCTTCTTGAACCGAAATGCTTAGCCCAAAAGAGATAGTGATTTCCAGTTAAGGATTCTGATGCAAACACTCAAAAACAAGAAAAATAAACTTTATCCTCACACTTTGAACAATTTTACTCTAACGAACGATTACTCAGTGCAAGCTATTCTGTTTTAGAGTAGACTCATATAGATGTCCTAAGACTAATATTTCTCCAAGACGCCCATCATAAAGCCAGTAGACAAATATTCCCAGGAGCATATAGTCTAATTAATCAGGTAATCATCCAGTAGGCTTCATTGTAACGCAATAAATAGCAGAAAGTATCCAAAACACAGTGGCAAATTATTGATACCAGTGCTTTTTGATGGGGCTATAAAGGCAATCTACAAGGAAGGGATGTTCATAGATACAACTAGCATGTTGCGTTTTATTGGAATACTCGTCAGGCTTCATGCTCAGTGAGTAACTCAAAGCGGTCAGCTAAGCATCAATGAGTGGATCAGACTTGTTTAGTGAGCCAATCAGAGTGATTATATAATGCTCACTGATCAGATCAAGATACTCAGAAACATGCTCAGATCTACTCAGTGAGCAAAAGCAACGAGGTTCTAAGCACTAAAACGGAACAGGAAAGCCAAGATCTGGCATAGGAAATCCGGCCGGTAGGTGACCAATTTCAAGGAATTCAAGAAATGTCACAGGTGATAGTTCGCATTTCAACAGATCCGTCCATCTTTGTTTCAACATCCGCGATGCGCGGTGTTTTAATTTCCACAGGATTCCTTGACCGGGAAGGAACACGCAAAGCATATGTCAACCTTCTTTCCACCAGGCCAAAAAGGGTTCGGCCTTAAAAGCTCTTGCCTGAATCCCTGAATGCGATAATGAAGACGAAAAATCATGCAGCGACGTTGGTTATCATTTCCACTTCCTGTATCATCTTAGACCGATTCCATTTGCCTGTGGATTATGGAAAAGAAGTCTATATTCAAATAGCCGATTAACTAAGATGGTCCAGATGCGGTCACATGATTCTCCGTGCGTTCCGTCACGTGTCGTCTCGCAAGTCAGATGGCGATGTTATTCAATGATGATTATTGAATCCAGCTGCCTCCTCGCTTCCAGACCTTGAAAGTCTTCATCGCTACTATTCCTGTAGGGTGGCAATATAACGCCAACTTTGGGCCTTGAAGATCTCTCGTGTCGAATCAAGCTAGCTACTATTGCTACAAGTGTATTTGGTCGATTGTGAATTCGACCGACAGTGCGTCGGTGGGTCATCTTGCTGCGTTGTCTGCGCCAAGCAGCGAATCCGCAGCCTCGCAACACTTCATGTCGTCGCCGTCTAACACTGGCTCTCGACGAGTGTCAATGTCAACTGTTTGGGTCATGGACGAGCTGTCTAGCCGTAAAACTGGACCCGGTGGGTTGGCATTGACTGAATGACATTTGATCTGTTTGTGGATGCACCAGATCTTCTTGCTTTCTATATCCATGTTTATTATTCCCTTTCTGTTCTTTTTTAATTTTCCCGATATGTGGCCCATGTGGCCCATATGGGGGCCGCGGCTGCTGCCCAGCACTGCATAAACAACCAATTGATACCCAATTCATTCCGTGATGCCTCACTTATTGGTACCCTTCGCTTCTGCATAGCAGTTCCTTCTACTCCCAACCCCGATTAGCTCCAACTACTCGCCTCTGAAACCGTTATCTACTGACGTGGGTGCATAGTTAGTCTGCTTCACACTGGGCAACAGACAAGCTTGCTGACACGCCAGCCTCTTTTGGGCTGCGATTTTATCGTGGTGGGACTCGACGAACTGTGTGCATTTTCCACTTGCCTCTAGCATCAAGACACATTTTTTGAGTCCAATTGATTTGCTGTCTCGATCCCCCTTTAATTCTTTTTCGTTGCTCTTGCTGTAGCCCTTCCTCTTGCATATCTTGTTTTCCCCTATTCCACATGAAGAGCACCTGAGACTTGACGTCGCCTATTTCCTGATTCGTCTACCTGCTTGTTGAATCCTGCCCTTCGAACAAATTACTTTGTCGTGTATCATATTCATTTGCACAAGTTTCCATTAGTCGACCAGTGGAATTGAATCATATATTTATTTGTGGGTTAAATCGCCTTGCACTCCTGACGCGCGCCCTACCTTATTTAGAGACTATCAGTGTCAACCACGCGCTTGCACAATACCTAGCATTGAAGTCGACGTATATACCGGTGGCTCCCTATCAATATTCCACGTCTGCACATGAATCCCCGCTAGCTAACTTCAATCGCCCCTCTATCGTTTTGACTCATACTTTATAAGAAAGCATTCGTCCCAGGGGACAAGCTGATATCTCACGATTGGGAACACGTTAGGAAAAAGCTCAACCTCCCTCTCTCTCTCTACTCCCCCGTCTACCACTCGTCGTTCCAACCAAGCCGTTCGACGTCAACGCGCCATGGGCAAGAAAAACAAGGCGAAGAAGAAGACCCAAAAGGCTTCTTCGAATGCCGCGGATCCCGAGAGCCATGGATCACCACAATTCACATCACCTTCACTAGATCCACAAAAGGAACCCACTCTCACCGAGACCGATACATTCTCTGTCCTCCCAGAATCGGTTGAGCAATCGGGTGAGACTGCTGATATCCATCTTGAAGAAGACCAGCCACCATCCCCTAAAGACTCAGCTATGGTTATCACAACTGAAGCCGACGCCGAAGATGAGAAGCCTCAGGAGGTGGGAGAAGTTGATGATACGGATCCTTCGCCTTCTGAAGAACTGCCACGTTCAGTAGCAGACCGGGCTTCCCGAGCTGCAGACGAAGAGTCTGATTATGTCGACTGGGAGCAAGATGAATTCGAAGAGACCGAGAAGATTCTCGACGAGCTGGAGAAGGTGCTAGAGGATGCCCAAGCGCAACATGAAGCAACTGATGAGACAGAAAAGGCTAAAGAAGAGGTCCTAGAAGAGCCTGCAGATGTTGAACAGCATGTCGACGAAGCGACAGCTGATGCCACCAACACGTTTGAGGAAGATGGCGATGAGTTGCCAGTGGAGACTGCAGGAGCGGATCCAGAGCCAAGGTCAATTGACGAGCCAGCAGAAATAAAAGCTGAAGTGGCCAAAGAGCCGGCGGCAGAGACGGAAGATGATGTACTGCAAGAGGATCCCGTGGAGCCTGAGCATTTTCCCGAGGAGCCCGAAGCTGATCTGGCCGATGAGAGACTATCAAAGTATTCAAACAAGACAGCTCATCCTCCAGCACCCATGCCGTTGCCATCACCTGTGCCTAGTGAACCCCGATCCATACATTCACCGGGGCCAGAGCATCCTCTATCACGACATGGTTCGCCTCTAGTCTACCATGCGTCACCGACATTTAGACACTCGACTCCTCATATGCATCCGTATGGCCCTCATATGATGGCGATGAATGGCCCTCCTCACCCTCCACCAATGGTTATGAATGGTCCCCACCCTCATCCTCACCCTTTCCCTCCTCCGATGCACCCTGGAAGTATTGCTACCTCTTCGGCAAGCTTTGCTACAGCTTACCACTCCCCCGTTATTGACCAAGGTCCTATTCCGCCCTCATACGCTTACGCCAGACGTCAAAGCGGGATTAGCAATGCTGGTTTCTATAATGGCCGAATGGATCGCACATTATCCGGGGGTAGCAGCCACAGCCATAACCACCGATCCGAAAAGGCAAACGGCCAGACCAATGGCCAGACGAACGAGAACAGCCACGAGCATCATCATCTGATGGGCCGTATTGAGAAAGTCATGCCAGATATAACACGGCTACTGGACAGTTTCAAAGACACTCAAGGGAAACTCCAAGCCAGGGAGGCAGAGACACGACAACTCCAATCTCAGCATGAGCAAGCCATTATGCACAAGGACTTCTATATCGAAGCACTCCAAAATCAGATGAAAAAGGCCGCTATGGAGACTGCAGAGGAGTATACTAAACTCAAGAATGTCATCAGTGAACTTCGACTGGAGCTCGGGAATCAGCAAGAGAAAGTCAAAGACCTGGAAGAGTGTCTTGATGTTTCGAGGAAAGAAAACGATGGGCTCCAGAAATTGAAGATAGAGGCTGAAGGCGAAATCCAAAGTTTGCAGAATCGAATCGAAGAGCTTCAGCTGGCTCATGAAAGAGCTCTGGAAGAAGCGAAGGAGCATGAACGGACTGAATTGTCTTCCCAGAGAGAAGAGCTTACGAATTTGTTCGAAGAGATTCGCGCAGAAGACGAGAATACTGCTAACGATCGATACAATGAGCGTGAAAAGGAGCTTTTGGATGAAAAAGAAGCTCTCAAGTCTGCCTGGGAGGAAGAGAAAAAACAAATAGAAGAAGCACAGGAAGCTTTGAAGACCGAGCTTGACTCTGCACAAAGTGACTTGCAGGAATCGCGCAACGCCCTTTCCGCAAAAAAGGAGACACTTGAAGCCAAGGAGAACGAGCTTGAGTCGACAAAAGCAGAACTCGAATCCAAACTTACAGAGTTAAAGGAGGCGCAGGACGAGTTAGCCTCGACGAAAATCAAACTCGAAGCGAACCAGATAGAATTGGAATCGACAAAAGCTGAGTTGAACTCGACAATTGAAGAGCTCACCAGTAAACAGTCGGAGCTGGAAGATAAGCACCGAGAAATCCAGGAAACCCACGAGCAGCATGCCGCAGACAAGGAACAGCTTACAGACTCCCATTCCGCAGAACTCGATACTTTACGCGACACACATTCGACGGAACTGGATGGGTTACGCAGCACCCATGAAGCCGCATCGAAAGAGGCAGAAGATCGTTACCATTCCCTCATAAATGAACTCGAAGAGAAGCAAAAGGCGTGGGATGCCAAAAAATTCGATCTTGAGAAACTGCTCACCGAGAAGACGGATGAATTGATGAGTCTTGAAAGAGAAAAGGACTCTCTAGAACGCGATGATGTAGCTCGCGAGAAACAGCTACAGTCTGCTGTTGACGAAATGCGCCGAACAATTGACAATATGGAGAGTGACCGCGAAAAGCTGAGGAAGACATTGCAGAGCCTGGGTGAGGCCACAGATCTGAAGACGTCCAAGGGCGATCAATTCTTGTAAGTGCTGACATCTGTAGGCTTCTGGGAGTAGCCCTGTTCGATTTCCTATCGTTCGATCCTTAAATTATGTTTCCTATGTTATCTGATGCCGTTATGACCGACACGATTCACGCTCTTTAAAGTGCTTTGCACACAATTTTGACCGTTTGATATGGATATCTTTCTAATCTAGATTTTAACAGTATGGATTCCTTTGGCCAGCTCCGCAAGCTTATCGTGGAGTTATCCAAAGACCACTTCTCCTATCTTCCTATCGACCCACCCAAAGACATTTTGGAGAAAATTCCTCCCGAAATGCCTTCTTTTCTAGACAATACACTTGCGTCGCGCGAACTGCGAGCAGCTTATATCCAGCATGTTGTCTCGAAGACATTAACTTACCGCGTTTTCCAACCTTTCTTATTCACCCTTGGACGCCGTTACGACAAAGCCGATACCTTCTTCCAAGTCTTGTCCATGGACATTCGTCGCAAGTCCGTTCGTCGGGAAGCTTTCTGGAGACAGCAAACCCTGAAAGCAGCATACACCACATCTGATGCCAAACAGTCGATAAATGTGGTAGCCGCCGTCATCGTAGACGAAATAGTGGACCACATCAAGCACTTCGCAGACCCAAAACAACTCGACGCTTTGCTCATCGGCATCCGACGAATCGTCAAATTGGCTGCTGAAACCTGGCGTCATGCACGTGTTGAGCGTGAGCTTGTGCTCGCTACTATGCCTGCACCGGAGTCTGATGGGGTCTCGAATGACGACTGGGACGAATATACATGTGGAAGAGATACCTCCGGTTGTCCCTCAAGTGATAATACCCGCTTTGTCCTCCTTCGAGTCTTCCCTCGCATATACCGAGAAGCTGCACATGAGGACCTTGCCGACGATAAAGAGAGAGTCAACGCTTGTGTCTATTCCCCTGGAACGGTGTTGTACTCCGATTCACCGTCTGTACTTGCTCGCAGAGAAGAATTGGGACGGAAATCACCGATTGTTAAGAGCGCCGTCAGCAACGGCGTGGAGGAACCTCGTGCTTTGTCTAGAACTTCAGGCCGGAAGAGTCCGGTGTCTGTTTAATTTGTATCAATGCGAACATCCACTTTTTCATTACATCGGAAACGACTGCCAGCCCCTCCATACACAGACAGAATACCACCCGTTATTCCGGCAACACTACGTCTGATTTTAGCATTTATTTCATTTTTATCATTTTTATCATTCAGTCTATGCGTTTCAAGCGTCTGACTTTGGATTTCTTATCACCAGGCTATGTGTAATTTTTATATCTGTGATTCACCCATGTATTTTCAAATCGCAAGGCATGAGATTGATGATAACGAGCGAGACGAATTTGCATTGCATGGAGCTGGGTATTTGATTGGGCTAGCATAGGACATAGTATACCCCCGACCGAGTCGCTCACTATAATTTTCGTTTGTTTTTATTTAGTAACATAACGTCTGAGTCTTATGCAACGCAATATTTGAAGTTCCTATCTGCTTAAACTAGCTAGGAATGGTCATGATTCCTCAATCGTTTGACCTATCACTACAGGTGCTATTCCGGTACCTATTTCAAATTAAAATCAAGCTTTTTGACCTAGGATTTTGTAATAAAGTGACAATAATAAATACAAGCTAGTAAAAACATATGTAGGAGATAACTATCATACTTTTAGATGAATGAAATAAAAACGTAAGCCATCCACCAATCAAACCATCGTCCTGATACGCGATACAGGGCCCAGATAGACATGCCTGGCAGAGAAATAATAATATACAAGCGCAACAATAATGACACCTCCAAAAATAGCAACACTCCAATTCATCGTACCCGCCGTGACATCCTTGCTGACCGGGAAAAAGCACAATACCCACACTAGAGAGAGAAAGATAAGGGCGACTGTCTCAATAATGGGTGCCCATCTGGGTCCAAGACTCCAGCGGGCTGGAGGAATAGGTTCTCCGCGCCATCGCTTTAGTCTCAGGCAGAATGTCGATATTATATATGATGAGAGGAGGGACGCGGTCCCGAGAGACATGATAGCGTTGAATGCCACTGATGAGCCGATATTCACCAGTGACAATAGACACACGATGATAAGTCCTATGCATAACGCATTTAATGGAACCATGAAGTGTCGATTTACCTGTTCATCGTAAGCATTTCTGATGGAGATGAATTTTTCCCCCAAAACTATGGGCTAACTCACATGCGAGAGAAACTTTGAATAAGGAAATCCATCATCGCGCGCAAATGCAAAGAGCTGTCGAGAACTAGTAGCCACATTGCTTATTGTTGCACAGAATTGTAGGAGCATCATCAAAATCGTCAAGCCGGTGGTTGCTTGCACGGAGCCAGTGGCATTAAGAAACACCTGAATAAACGGGAATCCCGTGGAACTGGCTAGCACCTCATCAATGTCACCAACGCAAAACGCGTAAGTGATGATCATCACCAGCCCGGTTACGCCATTGATAATGAGAGTCCAGACCATTCCTAGAGGGAGGGTCCATGATGCGTCGCGGATTTCCTCGGCTATTTTGAATGATTTAGCATATCTGGATTGAGGAACAGTTAGTGATGAAGTTTACCCATATGAACAGCAGAATCGGGCCCTGTAGCTGGTTAGTTAAGTCATGAAACTTTCACTTCAGTGATTTACTTACCAATTAACGCATATACAGGTGCAACTAATCCCACAAGACAAGAAAGGCCATTATCTCCCCATCCTCCCCGGTCCTCTACCGACAGAAAGACCTGAGACGGCGTCTTTCTCGGTGCCAGAACCCACAAAGGAATGAGAACGGCGAAAAAGCCAAAGACGTGTATAATCAAAATCATGCCCTCGATTATGGGCAGTTTCTGCGCTAAAAATGTGTTAAAAACAAATGCTGTAGATGCAACTGCAATCACTAAGACCGTTCCGTGCCATGGCTTGGGATCGTATGTCTCCGGATAGTTGATTGTCAAGAGACCAGTCAGCATATTAGCAACAGTATAGCTGCACAGAGCTATTCCTGTATGCCAGCCAAGGACGCACACCCAGCCAGTGATGTAGCTGAGAAATTTCTGACATTTCCGTGGCGCAAATTCAGACACCCAGTGATATTGACCACCAGAGGTGGGTGCTCTGTAGGTCAATGTATCAGCATTGAAAAGCCGTTGTGGGAGTTGAAACGGTTAATAAGGATTTACATGGATGCCATCTCCGCCATCGACAACACAACCGCAGAAAACCCTAATACTCCGCCGATATAGGTGTAAATCATTCCACCAGCTCCACCATCAGTCAAGCCATATGAACTCCCGCTTTAAACTGGATTAGTTACTGGACATGTACATACGGTAGGGACAAACATACATGAGAACTGCCTCCCAAGTACACATTAAAACTGCCGTGAATCCTAGCACGGATAGAAACCGAAAATTACGCTAATAATTGTTTGTCAAGGTTCTATACCAGCTTATACAAGATGCTCTCAGTGCTTACATTTAGTTCCTGCTCCCGGCCAATCCTCAACATGTCGTCTCTATCACGGACAGTACCTGCCATCCTTGAAGGAACATGGCGCAATCGCTTCTCGGGAGCCAACAGCATGTCATTGGGCCCCAGCGTCTGGGTGCTTGTTAATGAGTCCATGGCTGGATATGTGTGATTGAAGATTATCTGAGACCGATTTTAGATTGCAGGTGTAATGAGGATGGCAAAAAGACCATCCCGCAGTCACATAGTCAGTCGTTTCGAGAAGGGTTTCGAAAATCGAGAGGAATTCCGGCTTTTCTAGTGTTTCTCAGTCAAGACTACGTAATATGTATGCATGGAAGTCCCGAAAACCCGGTCTTCACGCAGGTCGGGGCTTCTCTTGATTAGTCGCGTGGCTCCTGGCTTCAGATCGGATTTGATGGATGGCAACTCACGGAGCGGAATTCGGACTTACTTTGTGAAATAGATTTGCGAATGAGTCTAGACTAGTATGGTATAGCACGATCTAGGAATTCCTTTGAGTGTGGAATCGATAAGATGAATGTAAGTTGAGTTTAATTGCCAGGGGTTAAGTATACTCGGCTCCATCATCCGCTTTTCAGGATCAGCAATGCTAGCGATTCAGCCAGAATCTGGAATTAGGAATGGCTCAAGCCACAAGGCACACCCTAGTTAATTTATCAGGGACTAGGCTGCCGTTTAATGCGCTGAATTATCTCTGTAATAATTAGATTCGAGGCCAGCCAAATGGTCTGCCTGCCCCTACCGAATACCGACAAGCAACCACTCGATCAAATAATCATCGTGACATTGTTTCAAATACACATATTTGACAGATAAGATTTTCCTAAAGTTTACAAAACCACAGTAAGCTAGAGGAGTACCTCGGCTAGAGCATAGTGGGCGGTCTCCTTACATGTTCCTCTTTCGTTGGGAACAGACGCATTTTCCAATGCAGATAGTACGATAGCCTTCTAAGGGAACATACAGATGAATCACTAGATATTTCTCTTGAAAACCCCCACACATTGTTAATAAGTAGCAAATGAATCTGTATTCTTGAAACTAACAGCACGTCTCAAAACCTGACTCGGAATATCTATCAAGGTGCAATAGTGTGTTGGCTGATGCAAGGGGGGAATGTGTGACCTTTTCGTGTCGAAGCGCCTTGCAGCTCCCACGCAGTGAGGAGGCGTATAATTCAACTCCATCAAGCCAGAAACATTCCTGATTCTGGTTTTTACTCAGCCAAGTATTGCATATTAGTAGCGCTAATTCAATTTCTATTCAGTCCCTTCCCTAAGGATTTCCCGAGCATGCGGCGCTGTTGCAAAGCCTTTTTCAAGTTATGTTTGGGAAATAATCGAAGCAATACATCTGAAATAAAACTTTCATATTAATAAACTTTGTCTGAGAATCCCTTGTTTATGGATGTTATTCGTATGAAATGTCAAATACCGCTCAAAGTTATTCGCATCATCTCTAGCAAAAGATTTGCGATTCCTCGGGAAGCAAGAAGGCAATGAACATGGCTTTACACTTGAGATAATGTTGACAAGGATCATTTCACATTATGTCTGAGCACGACGGGAATCGAGCCTATGTCATCGATTCAACCGATCGGAGAGGGTTGATTGTAATCACAGCGACTGTGTTGATGTCATGGATGATACTGTGCTTCTGTATTCGACTATATACTAGAATATGGATTACTGGATCATGCAAATGGGACGACCTTTTTGCCGGGGTTGGAACAGTGAGGACAAAGAAACGTTTGATCTAAAGCCTCTACTCACAAATCTCCCAGGCGGTAGGTGTTGCTCAGGTTGGGGTTACGCTTAGAGCTGTTGGGAATGGGTTAGGAAAAACAAACGAATTGCTCAGTCCCATTGAACTGAGGAGCTCACAAAAGGTTGTTAAAGTGAATTTCTTCCGGTCTTGTACTAACTAAATCCTGTTCTAGGATGCATACATCGCCAACCTACTCTTGATTATAGGCCATTGTGCAGCCAAAACATCCATCCTGTTCTTGCTTCGGCGGATCCATAGCGATAAGGCGTTTGTGCGAATCTGCAACACGGTTCTAACGGTTATATTTCTATGGATAATTGCTTCAGCTCTTGCTATGTCGCTGCAATGCAATATGAGTGACCCATGGTTCTTTGATAAGCAATGTGATGCTCCAGTGAGTATTCGGGCGTCCTTCTGATGTCAGTATCGAGAACAACCCTTTTGACCTTTTTCCAAGACACTTCGCTGGCAGATTATTGCTGCTTTTGATCTATTGATTGAAATTGCTTTGTTTGTCATGAGCGTGTCTCTTGTTTGGAATCTTCATATGAGGTGGACAGGCAAAGCAATAGTTGTGGGATCCTTTGGGTGTCGCTTACTGTGTGTCATGACTCCATTCCTAAATATCATAAAAGCTATGGCTAATATACACATAGTATAATACCCATATGTGTGATACGGCTGTACTATCTAGAAAAGGTTTGGGAAAGCTTTGACCCGAGCCTCGAAAGTGCGGATCTTGTCATTCTCAGCCAATTCCTCCTTCATTACAGCATCATGGCAGCAACGATACCGTGCGTGAAGCCCTTCGTTATAGCATTTAATACAGGATGGGGTCAAGGCCTATCGAGTGGTGGTAGCAATCATTATTATTATAAGAGGTCGGCGTTGAATACAATAAACAATCCCGCTGGGTCAGACCAGAATGCCCGATTGCCAAATCCAAACAGCAGTTCCTTCGAAGACACATATCACCACGAAGCCCATATCTCTACAGGGGCCTCTCTTGCGTTTATGAGGAGCGGGGATGAGCGTTGTGATTCAACGAGCAACTCTCACATTCAAAACATGACGATTCGGCAGACTAGAGAATGGTCGGTAGAGCATGAGTGTATAGAGATGGATGAGCATCCGAGACAGAGATAGAGTTTTAGATCATTCTTGAGTTAAAATGCATCACCGACAGCTTACACGTTTATATTACTATTTATACAAAGTCTACGGGTGAAGCTGTTGATTAGATCGTACGAGTTGACGTCTGGGTTAGGGCTGATTATCCACGAGTTTCCGTTTTTGTACACGCCAAGCCATTCCGGGCCAGTGAATCGGTTTAGCTGGAACAGAGCAACAGCAAGTTCTTTAATTATGATAATTTTCTATTAAAATATCTCTTTGGCTTGGATATTGAAGAAATCTAAATATCGTCCGTGTCATCGAACTCGAGATGGCGCGAGAAAACGTCCCTATCTACCCGAGAAGCAGCAACACCAGAGTTCAAAGACGGATTCGGAAGTTTTTTCCTCGTCGATTTTTTCGTACAGAGATTCGGTGTCAGGGGACATATACTTTATAAATCCATGTCAGTAAGATCACGATTTATGGTGTTTGGGTGATGGCGAATTAGCTGACACCCATTTTTTCGGTTGTATGTATTCTCTTAATGAACTCTAAGTCGCAAATAGAATTCTATTCTTTCAAGGTGTACCAATTGTCTTCTCAGTCACTTTGCTGATTTGGAGTCGGGGTGATGAGCAAGATGAAATCAATAGAAGTCTATGCTATCTCACGAAGTATTTATTTACTCGATATTCTTTGTTCATGATTATTCTCGTGTAATACGAGCCGCATTGCCAAGTTAGTCCTCGATGCCTGGAAGTTGAAAAGTTTTTCAAGTTTTCCAATACTTTTGAGACATTCCAGGCAATGGCAACAGAAATTCATTGATATGTAAATTCAGCGTAGTAGAATATGAGAACGAAAATGTTATGCCTTGAATTCTATTCCAGGTTGAAAATTTCTAATATCGCACTATGTTCTAAAGTAAAAAATTAGATATACAATTAATTAACCGGAAATAACCGGCTGCAGCATAGCAAGTGTGGCCCAAGTTTCCTTTGACAGTTGCATTTGCATACTCGTAATGACAGGTTAACCAATTCAGTAAGTAGTTGTACCTAGTACGTTGTGACATACTACAATTCTTGATATCAATAGCACTTGAGCTCATTGATCCTTAAAAGTTCCTAATTCCTACACTGTGGTATGAAATATTCGTTGACAGCATTTAACTGACGCCGTCTTAGAAGTTTCAACCGTAGGTGCTCTGCTACCATTGGTATATGGAAAACAGAGGTCTTAAGAGACAGGGCCCTGGACTCATTTTGAACATTTATTATTTCACAAGCGAATATGACTGAAAAAGAAATATTCTAAATTTAGCCATGTACGCATACATTGAGGAAGATTTGAGTTGACACCGTATTTGCTCGGTTGATTTGATCGAACCTGGACCAGAAATTGTCTGAGACACTACCTAAGTAGCCCAAAAGACTCTCACCGACATACTTTCAAGATTATTCTGCCACCCCGGAAATCGCGCTCGTATCCATACAACGACTTGGTCACCAACATTCATGTTCCGCACTGCTTGGCCGTCCAAAGTTTTCCTACCACGGCCTTCCTCTTCCTCAATCCTGTCTGCCTCGGAAGATTTTGGATCAATATCATCATTGTATTTCCACACAATTTGATGTTTGGTAGAATCTTGAGTTGCAGTGCGATTGACTTGGAGTTTTCTAGGCTCCGGAATCATTGGCCTTGGGTTCCACGGTTCCAATTCTCCTCGGTCCTCTTTTTCTGCGTCTGCAGTGTCTGGGTTTTGGTCTTCTTTATTTTCATTCGCGCTGTGTTTGTGATTGGAGGGAACGATATATGCGTCAAACCAAGTATATGAGCCTCGGTATGTTCCACGATGACTTGCATCGCCACCCCAGCCTTGGTCATGGGAAGTGATATCAAAAACTATTTTTCGACACGGATGAATGCCTCTGTGTAATAAAGTCTGCGGCTGTTCTTCCTTCCCTGATGACTCATTTTCCTACATCACCAATTAGCTCTATAACCCCATACATTCTTCCTTAGAAAGATGTGTAGACGAACCTTGCTGCCCTCCTCTAAACTAAAACACAGCGGTGGAGTTCTTAAGCATTCCCGATCCTCATCGGACCTCACCACGTACGGTGTCGTCTCCAATGTCGTCACCACACTTGGCCAGTACTCAGCTTCATCGATGATCATATCGACAATTTCATTCGGAATGGCCTGTCTCTTTAGGCCTAACCGGTGTAGTAAATCACGGATATTGACTACATCTTCGATGCTGGGGTAGAACTCGCGTTTCTCGTCGCCAGGATTAGCTTTGGGGTCAGCCGCCGAGGCGGATCCGCTGATTCGACTACTTGTCTTTGGCTCGCGGTGAGCCGGCAATGGTGTACCGCCACGGCGTGGAAAACGGGAGAAGGGGGAGCGGTGCATTATAGCGCTATTAATATAGTGTAGGAGACAAAAGAGTGCAGTGAGAAGTGCTATTTCAATGAATGGAACCATTCGCCCCTTGTAGAATAGCCGAGACCAGGGAGGCAAAAGTGGAAGGGGGTAAAGGTTGAAGACTCGATAGAGCCAATGATTATTGTTATTATGGGGAATCCACACTCGTGGTTATATCAAAAAAGAATCGGTTTGTCGGGAATTATAAAAGGCTGATGTAATTACAGTCAGGTTGAGTCTGGCACGAGGTCACACAGATGTTTTTATAATCGAATGTATGAATGAAAGGATATATTTCAGTTGGATAAGGTCAGTAAATACGGGTATGCATCAATGTCAATAATAGAGTGTTGCCTGATGCCAATTATTGATCGCCTGAAGCATGACGTCGACGTGACTGGCAGTGGGGCTGTCACGTTTTCTAGATAGCTTGTCGACCAATCACATTAGAACTGTAGAAGCACGTGACGAGTATGTATTGATTTTACCCATTACATCGATGAGTTAGAATCTGTCGGACTATGATTGGATTGATATTGAATGTACAATGAATGGCTGCTTTGCGGGTTTTCATACACAAGCGTATCTTCGTAAATCCAAATAGCTCATTTTTCTACGACCTGTGACGGTTCCCCCCAGAAGCACGATATGCCGCAGCACGCCGAGAGCTGCGATTCTTCTTTTTCAACCCACGAGATTTGGCTCTGACCTTGAGTTGACCGGCCCCTTCGACTGCACGCTGACCCTCAAAAATAAATGGCGTGCTACCATCGCTATTTCGGACCTTGGCTGCACCAGCTCGTCCAAAAAGCTTATTAGCTCGACCACCAAGAGTGTCGCGAGCGCCGTCACCTCGGGCACGACTGCGTCGATCCACGTCGTGTTTCTTGGTCACCTTTTTGGCTCGTACAACACGTAGTTTGCGAGGCAGTAATGGGGGAAATTTCTTGCCATCCAAGAGCAACGCTGCTTCGAGACAGGTAGAATCGTAGAATTGAACATAGGCAAAGCCTTTGCCAACACGAGTCGCCTGGTCACGTACCACTCGAACTGACTCCACATTCCCACCGCCAGCATTTTTCTGGCCGCCAGTTCCTGTATGAGCATTGAATGTACGCCATAAGCCTTCCTCAATATCTGCCGGTGTTGTGTTCTTCTTTTTGGGAGTTTCGCCTTCTTCATTGGGATCGTTTTCAATATCAACGAAATCGAGATTCCCAACAAACACACAGCGTTTGTTGTCTGTCTTAGACGGATGAGCAACACTGTCAACCCGCAGGTGGCGATCAAGCACAACAGTGCCATTCAAAGCACCTGGAGCTTTCTGGGCGGCAGCCTTTGTAGAGTAAACGGCGTAGGCATTGGTGCTAGACGTGGTCGAATCCTTGACCTCCTTATTCGCAAAGGCCGCACGTCGAGGAACCCCTAACTTAGTTCCATAAGCAGTAGAGCGGAAACGAATTGATTCCAGTTTGTGAGGGATGTCAGAGTTTGGCAGAGTAGATAGGAAAGATGATAGATGCTTCATGAGTGTTCTCTTAGCCGACTTGGAAGTAATAGCAGAATTTGAGACATTAGCTAAGAAGACCGTACGGCTTGATTTGTCGAGTTCTTGGGCTTCACGTTCTCCAGATAGAGCTTCGTGTACAGGTGCGGGGCTGTTTTCCTCGTCCGAGGACGCATCATTCTCTGATGGACCATTACTTTCATCAGAATCGTTAGCCTTGCGCTTCTTTTCTTGGGCCGCCCGGCGTTTGGCTTCTTCTTTCCGCTCTTCGCGGGCCATCTTTTGCATATAGACATCTTCGAGATTATCTGCCGCACCTCGCTTGCGTTTTCGGCTCGTACGCGCGTCTGTGGATGGATCAGTGTGGGAATCCGCGAGGGATTCCTCATCACTTTGGTCTGGATCCTGCATTTCTTGATCGCTATTTTCTTCTTCATTGCCGGACTCTTGTTCATTATCTGATTCATCATCTTCAAGCCTCGTCTTCGTGGCTTTGGATTTAGAAGGACGGGAAGCTAATTCGGTGTATTGTATGGACGGGGCTTGCACTGGTCCGGCCTAGAAAGCTTTAGCATCAATGAAGGTGATAGATTATGGTAGAGTAAAGTACGCTTTTCTCGAATAGAGAAGCCAGCAATGGATCAAACGGTGCATCACTGGTCAGGATGGATGTTGCGATACCCTCCCCATTGGCTACGACTTCTGCAGCATTGGACTCGGTAGACTTGCTCTTAGATTTTTTCCCCATGATGGCTATTCAGAACTGAATCTCGAGGGCCAGGATACTCTATCGAAGGCAAGTTGGGCTCTGTGGAAATGCAATAAATGAAAGAGCGACGGGTGTGCCGTGATTGTCCAAACTTTTTTCGCGGCAGAAATTATTGCAGTGCTTGGCGTGGGAAGCTTCGTTATCTTATCGGCACGTGACTGTCGATAAGAATCCTCCGTCATCGCCTGCCTTCTGCAAGCGTCTTGCGTGTGAAATCCAGGGGTCAAACGCAAATGAATGCTTGTAACAATATATTATTCTCCTCACTATCTAAAACGACGACAAAATTAGTCGCGCTGAATTACGACGCTGGTAGGGATTTGGCATCCGTCTTGCGAAATACTCGCTTCAGAGACCGAGTGAGGGCCATGTAGAGCATTGGCATTGGTTACTGTAAATTGAACCTCACAACTAGAAGCCAAATATTTGCTATTCAGAATTCTTCCCGTAAATCGAGTGTACTATTAACGTACTCTTATGTTATTTTTGCTGGCAGAGCTTTCAGCGTGACGAGCAGCCGCATCCGGGTTTAAGTCACGTGTAGTCGCCAGCCGAGGGCGGTAAAGAAATACCACGATTCTCATTGGCTGGGCGACGCGCTGATTGCCCCGGATAGGTCATGGGCCGCGTCGATAGGCCGGCGCATCAGCGGCAGAAAAACACCGCCCCGGGCAAGGTGGTGTCGCTCCCCCAAATCGCCGGCACAGGGACTGACCAACTCTGCCGCACCTTCTGACCTGTACAGAATGCTGGCCAGCTTGATCTCTTAGACGAACGAGCCTCCCCTACGGTAGTCCTTCTATATCATATACTATTCTGCCCACCATTTGACCGCCGTCTACCTTTTCGCTCGCTCTGCGCTTGCTTGCTCCCCATCTCTGCGCCGTCTTTCTCCGCCTTCGGGAGCTCCCTCGACTTGCGACCTCCAATGTTGACCACTGTCGTTCAGCTGGCCCTGCTCATTTCGCACAGTCCGTACGCCTTTCGCTATTAGTGCCGCCATCGCCCATCGTCGACGCATTACTTCTCGTTCCGATTCATTGATATCTTCGTGTGGAGGTCTCTGCGTGTCGGTGAAGACCAGTGTCGGCGGGGGCGCTGAACGGTGTGAGAAATACTCTTTCCTGACGCCACATAAGCAACCTCATAGAATCGCACGCTGCGCGCTACTATACGGTACGTTTATAGCTCAATTATATTTTTTGCGATCACTCTATACTTCTCCCTGGGGTTCCATTGTCGCTTAGCTGAGGATCGCCGTTGCTTGCAAAAGTCTTGCAGACGGTTGGGAATATTTAAGACCACAAGAGCACAATCACTGAGCTTTATTGACTAAATATTCCCCTTGAAGTTTGTTGTTGCATTTCACTTTTCTTTGTTTTGCAGCTTTTTCTGAATTTTTTTACTGTAGAAGAAAATGTGCATGAATCTAGTTGACAATTCTCTTTTTCTAGCCATCCCTCAACCTCAGCACGATCAGCGCTCGGATTGTCAAGTTCTTGACAATCCGCCCTTTTATACCTCACTTTTACATTACTAGCTGCCAGGCTTTCTCTCCATACTTATGATGGATGTAATCGAAAGCGCCGAGCCCGTCGTGCAGTCAACATCTGCTGTTGATTCTGCTACGTCCGGCCCCGACGCCAGTATGTTCATTGATGATCCATTGGGAGACGATGATCGATCCAGCAGCTTGAGTGAAATAGACGATGTTTCGGAAAACGAACTCTTCGACAATGAGCCACTGCATGCGCAAGAGAGTGCATTGGCCGAAGCAGACTCTGAAGCTGAAACCGAACGATTAGAAGACTCTCCTCGTCATCCTCGTAACTTGAGGAACATCAATCTGAGCTCAACAAATCGCTTCGAAAGTAGCCCTAGCAAATTAGCGCAATCTACCACGTACGACGAGGCCGATGACGATGAGCATGAAATGGATGAAACTCCGAGCAAGGCAAGACAGTTGTCAAATGAAAATGGTGTCATGGGTGATGAAGAGGAGGACGAAGATGACGAGAATGAGGAAGAAGACGAAACGGGTATCGCCGCCGGAGATGATCCTGAGAAACTACCCACGCCTCCTGATGTGGCTGGTAAGAAGCGCAAGCGCCTTCTATCAGCAGACGTCGAAGCAGATCTTGGCGATAATGAGCCCTTACGAAAGCGACGTGGGTCTTTGAAGAGTGAAATTGGTGATGAACTCCCCATAGAGACGCCATTGTCCCACGAAGGCACCGAAGACGCTAGCAAGCACGAGATCTCAAGAAAAGGCACCCCACTTGAGGATGCGCAAGATCTCGATGTCCCAGCTGTTGCAACTCGAGGAAAGAAAGGCAAAAGAGGGAAACGAAGAGGGAGGAAAGCGAAAGATGCCGATGAGGATATGGAAAACGGTGACAGCATCGTTGAAGGCACCGAAGACCAGTTACAAGAGGATGAGGAAACTGGTGAGGCGGGAGACGATGCTGATGATGCCGAAGCTACTGCCAAGTCCGAGGAAGAGAGTACGTTTATACAATTCCGTTGCATGATGTTGTGTCTAACGTCGAAAAGTGGCTAGGAAAGTTGCAGCTATCGACGCCTTAGGTATTCTGGAGAAAGAATTTTCAACCTTGCGCGATAAGTAAGCTTAAGCACAACCATCGATTAGGGGATTTTATACTGACCTCGAACAGGATATATGATGAGAAGATAGCGAGGGTTGATCAAGAATTGGAACAGCTTACCAGTTCAGAGCCAACGCATCCAGAGCTACTTCGGCAGTTGGAGTGTGTCCGACGCCACCGAGATACCAAAATCAAGTATGAACGCACGCTGTTTCAATATCGCCTCCAATCACTCTTGAGCCGGAGTTTGGCCGACCGTGCTCAGACTCATAGCACGTTTTTCCAACGTGTTCGGGATACTCGGGAAAGGCATTCTACTGCTGTCAGTAAACATTTTTACGCCATCCAACATGACCGTTTCAAAACAGAAGAGCTTGGCGCACATCATTATATTCCCTTCCCTACAAGGCGGTCGCAGCAAATTTCACAGCAAGCAGCATACAACCAAGAGGTGTCAGTAATGGCAGGAGTCGCAAAGTATGTCGGCTTCCCAGCAGCACCATCTTTATCTGCTGCCCGTATCGCTGAGATCGATGAAGATTTGGAGAAGATGGGAGTAAGTTTTCCGACTTTTGAATATTGGCGGTGTGCAAAAACTAATTAAAATGAATAGATCTCCATTGAACATCGACCAGTCATGCCACAAGGTACTGGTTCCATCCGTGGGACTATATCCGCAGGGCTACCCCGCTACAATACAGCCGAAGAGAGCTTCCAGGAGGTCTCTACTTGGGGCAATCCCCAGATCGCGCAGACAAACAGACAGTCTTTCATGTCGAACATGGCTTCCTTCACGACTCCAGCATCCCAGAAGCGAGTTGTTGATATCCACGCACCAAATGGATCCGCCTCGACGATAGCGGACAACGCATCGGCGGCTAATTCTTCAACGGCAAATACGCCATACGGTGTGGAGCAAGAGAACAGGCCATTCGGCGCAGCTCCTTTCAACAGTATTGATCACGATAATTCAGGCAGAAAGACGGGATTCCGATCACAAAGTTCGTCGCCGCTCGATGTACGTAAATCGTACCCGAACCAAAAACAATCTGTTGAGAACACGAGGCACGATGCGACGCGGAATTCGGGATTCTCGCCGCCGACTCGGTTTGGGCTATTCGGTTCATCGAAGCAAGAGACGTCACCTCCATTATCAAGCAAGCCGCTGGGCGGCATTCACTCCTCCGCCGGACTCGTTACTGGATCTGGATCAAGCCGAATGATTGCGCGGTGACATAAAACAACCACAATTATATTTTATTCCTCCTGCCATCATTAGCTTTATACCAACTGCTATGGTTTCTTCTTATTCATTTTTGTTGCATTATCTTTCTTCTGTCTGAAGTTGTATGTTACCAACATCGATACTGACAGAGGTTCTTGCCCTGCAATGTTCTTTTTCTTTTTAGCACATATTAACGATAATTCACTGCTGTTATTCAAGCTTAGAAAACGGAAAGACGGGCTTGTTTTTGATGAACATGGTTTTCGAGGGAGTCTTGCGGCGTGACATGGAGAAACTCTCAACGCATAATATCGCATGGCATGCACGAACTTTGTCAAGGGTCGTCACAATAAATACGAACAGCACTCTCCTATTATTTGTGCTTATTTGTGTATATACGAGATACGGATTGGGTCTGTTTTTTACTCACTTTGATTTACAAATGCAACAGCAAGGTGTGAGTTCCAGCGCTGTTGAATAAAACTATATGTATACCTTTCATGTTCAATACACATAGTTTTATTGAAGATAATTTCACTTTAAAATAATATACCAATAAAATAAATAGCACCAGGAGAGTTCTATATTCGTTTCGTGTGAGCAGTAATAAGCCTTGGGCACAATTTCCCCTTGGCTCTGTGCTTGGTTTATACAGGTTCGAGTAGATCACCATCCGAATCTATCCATAGAGACCAGTCTTCCCGACCATGATCTGTGTCAACGTAGTAGACAATGGACCTTGCACGTAAAGTCTGACATAATTGTATCTACACAAGACGTATATGCAGGGACATAATAATTCCGGGGCCAAACAACACACAGGCTCTGAGTCATGCCAACATTGATTCCAGTTCTCAAACTCCAATTCGGGATAGAATACATAAGAAGTAGACATGAGGGTATTTCGAAGGATTGAAGTATCGTACATCGCCATCAGTCAAAAAGCACGAATCTACTTTTGTTGTTGACTGTTTACTGTCGATGCTTCGGGAACAACGACATCAGAAAAATCCTCTTGACCCACGGCACGAATCGTAAAGGCATCTATGTAGAGATATCCGCGTTAGCTGAAAGTGATTCTTGTTCTTGAAACACCAGGCATTCGCTTTCACTTTGGAAATGGAAAGGGAAGAACGTACAAACTCCAACAGTGAATACACAAAGCCCTAGCCCTGTCAAAGCATTTCTAACTAGATACGGCCGCCGAGCTCGAAGCAGGGCAGCCCCGGCACGATAGTCTTTGCCGTAATAACTTGAATTGAAGCTGTTGCAGACATATCAGTACAATCCGGATGGTACACAAACTGCATTGCTGAGTAGACGGATCAAGACGTACATTCCGGACGGCATTTTCAGCCTTGGCTCAATGCCCTCGAGGATTCGCTTTTGGCTGAAGGAATCAACAGGTGAGGTCTGGAGTTGATAATTTGATATGGAGAAATCGGAGAAGAACGGGATAAGCCACATGTCTTGGCATCATGTGGTGTGGCTGAGCCCGACTTTTACTGTTTATCGGCAACCCGATTCACTGCTACAATCGCCCATACGTTGATGAGAATAATTCAATTTCTTTTAGCTTTTGTAGTTGTTGAATACCGTATATTTCAGATCTAGGGATTGCTACTTTGTATTACGTACTTCTCTAGTACTAGTTGCTCACAGAGGTGTGGCGGTGCTGGAAATCCTGATTGGCCGATCGTCCGCCTCATTTGCGTGTTGCTAGCCTGACAAGCTTCAAGCCAGGACTGCTTCACTCGCGACAGACGAGGAATGACTTCGGTTTTTCGTTCCTCTCGTTATTTTCAGTCCCACTATTAAATTTCAAAATTGCTTCAACTTGCGATCTCGATTATGCCGTGATTTTCCTTATCCCGTTCTATTTTGCGACTTCTCACGCGACAAAGAAACTCCAACTCATTTGACCCGCGTGTCCGACTTGTATGCCGTCAACGGACAACCCTCCATTTATTTCCCCATCTACATCTGCATAGTCGGACGACACTTGGCCTAATTGTAGTGGCTCCTGCAGCTATCATCGACGACGAGCCACAATGGCTCAAGTCAACCTCAAAGACCAACTACACCAGCTCCAGGCAGCGCGAAACCTGGTGCTGTCCGACGCTGCGCTCTACCCCCAGGTTGTGCAAGGCATCCTCCCTATTATCGGAGTCAATTCGCGACTGGAGCTACGACGATGGGGCTCGGAATTTCTAGCAGAGACTTTCGCAAATCCAGCACTGGCCACGACGCAGAAAGAGGAACTCGCCGCAACCGTTCTTCCAACCGTGCGAGAGCTTCTCGATAATAATGCGGAAGATGCGGTAGTGGTTCAAAACGTCATCCAGATTGCGGCAAGCTTATATCCGTTTGTCTTCAGGCATATGTAGGTGATCAATCTTTCCTTATAGTATATCGTAAAATGTCGCCCATCAACCCTAGTAGCTTGTTCCTTGTTCTAGCTTCTAACTTTGTTTTCTTAGCATTCGCCATCCAGACGATAAAATATTATGGGAGCAGATGACCGAAATCAAGCATAGCATACTCAAAAGGATGGACTCTGCACCGCATCCAGTTAGGGTGTGCTGCATAAAGTTTTTGCAGAAGGTTGTCCACATTCAAACTCCCGGCCCTATAGCAGATCCAAGGGTACATTCTGTCTTCTGTCTTAGCTTAAAGCTCTGTATTGACAACTTTTCCAGCGGCCGGAAAGAAACGAGACATCTATCGCTATCGTTCCTCGAACCCACCCTATACTCATCATACCCAATCTAGAAGCGGAGGCATCAGGCTTGTTAGATCGACTTTTAACAGTCCTTCAAGACAATTCAGAGTATGTGATATACTTCTACACATGGGAACTTAGCTGACTTGAATTAGTGATGCAATACTAGTGAATGCGACTTTGAATTGTCTGGCGATTATGCTCCGAACTCGGCCCAGTATTGCAAGCAAGATACTCGAGACAATTCTTAATTTCAATCCTATAAAGACAGGGAATGGACCTTTTACTCCGACTATGCGAGTGAAGATCAAATCTATGGAGCGTACAACTCGTGCCGTTCTAATTAACATTCTAAAAAGGTGGATACTCATCGATGGCCTTTAGTCATGTCGTACTAACTATATTTTTCGTAGGAACCACAATCATCCAATGGCTGGAAGAATGCAACAGTACATTGAACGGCTTACGCAGAACTGCCTTGAGGTCTTCGACGAGTCTTCCCGCAAACGTGCCCTTCCTGTAGAACCGACGGACGGTCTTGATAATGCGAAGAGAGCAAAACTAGGCGTCGATACACCACCTCAGCTCAAAATACCCCCTATGCCGGCAGGCCCTAATAGTTATGCCCAACTATATACTCTTACTGAGGATTTGGGACTGTCTTCCTTTGATGTGAAACAACTTCCGCCTGAACTGATTGTCAAAATTGCCGTGGCCGTACTTGGAAGAGTCGATGCCAATGCCTTAGTGCAGGCGACAGAGGTAAGTTTATCTATCTAAATTTCGGATATAAGCTAATCTTTTTAGGCTATTCGAACTCGGTATCAGACTCTTGCAGTGGAACAAGCCAAAAGTCAAGCAGCGGCTGAAGAGGAGGAGGACGATTACGAGCCTGAATATCAGCCAGAAGATGTACCCGAAGAAGAAAAAGAAGATATCACAGCAGCGATTTTCGGTCTTGAACCCGAATTGGGCCCATTCAAACTCCCCAAGCCACCTCCTATGACTGAAAACGAAGCGGGAGAAGTCGGTCGTGCCGCTGCTGAACGTGTCTTTGAAATGATGGTTGCCGCGCCTTCCAAGCCAGTTGCCAAGGGTGCAAGCAACCAGTCAGAACGGAAGGGGTTCGCACGTCTCGCTGGAGGCTCTCTCGACACAAAAGAAGCATGGGTTATCATGCTTGTTCGTATGGCAACGCGAGCTCCCGCTGGCTTAGAAGCTGCTTCAGGCGAAATCCGAAATATGGACGGTTCACCTACGATAGCAACGCATATTCGTGAACTTCTGTATCGTCATATTCTTGAAGACTTTCGATCTAGGATTAATATCGGCATTACATGGCTTAATGAGGAGTGGTACAATGACAGGCAACAAATGAAAGCCGCATCAGCATCGTCGGAGGATGGTGAAGCAGTGACGGTGCCTCTACATTACGATTCTTGGGTACTACGCCTTCTAGGTGGTATCCTGCCGTATCTTGACGCCAGAGATAACAAAGTCCTGATTCGATTCCTAAGCGAGATTCCAGAGGTTACGGCGCCGATCATCGGCCGCGTACAGACTCTCGCTCGGGATCCTGAGCGTGTTAATTTATGTGTCCAGACTTTACAGTAAGTTTCTGATTTTCAAAACTAAAATTATCAAAACCAAGTCTAATCATTTTTAGCTATCTCATTATGCTACGGCCTCCTGCAAGAGAAATCTGTTTAGACGCCTTGGAGGAAATCTACAAAACCCGTGAGTTCCCCTGCATCCACCATTACGTACAAGAAAACTAACGCATTGATGAACTCCAGACGAGGAAGCTCGTCCAGCAGCCGGTAAAATCCTTTCCAAGTGGCGAGCACACGTTATTCAAGCACAACAAACGCAGGATGCACTGCCCAATGCGAATACAGCCGCCATTGCCAATGGAGTTCAGGCTGTCAGCTAGTTCTCAGAATATTTTTTTAACATAGAACGGATGTGTCCAAATTATTATGCTCAATGTGTGATGAACAGCAAACAGATTTCTTGGGATGTATACTATCGTTTCTCTTAGGGCTGTATTTTATTTTTAGAGGTCAAATGCGATCTTCGATTGGTGCGGCGACGTTATATGTGATCTGCATTTCCTAACGCCAGAATGGTTTTGCGACTATGTCTACAATGTGCCACTTCAGCAATTCATAATGTAGAATTCAGTTCAGGATCAATGTGAAAAACGTAGGATGAGTTACGAGTTTGGTAATAAAGAGATTACAACTACCGCATTGCCATATCCGGAGGTTAGGAAGTATTTTCAATCCAGAGATGATAAGAGTTAATAGTACTATTTCCACACTGGAACAGAGACAGTAATAAGCGACCAGCAGGAACATTCAGGACATATCTAGATAATACCAATTGATTTATTCATTTCTAACCATTATCTTATATTTACACATTATCTAGATAAATGTGCGCTACAGTAGCACATAGTTAAGGAAATATAGATCTGTTTTGATCGATTCACGGATATTACCGCTATATGGTGGGACCCCGCTTTTAAGATGACACTATCCAATCAATATTCATGAATGTTACTGGGTCACGTCCCGGACTCGGCTGTTACTAGCCGGTATTGTATCTGTGCCTGGCCTTCCTCCCGTCTCCCTTTGGTCTGACAGCCCTCGATCTACATTCAAGATGGCTGACAGCAGCAGGCAGAGTACCTTATGTTACTAAAGTAAGCCAATTGATCAATATCTATCATAAAAACAAACCCACACTGTTAAAACCTGCTTGAAATGTGCCTACGAATGCGTCATCCTTCAGCAGCCAGTCCTCTGTACTAGCATTTGATGTCCTTCAATTATCACCGTCGCCTAGACCAATTAATACGGCACAACCCTCTTTGAGCCAACGCAATGCGTCATCACCTGATGTGATAATAGAGTCACGCTGCAAGAAGACACTCTTAACCTTAACAGTCCCCGACACTCTGTCTCGTTCGTTGTCAGCGAAAGAGAGACCGAAGAATATTAAGGTCGAGATCGCCATAGATTCTAACTCTGATATCAAGCCCGAGCTAGTCAGTGCTGCTTCAGATATAGAGGAAGATGACATGCAGTCTAGCGCCCCTGACTCTCACTCGGACTATGCTATGGATGAGGATGGCCTTGACAATTCCGACGAGGATGGTGATTCGGATAGAGGTGATAACTCGGTCCAAGTGAAGAGTGAAGATCACGCCGTGCAGGTGAAGGACGAAGACGATACTCTACAAGCTCGACGAACACAATTTATGTACAGGGCATCGTTTTCAGCAACTAGCAAAGAAGAGCTCTTTGCTAGTCCAGGTGAAGGATCAAGACCACGAAAGTCTACAGTTCATCTATTTGTAAAATAGATTTATTTATGCTAAGTGAGATGTTTAAGTTCAATGGTTAATTGAGCAGTCCTCAATAAATGACGTCCCTCCTATAAGTTATTTTTACACAGCTTCAACGTGGGTGTGTTTGATACCTTATGGGCAACTTTAACCAATCTAATTTTGCACCAACGAGTTTCATAGACAGCTTTAGTAGAAAAAATACCTTGTTGCCTAAGTGTTAGCCATAGGATACGTGGAGTTCAGGGTCTATAGCATCCCCTACAGCATAAAACGTTTTTGTGTTTCTACTCCATGCCCAGGCGATGCACAAAATGAACTCCTGGAGACCTAAATTTAAAGAGGCTGGTCCAAGGCTAAACTGTATGTGAATAGCCGTTTATCGCGGTCGTGAAGCTGATCAGGAGGCTATCCATAGCTATAGCTACGCGGATGAATGATGGTAAGGGTAAAACAGCCATCTGTACCTCGCTTCATATCAACAAATTATCTAGTCTCAGGAAATACTATATTGCTGTAAATGGCCCACACATTCTCAGAAATTGACATGAAGTTCCTGCAAATGAAGTTCGTAGGTCCAGAGATCCAGCATTGATTCCTGCAATCTAACCCCTGATTATTCCCACGAACACCATATCGTTTTCTACGAATTACCATACTAATCGCCCCATGGTCTAAGTTCACACCAGAACAGCTAGTGCTACGGTTCGTGTTCTTGGATAGGTTTAGCACAGCGGATGATATTCTTCCTTCTCATTCAGAAGCCACCACTGTTGATAGAAATTTGATCGTCAACGAGATTCTCCGCTTCTGACCAGCTGCTACATAGTAACAACATTCCATTATATGGTGAAACCCCTTGATTGAATAAATCAGACATTAAGATATCATTATTTACAGAAATAATTTTAGCGTGGACCAAGGGGGTTATGCATATTCTTAAGAGTCTCTTAATCGACTCTCCCTTCTAAATATAAGTTTGCAACCAGCTCAACCAAGCTCAGCAGGCGGCAGACGAGGTTTCGACGCATCCATCTCTACCGGGGCTACATGGCCTGGAAGTTCAGCCTTGAGTCCATCTGCTACTAATTCATAGGGTTGATCATCGGCCGGATGAAATTGTTTTCGCGGCCTTTTTCGTCTCAAAAAAAGCAAGAATATGGCGGCTCCGATGAGTATCAGCCCTCCTACAGCAGCACCAACGCCAATTCCAGCTTTTGCGCCGGTCGACAAGGAAGTATCTGGCTGTGACGTCGGCGCTTTTATTGTAGGAGCTGTCATTATGGTTGATGTGGGTATTGTTGTTGATGTGGATTTCGGCAGGTCGCTGGACTTGTAAATGATCTGGAAAAGAGGGGCTTTGATTGTCATGGTCTGAATAATGACATCTGAGCTCGCGTCGGACGCGGTGGCAGTGACAGATGCAGCAACAGTAGTGGGTACAGTCTGCTGGGTTAAGACGCTTGTTGAACCGTAGCATTGAATCGCTGAAAATTGCCCAGTGGATACTGTAGAAACGCAGGTCTGGACACTGGCATCGACGCCTGCGGATATGTAGCCACAAGTGTATCCACTGTTGAAGATTAGTGTCTCTACCTCCATATTGTAGTCTGTGGTCGATACCTTGGACAACACCCTATAGCAGTCTCAGCGTCGAGCAAATTATATTGAAACGAATAGCCTGTATGTCCTCCACCTGTTGCCGAGCACGCAGATGTGTATCCGACCGGACACGAAATGCCTGGAGAGTAAAACCCACCGCCCATAAAGGGGGGAGATGTCAAAAGGTTTCCATTGATACGCGGAGGCCAGCAGTCAGGGTCATCCTGCGAATCACCCACGTTTCCATTATCGCTGCACGTTTGCCCTTGCCAGGCGTCAGAGCATGTTGAACAATCCAGGATAGCATAGGCGCAAGCCGAAGGGTAGGTGAAAGGGGTTATTAGGGGGCCGAGATTATCGCGCGCGGAGGTCATGTTGGGCATGCGCCCCGGGGCTGGATTGTGGGAGTGGTGGTTCTATAGAACAGTTAGCTAACAATGTTTATTAGAATCAAAGTGAGGGAAATAGCCTACCAGGTGATGGTATTCGCATGAGAAACCACGGTGACTGGATTTTTTCTTCTAGCCCCAGAGGGAGAAAAGGAAAAGATGAGGCTGAGGGATTGCCCTCATGGTCACTAGCCTTGGGCCCGGCCATCTCTTCAGCCAATTTCGAACTAACCCGTAACAGTTTGAGATCCAAGGTCGAGAAGAGGCTCTGCCTTCTCATTGACCAGTAAAGGGTACGGAGGTGGGAATAAAAAGCCGTGCGAAGCGCTAAGTTCACTAATACGCTAGCTTTACTATTGAGCGCATAATATAATATTTTATTAGCTTAGCCATGCATTGAATACACCCTTTTATGAAAAACCTAAAAATTGACATATAATATTTTAATTTTAATTGGTCAATATATAATGTCTTATGAATGATTTTATAGTAATTTGTATTGATAAAGTCAAAAATAACAACTAAAGAAAGTAGCTGGCACCATATTCTCACGACTTTTTGTGCCCAACTCCGTAGACCAGGCGGGCAAACACCGCTGGTGATTGGCGATACCATGTCTAGAGTCGGTCGACTGCGAAAATGTAGGAAGCAGGACGTAATAATAATAATGTTACAGCTGCGGCTCGAAAAAGGTGAGCTATTAATAGCATCAAATCAGAGCCGAGTGTATTGGACAGACCTTGCTGGAAAACTTAAAGATGTTTGGCTACTAAATACGCGGCAACAAAAAAGTTGACGAATAATATTGTTAGTTCTCGCCCCAACTGTTGGCTCTTTTCCGTCAGGGAAGATCTAAACCTGACCTCAAAACCCTCCTCATCGGCGTTCTTGAGTGATTGAGGAACAACATTCTGCTATATTGCGGCGTATTTGACTGTTAAATCTTTACCGCTGTGCTCAGCCACTATTGTCCTTTGGCGAAACAACTTCATTTTTCAATGTAGGGCATTGGACTCAAGCAGAAACGCCTACACATGTCCCACATTCCCTTGTGAGATACAATATACAATACTTCATCACTTAATGACCCTCACTCCCGATGTTGACTGAACGGCACTCCATATAGTGTGACGTGACGGATCAATGGTTACAATAATTCAGGTTTAGACTTTGATTGGCATTAACCTTGTGTATTGAAGGATGAAGACGATGAAAGTCTACAGCTCATATGATCTCACTGAGATTAAGCTTCTTAGTCCTTTAGGGCTCTCTGGATGATGCAAGTAGAGAATAACTCAGAATAAAGTGATATGTGCTGCATATGGTTCCAGGCCTAGAGTTTTTGTCTATCCGCATGTGAGCTGGCATTTGCAGTGATTTTATTCAGAAATTATTGTGTACTACACAGAATTAAATAGCAGGATTAAAATTTGACATAGCTAATATATACGTGCAGCTGTCTAGTAATGTATAAAGTTACTCCCCTTTGTGTCTTCTTCAAGTCATGTTTCTCACAATTGAACGACTCAGTCGGACCTGGTAGATCTTAGTGAATGCGAACACAATAATTTTGTCTCCTGCCAAAGCAAAGTTTTGCAAAGGCTCTGCATCAGAATCGAGGACTTGCTCTCCCTGAATCGCAAGTGCATTTATCATGCCGAGGACTTTGCCAGACGGACCACGAACTACAATCCCATCTTGCTCTCCTGTCCAGACGCGACCGTCATCATCAACATGCATGCCATCCGGAATCCCACGTTGTGCAATGCCAAATAAACGCTTGTTGTGCGGGATACCGTCCTCGTTGAGATCGAACACGTAGATTGCGGTGCTTGCACTACCAAGAAATAGTTCCGTCGACGAAGACACCGCTTTAACTCCATTCCCAGTAAAAGCTGGGTCTGGCGTGTCAGTGACATATAGTTTCGTGCTTTCTTTGTTTACCCGGATACCGTTGGGGACGTTAATATCAGTTCGATCGATCACAGGAAGTAAGGTCTTCTCCTGAGGATCCCAACGCCATGTGGCATCTGGAATCGTGGGATATTCACCTTTGCTATAGTAATAACTCAGTGGGTCATCTGTGAAAAATAACCATGACCTGTCTCCTCTCCTTGCCCAGGTCAGATCGTTTGGCCCGTTGAATCGCAGTCCGAAATAGCTATCCACGACCACCTGCGCTTCATGGGTGACTGGGTCAACCTCGTAAATCGCTGGCGGAATAGTGGTATTGCCATCTCCAGCAATATATACTTTCCCATTGAAGTATCCACCGCCGTTAGGATTGAGAATTGGAATACCATTTGACGACACATCTAGCATTTTAACGGTATGGTCGTTCAAATCCAGAATATAGGTGTAGCTGACACTGTCTATGCTATGTGAAGACATCCACACCTGGTTATGGTCCCACACCCAAATTCCCATTTCGTCTGCCACTGGGTTGTTGTCGGAACGGTTGTAGATGAGTTCTAGGGTAGCGTCGGTAGCGAGGAGACTGGCAAACTCGTCGTCATAGGCAATGAATGGCTTCAACATTTGAGACACGGCCTCTTCAGCTGTGTCGTTGAAGAGGCCATTGGTTTGAAGAAACGATTGAGAAGAGTTTCCATTGAAATTGGCAGGGAGATTGTAGAGTGTGGTTGGCTCCAGGTGCAGAATATTTGGGTTCTCAGAAGCACCTGCCAAAGCGTTGGCAGCCAGTATTGAAAGAATACACAGCTGGTATCTTCTCGTCAAACAGTACATGATTATAAAGCCTCTTTGCTCTCTAGGTTGCCAAAAATTATTTTGAATGGAGAAAATTATTTGCGATCAGGGAGCGGCGGGCTCTTATATAAGTTGATTTCGCAGATTACAGCTGTGAGTCGTAAAAGTTGATTACACATCGCTACGCTAATAATAGCAGCAATTTTTCACTCCCAGCGGCAACTCTACATAATCAGAGTAGTAAGCTTGACAGGGGAGCACAACAGGCCTCAACTAGTGCAATGAGCCCGTAACTTGTTTCCTAATCGGGTATGCAGCGTGTTGGCCCGCAGTGGCTGTGATCGGACGGAAGCTTGTTTTGGGTTCGCCAGTCAAAAGTGCCGCCTTACGTACCCAGTTCCTTGCCTGTAGCCTAAGCTTTTACAAGCTTTGACTGATATGTTAGGAACTATGCTAAATTCGGAAATCATTTAGTAGCTGACCCTTATTATTATTGATATCATTGTTCTTTCTCAAATCATAAAATCACATGGGAGGCAAATTCTCTTTTATTTTCCTAAAAGGCGGTGGCTTGGCTGTGACAGCCTCTCAAGCCTTCTCTTACATACATCATTATTCGCATCTTCCACAACACGACTCATACACAGCTAGATCACATCAAGTCAATAGTAACGGAGTCGAGTAAAATGAGAAGAATTCCCCGAAGTTTGTTAGCCGCTCTGCTCTGTATAACCGCGTCAAGTTTTAAAGGTAATTGCGTGAATCTCATCTTAGTTTTCGAGATGCAATATCATCTGCTAATTGCGTACAAAACAATAATTATGCATATCCAATAATCTGCTTATTCTTGCTTCAGTCGCAATCCCCTAGACCTTGTTAATATCACCCCCCTCATGGAAATAGTAGGAGCCCGACTCGACTGTACCAACTATGTTATTATATTGCACTGGCTCGAAGCAATAATTAAGGAAACGGCCATCGAAAAACGGCGCATGTGGCAGTTTGCAGAGGAAAGCCTTGAAATATAAAATGAAGAACATTTGCACTACACGTGATCGACGGTTCTAGCCAACCAATACGCGGACATATGAATCATAACCTGTTAGCGGCTACCACTTGTTATGTAAGTGAGAAGCTTGTCTTTACATTACTTACTTCACTGCAACCCGCTATCTGCAAACTAGATTACACTAATATGACAAAAGTTTGAACATAATAATGGATTACACGTTTATATCAGATCAAATTTGGTCATCTTGGGGGTCGCCCGTAGATAATGCTAGATTAGTGTTGATCTAGGGAGGGCTCGTATACCTCGTTCACTCTAATCCTGATGACTTTGCCTTCCCTTCTCGGTCAGCCGGCGAGAAACTTGAAAAGGACTGGATTGACCATATCTTCTATTGGTCTTCACCGCCTTGCAAACAGCGTCCTCACGCTCTCTTCTCATCTTCAACCATCTCATATCTTCTGAACTGATTATCAGAGACATCGAGGACTCATAAAGCGTCGAGTGCAAACCATATCTCATTAGATACTGCGATGTCCTTTGCTTCGCCTACGTTCTCAGTCAACACACAGTTCTGAAATATTCTCGCTACCTCTGTTATCATCACTATGGCTACAACAGAAACAACGCGCAGCCTGTTAATGAATCTTCCAAAAGAGTTAGTCCTCGAGATCGCAGAATTTCTCGACTTACCAGAGCTCAACTCATTTCTATGTACGTCACGGGCGTTGTTCAACACCCGTGATTCGTATCTCTATAAACGCGCTCGAGCCCATTTTTGTGCCAACGAACATAGTGTCATTGTGTGGGCTGCAAGGAAGGGTCACCCATCGGTAATCCGCAAAGTTCTAAGGCTTACTGATGATGGCTGAATTTCACCCGAGGTGAAAAGTAAAGAACTCGCAGATCTGTCTCTCTACACCGGCTATTCTCCAAGTCTAAGGACTAAAGGCAAAATTGGCGTATTGCTGGAAGCTACACGTAATCGCCATGAGAATGTTATCAAGCTTCTCCTAGACATTGGGTTACAACCGGACCACACTGATACCGGAGAAACTGCTCTTCATTTTACAGCCTATTCCGGCCAGGAAAATGTTGCAAGAGTACTTCTAGACCATGGTGCTAATGTATCGGCCGTGAATGGAGCGAAGACCCTGCTGGCATTGGTCCTAACTTACAACAGATTAACCATGGTGAAGCTATGCATAGAAAAAGGTGCAGATCCGGACGCATCTGCAGGCGGGAAGACAGTTTTATGGGCTATCCCTTAATTTGAATGTTATCGATCTAGGAAACCCGACGAATTTTCCGACTATAATTATTCCTATTCAGGGGCTAGATATTGGTTGCGAAAATGTCGCTGCAGTAAATACACACGATCAGATAGTTGATTGAAGGTGTGACTTTTGCGGGCACATGTTGTAGCTGGAATTAGCAACGGAATTCAGAAAAAGTATTCATCCACCATGTGAAAATCGGACTAACAGGCACTTCCATGTCACTTCTGTCATTCTATGGTACATACATACACTGCCGAGCCAATCAAATGTCAGATGTAAAGCGGTTCTGTGAAAGGGAGATAAAGTATGATATCATAGAAAACCAATTTTGCATTCTAAACCAATCGCTGATCCCCTCAGGCTATGCATTGTGTACGAAGTATACAATGCACACCTCGCTAAAGTATTGTCTGCAGTTTATTAGGGGTTGCTATAAATCGTATAGGAATTCCTGAAACCCATAGATGTTCCTGCAGGGTCCAACCCTGTGCGGCCATGAGATGGTGATGTCTCACCGTATTTTCAGCCACACATGATCCATTTGGGGAAGACATACCTTATCGAGAGAAGTCGGTCTAGGTTGAACTTTCAGCTCTGGCACTCGATATCACTTTGCGGCATTGATACTCACCCAGAGCCAGCCTTTTATAATCCTGGATGACCAATCGACCTGTGCTGCGGATGTTACTAAGGGGGGCTGGCTCCGGCGACGGATATCAGGGCGCGCGCTTGCTAACTAGTGATGCACCTGCCTAACCGGACAGCCTTGTTTGAGACCCAAAAGAACAAGAAACTTTCGCAAGCCTTGCTGCGTTCGGAGGCTTGGTTGGCAGTAGTAGTTTTGCGCCAATGCGCGTAACACCATATTGGACCAAACCGGCAATTTAGTTAGGATCGGAATCTGCTCCCCTGGAAAAACTTAGACGCATAGTCGCACCGAATCTCATGGATTCAATTTACAAACCCATGCCCAAGAGAATGAGGCCTACCCAATAGAGGGCACTCGATAATATAATATACGCTGTGGTTATGCCCCTGGAGGGATGGCGAGCACTATTTAAAAACTCTCAATGCTGCTGGTAAACTAGCTTAATCTTCCAAGCATCCTTCAAAAACATTCAAAATGTCCAACAGTAATAACCAAGCAAAGAAAGACCTAGGTCACCATTCGACAGCGACAGGACCGATGCCCATAACATGCTCGGACTGCGGTACGAAATACAACCGTCATTCTGATTTCAAGCGGCATATCACACCCAAAATAGAGTGTCCAGTTGAATTCTGCCATAATTCGTATCGATCCGACAAGAAGAATCAATTCATGAATCATATGCGAACCATGCATTCTGAGATTGATGCTCCGAGTTGCGAGAGATACTTTCAAAGTAAGAAACTCCTACAGCCGAATATGAAGTGTTCACTGTAATAGTTATAATAGGAAGCATACTGACAAGCTAAATCGCGCAGCAGACAAGGATCGATCCATACCTCTGCCAGGACTATGTCTATCGGGAGATCTAGAAAGGATTCACGCTGTTCAATCGCCCCAATCCCTATCCGTCCATGGCCATGTCTCGGCCATGCCTACATACGATGACGGCTTCTCGAATGAGCAACCTTCAAACACCCTCGACCACGGACCTGAGAGAATACCTCTGTTGCTTGAGCCAGGTAACTCGTCTACAAATTTTCCGACCACGAATCGGTTTGGACAATCTTCAGATACTGCCTTGCTTGATGAGTACAGCGTGCAGGAGAGTCTATATGACCCAGTGTTTGGATCAATTGATAATTTGAATGATATCTTCTCAGATGATGCCTGATTGCACTCTGCTCCACATCTATCCTATCAATACCAGGCGCCTAATTTTATGGGTGCAGCGCAGATAGACCCCTAAGTCTCTCTACAACGCTACTTGCTAGGCTAGATGACATTCTATAATGATCAGAGCCCGTGGGTATTTTGTTGCGCGTAGGAACTCTAAATCATTATGTCTTGTATGTTTGGAAACGACCTCAAAATCAAAAATTTCTCTCAGTAAACGTTATGCAGGCATATTCTATTCTTCTTATTCTACCCACCTCATATATACCAGAGTAGCACGCGACATTATCAATCCGCACGCAAATTGAACTTTAATTTCGCATTAGTTGGCTCATATTGGTAACCGGCACCGAGGATTAGAGCTGATGTAGCCAGTAAAGATATCCGCCTGCTTCATACTCGATTTCGTAACATGTGAATTACCATCTTGGATTAGAGAGTTTTAGTGGAAATACATTTCCTGTCTCTAAAGTCACTCTGAATATCTGAAGTTATTATTGTTCCAGAAAAATCCGAGATATCTTGGAATCGTACGGTGCTGGCTACCATGCCATTCGGTCTACCCAGTATAATGCTAGCCGTAGCCCTAAATGATCATGAGTTATAGGATGCGACTCACTTTGTGCTGGATGATCCGATCAACTATTATTCGACACTGCTATTAAGCTTGACCAGACCAATCCGGAACGATATCTTAGTGGCTGGCTGTGCATATGCAGGCACACAGCCTCGCGCTGAATCGCCTAACCCCGCCTGAATACAATGCGCATTTGCGCAAACCGCGAGTGCGGATGTCGATCGGCAAAAAATCATCGCCCAAGAGAAATAAAAACAATATTCAAGTCTGAAATTAGTTCACTTTCATCTATTGATCTGATCTCGATTGTTCCTCGGATTTGCCAAAATGGAATCCAACCTACCTGTCTCCTCCACTGAGGAGACAGACGAGTTGACTTTCTTCCCAAGCCTAAATTCGCCCCGGAAAGGCCCCTCCTCAGTCGTGTTTACTGACTCTGGTTACTCATCAGCTGCTTCATCAGTGGCACCACTGGCAGAGCGATTGATGCGGAATACTTTCCCATTAGATCTCCACACAACTTCGGAAATAGGCTACAGCTACGAAATACACGACCCACCTTCTCTTTTCCCCGAGAATGACCTGCAAGCAAGATCTGAATCTGAGTTTAAAAGCTATGGTACATGGTTTGACCATGTTCATGATGTTGATCCCGAGTCTTACAGTCTTACAAAACATGATGAATTGATGGCCAGTAAAAGTGACTTGATAGAAGATAAAAGTGAAGCGATGAGAGCTTTTGATGAGACCCTCTTTAAAATCAGATACGGTACTGCAGCTCATAAGTTTCTGACTGGAGGCCATGCGGATCAACCCCCTGCATTTTCGGATCCCCCATCGGGTTCTTGGCTAGATACAAACACTTCGAGGAGCATTCTTCCAGACCCAATTACTACTATTCCGTCTCCCTTGCGGGTTTTGCTTGGTCGCATGGTTGAAAAGACAGATGAATATAGAGCGGATCACATTCCATATTTCGCAGAGTTTCCTTCTCAGGATGATCTGACGCTCGTGATGGAAAACACAGCTGGAGATGCTGCAGTTGCTCAGAAAGGGAAATTATCACTACTATTAGATCGAGATCGAGCTCGATCTCGTAGTGATGGATCCTGGCCATCTAAGGATTTCTGTGAGGAATGTAGACAGGGGAAAAAATCGGTATGGCCTCCCCTAGTACAGATAATCATAATGACAAACTAGCTGGAGTCTAACTTCGTCAATATATTAGTGCTGGCATACAAATAAATTGAAGTCTTTGAACGGGAGGGAGATGGATGACAAAAGAAATTCTCTACCCAAGAAACCTGCGATAGAGGGTATTCCAAATACATATTCATCAATGAACCGGCCCCCTCCCGTTATGGAACAAAATGATTCGAATTTCATCACACCAGAATTGCCGAAAAGTCCCTTTAAAAATACGCCGGGGAAGTCTTCAACAGAAACCTCGGCCCTAACAGAGACATTGGAAAGCACTCAAAACCCAATTATCGCGGTGGCCCCTTTGGGTCAGTACCAATATGGTAAAGATAACAGCAGAGTATTGAAAACAAGCGGCCTGATTCCTCAAATCTCCGAGGACAAGAGTCATTCAACAGCCGCAATAGAAGAGGGTTTTGATGTAGCTACTGAAAGCCATAAACCCCGCCTTCAGCCATTATCTGATGTTATCGATATCTCAAAGATCTCTGGATATACCCAAAACAATCTTACGAGATATTTCTTGAGCACACCTATGACTATAATGGAGAAAATAAGGGCTATTCATTCGCCATTAGAATTGTCAGACTTAGATTACCTTCGAACTTTATCCACACAAAGGCGTTCAGGACAACCCAAGAATATCACCCAGAATCAAACGAAATATGTTGGGTACGAGGCAAGCAAAGATAAAGAAACTCATGGTGAAAATCAAGATCAACAAAGCTCTTTAATGAGCGCTCACAGTAATCAATCTTCGACCATAACCTTCAGTGTGAGACAAGAAGATTGTCCGACCCCATCAACGGTTTTGGACGAGGACATGGCAGATACTGAAGAAGAGCTGTCTGATGCTGAAACATCTCTTTCTTCCGGGGATTCCTCGATGTCTTTATGGCCACCTAGCCCCAACTACACAGAAAGAAATGGTCTTGTCTCCTCCATAATAGATGAATCACGGAGATCAATTGTAGACCGATTAATGCTGGAAGTCCGTGCCCTTCTCGATCGAGAAGTTAGTATCAGGAGCAGAACCGGCAGCGGGCAGTCGTCAAGAGAACATTCTTCTCAACAAAGCCCAGCTGGGGAGAGTAGGGAGAAAGAAGGAAGTAGCTGGAAGCGCCCCAGAAACGATGACTCTAGTTCAAAGAAGTCTGGGGATGATACGAGAGATGGCAGTCCAACCAAGCATCAGAAGACCAATGTATCCACTCCAGATGATAAGCTTCGGAAATTAGCTTGCCCATATTTTAAACGAAATCCGAATGCACATAGACAGAACAGATCATGTGCTGGACCTGGTTGGATCTCTTGTCATCGAGTCAAGTATGGCCTTCCTTCATTGGGATACTGCAGAGCTAATACATTATAGAGAACATATATATCGTAGGCATAAGCTTCCCATCCGGTGTCCCAGGTGCTGCGCTACCTTCCAAAGCGAGCAAGAGCTTTTGGGTCACTTACGGCAGCCGGAGGGTTGCCCTGTACAACAAGCAGAACCAATTGAAGGCATTGATAAGACCAAAGAAGCACAATTACGAATCCGCAAGAAAGCTGTTGGGACTGAGGAGCAGCGGTGGAAAAAAATGTTTCTTATTCTGTTCTCCGACGATGATGAGAACACGATCCCGTCTCCATGTAAGTTCTTTACTTTAGATTTTCTGAGCCCGAAAGCTGATGACATTCCAGACTACGATGCATATGACTCGAGCAGAAATTTTGACCAGCTTATCGGCTACGAGCGCTACCTTTCCCGGGAGCTCCCACGCCTAGTCAGGACCCGATTTGAAGTTATTGTTCAAGGGGCATCAGCACTACTCGAAAGTGAGATCCGGAGCCAGCTACCCGACGTCGTACGAAACTGCCTTAGCGAACTCTGGGCAGCATATGCTAAGAACCTAAATTCACAGATCTCTTTTATCAATATCCGTAGCAACGAACTTTCTAGCGATTCCGCACCAGCAGCAGAGCTAGACGAGCCGCCAACAGATGAACTAGCAGATATCAATGCGTTCTATCAACCTACACCTATTGCAGACGACGATATACCAGAAAATGACTTGTCATTCGGGGCCAATGAGAACCTTCACACTGAACTGTGCCCTCCTTTCAGTCATGCGGCTTTCTCCGACTCTGCATATGGGTCCCAACGTACGCCCCAGAACACCAATTTCACAAATAGGCTCGACATGTTTGGACAGAATGACTTTGTTGACAGCCAGTTACCTGATCAAACGCCCGAAGATTTGTCAATCCTCCCAGTGTCTGACCCTCCTGCAGCAGATACACAGCAGGACGATCATGACCAGTTGAATAATATGGAATGCTGGTATAAACCACTAAATGACACAGAGCCTTGGAGGAGCTACACAAACCATGACTGGACCCAATTGGAAGAATAGGGTTGCTTTCGGGAAACCACCTGCACAGCAGTGAATTTTATATATAAAATGTGTTTAAATGTGCGGGGTGTTCACACAAAATCGCGTGTACAGATTTTCAGTAACGCTGAGCTTCGGCTGATTATTATAGTTGAATGGGATAGCTAGAGAGCAGAAGAGGAAGGTGGGAATTTAACATATAACGCACATAGAACGTTTAACATGATCGAGACCTTCCAATGTTAGGCAAACATTTAAAAACACGAAACTGGAGCTGATGATCAACTAGTCAATCAACAACAATCGTACTTGAAAGTTGAACCTGATCTAAAATTTTGAATCTTATTTATACGCAATATCATACAGCACAATTGACCTCAAAACACATCTTGAACACACAATCAAAAAGAAATAAGTATCTTCGACAGAATCAAGGCACCACGCCAATACCCAAAAAATGTAACTTAAAAGAAACGTATTTTCTGCGTCTATTCAACACGTAGGACTGGCGGGCCTCTTCTCTTCGAGCTCTTCTTCTTCTTATGGCCCTTCTCAAACGCCACGGCGCTTTGGTGGTCACGGCCAACGTTATCTAATGGTTTCACCTTGTAGATACGGATAATCCAGTTCTCGCTGGTGAATGCTTCCTCGACGGTGCTCAGTTGGGGGCCTTCGGTGGGGAGCCGGGAGCCGCGGACGCGGTCTTGAGCTTGGCCGGCGGGGAAGAGCTTGTTGAAGTTGTAGTAGGACATTTTGTACCTAGAAACAGAATTAGGAAGGATATAAGTAGTGTGGGGAGGGGAGGGGGCTTACATCATGCTGTTGCGCATGGTAGGCGTAGCCTGGTCATCGACGCGGTACTCGCCGCGAGAAGTGAAAAAATCTCGCTCCTTCACCTCATCCGGCCAGATACCCTCTGCAATACGAACCATCCACAAGAATTTGTTGATGTCGTCTCCAGAATACCCGAGTAAACCTCCAAAGACGACCAGGATGTAGTCCACATCGTGCTGGCGAAGGATCGGGTAGCTGACTTCTTCGCGTGAGCTCATGGCTTTTCCGACAGTAGCAATGTGTGTGTTGTTCCAGGTGTTGTTGTCAACCAAGGTTGGGCGATCGGCCATGCCTCCAATCTGGTAGCCGTAATCCCACCAGGACATGATCTTCGCATTTTGAGGGGTGTTCTGGCGGAGCCAGTAGTATGCCTCACGGTAGTCGTCGATGATGTATTGGCTTCCATCTGGCATGCGGCTAGCCAAAACAACAGACGGGGAGGAATAGGCGTTGGAAGTGACCCAAGTGCAGTGAGCAACGAAAAGGAGGAGATATCCGATGATTGCAGAGGTTGTGAAGGCCTTGGAAAAGGACGACGAGATACCGTAAACAGTACCGCGCTCTGCTCGGAGACCGCTGTCTGTAGTCTTGGCTGCACTGGCGTCTTTGGGTGGCTCGGGCCTCTTGATAAGCAGATAGGTGTCCAAAACATAAGACAGAATCAAAGCAGCCGCAACACACACGATCGGGGTGAGGGTAAGCATTAAACGGACCATGACGCCGGCAAAGTAGCTTGAAAGAACAGCGTAGATGACGACGAAAACGTGCTCGTCACGCAACTCGCGGAAACACATGTAAACACCGGCAGGGAAAAGCCAGATCAAGAAATTGAGATCGAAGAAGAAAGCTGGCCAGGCTGTCGGTTGATGTTCGGACACGGATGCAATAATTGGGATGTGGATCTTCGCGTATCCTGTGTCCCATAGAGAGTAGAAACGACCACTCCATGGTGCAATGACACCAGAAACAGTAAGACCGACGAGCCCGAGGAATGAGACACCGAAGACTAGCAAAATCAGAGAAGTCAAAAGTGTCTGGAATTGTTTTCCAGGAATCTGAGCCCGGAGGAAGTCAACGAAGGCGACAAGTTGGATTAAACCAAAGACACCTATTTTTTTGTAAGCATTGGAAGTTGAAATTTGTCGGTGGAATATACCTAGGGCAGCCATGTGGTCACTGCTACGGATTGGCAAGAAACCAACGAAGGGGATCTGCATGCTTGCCAATGTTCCTAGGGCGTACCAAGTAGTGTAGCTGATATACAAGCGCGAGCTGTACCGTCCCATACACACAAGAACAAAAATGTGGAGAGGGATCAAGTTTGTGATGAAGACATACCCACCCCAAGCAGACACCATGTAGCCGTAGAATAGGGCAGTCAAAGCTCCCCACATGATAGAGCCGCCTTTTACTGCCTTGATCCATAGGTAGAATGTGAATACCAAAAGGAAGATGGCAATAGCCTCGTTGTCGTAACTTCCGGCAACCGATCGTGAAATATATCCAGGGGCAATGCCCATAAAAATAGCCGCCAATAGACCAGCAGAGGGCGACGTGGACATCTCGTTGGTCAAGAGGTAAGTTGCCAATGCAGTCAGACCAGAAAAGGCGGGGGCGAGTAGCACGCAAATGTTGCGAATGTCGACGGGGAGGGAAATGAGTCGCAAGAAATGGTAAATAGCACCACTAGTTACCATCAGACCAGGATACAGCGTTCCACCAGTAACACGTCCCAAAGGATGCCATGTTCCTAGGATTATCAGCATTGACAGCAGCACCAGAGTTCGAATACGTACGGTCATCGAACCAATCCCAGAAGCTGTAAAATCCATGTTGGACTAGATGTTTAGTGGCTCTAAAGTTGAACCAAGGGTCGACTAGAAATCATCAGCAAGTCGTTCATGGCGGCGGGATCGTCTCGGTATATTGGGTTGGGAAGTCACGCACACTCGTGAATAATACTCTCAAAACCTAAAGTACTAGTTAGTATCCTAGTTTCTGGGACTAGCATCTCAATTGGAGCTGGACGTACGAATAACACTGAAAAGTCGACTGGCGACAGCGGCTGCGGCAATGGTTCCTAGAATGACGATGCGGAGGAGGCCACGTGTGTTTCTTCCCGTGTTTCCCTTCAAAAAGGGATCAACTGCAGTGGAGGCCATGAAGGCCGGAAATTTAGGGAATCAATTTGAAATAAAACCAATCTCACGGCACGGAATTGATCGTGGGTGCATTGGTTGTTGTTGTAGTTGCAGGACGGAGAAGAGGACAGCTCCGCCAGGTGGTCTTTCCGGGGCTTGGCGAATGAAAGCTTAGCTGCGTTGCAGATGGGGCAGGTTACGTATTCGCTATCGGCATACAATTATTATTTCTTGAGAGATATTTAGTTTTATCATAATCAAAATTGATGTATTTAACTATCAAACTGCATTTCTCAAATTAACCACAATACAGGATAAAAGGAAGAAGCAGATAGTAGTTCATTATGAGCTTGCTGGTCTATTCCCTTTTGGTGCTAGGTGCTCTTTTGCACACTATATATGCATTATTCTATACAGCTGTCTAGTCACCTACAATAGCAGTGTTTATAGAAGAGGTATTTCAACTCGTAGAGGGGAGCTGGGAAAGAATGAAAAGTATTATTTGCATTCTACAAGACTACCCACTGCTCTGTAAATCGAAGCTGTATAGGAATAGATCTCCAATTAATTAGAGAAAATTATATATACATATATATATATCCCAAAGACAAATAGAATCTAAAGCATCATATTAAAAAATAGCGAAATAATGATTTGAATGTATGGTTGTGCCTGGAAAACAAGGCACCACCTGCCCCCGCATTGTCTGATATTCCCGCCGCATCAAAAGGGCCTGGATGCAAACAATCCAAATACAACCCCAGTCTAATCTTACATCATACACCTTCAATATTAGGGAAGTCTTTCACCCAACAGCGCTCAACCTGAGAACATCAATTTATCGCGCACACGGGAATATGGAGGAACCGCCCTTATCGCTGAGACAGCTGGGCATAGTGCTCTCGGAAGCTCCCTCACATGAAGCTCTGTACGACAGCCTCAGCCAGTACGAGGACGAGGCGTGCCTGCAATTTACACATGCCCAAATACTTGGGGATGAAAAGCTGCTCAGCGCCTACTACTCATCATTTCTCATCTCACACCTTCTCACCAACCAGATGTCAGCTGCTCATTCTCCGAATTTAGAGGTGTTGTTATACTAAACGGATCTAGACAAGAAGCTCGTGCTTTAACAAAGCGCATGCCACCAACCCTGCTCAAGAGCGACGAGGTGCTGCGATATAGTATTGCGATTCTACGCGCAGTCTGGCAGAATCAATACCACGAGATTTATCACCTTTTAAGGAATCAAACCTGGCCGGAGCCAGTTAATGTCATTGCCAATAAATTTGATGGTTAGTCTTCATCATTGGAAACCTGGCAGCTGCTAAATTGTTTTATTTATAGCATTTTTCACCGAGAAAACGTTTAAAGATGTCAGCCGAGTCTACGAATCCATCAGACCCGAGGCCGCAGCGGAATACCTTGGTTTAGAGGAGCTTGTACAAAACGGCGCGGGAAGTGAACCGAGCGCAGAGTTGATTCAGACACTCGTTCAGAGAGGATGGGAGTGGGATGATGAGAAGAGGCTGTTTCAACCGCACTACCCTGAAGAGTCACTGAAAGTTGGAGGGTTAAATACAAGATTGCATGGGATAAATCGCATTGCTGGTTTGGCAGGTAACCATGGGAGCTGACGGTTATCTGAACGATAAGTACTATTAAAACGAGGACGGTGGTCCAAAACCAGAGCCCAAAGCTTGGTATTGTCTTATTACACCATCCTTGCTGTGCGAACAGCCACTACTGGGAAAAAGTATACCAAGAGGATAATAGTGAAACAGAATCGTTATTGAAAGAAGACAGAATGAAATTACCGCAGGTCCCCTAGAATACAATCTTTGCGATCCCTGTCCTTCGCGGTCAACCGTAGTGTATAGTGTACAGACAGTATTGAAGACCAGGGTATGTACAAAGATAGCAATAATGGTCTATCATAATGGAAAATTCTTTTCCCTTTCGCTCGCAATGTCAGATGTATCGAAGAAAACAAAAGAGACGGCTTGAATGATACAAATATGGCGGTCGACCGGATTCTTCGAAGTATGCCGTATCATACCTTAAAAAGTAGGTATGTTATAAAACGTCACGGATGGCCCATCTATTAACCGCACCTTTTCTCCCACCAGCAGCAATATACCATTTATTTCTCCGCAGCCTTTGCGAGCAGGAAAGCCTCTAGGTCGAATTTGGGATCATTGGGATCTGTGATGACTGTTGATTGTCAGTGTGAATGGCCCTTCAAATCAATTATCGTATATGGGCCAGGACAACATACGTCCACTCTTGGTCTCTACTGGTGGCGCAGTTTTCCGGGCCCATTCAGCCTTGGCCTTTTGGATCAATGACTCTTTGTGGTGGTATTCTCGCTGCTTTTCAGCTTCCTTGGCCTGGGTGTTCAAAGAGGACTGGTGCCAGACACCGTAGAACAAACCGCCAAGGAGGGCAGAGTATCGCAGAACCTAAACATGCCCGAAAGATTTCCGCGGTTAGTGATCCGTCGCACTGCTAAGTGAATAGTATTTATTGCTGGCTGTCGTCCGACACTTACATTGACACCTTGCGAAGCCATGGTGACAGTAATCGAAGATCCCACGCCCGGAGTGAGGATTTAGGCCAACAAAGAAAGAAGAAAGCTGGTCACTAGATACCAGCAAGCCGACTCGTGAGGCGGATCAGGGTATCTAGGGTCAATGGCTGTCTTCCAAGGAATGAATCTTCCTGTCAATTACTCGTCTTAGAGAAGTTCCTGTCGCGAGTTTTTCCGGGCCGCCCGACGTTGCTTGATCGAGCCGACGCCGGCTTATGTCATCCATACAAACGGTGCCAAGCCGAGACAGGCACAGCTCCTCTGGCATTACTATATCGCTGGCCGTGCCTTTTTGACTTGCAGCAGTAATAATAATAATCTCCAGCCAACCACCACCATGCAGGCTCGCAAAGACGAGATTCTGGCCAAAAAGGCAAAGCTCGCCGAACTCAAGCGCCAGCGAGAATTACGCCAGAGGGAGTTCAGTCAGAACAGAGCCAGCATCGGTGATGCTTCGGAGGTAAACACACCCACCTAGCCAGCCGCGTAAGAACGCAAACTAACCACTTTCCACATCTAGATAGTTTCGCCTGTGCCCAGTCGGACAGATAGCAGAGCAGAGCTTGACAGTCTCATTTCACGGCTTGTCGACCGACCGTCTTCGACATCGTTCAAGGACGGAGATGGACCCTCACGAAGAGGCAGTCGGCCAAACTCGGTGCTGAGTGCTAGCCAATTAAGCGGCGAGAATGCAGAGACATATTCACCTTCTACGCGGATGGTATCGCAGTCTATCGCCACGCAGACTGAAGCTACTGGGCCCATTGTTGCAGAACCAGCACCAGCCCCTGAACCGAAAAAGGAGACGGTTACGTATAGTAAAGCTGTGCAAACGGATGATCTGCCGCCACATCCAGCTACAGCAATAGATATTCCATTAGATGCGGAGGATGAGCCTACTTCGCCGTCAGGCAAAAGACTGAGTCGCAGAGGGCGTGAGCGCGATGATGAGATCCGCGAAAGACTCCGTAGAGAAATCGAAGAAGAGATCCAAGCATCCCAGCAGGTCAACGGAGATGCGGCCGCCTCGACACAAGTCAGATACCCTCTGCGGACACTGAACGATGACGAGCTGAATGCCGTTACTTCTTCTGGTGACTTTTTGGATTTCGTGGAAAAGTCAAGCAAGGTTATCGAACGCGCCCTGGACGAGGAATATGATATCTTGGCAGACTATGAGCTTGGAGGAATCAATGCGGAGGACGAGGATGAAGATGAATACGGCAAGAAGCGAAGGGGGATTAAGGAAGTGGCACAATTCTACGACGAGCGATGGAGCAAGAAGCGAATGATCAGTGATTTGAGTTTCTCACCAAAGGTCAGTTTCAGTATATTTCCTCTGACGGGACGAATAGCTAATGTGTTCTGTAGTTCCCAGAATTAGTCCTTGCTGCATACACGAAAAATCCTACTGCGCCGCACGAGCCTGATGGTCTGCTTCAAGTATGGAACCAACATCTTCATTCACGCCCAGAATACGTATTCCACTCTACGTCCGATATCCTTGCTGCAAAATTCTCGCCATTCCATCCCAATCTTATTGTCGGTGGTACATATTCCGGGCAAGTTCTGCTATGGGACACAAGGTCAAGTCGCGCAGGAGGCGGCGCCCCAGTTCAGAAAACACCGCTGACTGGGGCTGGACATACACACCCTGTCTATAGCATCGCCATAATCGGCACACAAAACGCACATAATATTTTAACGGCATCTACAGACGGCGTCGTCTGCGGTTGGACAGTCGACATGCTGTCCCAGCCTCAAGAATACCTCGAACTGACCACCCCCCCGCCATCAAAAACAGAAGACCTAGCCCCAACCACAATGTCCTTCCCCCAATCCGACCCAACATTCTTCCTCGTCGGGACCGAAGAAGGCGGCATATACCCGTGCCACAGATACGACCGCGCTGGCGCCAAAGCCGGCACCGATCAACGTCTCGCCTACCGCGGCCACGCCGCCCCCGTCATGTCCACGGCCTTCCACCCTGCCCGCGGACCCGTCGATTTTGGCGACCTCATGCTCAGCTCCAGCCTTGACTGGAGCGTGAAGCTCTGGCGCGTGCGACCGCCCGCCACAACTGCCGCGTCCGCCACTAGCCTCGCCTCAGGCCCGCAAGTCATCTCCCCATTGCTCGACATCAACCGCGAAGACGTCGTCTACGATGCGAAATGGTCACCACACCGACCCGGCGTATTCGGCCTCGTCGACGGCGCTGGCAACGTCGAGATCTGGGATCTCTTCACCGATACCGAGGTCCCCGCCGTCAAAGCCCAACCCTCGCGCGGCCGCGGCGGAGTCCTAACCCGCAGTCTAAACAAAATCGCATGGGAAGAGCGCGAAGGCAGACGCCTCGCAACAGGCGGGCTGGACGGAGTCGTTACGGTCTTCGAGGTCGGCAAGGCGCTTAGTGGACCTGTCGAAGAGGTGCCATCGGAAGAATGGACGGGTATGAAGCGGCTTGTAAGTAAACTGGAGCAAACTGATCGGGTGATATAACCAAAATAAATTGATACCATACATATGTATTGATGGTTTGGGGTTATAAAGAAGGAGATCTTGGTTTTTGTGTATCTATAGTTAGCAGTATACCCCATGTATCACTCGGAACATATCATCTTATATTTGTTTAATTTGGCTCTATTAATATCTTCATTATACATATGTATTAAATTCATTTAATCATAGCTTCTATGAATATTCTAACTGACTCGTAAACATGGTCTAATTCATAACTCATGGGTCTGCATCCCCCAAACACCATCTAAGACAGTACCACCATGCATAAACCCAACACTCTCGTACTCGCTCTCTGGGTACGTTATTTCAATATGTATATCTAAATCCCAACTGCCCCTCAAGAATCAACTTCCCCGCCTTCTGCAACCGATTCGCCAACCAAAAGTGGCCCGTAAACGCCAGCACAATCAGCACCATCAACACATGCGAACCAATCGATACCCACACCGCCGTTGGATACCAGGGGGCTTCCTGCTGCCTCACAATAAAACTCCCGGCAATCCCACCAAGCCCATTACACGCCGTGACAGCGGCAGCAATGGTCGCGCGTTTCCATTGGCCTACGATATTGTTCGCTTGGTACGCATTTAGCGCCGCCCAGTTCGACACGTACGCGCCTGTGGCCAGATACGTGCCTATGTACCGCACTGTTACCTGCGTGGAGGATTGCAGGCCGAACATTAGAAACCCCGCGATGAGGACCAGGGCGTTGAAGGTGATTAGTGGGGCGCGGAGGCGGAATTTGTCGCCGATTAGCGATGTGAATAGCACAGGGATGACGGCCCAGTAGTACGGCTGGAAGTGTTAGAACTTAGATGGTAGCAGATTTTGGTGAAAGGGGGGAGGGACTCACAGGCGCAGACAGCACGATGCTAGCGTTTTCCGAAAAGCCCATTCCAGCTTGCAGAATGATGGGAAGGAAGTACGACATGGACGTCGAGACGAGATTCAAAAGGAAGAAGAGAACCGAGAAGCCGTATAATTTCGGATCAAGGAAATTCACGAATATCTTCTTCCATGAAAATGGGTCGGGGATGGCATCGCCTCTATCCGCTCGGATGCGTTCTAGGGCGAGCTGGGTTTCAGATTCAGAGAGGAAGAAGAAGGAGTTTTTGGCGGCCTTTTCGGGGAAGTCGATCATCCACCAGTACGTAATGATGCCGAGCAGGCAGGTGATTAGCCCCTGGACGATGTACATCCAGCGCCAGCCAGCGAGGCCGGCGCGGCCGTCGAGGTGGTTGAGGCCGTAGTTGACGATGTTGCCAGTGGCGAGCACGAGTACTTCTCCGGATTGCATGAAGGCGAAGCGCAATTGCTGCTCCTGGCGCGTGTACCAGGTGCTGATGAGGTAGGTGAGGCCCGGGTAGATGCCGGACATGGAGATACCGAGGAGCACGCGCAGGGCGATCATTTGGCGCCATGTTTGCACGAAGGCGGAGCACAGCGTGATCAGGCCGAAGCAGAAGGTGATAAGGGCGAACCACAGGCGCGGGCCCACGAAGCGCACAGCGATGGTCGAGGGGAGTTGGAAGACCACGCTGGCGACTGTGAAGATGAATATGGAGACGGAGTAGCGGTTTCCTTCGAGGCCTAGGTCGGTGATCATGCTCGTCACGGAGGCCGAGGAGATGATGCCCGAGTCGAGGAGGTTGAGACTGCATAGGAGCCCGGCGATGGAGCATAAGCGCAAGTCGACTTTGAGACGCAGCTTTCGTTCTAGTTGGAGCTGGGCTTTGCTTTGCTGTTCTTCATCGTCGCTTCTAGGGTTGTTGATCGAGTTTGCGACAGGGTCTGACGGTAGAGCATTTGTGATGTGCTTCTCGTTGTCAGCCAGATGGGCATCCATTGCGATTGTTGGATTAGATTTGACTGTCACTCGCAGTGTCGCCAATGTTGTGCGTCTGATCCCAATCGTGATGGCTGGCTGGAGTTGACTCAGTCTTGCTTTTAGTCCTGCTCTAAGTCTTGTGTAACTGTCGGCGACATTTCCAATCACATGAAGATGCTAAGGCGGCCACATCAATTGATGTGTAGCGTTGATCAAGCCTCATTGGAATATAATTATCTATATTGACATTGATATCAAGTATCAAGTATCAACAATAGATATAGCCCATTCGAGGCTGCATGCTTGTATAATCATGCTTAGTCTTTTCTGACTGGGCGATATAAGCATCAATAATATAATGGTGGACGGCGATCGAACATAGCCGAAGCAGATCTGCGAGCTAGTCTCTCTCTGGTTAATCTGCAACCCTGCAGGATGAGTGAATATTCACATGCATCGTTGCGCGCTGTTGTTGAAGGCAGTCCCATCTGTTCAAAATATTGATGTATGTGGGAGATAGAACGTAGTGATATTATTACTCCTGTTTGATATTTAATATGCGCCTGACGGATGTTCCCGTGCACTGATCTCTACGTTTTCGTGCAAGTAACCATACTTGGTACGCGTTATTATTATTATCATGCTGACATGAGGTGACGGTGGAGCCAGCCCCTGTTATTGTTACTATTACGCTATTGTTTTTATTGTTATACCATGGTTAATTCTTGTTCAGTTGCCTGTCAAGCGGGGCTTATCGTCCCTGGACGCTAACACTACAGAGAAGCATTCGGGCAAACGGAACCTAAGCGGACGAGCGGCCACGACCACGACGTCGACTTCGACCTCGACCGCCGTCGCGCGCCATGTCGACCCAGTAAGTAGCCTTGTTCTCTTTCGTTTTTTCTTTCCTGTGCTGTATTAGCCCTTGCAGTATTTTCTCCCTTCCTATTCCTTGGATGTATCTTGAGCTGCTCTGCTGACCAGCTGGCGGAATCCGCCTCGTCTTCAACTCTACTACTGGACGTTCATAATCAGGACTAACTAACTCAGAATGGTCGAGTTCATACCTCCTCCAGAGCCGCGAGACCTGCTGCCTCCGTTACTGGCCTGCTTGCCCACGGCTTTTGTCTCGACTCGTCCTCCCCCCGCACTTCTCCCCCTCCTGTCCCCCATCCTGCGCCAGCGCGTCCAGATCTTCAGCTCCGTCTCGGACACGCCCTCTGATTCCTGGATCCGCTTACTCTGCTGGGGAGATGTCAAGGCCGACCATGTGTCGCGCATCCTCGATGGCATGGTCTTCGAACCGCACCCTGTTTCGGGAGAGATCGAGGTGCCGGAGGATCTGTCCGTGACTTACAAGCGTGTCGACGAGGAGACACTGCACTCGAAGATCACCCTTCCGGAATACCAGATCAGTCTGTTGTACCTTTGGTGCTCGAATGACCCGGACGGCGCTGGTCCTGGCTGGCGCATTGCGGAGCTGCAGCCCCGCGAAAACGCTGATGACACCCCGACCTGGGCAGACACGATAGGAGATGCGAATGACCGGTCAAGGGAGCAGATCATCGACGAAGCATTGAAGGCTGCAGAAAGTCACCCCGGCGCTGCTGTACAAGACCTGCGTGAGGAACAAGAGGACGACGACGACGATTACTGGGCACAGTACGACAACACACCGGGAAGGACTCCATCCATCAAGACACCTGCTCCTCGCAGCATGGTTCCGCCCCCAGTCGTGTCTGAGGACTTGTACTTTTCTCGCTACGCAGACGTGCAGCCTGCAATGGACAACCACGATCCAGAGGAGGAGGTTGATGAGCCCGGTACATCGACTATCAACGGGGATCTATTTGCAAATATCCTACAACAACACAGTAGAGCGCGGGACATCCAAGACTTTACTGCACTCGCCGAGCCTGAGCATGATCCGGAGCACGCCGAAGCTCTGAGCCATCCTCGACCGTCGTCTGCTTCGTCGGGCTCGGCTGTAGCTAAGCTGGAACTGGAAGCGGAGAGTCAATCGGCGTCGGAGGTCGCCATCAAACAGCATATTGGCACCAGCATCAAGAGCCTTTACCGGCTGGCGAAGACGAGCGGGATGGCGCGACAGGAGTTCCAGCGCCTGATCCGCAACGAGATCGAGCTCCTCAGTTTGTCGGATGATGAATGAGAAATGGTATGATGCGCTGTAGCATCGCAGGTTGTAGAACAGCCATGCACGGAGTTCGGTTTTTGCTTTGTTTATTTGTGATAGGTTTGTGATGTTTTTGGCATATACCTGTTGCATGCATGATATCCTGGCGATCTTGTCATTTACGGATAGTATTACTCTAACTCTATAAACAAAATTAAATGAAGAATAAAAGAATAAAAAGCAGATGAATATTGAATATGATCGGACATGTGCTTGTATACCCACATTGCGTGGATGCTGTCATGTCATTGGGCAAGAACCAGGCCCGCTCCGATAGGCCCGCTCGGCCAAGGACACGCAACAACAACCACTACCCCGTATTGCTGAAATTATATACATCCTTATTGATTCTCCAGCAGCGCACAGCCTCTCCGTCGATTCGACACTCGGTGTCGCTCTCTAGGCTATCTTTCCATTCCTGCAATGGTCCTTGGCATTGCTTAAAACGTGAGCCCGTCCGATCTCTAGCTGAAATAAGCTCTAACATACTGTCTGTGCCGGTTCTTGGCTAACTCGTCGCCTAACGATTCCAGCTTTATTCACCTCCACATTCGCTTAATTCATTCAATTCTTCTTGACTACTGTTATTTTTTCGACGCAATTGCAATTATGTCGTCCCCGGCGTCCCTCCGTAAGAGAGGCGGTGGGAAGCGAGACGTCACCGAACCACAACCCTCCGCTGTAGCTCCCAAGCCTGCTGCTGCATCATCCCCTGCTGCAGCCACTGCAAAGCCTCCCTCAGAATGGGACTACTGGGTTGCTCTCGTTGTAGTGACCGCGCTGGCTTTTGGCACGCGGTTCTGGAATATTAGCTATCCCGACGAGGTGGTTTTTGATGAAGTGCACTTTGGAAAGGTATGCGATGTGGTTGGCCTGGATTAAGTACAGCTGATTGAAGTGTCGGTATAGTTTGCCTCGTATTATTTGCAACGGTCGTATTTCTTCGATGTTCATCCCCCCTTCGGCAAGTTGCTGTTTGCCTTTGTTGGCTGGTTGGTTGGCTATGATGGCAACTTCACCTTTGACAACATTGGCGAATCTTATATTGACAACAAAGTCCCGTATATCGCATATCGTGCCTTACCTGCTACCCTCGGCTCGCTGACGATTCCGGTCGTGTTTGACATTATGTGGGAGTCTGGCTACTCCCTGCCGGCTTGTGTGCTGGCCGCTGGCTTGATGGTCTTTGATAATGCGCACATTGGCGAGGATCGTTTGATTCTGTTGGATGCATGCTTGGTCTTGAGCATGGCGCTCAGCATTCTCTGTTACGTTAAGTTCTATAAGCAGCGTCACAACGAATTCTCGCGCAAATGGTGGAAGTGGCTCCTTTTGACTGGAATCTCCTTGAGCTGCGTCATCTCCACCAAATATGTCGGTGTGTTCACTTTTGTCACCATTGGCTCGGCCGTTGCTATTGACCTCTGGAACCTGCTCGACATTAAGCGTCCTCGAGGCACCATGTCGCTGCTCCAGTTCGGGCATCATTTTGCTGCTCGTGCATTCGCCCTCATCATCGTGCCGTTCTTCTTCTATCTTTTCTGGTTCCAGGTGCACTTTGCCGTTCTCACCAAATCTGGGCCTGGCGACGACTTCATGACTCCCGAGTTCCAGGCGACACTGGCCGAGAATGCTTTGACTTCCAATGCCGTTGATATTAATTACTTTGACGAAATTGTTATCCGCCACAAGGATACCAAGGTATATCTGCACAGCCACTTTGACCAGTATCCTCTTCGCTACGACGACGGCCGTATTTCTAGCCAGGGACAGCAGGTTACCGGTTACCCATTCAACGACACCAACAACGTTTGGCAGATTCTCCCGTCCGCTCCTTTGCCCGAGAACGACGGCGCCGCTCATGTAGTCAAGAATGGTGACCATGTCCGGCTCCGACATATCGTTACCGACTCTATTCTTCTGACGCACGATGTGGCATCGCCTTTGATGCCGACGAACCAGGAGTTTACTACTGTGACCCAGGAATTGGCTGACGGAGAGCGCCATGCTGATACCCTGTTCGAGATCAAAATCGAGAACGGCAAACCTGGTCAAGAATTCCGTTCATTAGCCAGTCTGTTCAAGCTGATCCACGTTCCTACACGAGTAGCGATGTGGACACACCCCACCCCTCTTCCCGACTGGGCCTACAAGCAGGCCGAAATTAACGGAAACAAGAACTCGCTGCAGTCCAGCAACATCTGGTACGTCGAGGAAATCCCCTCGATCCCAGAAGGATCTCCACGGTTGGAGAAGGAGGAGCGCGAAGTTCAGAAACTTTCGTTCGTTCGTAAATGGGCTGAGTTGCAACGCGCTATGTTCTTCCACAACAATGCTCTCACTAGCGAACATCCATACGCAAGTGAGCCCTTCCAGTGGCCATTTATGCTACGCGGTGTCAGCTTTTGGACGAAGAACGACACACGTGAACAAATTTACTTTTTGGGTAATCCTATTGGCTGGTGGTTTGCCAGCAGTTTGTTGTCTGTTTTCGTAGGTATCATTGGCGCCGACCAGCTATCTCTCCGACGAGGCATTGACGCTATTGAAGAGAGTAAGTCACCCTCATATATACACAATATCCACATACTAATCCATTATTACAGTCTGGGGACCCGGCGCTCGTAGCCGCCTCTACAACAGCACCGGCTTCCTATTCCTCTGCTGGGCCGCGCACTACTTCCCTTTCTGGCTGATGGGCCGCCAGCGCTTCCTGCACCATTATCTCCCAGCTCACCTCGCATCCTGTCTTGTCGCTGCCGCTCTCGTCGAATTCATCGCCAGCGTCGACCCCATTCCCCCAGCCAGCACCGACCTCGTGTACGACCCGAAGGACAAGACCAAACCACCCACCGTCCGCCGATTTCGTACGGCAAAGGAGCGTCTAGGCCTTCGCTCTCTGCTCGTCGCCTGGGCCGCGACTGGCGTCATCATGGCCGCCGTCGTGTATTCCTTCCTCTTCTATGCGCCTCTTACCTACGGCACGCCTGGTCTTGATCCTGATGGTGTAAATGCTCGCAAATGGCTCGATTATGATCTTCATTTCGCAAAGTAGATAGCTAGACGGGTAGCCATGTGAATGCGTTCTGTCATGTATCTCGTTGAAATATTTTAGGATTGTCATTCCTTGGTTGGGTTGGGTTTGGTTTGTTGGTTGTATGATAGTGATAACTACTGTGGTGACTAGTTGGTAAGATTGGATATTCATATCATTATTCAAATTGATATTGGTAATACATCATGTAACAACAGGGGTATGTAACAGCATTCTATACAGAAAAAAAAAACATCCTACATTCAGGTTAAAATTGAGTCATCCTCTTCCCAATCTCACTCCTCCACCCCATACTCTTCTCAAACCCATTCTTCGCACTCTGGAAATCCAGCATAGCCTGATAAACCTCCTCCTTACTCGTACATACAAACGGGCCATACTGCACAACCTCCTGATCCAGCGGCATCCCCGCGACGAGTATAAACCTGCTGGCCTTTTCCGCACTTTCTGGCACAGACGCCTCGATAAAATCACCTGATTGCTGGAACACCACATTATGGAACTGCTCAACACTCTTCGTCGCGCTCTCCGTCACAAACTCCGTCGTTCCTTCAAGCGTATACGCAAACGCATTCCAACCAACAGGCAGGACTTGCTTCACATGGCCGCCCGGTTTAATCGTTACATCCAGGAACCACAGCGGCGTATACGCCAGATCGCGCACTGAATCGACGCCATGCGACTGGCCCGAAATCACTTTGATGATCACCTTGCCCCCGTCGACCTCGGCAGTGGGGATCTCGCTCGCCCGCAGGTCCCGATAGCGCGGGTCCACGGATTTCAGTTTCTGTGGTAGATCGACCCAGAGCTGCATGCCGACATTGGGGCTTCCGTCCTCATTCTCGTGCGGCATTTCCGCGTGCATAATGCCCTTGCCGGCCGTCATGAATTGGAGATCGCCGGGCCCGATTGTGCCGCGGTTGCCGGCGAAGTCTTCGTGGTCGACGCCGCCAGAGAGCAAGTACGTGATGGTTTCTTGGCCGCGGTGTGGATGGTCTGGGAACCCCGCGCCTTTGCCGATTGTGAAGTGGTCGAGCATCAGGAAGGGGCTGAAGTTGCGGAGTTTGGCGGTCCCGATGGAGCGGCGCACGCGCGCGCCGGCGCCTTCGGCTTGTTCGAGGGCCTGGAAGGCCATGCGGATGCCGCGTGCGGTGGTCATGGTGGAGGGGAGTAGGGTAGTGGTGGTGGTTGTGGAGGTTATGGTGTGTTGATGTGTGGAGGTTGTGTTGAGGGGGTTAGTGAGTGAGTGGATTATAGAGTGTAGTGTGGGGTGTTTATGATATGATGCTGCGAGGATGATTGCTGCAATGCAAATTGAGAATGACAGGAAGAGCTTCATGAACGAGGAGTAGAGACTTTATAGCCGCGGCAGATCTTGCGGATGAAGGTAGTCGAATGTTCTCGGCTGAGGCAGAATAGTACACGAGATGAGTTCTAAATCCGAGTTTGTTATCGGATGACGATTTGATTCCTTCTTATAAATATTTACAAAGCAGAGAGCTCAAATGTGAATATTAAATGGTGGAAGCGGATGTAGTTGATATTACAAAGATGTCCGTCAGCAGAAGCAGGCTAGATTAGTACGGTATTACGGATATATTACTCAGGAATTGCTAAGAAATGGAAGGATCTCGCTGTATCAGAATACCAGTGGAGCATTCCCGTTGGTGTGATTGGTCGGGATGCACGTCATAGATCCGGCACACGGATATATAACCACGGACATCCATAATTAGTGCCAATATCAAGCAAGCTAATGCGCGACAATTGCTCCCCATCAAGAACATTCTTTTCTTCTGCTCGTCGATATCGCCTCGAAACCTCGACGTTTTCCACTGTAATTTGGTGCGCGCTATCAAGATGAATACCATTCAATCGCTCAATTGCGGCTTCAGCTAGAGCAGTGGTCGGAAATCGTACGATGCAAAAACTGTCTGAATATTAATAATGGTGGCTCCTAGCCTTCGTTGTAGGAATGTACCCTAGACCCATTTGTTGTCCATCAGTAGGCATAAGAATCTTTGTACGGTCGTCTGGTCTGGTATCTCGTAGCTTGCGCAGGATGAATCTGCTGAGGATGGATGATTGATTCTGGTCAACTATAGGTAGACCATCTAGTATTACTGCTATACCGAGGTCTGACATCGTGCTTGTTATGGTCCAGCGGATCAAGTTGAAGTGAATAGGCAATGAGCCAGGAGGATTCTTCGTATTTATCTCGAGGTGCTAGTATTTGAAGATTCTGGGCTTGTAACAGAATAGCCTGGAGGTATACTAAAGAGATAAAATATGGAGGTAGGCGGAAGGCTGAGCTAGCGCACATAGTGCTGGCAAGGCTGATAATAAGTGCGGGGGATCAGGAAGATGCTGATCACTACTCCATACATGAATATACAAAGAAATAGGCTATGATAGCTAAATGCTTGAAATATTATGTGCAAGAACTAAAAGCAAATAGGCCGTTTTAATATAAGTAACTAATTAAACATTGAAGCAATCCTAAGTTATGCATGAAAAGACACAAAATAACTTAATTGGCCGGTTATTTATTATGCTACTACCTTATCTAGTCAAACACAATGCATTTCTTCATCACGTATATATGCATAAGACATGACGAGCTGACAGAAAATATATGAATCCTCATTTATCATCTATCAGCATGATCATTCAGTTCTATAAAAGTTGATTGTACTTGAGAAACCGGACGCTTCCGTGCCCGATGTTGTCCAAGAAACCCTAAAACAATGGCGGAAACTAACCCGACGCAAGCAAAAGCAAGCAGCGCTCGAAATTGAGCATTGTAACTGGTTGCATAAGCGTGCTTTACTCGGACTACTTCGGATGGCGATAGATCGCTGCTGCTGCTTGACGAGCTGAGCAATGCGGCGACTTGGCTTGGGTTTAGAAACGCGTTGAGTAGATTCTTCAACTGGGAATGAAGAACGGTCGAGGTTACTGCGAGTCCGACACAACCTCCTAGGGTTCGGGAAGTGTTGTTGACGCCCATGGCAGAGGCTGCGGTCGGTTGTTAGAAGATATCGAATTGATATAGGGTTAGGTGAAACCCTAGTTTAATACATACCTAGATCAGCATCATTGAATTCAATCTTCAATAGAAACACGAGAGGTGGCATGATGAACCCTGTCCCCGCTGCTAAAATAACCTCATACCCATATACTGCCGCAACGACAGAGTCTTCGTTAGTTGGAAGACTGCCAAGTAAGGCTATGCCGACCACAATCAGTGCGGCCCCAGCCCCAATGAGGTAGACGGCACTCTTCTGAGCTTTTCCGAGCACAAAACCACAAATAATAGAGAATACCGGTGATGTAATAGTAAATGGAAGTAGATGAATTCCTGCACTCATCGGAGTCAGTCCATCAACGGCTTGAAATCGTTGAGGGAGAAGAACTATGGATGCATAGAAGCATACGCCGAGGCAGAACATCGTCCTAGGGCCGGTTAGCAACACCCACGCACGTATTGATGACTGAAAATTGCAATTACAATAAGTTCAAGCATAGCCTGGGGCTTTTGAGAAGTCGTATCGGAAGTATCGGCTCTTTCTTCGTATAATGCTGTACCCATCTTTCGAAAAAGATAAAAATAATTAAAGCAACGCCACCGCCGACAAGAGTGCCGATGATTGTGCCACTATTCCATGCGTATGATTCACCTCCTTCTTCCAATGCAAACACCAGCATCGTCGGCCAGGCCAGAGAAAGAATACCGCCGATAACGTCGACCCGTTGTAGATTTTTTTTATCTAAGACTTTCTCGCCCAAGCTTGGAATGCCAGGTATCACGAGTGCGAGCGAAAGAACGATTCCCGGACCACTATACTTGAAACATGAATGACTGTTTTTAGGCTTGATTCACCGGTGGATTCGTTATGTCTTACTTGAGAAAGAATATCCAACGCCACGTCGTATCGTCGACAATGACGCCTCCAAGAATTGGTCCGAGGAGACTGGCAATTGCAAATACCGAGGTCAAAATGCCTGTATAGAGGCCGATCTTGTCCGGTGTGATTATCTTAGTGACAATGACGAAAACTGTGGAATATATGCCAGATCCGCCGATTCCTTGAAGTGCTCGGAAAACAATTCTGTTGATTTAAGCAGAAAGTTAGAGCGTTACTCAATCAACATAAAAAGATAATAAGTTATCATAATCTCCCAAGTTCATACAGTTGAGTCATTGTTTGTGCTGCACCACATGCCATTGAAAATACCAAAAATATCAATTGAGCTAATATCAGCAAGCTCTTTTGTCCGAAAATGTCGGTCAATTTTGAGAAGAGTAGGAGGAACCCTATAGACAAGTCAACCATCGGTCATTATCATCATTGCAGTTACCCATCCTATACAATAAGCAGGATTGTTGGACTTACCATTGTACGTGAGTAAGTAGGCCACAATTATCCACGAAGACATTCCTAGGCTGTCCAAATCACTTGAAATTTTGTTCAAAGCAGTGGCGACTATAGTTGTCTCCAACGCTGACAGGAAAAGACATGCCCAGAGTCTGGCCGGAAGTCATCTATTAGCAATTTGGTATTAATGGTGGAATTTGAAAGCGAGGAATATGGAAATATTCAAATAGAAATAATAGCACACCCAATCATACAGAATACCATTCGCCATAACGAAATTTTGGAGGGGTCAAACTGAGGAGGCTTATTGGCCCCACGAGACTGGCTATAGTCCTCTCGCGCCTCCATGTTCACAACCCGGGCAACTGCCGTCTAATCAAATATATTAAAAATATAATAAAAGGAAGGAAGCAAAAAGGGAAACAAAAGTAATAATAGATCAACAATTAAAGATCATTAAAATCCAGATGGTTCATGGGTTGATCGTCCGAACAGTGGTTTAGGGCATAATTAGCAGCATAACCGTTTCACCAACTGAAAATCAGGTGATGGCTGGCGGAAGTGTAAGACAACAGCAGTGGAACTGTATCTGTTTAGTGGTTATACATAACTTCGTATAAATCTCTTCGATATGGTTAGCATCCTCGGAAAAGGAAATAAAAACAATCTCCTGTCCCGTGTTGTAGGGTTTAAACCTGGTCCTCTTTGTTGCATGAAAAACCCGCCGAAACCCCCAATGAGCATCAGCCACCGTGTTGTTTGTTTTTCGCCGAGGTCCGCACGCCACATGGTTTCTGATATAAGACGGTTTAGTTCCTGTTAGCTCGATGAAGACTGTGTCCAATTATCTTGGTCATAGAAATATCATATGATGCGTGCGCAAAGGTGTTTTGTCGCATGTCGAATGCGAAGTATAGACCATAGTCTATCTTTTTTATAGCATTTATTTCCTATTTAGACATAAACATATGTCCAGTTCGTACCCCGTCTGAACGAAGACTACCACGATCCGATGCCTACCAGGCTGGAATCCAATCGACCACTGCGCGTCGCCATCATTGGCGCAGGACCAGGCGGACTCGTGCTTGCTCAACTTCTGCGCGACGACCCTGGATTCGAGGTTACGGTGTATGAGAGAGGGGAAGCTGAGGGGGATGAAACATCCTCGTTGACTGGTTATCGCATTCTCATTACTCCTGAGCTACTAGATTCCCTCAGGAAGCATCTCCCAGCCGATGTCCAAATGCTGTTGGAAAAGGCTATCGGTGTTTCTCAAAAGAATGGTAATCGACTCGGCATGATGGATACAATGTGTAGATTGATATGTCGAGTTGATCTAGCCGGGATGCGGAGCTTGTGCAGCGTGTCGAGATGGAAACTCCGTAAAGCGTTGTTGTCCGGCTCTCGCGAGTTTGTCAAATTCGGTCGAGTATTCACATCGTACGAGGTCGACGGCAGTAAGGGTGTCAAGGTGTCATTTTCAGACGGCGAGTCTATTCACTGTGACCTACTTGTCGGGGCCGACGGAGCTGGTTCTCGAGTTCGAAAACAGCTTCTTCCCGACAGTAGCAGAAGTAGTACCGGTGTGACAACAATCTACTTCAAGGCTCCATACACACCAGAAACCGAGGCGATGATTCCATGGGCATCTGGTATAATGGTAAGATTAATCCCAAACTTAACCGAGCCATGATGAGTTTTAAATCTATGTTCTGAGAATTCGGCTTATTGTTTCTTGCAACAGGCAATGGCTCCAAGACGTTCGATGGTTGTCGCATATTACAAGAACCCAGCGAAGCCTTACGGTCCCTATGATCTTAACAACATCGACCCCGAGGACTCCTTCCTAATGGTCGGCATGGGCTGTTACACCAATGAATTTTTTAATCAGGACAAACACCCAGATGAGTTGACTCCTGAAGAGTTAAAAGATGAATGCCTGAATCGAGCAAGGGGGTGGCATCCGCTTCTGCAGGCTTTGATAGCTATTACCGTGCCAAATTCTGTCTTTGTCTCCCATATAAAAACGCAAGATCCTATCGAACCGTGGAAAACTGGCCAAGTAACCATATTGGGAGATGCGGCTCATAGGTGAGTAAAGTTACTTGATGCGAAATTCTGCCATTCTCACGAGCAACAAATAACTAATGCATATCTACAAAGCATGACCCCGTTCCTGGGACAAGGAGCAACGAATGCTATTGTCGACGCTATGACCCTGGCCGAGAAGCTGAAATGGACGGAGGAGAAGGAAAAGGAGACCATCACAGCAGGGGTGCGCGAGTATGAAAGCTCAATGCTTAAGCGAGGCAATGCAGCAGTCAAAAACAGTCTGTACGCTCTGGATCTCACATTCGCGTGGGGAAATACCCCTTGGAGAGCTTGGTTCCGGAACCTGGCATTGTCGTTTTGGGATATATTGACGCCCCATCCTGCCAATCTGGTAGAGCCGTTTCCTGGTATGACTATTTCTCGTAGTATTACTTTCTTGTGTGATTCTTATTTTTTGAATAACGTAACTAACCTTGTAAATGTATAGTCAGTTACAGTGAGTCGAACAAAAAGGGCAACTGAAAAAGGAGGTTTACAGTGAAATGGAGAATCATCTGCCTGGATGTCATTGATGAATCTCAAGATCTTGTATAAAATTTTGACTTCATTGTATATTTAGTAACAAGACACAATCTTCAATCGACAGTGCTGAAAACACAATCCCGATAAAAGGAATTCTACTACGCATTTAGCTAGAAAGTATAGACGTATCAAATCAATTGATGATGCACATACGTAAAACATGTAGTTGTGGATTTATGATTCTATGTATATATGTCAGATAATCACCCAATCTAACCCTGAAACATCAAAATGGTACCAATCAAACAGCCGTCAAGGCATTGGTTATGGCTCGGTTGATAGTTTCTGCCATTTGAGAGACAAGCTTAGGTGCTCGCGGTACCTCATGACCACGGCCATGATCGAATTCAACCCTTCTCCTCTCGTCACACATGTCTCGCAACCTCAGACTCTCAGAGACACCCTCGTCATTAGATCCATAAATATGCGCGGTAGGAATTCGAATAGCCAGGCCAGCCTTGCGTACTTTCTCGGCGATAAAGATGTTCCACTCTTCATTCGGACGTGGCTCATGGCCCGGGACGTAGGGACCTTTCCAAGCCTCGGTTAGATGGGCCATACTTTCAGCGGACGGCCTGTAGTCAAATCCAGCGTCTTCTTCTGATTTGACAACCAAAACCGGAGCAGCAGCACATATGAAGATGGCTAGTCGGAATAGGTTAGGGCTGAATGGGTGCGTTTTCTGGTAATCCATGATCACAGCGGCCAGTAGACCGGCCCCCTGAGAGAAACCTAAACAGGCATCAAAAGGTCCATCGGATTCGATTAAGTCGAGGAGTTCTGCTTTTGCCTCTACCAACGTTTTCCCGCCGAGGCCGGGAGAGTACCAGGTGAAGAAGGGACCTTTGAAAACATTCTTGATCTCTAATTCAGTAATATCAACACAACGGCACTTTTCTTTTTTCAAGGAAGTTGTTTCAAACCTTCTACAGTATCTACCTCTAAAAAGCCATCATAGTACTCGAAATCGACATGAGCCTTCAAGGCATCGCGTACAGGGCCTTTTTTCTTTAGTCGATGATCGAGCCTATCTTATACTTAAATTGTGTAGTACTCACCGAGTTGTATTTCTAGAACCTGTATATCAGTCAATGGACTGTTTTTAACGCGGTTGTATACATGTATAGCTTTATTAAAACAGTGTTTAGCAAGATAGTCAGTCACGTACTTCCGAACTAGTTCCGGCTCCATGAAGGCAGAGAAATTTCATTTTCCCTAAGGCGAAATCGGCTGATAGCTCTCCCTTTTACTCTCTTGTTTCGTTTCGTTTCCGTGGACCAGCCAGCAAATTCGGCAGTAAAGATGGCGCAGGATGAAATCAAATTAAGAGGGAAAAGGTGATATGATTTCTGCAAGCCGGCAAAGATGCTATACCCACAGAACAGACAGCTCTAAACAGGGCACCAGCTAATAACCCATTCTGGGCTGGGGCCCAACATGCGCATTCAAGGGCCATTTTGACTGGGGCTGTTTTCGAGAAATGGCCCAAAAATGAAACCCGGTGGATCGGCGAGAACAATTGTCTAGTGCTGACTCGAATATCCAAATCCCGCCGAGTTGGCGATTCTAGAAGGCCCACAGACTAGTATCAATTGATATTGTCAGATATCTAAGCTAGATTAATTTTATCCTCTAGGGGCAGGGACTTGGAGCGTTTCATGCACACTGTATTGTTACCGCCGTTTCAAGATAAGCGATCGCCAATAATACTATGTACTTTCGAATGCTCATCACGGGGAAATACGGAACGTACTACCATTTTTGTGTTCCCCATATCTACGACAAGTGCGGACAGTGCCGTGTCTAGGACGACGCGTCTCCGATAGTAATCGATGAGTTTCTGTCAAATTCAAGGTCTCTTTCAGGCCATAGACGCAGACCATGCTTATTTATGGCATGTAGTTGTGAAAGATCAATATTTCTCTTAAAACTGCTAAAATTGTGTTTCGTACAAGACAATGGTCCACAAGTTAAGTATGATATACTATGATTTAGCAGTGTTTGTTATGTCATATTGTATTTGTGTATATTATCCAAAGAGCTTCTAATCGCACATAGGAGATTGCCTAATCAACTCGATCATATACCGTAGTTCCCAGAAACAAAACAGACGAATAAACCGTTGATGAAAAGTATAACTATTTCCTAAAAATATCCTGTGCCCATTGACGGGTAAACGATATTGATGACTGGGCCAGCTCGACGAGAGACTCCCGATTGGTCCACAGGAACTTGCTGGCGACCACAGTCGACCCTGTCACCGCAGCCAGTCCCAGCAAGCTGACGGCGTACAAGTCCCAATTCTTGGCCTTGTACATAGGCATGCGCATGTCAGCCGTCTGTAGGTGCATAGGTCGTAACTCCCGCCCATCTTGGAATCGCAATTCATTATCATACAGAAGCTCCTCGACCAGATCGGCCGCATGGTATTTGCGGTGCGCTGCCACGTGCGCAATACGTTTCAATCTCAATGCATTGCGTTGGTAAAGGCCGTCTTTGTCGATCGCGAGCTTCTTGCCCTTAGTGTAGAGCTCTTTCGACGTGAATTTGAATTTGTTCAGCGGCTCGGCCACACCGCCACCAACCAGACGCGCCATGTTGGCAATCTGGTCCATGAAGATGCCCATCACCAACATGATCTTGCCGTGGTAGAGGCCCTCGTTGGCGCTTGAGCCGCCGCCATGCGTGAAGTAGATCTTGGTCGATTCGTGTTCTAAAATAGCCCGTTGGGGTGCAAAATTGGAGAACGTCCAGTCTGGATGTCGACCTTCGACCAAGTCGCCCAGTCGGATCGACTTTCGTCCATTGTCTACTGTAAAGGTTGTATCAAGTTCAAAATCCTGGCGGCCGCTTTTACTCACCGCCCAGAGAACTCCGTCAATCAGCTTCTCTTCCATCAGCGGGAGGATGCCGTTGATAATTTTAACAGCGTCCTCGTTGGACAGGATGACATGAGTGCCGAGTGCAATGTATATGACTGACTTGTGTCGGGACAGGAAACCCTCGTACTCGCCTAATGGAGGATATGTGTCGCTGATGAGTGGCCCGACTACGGCCGCGGTTGGGGGGAGATCGCGTGGAATTTCAAGGCCGAAGAAAGAGTTCACGAAAATGAGATAATTGGGCTTCTGGATGCGATGTGGTGGATAATGAACACCTTCGCGTTTCCGCATCGCACTGGTCCACCTGACCCATTTAATGATCTGGAAAATTGCTTTAACAACAGTGAGCTCGTTTCTCATACGTAGCCACAGCGACGCCGTCTCCGAGGTCAATGTTCCTTGTAACTGGAAACCAGGCTGGCCGGGGATATATGTGCAAGGCATCATTAGGAAGGGCATTTGCGGCCAGACGGTGGCGATCGGTATGTTATACTCCAGCATCATATCTTTCACCGCATCGACGAAGAAATCGGCAACCATCATGTCAGGTCGCCTGGCCGGGTCTTCCATAATTGCCTTGAGACCGTGATAGGTCTGTGGCCAGAAAGAATCAAACAAGTACTTAGAGTCCATTGCGCCACCAATGCCTTCGGAAATGTCCCATTTTCGCATGCGCAAGTAATGCGCAGTCAACTGCTCCTCGGTTGCATAAGGACCCAGGAAATGAATCTTGGAGACGAATTCATAATCCTTGATCCAGTGCTCTTGTCCTTCTAAAGTCGCGAATTCTATTGTGTGGCCTCTCTCAGCAAGAACCCGCCCGATTTCGAACACAGGAGCTATTGAGTCATTAGCTTCCAAATAATTTGCTCGTTCTTCCTTTATTCTTACAAGCATGGGTAAAGCCTCCCGTCGTCGCGATGAGCAGGATCTTCCGGGTCGGATGTGTAAGAGAATCGCTCATTGTGAATATGAATAGTAAATAGACATGAAAAAGGGTATCAATTGGTCAGGTAATTAGCCGGAGCTGTCTGCCGTAGATCTTTTTAAGTTCAAGCTTGCAGCTTTCTTAAGAAACTTCTAAAAGCCACGCCTAATGAAAATTCTACTAACGAAACCCGTTTATCACTGGGAAAGAGAAGGCCGAGAAAGCGAGAGACACGTCTGTACAGTTGGCGCGCGTAAATAAAACATATGATGACACCTCGACTGGAGGGGGAGTGGGGACTGATTGTTGGTATTCGGCCCCGGAGCTAAACAGTTGATTCCGTAGTCCGACCTCCAGAATCAATCGGTGCGGCGGGTTTTACCTTTAGCTTTCGGCTAAGCGGGTATCAGTGGGGGCCGCTAGTTGGACAATCCGCCGAGCTTACTGCGACTAGTGAAACTTACCCTTATTGGCTAAAATTGGATAGGGAACAGTGATGATCTGCCCGATTAGGGCATCATAACATCACGTGGCATCGTGCTTAATTGGAGTCTATTCTAACGCGATGTAGACTAATATCACAATATCAGGACATAACGAAGATGATAAGTGTGTGCTTTAGGCGACTTGGATTGTAATTAAATGCAACGAACTATTACAACGATAGCCAGAGGTTGTGGAATGCTGGAATAGAAGTATACTGTTAATAAATGAATGTCTTTTATACATATGCGCTTGGGATCGTTGGACTCCTGGCAAATATACTATTGTATACGTTAGTTAATGCGCTGTACATATGGCAGTACGTATTACTAATGATTACATGTACAGCTGTAGCTTAATCTATCAGTTGTACTTGTTGATTCTTTGCGGCAGGAACCTGCAGATATCTTATTAATTCAACGAATTCAGAATAGAAGCAAAGATTTGGTGGATTCAAAGTTGAAATGCAATTTACAAAATGGGAATAAATAACTACTCGCTCTCCTTTACAGAGCTTTCGATCAGACCACTCTTTCCAGCCACAAGGTAGACTAGACTCTGGATACTGTTGGCTTGGAGAATTTCAAAGACGGCAACATCTGCCTTAATCTCCTTTATGAACCAATTTCGCACCTCGACAGCAATCAGACTGTCAACACCGTAAGCACTGGTTGGTCGGAGAGGGTCTAATTCAGCAAGATCAATCATCAAACTGCGGCTCAGTTTGGTCAGGGTAGCATTGAGAATGACAGCCACCGCGTCACTGAGAGTCACGGCCGCCTTCAGAAGGGATGCAGTGGATTGGGCACCTGCAGTGTTTGCGGTGATGGCTACGCGGGCACTGAGCTTGGGAAGATGGGAGAATGTTGGGAGAGACTTCCAGGTTGGTTCGTCCGCATCGTCAGTCGCCGGGCGGGGTTCAATACCGGTAATCATCTGACTTAAGGCTGGATCCTTCTGCTCCTTCTTGTGAGTGTCATTCATAATGGCAATCTCAAGGATGGCCAGGAACTCCTGTTCTCTAATTCCCACGAAACCCTTACGCTCGAGGTTTCGTTGTGCCAATCCAGACTCGTCTTCGGCAACAGCGCCAACATCCAGCATCATACCCAAATCAATGACGACGGCTGGCAGACCGCGGGCTTGCCGCCATTGGCACAGGGCATCCTCATAGGCGTTACCAGCGGAGTAGTTTGTCTGACCTGAGTTACCAATGACTCCGACTGCGGAAGCCAGAATGATGAAGAAGTCAAGGGGCTTGTCCAGCGTGGCTTCATGTAGATTCCACGATCCATGAACCTTGGGCCGGAGTCCATTGTTGAAGGATTCAAGAGCCATATTTTCAAAGATTTGATCTTCCAACACCATGGCAGCCTGGATGACACCACGCAGAGGGGGCAAATTCTCTTCTTGCAAGAGGCTGCTCAGTTGAGATTTTAGAGCAGTGCCGTCGGTAATATCGACCTTGAGGATCTCAACTCGAATACCAGATTGCTGCAATTCTGAAATCAGCTCTTGGGCTTCAGGCTTGGCAGCACCCGATCGAGAAGCCAGGATCAAATTCTTTGCGCCGCGAGAAGCCATCCAGCGCACCATGCTTCGACCGAGACCTCCGAATCCAGTAATTAAATATGTACCATTCTCAGGGAAGGCATATTCGGCACTAGACCGAGGAGTTGCCTGTGGAAAGAATGTTAGAAAATTAGATAAATAAATCAGTGTTTCATCTTACCGTCACTGTATCATTTTCTTCAGCCACCATTACTACTTTTCCGACGTGTTTCCCTTGCTGCATGTAACGGAAAGCCTCCTCGAACTGGGAGAAGGAGAATGTGGTAATTGATGGGATGGGACGGATTGAATTGGCATGAAGTAGCTCGAAAGCTTCCGCCATATACTTTCCAGCCAGGACGGGGTCAAGTCTATGAATGGTCATCAAATCAATCGAGGAAAAGGTAACGCAGCGAAGGAAATTAGACATCTCGAGACGACGGTTGTCGATCAGATCCTTCTTGCCCATTTCGACAAAGCGACCAAACATAGCAATACTATCCCAAGTGGCACTGAAAGCGTCACCAGTCAAGCTATTGAGCACGACATCTACGCCGCGTCCGTTAGTGGCCTCCTTAATCTGCCTAGCAAAGCGAAGGTCACGACTGGAGAAGATACGCTCGTCGGGAATACCGAACTCTCGCTTGACTAGATCTCTCTTCGCTTGTGTACCGACCGTGACAAAGATGTCGGCGCCGATTAGCTGGGCGAGGATGATGGCTGCTTGACCAACACCACCGGCAGCGGCGTGGATCAAGATAGACTCGCCCTTGCGAAGTCGGCCAACGTACATCAGAGCGTAGACTGCAGTTGTGTAAACAATTGGGACCGAAGCAGCAGTAGCAAAGCTCATATTATCAGGAATCACTTGGGCCAGTCCAGAGTGAGTACGAGCATAGTTGCTGAAGTTTCCATCCGTCCAAGCAGCCACTCGTTGGCCGACCTTCAAGTGGGAAACGTTAGAGCCGATTCGGCTCACAACACCACTGCATTCGAAGCCCAGAGAGGTATCAGACATTTGACCGGAACTGATCATGATGTCACGGAAGTTAACACCTGATGCTTTAACTTCAACCTCCACCTCGTCAGCGCCCAGAGGCTCCCCAACAATGAGGTCATCCTCGAAATAAAGTGTATCGAGAAGACCAGGGCTTCCAATTTTCAGCTTAAGTGGTCGGCCGGGTTGGTAGAATGGTTGCTCTTCCAATATCTCACTTTCAGTACCATCATTCGAAACTCTTCTCTGGATATCGGCATTGGTATCAACTGACTCAAGGACACGCTTGACTTGCCAGCACACACCATCGTGCCAGTATTCTATGTCCTGTGCCTTCGGGTCACGAAGAGTTTTACGCAAGAGGGTCACCAACTGCTCAGCTGGAACTTCGGGAGCTTGACGATCAATGGCCGCGAAATCGGCTGTGATAATTGAGAAATTCTCGTACTCAGACCTCAGCGAACGAGCGAGACCATGGAAAATGGCGGACTCTGGACGAGTTGTATTCGCAATGGACGCTCCTCCTTCAGTGACCCACAAAAGCCCTTCGCTGTTCTTGAGGATATACTTGATGGCGTCAAACTCAGCGGGCTTCATATCTTTAGCGACGGATCGTTCAAGTTCAGCGATGGAGAGAACGAAGGCCTTTTCCAAAGATGTAGAGGAAATATGGGAGAGAGTCGTTTTACTGAAGGGAATGGAGATCTCGCCTAGCTGTTTTTCAATGGCCATTTCAACAGAAGACGACTCAGTCTCACTATCTGTAACCAAAACAACTGACTGGATTTCAGGAGCCACCGCTGGACTGTCATCAACTGCCACGCAAGAGAACAGACGGCCCAATTCATCCCGAGGGTCAACGTGATTTGGAACAGCTATAGAGAGATCACCAAACCCACTGCGCTTGAGAGCTTCCTCCCACATCGGTTGGTCCATAGTAGGACCCCAGGGGCGATAGCTCTCCTCGGACATCCACCAACCAGGCAAGCAGCCAAAGATGATAAATGCCTGGTTGAGGATATTGGTGATCTCGACTAGGAGCAAACGACCACCGGGCTTGAGCAACTTGCGGGTGTGTGAGAGAGTACGGTCGATGTTCGTTGTAGCGTGGAGAACAGAGGCAGCGACGACAATATCATATTCACCTTCGGCAAATCCTTGCTCAACAGGGTCTTCCTCAATGTTGAGTCGACGGAACTCGACCAAACCTTCCCAATCCTTAAACTTCTCCTCGGCTTCCGAGAAAAAGCCGGACGAAATATCGGTGAACGTATAAGATTGGAATCGGGGGTATCTACCATTGTTGCCGCCCATTGCCGTAAGGATAGGCTTAGTAGCACCACCAGTTCCACCACCAATCTCTATGCATTTCAAGTTGGGATTCTTTTCGGAGATCATAGTGGTGTACTGGTAAAGACCGTCAAAGCTCATCACACCCTCATAGTATCGGTAGAGTAGCTCATCTTCCAACATGAGAGCGAGCGGATCGATATCACCAGTCATGACCTTTGCGAGGTTGCGACCGACTCGGATAATCAACTTAGCTTCATCACCAGTGGCCTCAAGCTGCGTAGCCAGTACTTCCATTTTAGCGGCAACCTCAGGATCATCTAACTGCTCCCACATAGGGGTTTGGTGTGGATTTTTATGCGCGGTAACGAGATCACGCTGGTATTGCATGAAACGGTAGTATTTCTGGAGATGAGGCTTCATGGTGACGACCTGCGACTCGTTGACATTTTTCAAAACCTGGTAATAGTAATAGTATGAGATCAATTCAAGGTTTGCGACGCGATCCGGGTCCTCAACCTCAGGAATGTATGGAGCCATCATCTCATTAGCGATAGCTTGGGGAAGAAGGTCGGCATCGGGTTTCCAGCTAGCATGGAATGTGAGCTTCTTTGCATTTGATCCCTCTTCTCCATCGCCCTGGCGACCACCTATATCCAGACCGCTGCATTTCACATCGTTGAAAGCCACCATCGGCTCCCCGGTTTCTTCATCTGCGATCAGGAAGTGGGCGGTAGCTTCACGGAACCCAGTAAATCCCGCAGTCGCTACACACTCGAAGCGGCGACCTGGTGACTGATTGATGTCACCGCGGACGAAGATATCGCCAAAGGAGACTGGTATGTAAGGACTCGTAGGATTAGGATTATCGTGCATCACGGCTGGGAAAAGTGAATGAATGTAGTTGTCCATGGTGGATGGATGAATAAGGTATGGAATCTCGTGTTCGAATGGCATATGCTTTTTCGTATCCGGAACAGTCACTATCGCTTTCGCTTCGCCTGAGTTGGTCTTTATGTCACCGGTCAAGCCCCGGAAGGGGTCTTCGTAGACCAGACCAACGCGACCCACAATATCATACACGTTATCTGCATTGCAGGAACCGGTGAATTCCTCGGTTTTTAAAAGGGTATTCAACCGAGGTGCATAAGGGAAGAAGTTTGTGGATGGGCCGGTTTCAAGTTCGTGGACAGCAGAGATTAAACCGTGGCCGTGTTCAGCCCAGCCATCAGACGTGTAGGAGAACAGGCGGAACTCGTACCAGACATTGGAGAAGGATGAGCTGCTTTCTTTGTTATGACGCACAGAGAAGCTGGTCTCAACACCATCATCGGTTGATGGAATGATGAGTGCACGGTTGATCTTGATATCCTTCAACTTGTAGCCCACAAATTTTCCCTTGGGCACAGTGTACTCAGGCATATCGCGCAAATGTGACATTGCTTCAACAGCCATAGCAATATACCCAGCACCGGGGAAAACGTATGATCCCTGAACACAATGTCCCTTCAGCCACGGTTGCTCACGGAGCTTGAGGATATTCCTCCATCGAGGCTCCATAGGGTTCCAGTCATTTACAGGGTACCCTAGGAAGTCGGTACGTGCATGTCGGCGGAAGCGGTGCTCTGCACTCAATCGACCCTCACACCAATGACGTTTGTTGTGATTCCAAAAATAGGTAGGGAGGTCAACCACCACCTGGGGTTTAAGATCGACGCTCTCTGGGAAATTGAGCTTGTAGAGGTCGACGTTACCTCCTTTTGCGAAGAGGAAAGTTGCCGTTTCTATAGCAGTCTGACAGGCATCTTGACCGCGGGAGAGCACTGACTTGTATACAATGCCACTCTTTTCAAGGGCAGGAACACCGAGAATCTGCTTGATGGGACCAGCGAGAGCGGCATGGGGACCGACCTCGACCAGCACATCGAGAGCGGCTTGAGTGCCTGCTCCTCGACGTGCGCGCTTCGTAGTTGCCTGAGGAGTGCAAAGGACTTGTAAGGCGTCATTAAAGCGGACACAGCCCACCATGTTCTTGCTCCAGTATGAAGGGCCGAGAACATCAGCTGATGTGACAATCTCACCAGTCACGGTGGAGACCATTTCCACGTCTTTAGAGATGGAATTAACTTCCATACCTTCCAGGGATTTTTCATAGTCAGCTGCAACGGCTTCCATGTGATGCGAGTGATAGGCAGTGGAGACTTTCAGGAAGCGAACAAAGACGCTATCCTGCTGGAGGGTCTCGGATAGAGCTTCCAGAGCAGGGCGATCTCCAGACACAGTGATATTAGTTGGGCTGTTTACACAAGCAACGAAAGCCTTGCCCAGTGAAGGAGGTAGGGCCGCAATCTTCTCCTTGGCCTCATCCTCTGAGAGGCCGACGGCCATCATTGCTCCATCAGCAGAGGGCAGCTTGGTCTTTACTTGACTAGAGAACAAGCCACGGTAGTAGGCTGCCTTGAGAGCGGACTCAACAGTCAGAATTCCAGCTGCATAAGCTGCCGCAATCTCACCACTGGAGTGGCCGATCACCTTTTCAGGGCGAATTCCCCAGCTGGCCAATAGATCCACCAAAGCGACCTGCAGGGCGGTACATGCCGTTTGGCTAACAAGAGACTCGTTGATTCGGGATTCTTCCTCGTCTTTCCGGAGTTCCTCTGTAAACCAGTCAGTTTACATTCCGTTCTTCTCATATGTTAACTTCATCTCGCAGGATTTCACTTACCAAGCAGAGACCAGTCAGCACCTAGATTCTTCACAAACAGATCGGCGTGCTTCAGCCGCTGTTGGAAGACAGGGTATACTTTTCCAAGCTCTCGACCCATGGCGAACCACTGAGCTCCTTGACCAGTGAAGACGAATGCTGTCCTCAGCGCATGGAGAAGTGGCCGCACTGGTGTTTGTCGGGTTGCAGCCACTTTTGAGACCAGATCGGGCAAAGAGTCTGCAACCAGAAAGGATTTCCATGCAAGCATGGACCGACGATTGCATAGAGTGTAAGCGAGGTTATCCAAGAATGTTTCTTCGTCGTCTTCCTTCCGCTTTGCCAGATGCTCAGCATACGCAGCACCACTCTTGCCACCAATACCCTCTTCGTGGGTAGACCAGAGGAAAACACGCCTGCGACGATACTCAGTAGCATCGCCATTGGCCGCATTGGTAATGCTAGTCTTGCTAACCGGCTGGACTTTTCCACCCGCCGTGTTGGAATTTCCAATGATAGTTGTGTGATCCAACACGGGCTTTGGAGATGTACGGTGAGCGGCCATCAATCCGCGGCTAGCGAGATAGTTGTAAGCGTCGTCAAGAATGACATGTCCATTTGTTCCTCCAAAACCGAAGGAGTTAATACTAATTCGTCGCAACCCTTCTACTGGCCAGGGGACAAGAGTGGTTGGGACCTTAAGTTTCCAACCATCAAAGTCAATTTGAGGGTTAGGTCTCTCGAAATTGGTATTGGGGGCAATTGCACCGTGCTCTAACTGGAGCACAGACTTGAGGATACCTGCCAACCCACTGGTACCTTCGGTATGACCGACATTTGTCTTGATACTTCCGATGTACAAAGGAATTGGTTGGCCATTTTCGTCCACAGGACGATGTTCTGCGAAAACGGACCCAATAGCCCCAGTTCTATGAAAATTTAGTCAGCAAGAGAGTATTTCTCATCTTACGTTGAGATAAGCACATTATTTTAAAAAGTAGTACTTACTCAAGGGGATCACCGGCCGGAGTTCCAGTTCCGTGAGCCTCAAAGTAACCTGTTTGCCCAAAACCAAGGCCGGCATCTTTGTAGGTTTGCCGGATCAATGCGGCTTGAGCCTCGCTAGACGGCAACATGATACCAGATGTTTTGCCATCCTGGTTGCAACCAGTGCCTCGGATGACGGCACGAATAGTGTCGTTATCTCGCAGGGCATCGGCGAGCGGCTTGAGAATCAAAGACGCGATACCATCACCACGAGCGTAACCGTTAGCCCGCTCGTCAAAGGTCCAGCAACGCGAGTCAGGGCTGAAGAAATGCACCTTGGACATGCCAATTGCAATGTCCGGATTGAGGATAACGTTGGTAGCACCAACAATAGAGCAGTGGCTTTCGCCCATGCGCAAGCTCTGGCACGCAAGATGCAGAGCGACCAAACTGCTACTGCAAGCAGTATCCAGTGTCAAACTAGGGCCTTTAAGGTCATAAAGATAGGATATACGGTTAGAGAGGATAGAGGTTCCGTTTCCTGTGACGGAATATAGAGGAGCCGTTTCAGGGTCGCGGTCAATCATTTCGTAGTAATCGTGTGAGAAGCTACCAACATAGCAACTGGTGTCGGAGCCTGCAAAAGCCTCCATGGAAAAGCCGCCATTTTCCATGGCTTCATATACACATTCCATGAGAAGACGTTGTTGAGGGTCAATACTCTTAGCCTCAGTGGGAGGGATAGAAAAGAAGGATGTGTCAAAAACAGCAACGTCCTGTTTCAGGAAGTGACCTCCAGGTGCGTTTGTCTATATCAAGATTTATGTTAGTGACACACTTGCATATACAGGAATTGTGAGATTATTCATACGTTTCCTCCTCTCTCGCCGTCAGGATGGTAAAAGGCATCCATGTTCATCCGATCTTCAGGCATCTTGCTCCACGCTGCTTCCTTCTTTGCAAGGAGTCCCCAAAGCTTGTCTGGGCAGGTCGCCTCTCCTGGAAGACGACATGCCATACCAACAATGGCAATTGGCATGGAGCCGTCCTGATCGAGGACATCCTGGATGTGGGATCGAGGAGCATCATTAGGGTTGCTCGTAATGAAAGGCATCTTGTAGACCTGGGCTATTGGAGAGGTATTTCCAGCCCTAGTATCAGATTCTAATGATTATTGGTCGTAAAATATAAGAGTCTATAACACAAAGAAGGAAGAGGAGAATGGAAAGATGTGACTGTCGAAATCTGAAGACCCCTGGATAGCGGACAGGACCTTCCCTCTCATATACATACCCATTCGTTCGGGTCTTTTCATGTAATCTATTCTTGTCGGATATTAATTCAATTTCCAAAATAGAATGTCAGATTTTCGTTGAACTGACTATGCTATCTCGCTTCCATAGCTCTTCTAGCCCGACAAGTCCCACCGAGCTTACCAACTCGATAGGTAACACAAGCAGCTAGAGAATGGAGAATGGCCCCCCCCCAACCGATTCCATTCGGCAGATTTCTTGCATAATAATACTACAAGGAGACTAGAAGAGGGTAATGAGGTTGGGACGTCCGTATCAATGATTGGTTATATTGGCTAGAGAAGATAGGCCTGGAGTAATAATGGGGGCTATACGAAGCTACTAGTTATCGATGTAAATAGTGTGTTATTAGACTATCAGTTGGCCCTACCGAGAAGACAATATCGACGAATTATTTAATATTCCGAGATGCAAGTAATCCTCCACCTAACAACGAATGAAAACCCGCCGAGGGTCAGATGTTCCCTGCTGTGTTTTCGAGGCTTGGCCGAACCTAGTTGCCGAAAAGTTGTATTTTGAAACACTTTACTTCCAAGGTAACTTCATATCTTTTACTTCCCAGGCTAACCTAACTACGTACAGCGCTATCGCGCGTAACTACCAACTAAAAGCTAGAAGAAAATAAATTTATCCGATCACATGTTGTTCACTTTTATCATTCCATAATCCTATAATAACGTCCTTAAAACAACCAGCTTTTCTTTAGATTTACCAAGTCTTGTCTAGTACATGTTGGTCAGTCTTAGAAACCCATGTTCACAGAAAACGTCTGAGGGAATTTGGAGGCAGAATCTGCCTTAGGTAGAGTTCCACATTGAAGATGACATCTAATATGCCTAACACGGCCACGACCACCTTCGATATTATCATCGTCGGTGCTGGTCTCGGCGGTATTAATGCAGCATACCGCTTGCAAAAGCAACTGCCACATCTCAGCTACGCCATCCTCGAATCCCGTGATGAAATTGGCGGAACATGGGACCTATTCCGCTACCCAGGTATCCGTTCAGACTCAGACCTCCATACCTTTGGTTTTGCCTGGAAGCCGTGGGACCAGCCCAGCCCGATCGGTCAGGGAGCCGAGATCTTGGATTACATGAAAGAAGGAGCGGCTCAACATGGCATCGACCAACATATTCATCTCAGCCGTCGACTGCGATCAGCATCTTGGTCCTCCGGAAAGCAGAGGTGGACTTTGACTGTAGATGATAAGTCTAACGGCGAGACCAAAAAGACGCTGTACTTCGCACGTTTCATCCTCCTTTGTACTGGATACTTCAACCATGATCAAGCCCTCGAGACAGAGATTCCGGGCTTGGAGAATTTCAAAGGCCAAGTCGTGCACCCACAGTTCTGGCCTGAAGATCTCGACTACACCGATAAAAGGGTCGTAGTTATCGGCAGCGGCGCCACGGCCATTACCTTGGTCCCAGCACTGGCTGAGAAAGCTGCGCTGACCACAATGCTGCAGCGTAGTCCTTCATATGTTGTTGAAATCCCAAGCAACCGAGCAGGGCGTGGTTCCTGGCTATCTCGGCTTCTACCGACCTGGATGGTGCATTCCTGGAGGCGGCTAACCTCCATGTTGTGGTCGCGCTACATTTTTCTTACCTGCCAAGCATACCCTGATAAGGCGCGAAAACGTCTGATCGGAATGCTCGAGGGTAAGCTTCCGCCTCATCTCCCCATCGACCCGCACTTCAGCCCGAGTTACTATCCGTATGACCAGCGAGTCACATTGACCCCCGACGGTGTGTTTTTCAAATGTCTCCGCTCCGGCAAAGCAGATGTGAAAACCGCTGTGATAAAAAATGTGGTCGCAGATGGAATCCAGGTAATCAATGCCGATAGCAAGGATTCGCCGGACAAGCATGATCAATTCATCCCCGCCGATATCATCGTCACGGCGACAGGATTGAAGCTCCGGCTTGCTGGTGGTGCGACCTTTGACGTGGATGGGAAGCCTGTCAACCCATCAAATCAGCTCTTGTGGATGGGTAGCATGTTGCAGGGAATGCCAAACTTGGGTCTTTTACTGGGGTATACTAGTATTTCGTATACTTTGGGCTTGGATGCAGCCGTCCTGATTTTCTGTCGGGTGGTGAGAATGATGGAACGGAAGAGGATGGCCACTGTGACACCCCGAGTCGAGCCTGGGGTCACGCTGTCTCTTAAACCATATGATAACCTCACCGCGACCTATGTTCTCAAGGGCATCGATGTTCCACCCAAAGTGGCAGACAAGGCCCCTTGGCTGCCACGAAGTAGTATTCTATCAGATTATTGGGCAGCACATTTCGGTCGCATCGATAAATGCTTGGATATGGTTAAGGCCGAGGATTCGCAGAAGAAGAAAACATCGTAAGCTTTCATGCAAACGAAGCAATTGGGATATCAATTATATTTGAAGGCTACCCAGGGTGACTTCTTTTCTTGGTTTTCGCTTCCAGTCGTAAACATATAGAACAGGCTCCAGGGCCTTTTAGTCATTCGCGTTACACGTGTTTATTATTTTTCAATATTGGGGCCTTTTTATTATTGTTGTTTTTGTTGTTATTATCTTAGTAGTAAATTTAACGTCACAGACGCGTGTTAGGGCAAAATATAGGGCTAAAGCCTGAGCCCCACATCTATACCCTATATAGAGACGTGGATTTTAGTAGCCACAAAATACCACTACCCCAAAAGGAGTTCACCCTTTATGGTTAGGGCTTCTTGGTAGTAATATATAGTGGGTTCTCGGGCCGACAGATCCGTAGACCTTAACATTATCCTAGAAATCTGCTTTCCCAGTCCTTTTCCTCTCTCAATCTGCGCTTTTACGCTAAAATATACGTGTTCCGATTTTTTAGTTCAATGGACATGATTTACTGTTGGCCGAAAACCCACTACATCAACAAGGAGGTCACCCTCATTAGTGAGGGTAATCAATTTGGTAGTTACTTATTGGCTGGCTGACACACGCCCCCCAGATAATTTAGGGTTCCGGCTTGTATAATCTGCATGTTTTTGTCTGTTTTATATTAGCCTAATCTATTTCTTGGGCTAATACCGACGTTTTTCCAGTCTACCATAGAGTTTTGGTCTTTTTTGCTGTAATTCTCGGTTTGCCGTAGATTTTTGCTGTAATGGACATGTATTGCTTTTTTCAATCTTGCTTGGATTCGCCCTTGGTGTATATATTTTCAGCATTCGGAAGGAGTCCGGGCTTGTAACTCTTGGCTGAAAACCCACTTCACCAAAAAGGGGTTTCCCTCATTAGTGAGGGTAATTAATTTGGTGCTGATTGGCTGACATGTACCGTTGGTGACTCTTGGGTCATGCAATAACTACACAAAGAGTACGAAAACAGCGAAGGAATGAAAGCATGGCACATGGCACAAAGGATAATGGTTACGTGATACAAAACGATAACCTGGCCAGCCACGCGTCCAAGATGATGGACCGAAGTCTAATTCGACAATTCAAAATCTCGGACTGAGTGCTAATGCGACTAAGCACGCTAGATCCTCGATCCTAATCAGCCAAAATCGGGCTTACGAGCGAATGAAGGGAAGAACCAGCCGGACAAGCCTTTTAATCCCTCTGTCGCCCCGTTTCGCCGTTTCGGTTGAAACCGACCCAATCTGGCCGGTGGTCTATACTCCATGACTGGACGACAAGTGCAACCAATTAATTAGTTTTGAATGGACTAAAAATAAAGAACATTATTGCAGAGTGAGGCAATACCACCAAAGACTTCATCACACTCCCCGTTTTCCCAATTGGAGGTCATGCAGCGAATTCCACTACATTCAGACTAGCAGATCGCAAATTATTACCAATCTAGAAGACTCAGTATTTCCTTTCTATTATAGGATGGTTGAAAGGTTATATATAGTATAACTAAACCATTCTAGATAACGGACGAGTTAGACGTTCCTCGGTGTTGGTTGCCTTTATAAAGCCGAAGCCGAAGCGATCAATCTACCATGCGCATCTCCTGATCTCCTGATCTCCATTGGGACGATTATCCGATGAAGAAAGCGAAGACGGCGAAGAAAGCCACGTGGGGGCAAAACAACATGGGTATTGCTTTAGGCTGTGGCCGCGATAGCCCGATGCTCGATCTGGCAATTAGTCGATGGTTCTATCTAGTATTTTATTATTATGTACTGTAACACCGTAGTATACCGTATTCCCCGACTTCGCCTGGCGGAGGTCGGGTTTAACCAACATCCGATCACTGACTCTACTATGATTGGCGAGGGCTCTTAAAGACTGGCTGGGATAAGGATTTAACGTGCGGGAAAAGAACCCACTATTTGCGAGTCGAACAATTTCAGTCTGTTATTAAGTATTTCCCCCAATACCCTTTCGAGTGGCATATAGAAATTATTACAGTGTTTATAAATTGATACATTTGCAGTTTTAGGAAGCGAAGACAAACGAAACAAGCATATCAACAAGCATATCATAGTTCTTCACCGTATTAGGGTTACATTGTAGATCCTCACTATGTAAGACTATGAAAACGGCCGAAGGATCCCTTGGACCCTTGGGGTTTCTGGAACTATCTTAGTGCTCACGTCTTATAGCTATAGCTGCATTATGCGGTGCGGACGTGATAGCTACCGCCAATGTAGAAGTCAGTCCACTCTGCTTTATCTGGTGGAAGTATGCTGTCATTCTATTAATGTTATTATCACCTCTCAGCGGGGGAAATAGGCAGGACCCCAACCCCACAGCCGGAATAGAGAGGGCTGACTTTTAATCTTTTATCTTTTATCTTTTATCTTCTATCTTCTGTGGTGATCTCCATCCGGGGAACTGTAAAAAATTAACGAAAGTTGAAAGCAAAGAAGAGTGAAAAAGTACACGAAATTCGATAGCACAGCAGCAGCAGCAATGGTACATAGTGACGAGCAGAATTCTGCCCCTCAAAAACGCCTGGCCTGCGATCGTTGCCACATGCGCAAACTGCGTTGCTTCCGAGATGCGCCCAGGATCGAATGTAGTCGCTGTATCCAATTTGGCTACGCATGTACTTACAGCCCTCCGTTGAAATCTGGTCGACCAAAGAAAAGTTCATCCACCATTCCCAGGCGCGGTCGAGAGGCATCAGGCACGGAATCTCTGCCCAGCTTAGACAGCAGCAGTTTGTCCAGCAGCCTCAGTATCAACAGCGGCGAGCCGATCGGATTGAATGACCCCTTGTCGTACCCAATGCACTTAAGTACTAGCTGCGAAGCCCTCAGCGATCAGATCTACTTGTCACCCCAGGAAACCGATTCACTCTACCAAATTGATTCCACTCCAGGCGGCTTCGCGCCTACAAAATTGCCAGCCGTATGTCCGGACAACCTGAACTTCAAGTGGTTGGATTTGACCGGGGGTCATGGTGCCGAATCTCATCATCACCATTACCATCACCATCATGACCAGAACCAGCACCGCACCGAAGCCCGAAATATACCGTCAGCCGAAAGCAGCGTAACCGACCTTGAGTGGGATTCCGGTTTCGAGAGACCGCCAGCGAGTGTTCCGTACAAGCCACACACATCCGACCAACTGGCTTGGTCTCAATCCGGCGCTTCTGGGTGCAAAAATCTGTCAGAAATGATGCATTCCCTTTCACGATTGCAGCAAGAGTTGGTTCACTTTCGCAGTCTGTCTGTGAATGGACTTAGCCTATCAGATACCGGACGAGTCTCATTGCCACCTTTCCACTCAACATTTAGTCCCATCAATTCTATTCTGAAACCTAGTCAAGAGCTGGTGGATATCATCTCTCAAGTTTTGAACAATTGTCCACTTATCTCAGGCAACGGGCACAAACCAGCGCATTTGACCGTGGACCGGCGAACTCTTCTCTCTCTGATTTTAACACCATTGTCGTTGTTGCTATCAGCTTACAGAGACTTATTACGAGACATCCGAACGGCTGGGAATCTAAATCAACAACAGCCGCCTCCCAATCATAATCGTACTCGTGGTTCTCATCATGAATTATATCCCGAGTCCTTGTCAGCCTCGTCCTCTCGGGATGGGGTTCTTCTTGATGATCACCAGCAAGAGGAACAGTCACGTAAGCAAGGCCGAAGCAATAATCATATTCCCGTCTCTACAGTATTCAACTCTGAATGCCCGACGTCAGATAACCATTTCACTTCCCTGATTCCCGACAATCTGCAATTGGCGCTAGATACAATGAGTATAAATCGGCCACTACAACTAGTACTGATAACGACCATTATCAAGCACCATCTCACCTGCCTAGGAGAGACTTTGCACGGTCCTAACCTCGAAATTGCAGAATCACTTTGTGCAACACCGATAACAGAGTTGAGGACATTTATCAAAATTCTGTTATCTGAAGCTCAAAGCCTCTTACAGTAATAGCCAATCCGATACACCAATTGATGCCTAGCGGCCGCTCAACTTCCTCAGGTAAACATAGTTATGTAATTCTATTTTAGAAGAAATGACAGAAATTTTGAATGCAACAATCATTGGACCAATGAGAATACACTTTAATCATGTCACCGTGCAGGGGTCTAGAAGTTTACCTACGTCAAGCAAGCTACCAACGCCGTCAATCACGTAATCCAATACGTAAATACGAAGATAAATATACAACCAAATCTGGGCAAATCATCATTGCAACCTCCAATCTGACCCTGCAACGCGAGATGTTCAAGAGCGTAATTTGAAGAATTGAGCAAACTTTGAGTAGCAAGTAGAACAAAAAGCTATAATATCACTAATTTGATTTATTGGTCCTATCCTATTAATTCTTCCTCTACGGAGAAGCCCAAATCAGGCTGAGGGTCTTTGACTTCAAGCAAGAAACAGGGGCTTGATAAGTTGACAATTTGACATGCCTGCTGTTGATGACCAACATAGCATCCTAGCCGATTACTTAGCATTCTGAAACAAGTGGGTAATAAATACAACTTAACAAAGTAATGTAGCATCTATATAGAGCAAACATACTTGCAATGGATTAATAATGTTAGTCTATTGAGATCTATTTTTGCCCATTATTACAACCCTGTATACCGGTATGTTTACAAAATTTTCACGGAGGATTTATATGGTAAATCCCTTGAACTGAATCCCAGGCTGACTCCAATCTCGCCACTGGGGATTTTCCAGTCCTGAGCAACGATGTCCCAGTAACTAAGGTCCCGGCGGGTCAGGGAAAATGAAACTCTCTTTGTCTCTCCAGGCTGTAGAGGAACCTTTTCAAATCCACGCAAGACACGAATCGGTGTACCCACCGGAACATTGTCTTGAGGAAGAGAAACATAGAGCTGAACAACAGCAGCACCCCTCACAGAACCCGTGTTCTTGACTGAGGAAGAGCAGGTCACCAGAGTCTTCCACAGATTTGGGTTTCCGCCTAGAGCTAGACTGGAGTTGACATGAGCGGGATATGGAGAGATCGACGAAGATGCTACTTTTGAGACAGACATATTGGATGCCAACTCAAACGTGGTATAGCTAAGCCCAAACCCAAATTCGTAGAGAGGCGCGATTTCATTGGCGTCAAAGTGACGATAATCGATAAACTGGCCTTCCGTGAAATTAACGTTCCATGCTGATGAGTCTTCCGCAAGGCTACCGGTAACATTAAGAATCGAAACACCATAATCAGTCTCATTATTGGCAATAGTGTAAGGCAGTCGGCCGGAGGGATTCACGTCTCCGTACAGTACATCGACAATTGAGTTTCCACTTTCTTCCCCAGGGTAGTGAGCCGCCAGAATTGCGACGACGTTAGGGTTAGACGCCCATGGCATGGTGTTTGGGCCCGCTGAGTGAGTAATAACGACTGTTTTCTTGGGACAGATAGAAGCGACGTTTTCAACCACTAGAGTTGAGTTATAGTCTGCTTCCAAGCTAACCAGATCCATACCCTCGGTTGCCCAGCCCTTCAGGAACACAAGGCAAATATCAGGCCAAGGATAGATTCCAGTTATTCCCGCGGCGAGAGCCGTATTATTCGTGATATATTGTACGGTGCTGCCAGTCCTCCGAGCACGGTCTTTGATTGCGTCCAAAGGCGGAACAATAAAACTGTTATGTCCACTCCCAGAGCCGCCACCGATTACCACCGTGCCAATTTCAAATCCATTATCCGGAAAAATGAGGCCGGTTGAAACATCGGGGGCATCGTTACCGAACACTCCAATGTTATTTGGGTTTTTCAAAGGAAGAGTATTGTTTGTATTCTTCAGCAAAACAGTTCCAGCAGCACCGATGCTGCGAATCAACCTTGAATGGTTACCACGAACGTCACGGCCAACTGGTGTTGGCATCCCAGGCTGCAAAAGACCAAAATTTTCGAGGAAAAGAGATTGAGAAGAGGGGTCTATACTCGGGTAGTCCTTGTCCTGTCCGAGATACAAGTACGGTGTAAGGATTCGGCGGACCATATCATCTAACCGAGCTTCTGAAAGACTTCCATTCGCAATCGCCGAGACGAGATTAGAGCCCCATAGACTTTCAGTTAGGTCTGTCGCCGAGATAGGCCCAGGTTGATTCATGTCCAAGCCAGCGTTTGCCGCTTCAATGCCAGAGAAAGACGCAAAGAAATCGGATACCACGTAGCCTTCAAACCCTAGCTCCCCCTTCAAGATGTCGGTCAAAATGTATTCATTTTCACAGGCAGAGGTGGAATTAACACGGTTGTACGCGCAGGTTACTGAGGCCACACCTGCATGCACGGCATCTGCAAATGGCCATAGATACAGTTCATGCAGGGTACGATCATCAATGTTCGCAGAGTAAGCTTCCACTCTTTTGCCATCGACCACGGTTGGCTTCCGCTGCGTTTCCTGTTCATTTCCGATAATATGTTTGGCATTGGCTTGCACTCCTTCGCTTTGAATGGCTCGGATTGTCTGATCCATCGCAACACCAGTTAAGAAAGGGTCAGGGGAGAAGCCTTCCCAATTACGACCACCCCAAGGAGTACGACCCAGAGGACCGGCGACTGGTCTGGAGACCAATCATCAGTCAGCATCAAAGCCAGACTTAGTCACTTTGACAGAAGAGAGATTCCCTACCCGAGAGCAACATGAGCACCTTTTCCCTTAAACTCCTGCGCGAGAGCACTACCACGCTCATACATCATATCCTTATCCCATGTGGCAGCAACAGTCACTCCGGCAGGAAACACGCTGGCCAGATCGGCCAGACGAATGGCGGCAGGGCCATCCTGGAGACAGAGTCCACCAAATCCGATGCTCTCAACGGGAGCGATGTATTCAATGCACAATCCAGTCATCGACCCGGTTACAATAGAAGCCTTCTCGGTTGCGTTTAGCTTTGCACACAATTTCTCTGCTTGCGCGCGAGACTGTAGCCATTTTGTCTCGTCCAGGCCGGAAGCTAGAAATCATCAGCTAATAAGTTCAGAGGGAATAAAAGTTTCAATCACAGCTATCTACATTTTGTAAGCCTTCCAGATGTGTCCAATGAGCCTTGGGTCGTCACAGACCGTTCTTGTGGACGATGGAGAGAATGAGTTGAAGCTGCTGTTAGGGACGTAGCGCAAAGCACGCCGAGAACAGACCACATCATCTTGAGTCTCTGGTGTTGTAAGTCACGGCATGTGCGATGGAATGAGGTTGCATGTATTACAAACAATGCATTGTTTTCTGTGTACCACCTTATAACCAGGAAACCGCTCTGAGTCCGCTCTCAAGCCCAAGCCCACCATCTATCCACATAATCAATCACTACCGAGCTAACACATAACACCAACATTCGTAAATAGCTAGAGGTATGGCATGAACTATCATTTCCAGTGCTAAAACTGGGGCCGAGAAGTGGAATATTAATCTAAATCTGCAGGAACAGCGAATTTGGTGCTATGTTCGGATGGGCTCGGTTTTGGGCGCTCGGCCTGTTTCCACGCATCCCATTGGGCCGGTGGAATATATCCATTGTTGATATGCACACAACCCACCGAGGATGACTGCTTTAGTTTTCATACAATGGGTAATTAACTGTTAATTTCTACTTCTCCACTCCTTACCTTTGAAACACCTTAAGGGCTAAAACATTATGACACAGAGCCGTACAGTGGAGAATAAGGGCATCATACAATATTCGGAAATTACCAACTCGTAACGCCCTACTATCGGATATAATTTTGGAAGTATCTAGGTAAGGGGGTCGTTAGTTACCCTGTAGGATGCATATTGCGATTCATGAAGCGTCGGTCATCACCAAGTTGACGGGTTCGCTCGGCTTCAACTAAGTTTGCATACCCTAGGCCGTTCTCTGGGGCCGCTTTATATAAATCTCGTAGCTTCTCACACTTTGGTGCTCCAGAGAAACTCTTTTATGTATATTCTGTTATATCCGGCTTCCCGTTTTAATTTAGCCATTTTGAGACAGTTGTAGCTCGTCATGTTTCTATGGTATCTATGGTATCTAGTTATCCAATAAGGCTTCGAGCTACAGTCTCCTAACTGTTGTAGATAATATAGCTCGAAAATTGTAGAGTATTATTAAAACAACGTTCCTGATTGATATTTCTAACTCTTATATGATTAGGAGATGCTTAACGATGGGTGTAATTGATGGACAGACAGAAACTTAACACTTCGGCTGAACCTTAAAAAATGGGAATATTGTGTCGTAATATTCTATGATTCGATTAGGAAACAGAATTATTGCTTTTTCGTTTCGTTTTCTTTATTTCTTTTTCTTTCTTTCTTTTTCTTTCTTTCTTTCTCTCTCTTTTTCTTGTTAGCATTCATGCCGGAGTTAGAAAGAAAGCTGCTCATTATTTGCGTCAAAGCTTGATTTACGAGATCGTCAATTTTTTCTCCTTCAGTAAAACTCAATACCATCAATTGATATATGGTACAAGAATCAGAGTTGGTATTATCGAGAAGTCCTTCCTCCTTCATCATTTTACTCCCCAATTGAAACATACCTATTATTGAACTTCTCTGTTACTTGAAATTGACACCATAGAAAATATTTACATACTGAATGGCTTACAGCTATCTAAAAACACGAAAGATTTGATTTTAAACAAAATCTTTCATAAAATCTATAAGCTGCCTACCGAAAATTTCGACTAGTAAATATCCAATTACAACACATTATAGACGTAATTTTGATATGACACCTGTTGACACAGAGAGAATTTTATAATACCACATCCGTTGAAATTTGATATTGATGATAGTGAGTGAAATATGTTGATTACTATCAAACAAACTACCAACCCATTCAAAAATGATATCAAAGAGCACCGCTAACGGAGAATTTAAACATAAAGAAAATTAGATAATAATGATACAGCTATGTATATGCTAAGCATGAGGGGTAGAAAAGAATAAAATCATGTGCAGAATGAAAGCTCTTGAGCTTATATCATGTTGATATCCAACTGTTATGGCCTAGATAACTAGATCCATTTATACATGTATATGAGCTATTAATAGATTAATGATTACATGTAGATGGTAATATCTTGAATTTAATATTTATCGATTGTTGTGGCGCTGTTGATTATAATTTCGAATCCTTACTAAATTACCTCAAAGCGATTCATGGAAAATATTTCTGACCAATAACGAAATACCAATTCCAATAGGATTTTTCATCATTTACCAGTCGGCGATCCTTCAATACTAAGTTGGGCTACCGATTTGTATATCCTCCGGCTAGCCTCAAGATCCGGGATTCTCAAGATATGGCTTTTAATCCTTTTATATCTCTCATTTTACATAGGATACTATGCCTTTTTCAATCCGAATATATTTAACCTTATTGAAGATAGTGTGATTACATGCATCACCGTTGCCCTAGAGAACACTAGAGTCACGAGACTTTATCCGTCACAGGTATGTAGAAATTTTCAAGGACCAACTAGGAATATTCACCAACACTTGAAATGCTAGCTTCTCCCTGATTATTTTAACAGATAAATGTTAAAAAGCAACGGGATGGCAACGATGAAGTTTATTAGAAAACAAATATGAACTATGTGGACGCTTTTGGTTACACCTTGAAGATTATTCTTTGTTCTTAATCCGTGGGATTGCCTCTGTTCATCTCTATTTCTTTGTCACGGCGCTTCAGCCCGGATTTATTGTATTCTCAGTGAATGCTTCTCCGCATCCTTAACCCGGAAAGGCTGGAATCACCCGGAAATGGGAGTCATACGTAGATAGCCGGTCCGAGTCATATAATATGTGGCCAGGGTGGTAGAAATTTCATTCTATATAGTGACGTGCTACATTTCCGCCTGCCATGAAACATAGACACATCAATTAAAGCCGTTTTGACTCGACCTATTAGCCTGTGGTGAAGACTAATGAGTCAAAATGCGGGAACTTACTTTACACGAACTCATAGCCACGGCATGTGTAATGATGGTAGTCTCTATTCTCGCTATTATCTTGCGTTTCGTTCTACAGTGGGTACGAAGAGACCGGATCCATCGTGAGGATGCTCTTGTAGCCTTTGCTTTTACGGTTTTTCTTGTTCTTGCCATTCTTTCTCTCGTTTTGGCACCAATCGCCTATCATATTGTAGACATGCAACATGATATGATTCGGCAGTATGATGGGATATCTGCGGACGAGGTATTCCAATTGAGAACCACGTTTGTGTGTTCCCTGCTTTTTCCCACGGTTCTTTGGTCGGTAAAATTGTCCCTGATGTCGATCTCGCATCGGATCGTTGATAAGCAGCCGGAAAATGTGAGACGCTGCTGGTGGGCTCTGCTCGGGTTTGTGATTGTGGTGAGCACACACTCCTTATTAAACGTGTATGATAGTGGATACTGAGCTCCAGAATAGACATTTATTGGATGTCTGGTTGTCAGTTTCACTCGCTGCTCCAATTTTACCGACTCTTTTGACCCATGTAATCCACATCATTTTTTTTAAAGCCATATGTGTCCTAATTAAAACAAGCATCCTGCAAAACCACCCGAGACATAAACGCACAACTGGCCAGTTTCTATTTTGTCGTTGTTGTTGATATAATCACCGATATACTAAGTATAATCCCCGCATCGAACGTTCTTCTCACGGAATTCTGATAGCAAATATCTTAGTTATGATATTCCCCATCATAGTCCTCCGAAAGGTTCAAATAAAACGATCTCTATACCTCCGTACCAGTGTGATTTTCTCCGTCGGAACACTCTGCATTGTCACAGCACTCTGTCGAGGCATCACACTTGGTGTCGGTATGGGCTTGGACATGCCTACATTTCCATGGCTTGCATTTTGGGGTTTGGTTGAGGGCGGAATAGGTGAATATAACTCCATCTTCAAAGTAATTATAATGACTGACATAACTTACTTAAGCCATTGTTGTCGGATGTCTCCCAGCTTATGCTACGCACTATATCTGGATGACTACTCGCAATGCAAGAGCATTCACCTCTTACGAAATTCGCGGCTCGTCGAATACAAGCAAGGCCCGCACGGTAACGACTGTATGCAGCACGTCATCACATCATTCTCCCGTAGAAGACTATCCGCCTCCACAACTTGGTGGGATTCTTAGAACTTACGATATTCAGGTAAGACCTGCTTGTCGTCCTCTGTTGGCACTACTAACATTGTGAAGATCGGTTCGGTGGATAGAAGCGAGGGTTCTAAAGAGGCCAAACAGGAGATTTAATATTTTGTATATTATTAATCTGTCCATTATGTTATTGTTAATTATATTTCATGTTGCCAAAGTCAAGTTTATAGAAGACGGATAATGATTGGTTGAGAGCGTCCATATAGATGCTGGCCGAGGTGCTAACCGAAAGGGGAGACCAACTTAATGTTATCTGTTAACTTCGCGTCATTGACCATTCTTCTTACAGGCTTACAGCCTTCTTGTCACTTCAAGCGCTATGTGAATACCTAATTAAAATTTCATCTCCACTGTCACAATCCGCCATCCAACCCCATCCACCCCGCTGCATTTCTCGGGGAAGCTCGCAAAGCTGGTTTTCGTCATGGACGGCCTTGCGAACATCAAACGGCTAACGTCCCTTTTGTGCCTGGCTTCTGTCGTGACCCCGGGTGTGCTTGCATCAAAGAGACCCTTCAGCATTCATGATGACGTCCTTGCATTTCCCCAGGTATGCCCATCATATCCAAAAAAAAATAATACCAAGCTAGTTATGCTCATTCAATTGTACTACAGTATGATGTCGTGTTCCCGGAAGAATATATTCTAAAGTCAGAAGCAACCGCACTTTTAAAGCTTCAAGAAGAGAAATCGTTAACAAATCGAGCCGCTACGACTGACGATAAATCCAATAACCACGAACTAGATCGACTCTCATCGCAAAAGCCACTTCGAGGAGGAGCAAAGGATGGCAAAAAAGACCATTCAATAGACTGGAACGCAAAGGATTTACTTGCGCAATATCGTTATAAGGAGATGACATTGGATGGCCTGCGATATCTCTGCAACATCCCCCGTGTCAGTGATACAATGGAAAACAATTCGACGGCCGAAGCGCAAGCCGAGGATGGAGGAAATAAAACAGAGGAAGAGAATGAGATAACGCGTGCTACGGATCGGGGGCTGGAGCTGCTGCAGGAAATGGAAGGCACGTGCATGTTCTACGTGTCCGGGTGGTGGTCATATTCCTTTTGCTACAAGAAGGCCGTGAAGCAATTTCACGCTTTGCCAGCTGGACCCGGCGTGCCGAATTATCCTCCTATGGAAGATCCCGCGACGCATTCGTTCGTGTTGGGGAGATTCCACCAGGATGAGGACGAGGAAGATGGTGAAACGGACCAAACGAAACAGCCCAAGACCGAGGTGGCCGAGTTGCAGACGAAAGGCGAGTCGAGGTATCTCGTTCAGAGGTTGGGTGGAGGGACAACCTGCGATCTTACTGGAGCCGAACGCAAAATCGAAGTGCAGTTTCATTGCCATCCTCAAACTACCGATAGGATTGGGTGGATTAAGGAGCTTACGACGTGCTCTTACCTGATGGTCATTCATACACCGCGGTTATGTCATGACGTGGCATTCCAGCTACCACAGCCCGAGGATGTACATGCGATTGAGTGCAGAGAAATACTGGACCCAGAAGAAATTGCCGATTTTGAGGCCATGAAAGCCCACCATGATCGCCAAAAGCTAGTGAATTCCGGAAGCGAAGAGTTATATCCTGTCGTCGGAGGAATCCAGGTCGGTGCGAAGAAACAGGTCGGATCTGAGGGCAAAGTCATCGAAAAGGGCCGTATAGCCAGCATCAGTGAGGAGAAAATCCAAATTGTTGCCAAGCGCGAAAATGGCGATCGGTCTCAGTTATCGAAAGAAGACATGGAGAAGCTCGAATTGAACCCTAAGGAAGTGGAGGCGTTTCAGAAAAACCTTGATAAAATAGCCAAGGGCAAAGACTGGAGGCTGGAGCTAGTCCAAAGCAACGGAGCGCGTATACTGCAGGGCATTGTCGACACTGACGAGGAGCCTAAGGCTGCGGAGGACGACAAGAAACCAGAACCTCCAGTAAAGGACAATGCGAAGAAGATTGATGATAAAAAGAAGGAGAAGGCAAAGGACGACTCTTCCTCAGGTGACGAAACAGGGAGCGAGGAGGTGTTTAAGGAAGAGTTATGATTCTACACAGCGTGTACTTTGTATATTCCAGCGTCCTAGCTTTGTAAATACTATGATTTCCACCCACTGCCCGTAGACATCGATTGATTGTTGTTGGTGAACAGGTTTTGGAAGCTATAATTGTAATTTCCTTTTACGTACACTGCAGAGCCTATTCCAAGGACCGACCGGGTGGTGTAGTTGATATGTGCTCTGAATTTATCTGGATATTGTCGTCCAAAGTCATACTGGATGACCTGAGTGCCAACTACAATGTCTCCAACTACGGTCTTTTCCCCATTACTATTTGTTGGCATTCCTCCACAAATGCCCACCAAACAACACTAACCTGAGTCCAGTATTACTAGTAAATACTAAGTAATAATAGTATTGTGATATGATGACTAAGGGCGGGTTAGCGTGCCAAGACTAGATCGTGCCGGGCCCGGCCATGCAACGTTTCCGACTTGCTTCAACCCCCTCGGACGACCCCGACAACGACCTCCGTTCTCGACACGGTCAGGGAAGCTACACTAGCCACGCCTCTCGTATCCTCTTGGCCCGGCGATCTTTGGTCCTCGCGTCGGATAGCCACCCCAAACCACACCTCACCAACACGTGGGCGACGGTCGGTTAGCTGGTAGAGCTGCGCGAAGCAGCTGAGCGTGGTTGCAGCCCATCCGTCACATCCACCATGGGTTTTGTCGGCGTCTACACCGCGGTCTACGACTATCAGCCGCAGGGCGAAGGCGAACTCCAAATCCACGAGGGAGATCTCCTCTACGTTCTCGAGAAAAGTGCTGATGACGACTGGTGGAAAGCCAAAAAGAAGGCTGATCCGGAGGACGAGGAACCAGTGGGACTTGTACCTAGCAACTACGTTGAAGAGGTAAGGGGTGCTCCGTCTATGCGATTGCTATATGGCGACGATGAAAGATAATATAAGACTCTCAATGAGTTGACGCTGGTTATGAATCGTTGTCGGGCTCGCACTACCCCCGTATTATCCTTGTTTACTAATTATCTTGTTTCATCTAGACGCACCCTGTCAGCAACGCTAAAGCACTCTATGATTATACACGGCAGACAGACGAAGAAGTATCATTTTCCGAGGACTCAGAATTATTCGTATACGACAGTTCTGATCCGGACTGGACATTGGTCGGAACGGGGTCGGATTTTGGATTTGCCCCTGCGAATTATATACAGTTGCTAGGAGCGTATGTTGCTCCAAATGGCCATGGTGAACATGACGAGGAGCCAGAAACAGCATATGAATCTGCGCGTACAGTTCCGGAGCGAGAGCCCTCACCACCAGCCCCATCACTGCCACAGCGGCCAGTACATGCTGAACCGGAGGAGTACGAGGCTGCGGAATCGACTCATGCAATCCCAGACTCGAGCCCTGCCGCGGCGATTGCCGGAATATTGCACAAACAGCATGGGTCAATGTCGTCGCATGACACTTCTCGTGTAGTTCATGCGGTGCCTCAGCCAACCGCAGCAGTGGAGGAGGAGGACGAGCCCGCACCAGCGCTCCCCAGGCGCCCGCCTTCGCAGGTGCAGCAGACCCTCGAAACAAGACACTACGAGCCTCCAGAGGAAGTGTCACCACCGCAGCCTCCTCGACCCCAACCCTCTCAAATTTCCGTCACTCGGGACAGCGATGCGCGAGTCCAAGAATCGCCCCCTTTTAGCCGCGTCGGTTATTCAGCGCCGTCTCCTCATTCCCCATCCGGTTATCGCATCTATAACATCAATGAAATGATATCAGTCATGGGCAAGCGGAAGAAGATGCCTACGACACTAGGTATCAACGTACCTAAAGGAACAGTCTTCATATCGCCAGATGGATCGGATGACGATTCTCAGGAGGAGTGGACGGCGGATAAACTTACGCACTACTCAATTGAAGGGAAACATGTATTCATCGAACTCGTTCGGCCAAGCAAGAGCGTTGATTTTCACGCCGGCTCCAAGGACACTGCCCATGAAATCGTCGCTGCTCTAGGCGAAATCGCAGGTGCATATAGGGCTGAAGGATTAAGAGAAGTAATCGAAGCAGGCCAAGGTGGTGCCAGTTTACAAAAGAAGGGACAGATGGTATATGGTTTCAAGGCTCAAGGAAATGATGAGGTGACAGTAGCCGCCGGCGACGAGGTTATCGTCTTGGACGATACCAAATCAGAGGAATGGTGGATGGTGAGGCGACTTAAGAACGGCCGCGAAGGTGTCGTCCCTAGCAGTTACGTTGAGGTTACAGGGATCGTGGAAGCGTCTCCAGCGACCGGTAAAACAGGGCGGTCAACTGTTGATCGGAACAGACAAGAAGAAGAACGGTTAACAAAGGAATCCATTCGGAAAGCACAGCGTGATTCGGTGGACTCTCCACGTTCTGAGGTAGGCCCAGGAATGAAGCTCCCCGAAAGACGGAGCAGTCGGCTTGCATTGAATGGTGGTAACTTTAGCTCACAGCGTCACAAACGTGAGAAATCTGATAAAAGCTCAAAGTCAAGTAAGCGATAGCTGGACGTTGAATTAAGTGTTATATACTAACGGTTCTATAGAACCCGACGCCTCGAAGACCAGGAGTTGGACAGACAGAACGGGCACATTCTCGGTCGATGCTCAATTCATCGGTCTACATGACGGAAAGATTCATCTACACAAGATGAATGGCATTAAGATCGCTGTGCCAATCGCTAAAATGTCTGTTGAAGATCTTGAATATGTCGAAAAGGTCACGGGACAATCGTTGGACGAAGACAAACCTCTATCAGATATTCGACGCCGAAGCCTACAGCAGAAAGAAAGGGAAAAGTCGGAAAAGACCGGTGTCCATGTCAAAGAATACGACTGGTTTGACTTCTTTCTTAAGGCAGGCGTTGGACCTCATCAATGTGAGCGATATGCTCAGAACTTTAGTAAAGATTCGATGGATGAAGCAATTCTACCCGACATCAGCGCCGAGACTCTCCGTACACTGGGCCTAAAAGAGGGTGATATCCTCCGTGTCATGCGGCACTTGGATACGATGTTCAATCGAACTGGTTCCAAGTCCGGGTTGAGAAATGTCAGCTTTGGTGGCCAGGAGGTTATTGGAAACGGTGAGGAGGGCGGTTTGTTCTCTGGGCCTGGTGGCACTCTTCGGAACAATACGACACGCAAAGGTCGTCCTGCTCCTGCTGTGCAAACTGGTGACGTCGATCCCAAGGCATTTGAGGCCAAAGATTCCAGTAAACCCGTCGAGAAGGCGAGCACCCCAACGAGCTCGACGCCTACTCCGACCGTCTCCAAAGCTGAAACCGGGTTTGACGACGATGCGTGGGATGTCAAACGCCCCAAAGATCTACCAGCTGCAACTGCACCAGCACCAGTTGCCTCTCCACCTGTGACTGCACAGGTGGTGACGGAAGCGCCTAAGCCAGCCGCACCAGTTGGTGCGATGGCTGATCTGTCACTCCTTCAGGCACCTTTGCAACCTAATCCTGCACCGCCTAGCCAGCCAGTGTCAACAGCACCTGTACCTGCCCCGGTTCCGGCTCCAGCTCCGGCTCCAATTCTGCCTCAGCAAACTGCGGTCTCCATCGCTCCTCCTGCCCAGCAGCCGCAGGTGACCGGCGCAAACCCAAGTTTTTTCTCCCAACTTGGGGCTATTCAGCCACAGCAAACTGCTGTCCCAGGTCAGCAACAAACCTTGGGATTCTCTCTACAACCTCGTCAGAGACCTACAGCTCCTCAAAGCATAAACCAGAACTCGCTGCTTCCTCCTCCACCACAGCGACCATTGTCCGCGCCCCAAGACTTCCAAAGTCAGTTTGGTCCTCCACCATTGCAGCCTCAATTGACTGGTATTTCTCGCAATATCCCTCAATTAGCACCCCCGGGACAGAGTTTATCCGAGCTCAACCAACAGCGATTCCAGCCACAATTTCAGACCCAAGCTACTGGATTCCCTCAACAGTTCCAAAATGGCATGATGCCTCAACCCACAGGGTTCGCGCAACAACCTGTCTCTCAATTTGGGATTCCGCAACAGCAATATGGTGTTGGCCAGCAGTTCGGAGGACTGCCACCACAACCTACTGGGTTTGGAGGCTTCTCTGCTCCTCAGCAACAACCAATGCAGACAGGGATCAACTCAGCACTCCCACCTGCACTACAGCCTCAACGGACCGCTGTCAATGGATTTGGCACTAGCATCAGCCCCCCTCCTGTTCCACCAATTCCCCAAACACCAGCTGCCCCATTGCAGCCCCAGAAAACTGGGCCCGCGCCTCCAATCCGGTTTGGAGTCAAGGCAGATGCCAAAAAGCTTGCTCCTCAGCCAACTGGAATGCGTGCCAATCTTGCACAAGCTAGTAAGTTACCATCTTCGCTTACACATGATATCTAGCTAACCGTCTCTTAGCTCCTGCGAATCCCTTTGGATTCTAGTCTCCGTTCATCCTTTTTCTTTTTTGTCGAAATGGTGCCATGGAACGCAGCATGCATGTTAAATGACATCTCATATTCACTTCCTACGTCTTAATAGTGATGAGCTCACCTTTTATTCTCTGTTTCTCTTTACAAGGAAAAATCTTTTTTTTTAACGTCTCTAGCGTCCATACTTCTGCTTGCTCAGCGATTCTAGAACGTCTGATGGTGACTTGTCGGCTGGTTGTCCTAATATCGGTTGTACCTGTACCATCTGGTTGCTTCCCTGTGTCTATATCAATCTCTTCATTCTCGCCACTTTTCTTTTTTTTTTCAGATCTGCATAATGTACTTTTTCTGTTTGGAGCCTTTTTGCGCTGGTATTGCTTTTGTTGTTTTTGATCAAGCATGTTATTTTTTTCACCGACAAACTTTGCTGTTTCAAAATTTGTCGTTTTCATGGGATTTACAAACTTGAAGTGTCTTGCGGATTGATTATCTGCAAGCGTCTATGCGCATGGAAGGTGGAATCTAACCTTCGTGACAATCTTGCCCCTCGCTTTCTTTTCGATGTACATAAGTCATGTGCATAGATGATAGTATATAATCAAAATGTACGTATGATGTATGTTCTATTACATACATGATATTAAATATCAACTAGAACTTCAGCAATTGAAATTTGCAGGTCAAGTACATTGATATGTAGTTATTCAGTCGTAATGTTAACTTTCATATGCAAAGTTATCTGAAAGGCGAGTGAGAATATTTTGCCCAAAAAATCAAACGTAAATTCATTAATATATATCCCGCGCAACACCACACAATCCGGTCGATATATTCATTAAAAAGTAGTAAAAAAAAAAAAGGAAGCTTCGTTATCATATTAGTACACAGATCAGGCAGCAGCATACAGCCGCACTTTCACGCTCGCATGTGCCACAGTCAAACTGATTCTGAGGTCAGGCTGAGTCAATTCGGGTTGCGCGTTCTCCACACGCTCGAATTTCTGCAGCAGGCGCACCAGGACATAGCTGGCTTCGGCAAGGGCGTATTGTTCTATAAATCTATTAGCGTCTCCCTCCCCTACTCTCCTGTTTTTTATGCAGGTGGGTGGACTGGGGTTTACTTACGGCCAAGACAAATTCGTGGCCCACCGTTGAACGGCAGATACTCCCATCCATGCTTACTATTCTCTTCCCAGCGCTCGGGTCGGAAGTCCTCTGCATCTTCCCCCCACAGATCCCGCCTGCGATGCATCAGGGCAACGCTATAATTAACTTTTTGGCCCTTTGGCACGAAAATCGGAGACTTGCCGTCTGGGCCACCGCCGACGGGGAGCGTGGTGTCGGTTGTGGCCCAGCGAGAGTTGAATGAGACGGGCGGGATGAGACGGAGGACTTCGTTCAGGAAATACCGCAGATACTTGACCTCGCGCAGCCGCTCGATGGTGATGCGATCGGCGGTTTGGGTGGCGGGGAAAATGTTGAGGATTTCCGTGCGGAGTCGGGCCCAGACCTGTGGGTGGCGGGAGAGATAGTAGAATGACGAGCTGAGTAGACTCGCCGTTGTGTCGCGGCCCGCGAGGAGGATGTTCAGCATCTGATCGCGGAGGGCAATCCGGTCTTGGGTCTCGCGAGCGACAGCCTCGAGGAAGACGTATCGCGACTCTGTGTTGCCGATGAATTTCTCTTCTTCGGAATGGTTTTGTTTGGCCAGTGCTTGGTCGACGTAGTAGTCCACCACGTCGTGGACAAGCTTGACGGCTTCACGGAATCGGCGCGGGTTGACGAGCCAGTAGAAGTTTTGGGCGCGTGCTCGGTGGATCAGGCCGTCCTGCGAGGCGTTAAAGGCGTACGCGAAGCCTTTCTCGCCGCCAGCAATAGCCAAGGGCCCGGTTGCGGAGGCCTTTTGGGGTGAGAGGCAGTGGGTGGATTCGCCGAAGAGGAATTCCGTGGCGGTGTCGAGGGTGAGGCGGAAGAAGTAGTCCTGGATATCAAAGGCGGTGCCGTCGGAGGGGATGGCATGGAATAGCTGGTCGACATGCTCGCCCAACATGCCGACATCCGCGACCTGTTCTCTCGCGAATTGCGGACGAAGCATTGCGCGCGAGTGCGACCATCCCGCGCCGTCGAGCGTAAAGATGCCATTTCCAAGCAACGGGAAGAACAGGCGGTGTCTGGCTCCCAGATCGAAATCCGAGAATTGGGTCGCAAGAATCGCCTTGATATTTTCGGGTTCGAGGGTGTTCAAGGCTTTCAATCCGAGGATGGTCCGCTGGAAAGTATGACCGCCGACAGCAAATGACTCCCTGGCAGCTTCAAGAGCCCGTTTCTCTTTAGCGGCTTTGGCGAGCTCGAGATATGTCCCGATGCCAAAGAAGGGCTTTGAAATATCCTTCGCGGGGAGGCATCCTAGAGCGCGCGCTTTCCTGCGGGTTTGGATTTTTGTGAACACTGACCGGAGGAGTGAATACAAAACCCAGGTCACAAAGAGACCAGCGGCGAGGTGCGAGTATGGGATGGCCATGTTGGATGGTTTTTGATGTAACCATCACGATAAAGGATGGGCTCAGGGCCAGTATTTATTCCATGGTGTGCCGAGCTAACAAGTTAACTAACTATAAGTGGTCGGGGCTTTGCAATCACCAATGCAACCCATTGGATTCGATGGGATTAATGAGCTAGTTAGTTCGCTGTTACCCACATGCATCGTACTCTGGTTGAACATGCTTTCTTGTTGGCATCATGGAAAAGGAAACAGAATATAAACCTAATACCACACCATCATGCACATGTTCCTTCGTTCATTAATGAAGGATTAAGTAGGCGGTAAAAAAGCAGCAACTATGACGTAAGCTCGTATTGCGCATGTCGTTCGCAATACCGTTGCCTTGAGCATGAGCCAGGCAGTCAGGCCGAGGACCTAAGCTCGATGATGAAACATCACGAAGTGGGGTGAGACAACACTAATCGTATGTGATACCTTATAACGACTGTGTATCCAACCTCGTCTTTAGTATATTAACACTAGCGAGTCGTACATATCCAACATGGACTCACGAGCAAATGCGAGGTTGTTCACGAAGGGAGTGGCAAAATAGACACCCGGAGTCGGCATTGGCAGACTTTCGAAGCCGTACAAGCGGGAGAGTTGTTCACCCGTTCTCCGTTGATATAGGTCATTGCGGGGAAAGCCGAGGCTGTGCCATTACGTATCCATCGTATCCATCGTATCCACAAACACTATGCACGGATTGTTGTTCACAACGTGCACCTTCGACTCTTTCCCATCCTGTCATCGTCTTATGACCGCGAACAGTGTGCATAGTAATGTTCAGTCATGCGTACTTGAGATGTCGACATAGCGAGAAAAGGCACTGCAAGTTCTTTGATCCGCCATGGAAACGTCATTAGATGCATGGAGGCGTTCACCAAAATGGCCTGGTTCATCATTGCCGATCCGATGGCGTCGGTCGGGATTCAAGTGCATGAGCCTAGGCGTCCTGTGTAACTCCACAAACACTTTCACTGTCCGTCCGATATGAACCCTTCTTTGTTCTTGTGGGTAAGGTAACGGAGGATATTCAGTTGCAATCCCTGCATGTCGTCGCCCAGTACATCATTTCAGTCTAAAAATAGATATTAGCAGTACACCCACATCTTTGTTATGTTCATTCATTTTGCCTTTCTTTGTTAGGCAGCCGTCGTAACAGGATACGCCATAAGAAAGCTCCTTTTTTATCCCTCTCATCACGACGTTGTTTGCGGATGCGCTCCTGTTTCAACATATATGATAAGCATGCTTTATAGTTGCCAATATGTAACGTCTCGTCTCCTTTGGATTGACCGCCGATAGTAGTCTTCGTCTGACTACAGCGGCCGATTTATTTGGGTCTTAGCGACAAAATTCGTAATTCAGTAGTAAACTTTATTGACACGCGTAGTTGTGATATTCGAAAAATAATATATGGTATTTATATTTCATGGCTTATTTATATAAGGCAGGCACTCAGGGGGCCTCACGAGGGGTCTCGGGGGGCCCTGGCATCATTATAACCATAGCTTCAGGCTAACAAATACGGCCAACATCGTCTTCAGCCTCAAAGGTGGCCAATCAAAGGACTTTCTGCTCCTACTGAGGCCTATATGAGACGACCTTCCCGAAAGTATCCGATTTTCCCCATATTCCATGCCTCAAGCACATCAATTGCACGATCTGCGAATGATCCACGAACAAATTAACGTCCAGACCAAACTCTCGAATATACCAATTGTAAACACTAGGATCGGCGGCCTCAAACATGACTCGTTCAGGCGGAAGTTCTTTGACGATGGTGCTCACAACATCCGTCCGCCATGACTTGACATTCTCCGTGATTCCCTCAGACTCAATCATCAACCGCTCCACACCTGCGTCCAGAAATTTCTTCCCCATGTTGATCAGCTTTCCCGGGTCAGACGTCCCGATAGCTTCTAGCTCGCTGGCTACGGTGTCGCCGCCTGCTCCGAATTGAATGCCCAGTTCGGGTTTGGCTTTGAGTCCGTATGAATGCACCTTGTCTATCATTCGCAGCCAGTCGTCACCGGGAATGCTCAGGAAGCCAGATGATATTTCAACTACGTCGAACCTGGTTTCTTTTAGTCTATGTCCAACTCGTTTCGACGATCAACTCACCCGAGGTCCCTGCATTTTTTCAGATACTTGTCGAATACCGATTCCACGTCTGCATGGGTGAGCAGATGCTCAGCCCATCCACCCTATCAAAATCTCAGTACTAGGCTCCGTCCCAGTGTTAACTAGCGGAGCATTACCGTTGATACATAAACATTGTACGAATGGGCCAAATCGATGAGCTCCCGCAATGGCTTTTCTTCAAAGAGAGCGAAAGAACCTATCAAACCAAGTCAGCTCAGACATACGCGAGAAGCTTCCTGTTGCTTGTGTGAAGAATGATTACCCCCAGCAAACTTCAACCCATCCACATGTGTGCCCATACTATTACCTCAGGTCTCTATCAGCTAACTCAACCACACATAATGGTAAACAGCGCTTACGTTTCCAGAATATCAGCCAAGTACCGCTTTCCCATGACCTAAAAAGATCATTCTTAGCCAGCCCAAATACTTTACCCCAGGACAGGCAGGTTATACTGTATAGTAAGGCCCTCTGATCTCCGTGACACCTTTACTCCTTGGTTTCGTCGGTCGAGGATTTGATCGAGCGAACCCAAAACCATTGGCTTTGTCTTGTAGAAGGATGGACGTGTTATCCTTTCCGTTGGAATAGGAGGTAGTAGAAAACGCATGCTTTGCTCTTGTTGCTCTGGTTATTTGAGACAGGCCATTTCGGACTGTGTTGTATTTAGTCGCGTTGGTCAAGGGACGGATAGAGAACATAGTTTTCAATCAATGAATTGATGTATGTTTCCAAAGTAGCTGTCTGTTGTATTTATTTGATGATATCATGCTTCGTTGTTTCATTGTGTCCCGCTCAATGTTGTTTCTATTGTTTTATCCTATTGATACACACGCAAGATGATACACAATTGACGTCAGAATGAGAACACAAAATACACGTCACAGCACAGTCTGCCCGGCTATGACTCGGAAACTGCAAGATCGATCATTGGGAATGGCCATCGTGAATCATCATAAAAAAAGTTTTAAAAAAAGAGCGATAGATGATCAATTGGTGTTTTCTCAACGTTAAGGAACTGTGGCACGTGGGCGCGTAAATATAACCCCCTCCTTAGATGTACGCTGGACCCCAAAATAATGGATAACCATGGATAACCATGAATAAGACGGAGTGGCGATCTCAGCCAACTGATTATCATAAGATCAAATCCCTTGTGGCGCCTTATGGGTCTCGGATGATCGGATCAGCCCACATCAACAACTTCATGCTCGGAATTTACAGAATCCGAATCCCGCTGTGTATTCAACTACGTTAAAACGTTGGATCAGGCATTTCGACCTGTTGACAGGTTAGTTATTATACGTGCTAACTATTTCTTTTGCTTTTGTCTAGATGCCAAGACTGGCTAATAGTATGCTGCTAACCCTGGGGCGCGTCATGCTTTTATCATTCTCATCTTAAAGTCTCATCATGAAGCTGTAAGGCTAGGGGGGTTGGAAGGAAACCTCGCGCGCGTATCGAGCCGAAAGCTCAGACTGTATAACCTGAGCATGCTGTAGGAGAATAGTCTGGATTTCATGCAAGACTTTTCACTTGGTCCCACCAGTGTATGTGTGTGCGCTACCTGAGCATGTGCCCACCTTCCCGAATCGGCTTTGCATTATCAATCACTGATCAGCCGAATGATTATCGCGAGACCAGCGATCTCCCCGAAAGCCTGAAAATCATTGGCCCGAACGGGACCTACAAGGCAAATGCCTAGATCAATACTGGTTAGCTCTTGTAGTTGAAGAGTCGGAACCGGCGACATTTAAGAAAATCTAGAGAGCTCTGCTCATTGCCGTGAACAGGGAATAACCGTGGCATTATAAATTAATTGGAGCCTCGAACTGTAGTATATCTCTTGGCATGGGCATAACTTCTCTCCGTCTGCTTTTTTGTACATGACGATCACTTCATGTTGTATTTATGTTGTTTAGCTTCCGGACTTCCGGGGAGCCAAGTTTCAATCATGTACGGACATAAGTAAATCAGGGGTGGTTCAATCAATAACAATGTCGGACCCCTTTGTGACATTGCTTCCAGACTTCTTTTTCCTTGCTGTAAATCCCAACATATTCCTGGACACAAGATATCCTCGTTTTCAAGGTGTGGTGAGAAATCGCTAGCATTCACAGCATTACCATGGGCGTAGGAGGCATTCTGGAGCCTTTGACTGTCATCGTCCTTCTTTTTGGAGGGACATGGATCAATCGAGAGACCCATGGCTCGCGACGCTGTCCCAGAATTTCTCAATCTCGATTGCATCATAAGCAGTCTCTTTTGTCGACGGAGGAGTATAAGACAAAAAGCAGGAATGATGTATTCGACCCAGAAAACATCACCGACAAGGATGAAGCGTTGGTCAACAGACCTTTGTCACCATCACTACTTGTTCAAGACGAGGAGCAATGGAGGAAAAGAACAGTGGGAAGTGGCTTGTATAAAATCGAGATTCACACACCCAATACCGCTGTCTTTCGTTGTCGTATGTTGAGTCGTCTTCTCCGAAGATTCCCATTTCTGGTGGAGTGCTGGTACTGGGCTTTGGTGTACTGGGTGAGCAAGAAAAATAGTACCACTGATTCACTGTTTCAGAGATCACTGACATATTTCGCTTCCAAAACAGACATACCAGCTCGGTCGCGCCTTTACCGCCGTCACGCTTAAAGAAAACACCGTTGATGTCGCAAGAGAACATGCCCTGCAAGTGATCCGAGTGGAGCAATCACTCGGGATTTTCTTCGAACTTGATATCCAGCAGTTCTTTTTGCGCCATCCGTTGTTGATGTCGTGGACGAATTGGATATACTCTTTCATCCACATCCCCGGTACCATTGCGTTTTTGGTATGGCTCTATTACTACACAACCACGAGGAATTCGCTTGATCACCAAATGCCCAGTCCTCTGAACCACGGCGTCGATGGCTCGCCCCCCGGTCCACCACTGTATGCTGCGCGCAGACGGACTTTGGCTGTGTGCAACCTGCTCGCCTTCATAGTCTTTACTCTGTGGCCATGTATGCCTCCTCGTCTGCTGAGCGACTCCCAAGTCCCAGGGCAAATCGGTGAACTTTCCCGGAGTTATGGATTTGTCGATACTGTACATGGCAAAAATGGTGCTGGCAGCGTTTGGACTGAAAATAGATTCTGCAATCAATACGGTAAGCCTGGAATCCGCTATCGTACCTCAAAATAGGATGGCTGACCGGGGAATGTAAATAGCTGCAATGCCGTCACTTCATTTTGGTTATTCCTTGATGATCGGTCTGACGATCATGACAATACCCTTGCCGCCCAAGCACCGTCGGTCGAAAGCAATGCAAATGCCTCTTTCCAGTCGTATCAGCATTCGACTTGCTCTTCCGTCATGGCGTCGCATGCTTTGCCTTGCGCTAGGCGTCGCCTATCCTTTGACCATTTTGGCTGCTATTATCGCTACTGCCAATCACTTCATCCTGGATGCGGTCGCCGGTACGATTGTTTGTGTTCTCGGTTGGTGGGCAAACCCGGTCTTATTGAACCTGCTTCCACTTGAGGACCATTTTCTCTGGATTCTGCGCCTCCATAAGCCAGAGAGACGGGTCATTGATGTTTATGAACGCGCAGAACAACAAGGCGATGATGGAACAATGGCACACGCCACCTTCATTGAGTAATTCGCTACATGCATTGTCTATATCGCCCCATTGTCTTGAATTAGTACAAACGTCTGCTATCACCACTAACGTATATCATATATGTAACGAGCTGAATACTAGCGATGACTCATCTTGAGCCATTCACATAGTAATCGCCGGTCAATTCATGGCTTGTAAGAATTTGACGATCTTTCAGGAAGCTGTTGAGCAACTAGCACGCTTGACTAATTTCTGCAGGTAGCTTGCATCAATCTCTGGGAGTCTATCAAGGTGACCCTGATTTTATCTGCATTCCCTATTAGACTGGACCACAATTGTCCAAGGTTCCATGACACCCACATAGCATCTAGCGGCAGTATTATCGTGATTCATCCAATGTAGTTATAAATATAATGATTGAGGTCGTAACGGCTGCAGCGCAAGGATTAGGAAGGAAGTTGCGTCATTGGCCAGAGGAAGCTCCCAGCGGCTATTCCCTATTCGGACTGCTCCCGTCGCGTTGCGCCCGCCGCCACGGCAAACCGCCGTGGTCTTCGCGACCCTGTCTTGCCTGCCTTGTCTGCTCCACACGATTGTCCTGCCTACTTCACTCCTCAACTTCTCCCGCCCACTTGTTGTTTCCCACAGTAGTCTGCCGCTGTCGTTCCCATTCATACTCCCCAGATAATCCGGTCAATTTCTATTCTCCCAATCCCTGCGCACCATGTCTGAGGAATCTCCGGCCGTCCCTGCCGTCGCCGCAAACGCTGGAGATTCGCGACCCGACGCTGTTGAGTCTCAGCCGGAACCAACCTCAAACGAGCCCGTCCTCGATCGGGCTGATGGAAAGCCGACTACCAGTGAAGACAAACCTGCAGGTACGTGCATCGTCATTTTATATCCACGTTTCCTGTTGCTGTCGCTAACCTGCTGGTGTTCACAGAGCCTACTGAAAAGAAACATGATGCCACTGCGCCCGCTGAGGGTGCGGATACGAACGGCAAAGAGGAGGCCACGGATGCTCAACCTGTCAACGGCACTCCTGCAGCCAAGCCTTCGGTGGCACGGCGCAAATCGACTACTGGGGGTTCGTCAGCTAAGAAGCTGAACAAGAAGAAGTCGCAGCAACGTATCCTTCATCTCGACGCACAACCCGGAGAGTACTACCTTGCTCGCTTGAAGAGTTTTCCACCATGGCCATCTATTATCTGCGATGAGGAGATGCTTCCCCAAAGTCTTCTCAGCACTCGCCCAGTGACTACGAAACAGGCAGATGGCACATATAATGAAGCATACGCTGACGGTGGCAAGCGAGTTCATGACCGAACATTCCCAATCATGTTCTTGGAAACGAACGAGTTGTAAGTCTACTGTCCGCAGAATGGGAAAAAGCACGCTAATATGACGTTGAACTGCAGTGCCTGGATCCCAAACACTGACCTGACTCCTCTGGATCCCGAGTCGTGCAAAGAAGTCAATGAGAAGGGCAAACAGAAACAACTCATCGCTGCGTATCAGGTCGCTGCTGCCAACCACGATCTCAATTACTTCAAATCCCTATTGGCTGACCACCAGCGCGCCGTCCAACAGGAGCTAGATGAGCGTGAAGCAGCCGCTGCCGAGAAAGCAGCCCTAAAGGCTCAGAAAGAAGCCGCCAAAGAAGAGAAAAAGAAGAAGCGAAAGAGTGTCGCCGCCGAGAACGATGTGGAGATGGGTGACGCTGAAGATGGGAAAAAAGCAAAGGCCACTAAGAAACGCAAGAAGGACGTCGAAAGTGACGGTGAAGTCGAGAAGGTGAGATTGGATATTTTCTTGCGAATGGACCGGTGTGACTGATGTTGCTAATAGTCTAACAAGACTCCCAAAACCACCGCCAAACTCAAATTGACCACTCCCCGAGATCCCAACGTTGCTGAGAAGGGAGCCACTAACAAGGGCAAGAAGACTGCGAAGAGGAGCGAGGAGCCTGTTGTGAAGACGCCAGAACCTCCAAAGATCGATCCCAAGGAGGCATTTGAGAGGAAGAAAAAAGACGGTAAGTGTTCTTGGCGTGAAATGCCACATGGTCTGTCCCTAATAGTTTCTAGTCCTTTTTATCCGGCATAAACTCCAGAAAGGACTTCTTTCCCGAGAACATCCGCCGCAGGAGGAGGAGATGGAAAATATGGCAACCTTTATCACGAAATTGGAGAATCACGGCGAAATTGAGGTGTCCATTATCCGTGAGACCAAGATTCAGAAGGTTTTGAGAGCAATTATCAAATTACCATCAATTCCCCGAGAGGAAGAATACAATTTCAAGAAACGAGCCCTCGATATCCTATCTTCGTGGAAGAGTTTGCTAGAGTCCGACCTGCCTACCTCCGACAAGCAGGCTGATGCTCAAAAGCTCAACGGCCTCGAGAAGGAAGAGAAAGACGGCTCTGCAAAGCCGGAAGCCCAGGCTGAGGTCGAAACCGCAAAAGAGGAGGTGAAGGATGAAGTTAAAGAGATAAGCGAAACAGTAGAAACCAAGGACACGCCAATGCCTGATGCTGAATCTGGCGAGAAAGAGAAAGCAGTGCCCGAAGAGCCCGCTAAAGAAGAAGAAGCGCCTGTTTCCACTGAGGGAAAAGCAACCGAGCCAACTCCGGCATAAGTTGTATCCTGACTCGTCTTTTTCTCTTCTTTTTAACTGTGTTATTCATGATGATCGAATCGATGAACGAACGGGGGTATGTGTCTCTCTGGTACTTTTTTCTCTCTCCGCGTTTACTATTCATGACACGAGGTCTACCTCGTACTCTGGATTATGATTAATTTTTCTCATCCCTCATTTGATTCTGGACTGGGAAATTTGTTTAAAAGCCTTGCTTTGATATGCGTGAATATGCTTATTTTCTCGAATTTTTCTGTTGGTTGGAAAGTCTGCAGAGTGTAAATCTATCAATGCGTTGCGTTTTGTGAGTTACCATTTTTTTTGCTATTTTTTCCGTTTGATTCTCTGCGATTAGTCAAACCTACGTAAGGTGCGGAAACAAAAAGATCCGTTATTATTTCGTGATTGAATTTCTTTGCTTATTCGGGGCAGGCTCGGAATTTGATTGCAACATGGGCAGCAGCCAGTGACGGAACATTGCTTGAGTTTGTAACTAGAGAATGATCATATCAATTCGTTCAATAATAGCTCGATGCATCTACAAATGCATCAGTAAAAATAAAATCATTTCATTTCAAATCCACGTAAAAATAAAGCGAAAACCCAAATGAAACGTCATCAACAACATAATTAGATATCTCGAAATAAAAGTCGTGTATATATATTGAACATTACAATTTTCGTGACACCCCGCTACACATAGAATATCCATGTAGCATTGAATTCATAACCAAAAAAGGGGATACTATGGGTGACTTGCTTTTGGTGGTGAAGATATATGTACAACTAGTCATGTCTCATGTCCCCAGTTCCTAAACCGAACTGTCCAGTTTGTATCTTTTTAAAGTAAGATGTAATTTTTCAGCATCATTAGATAGATGCATCTAGAGCGAGATGTAGAAAGTAGTTTTCTATTCGGTTTTTGTCTGTCTTTCTTTAGTTGCAGAAACCATAGATAAATCCCAAATCCAAATCAGCCACGACGGCGGGTGGGCTTTGTAGATCGTGAGAAGAGTATCAAGTCTCTCGGAGTTATGTTTCTGGTAGCCTTCGCTCAGTGATGCTTCAAGCCGGTCTTGCCGTCGCCATTAGGCTTGACATCACCAAAATTGCGATAGACAGTGTCCCTGGCAGTTGATTTATTTTCTTTGATCGTTAAACAATTGATGCCGAGGAATGTCGTGATCCGGTTAATCACAAGGAATGCCCAGTGCATGTATGCGGTAAAGGCAAAAAGGAGATAGAATCGAAGGTACCAGAGCTCAAATGTAGCGCCGATAGCGGGGAGGCCGATGCGAGGCAGATTAGCGAGGATGGCACCCCCGATTAATGGGACCAACATGACCGTCCAGTATGGGAATGGTTGTTTGAGTAAATGGGCCAGTATGATTTTCGTAGTCATGCGGCCAAAAACAAACGACATGACGATGCAAAAGAGGACCAGGTGGTTGTTCGATAGCAGAGTCGAGTATGGGGAGAATAGCCAGCCCAAGACCGAGCCTGTAAAGACAAGAATAGGGGTCCATTCTAGGAAGATTGGTAATACTGGTAAGCCCTGGCGTCTGCGGGCCTGCGCAACATTGTAGACACATGCTGGTAGATGTGCAACCATAAATGATCCAAAGACGATACCCACCCAAAAGTCCAAGAAGGTATTCGTTCCGAAGATCTCGGGATGTCCGAAAACATCAGTCACTTGGTTGCGCCAGATCTGAGGGCCGTAGATGCCGGACGCAATCATGATTCCGATGGCAATGAGCAAGCCTTCAGTTGGTCCATTAAAGTAGCCGAGATACAAGGTATGTGTGTGGAAAGTCTCCCATGTTGAGAAAAACATAGGCAAGCACGGAACTAGAGCGGTGAAGGCGCCGAGTTGTGTAGCACCCAGCCCCATTGCGGCCGTCTCGAGCAAACTAGCAAGAGTACAGTTCAAAGAATCGATACCATGATCGAAGAGCTCGCCTAGTCCGCTTGAGGTACCTGTCCGACGAGCTTGTTTTCCGTCGATATTATCCAAAGTCGAATACATCCAGACACCGATGGCGAAACTGAAGTAGACCCATGTTGGCCCGGGGCCAACCAGGTCAGGCACAAAGATGGTTACAAAAGCAACATTCCCAATAATGAAGAAGAAACCCAATAGGGTCACCATATTGGGTGCCATCCATAGTGGGAGGAGTTCAACCGAGGCATTCCACTACCGAGTTTCTTCTGTCAGTAAACAAGCCGCATCCAACTATCAAGTGAAGAAAGCAGCCGGCTTACATAATGTTTGAGGATGTATCTGGAGATGAAAGACTTGTCCACACTGGAATATTTGTAGGATTTGAGAGGAAGGAGGTATTCGTCTGTGAGTGTGTTTTGGGTCTCTGTTGTTGGCAACCGGGGATTTTTCAGCCTCTCACACTCAATATGTCAAGAAGTTGTGGGCAAACTAACCTTGAACCATCTTGAAAAGCCTCGGCATATTGCCAATCTCGCCTCAGTCACGTCAAAAGCGCGTCGTCTAAGTCGTTATTGTCGTCCAGAATCAATTCATAGGGGTAAATAGCCGAAAACAAATTTGTATGTGGTGAAAGGGACAAATGGCAGAAACGAACAAGGGTCAATTGGAGTTGCCAGCTCGTCTAACAATGAAACACACTCATGCAAGAGAAGGAGAGAGAGTGAGCGTGGAATAAGGTCTCATCCAGCGACAATAATAATAAGTTCTTAGCGCCTGCTGCCTGTATTTAATTTATCCTACGGCTGAGAAGCCGAGGCGCCATCACGTGCCTGGCGGACCCGTACTTTGGCTGCGGACGGCTTGAGTCCGTGCTTTGCAGACTTACACCAACGGAGACTAGCCTGCGCAACGATACTCTACTGAGCTGCTTCATGTTGTCGCCTCTAGCCGATCACACTCCGATCACAAGACATCTTAGCCTCCTCTCGGTCAACAGAGTGAAGTTGCGCCTGCATCGACCAACCAGCCAGCTGCCTGCCGTCCCCCCTCACTCTCTGCTCGTGTGCCTCCCTGCCAGTACCTCACTCCTCCATTCCGCGTGTGATCAGGTTGCACGCAAATCCCGCTCTGGAAGTCATCTGCGCGGTGCTCCCATCATCGCGCCTGGTGTCCCGGTGCATGGTCATGCAGGTGGATAGCTTTGACTCGTGCGCATAGCGCCTTTCTTCCTACGATTCTCTCCGAGCAAGGATGCCGGGCCTCGTCGAGACACCCGCAGCCACCAGCGCCGTCCCTGTCTGGCCTGGCCAGGATTTTTCCGTTGCTTACCAGAAACTCGATCTAGAGCTGGATTTTATCAACAAGAGTCTGAAGGGGAAGACTGAGATCACTATCCACCCGCATCACAAGGACCTCAGGGTTATCAAACTCCATTTTCGTCAGGGCGAAATCAAACGATTGAATATCAATGGGAAGGCGGTAACAGGACTCAAATACACCGATTCCCACTCTGCCCTCAATCTTTATGGCGTGCAGTATCACCAACGCCTCTCCGCGAAAGTCGAAAATCTTCTCAAGCCCCAGATCGAACCTGAATTGGTGATCACACTTCCCAAGTCTTTACGAATCGAAGACCTCGATCCCCTGTCATCGGAAGCGCAAGACCAGATTGCTTTTCGGTCATCTGTCGGAAATGCGGATGACCCCGACGGCCCAAGTGCGAAAGCGACAGAGAACGCTCTCCCCCGGTATACTGCGCTAACGGTCTATATCGAGTTTACAGTTGATAACATTCGGGAAGGATTACAGTTTGTAGGGGTGGATAGTGGTGACAGACGGTACCCTCATGCATATACTACGAATTCAACAGGACTTGGTGCTGCTAGCTGCCTCTTCCCGTGTGTGGATGACCGATTAGCGAGATGCATGTGGGATGTGACCATTAAATGCCCTTGCTCTCTTAATGCGGTTTTTGAACGAAAAGGGCAGGAAACATCTAAGAATCACACACATGGCAAGAATGAGCTCAATGGAGCCGGAGCCGATGATGATGACACCCTCGATATGACGGTGGTTTGTTCCGGTGATATGACCGACGAGATTGTAGACCCGCGAGATTCGAGTAAAAAGAGCGTATCTTTTTCATGCGTCTCAAATATCTCTGCTCAACAAATCGGCTTTGCTGTGGGACCTTTCGAACATGTGAATCTCTCCCAGTTTCGAGAAAGCGACCAAGACGAACAACTGGGAGACAATGCGATTTCCGTTGACGCATACTGTCTTCCAGGAAGAGCCGAGGAAGTGAAAAACACATGTTTTCCGATGGCTAGGGCCATCGATTATTTTTCTGTGACTTACGGTTCCTACCCCTATTCTGGTTACAATATATGCTTCGTGGACGATATCGCCTGCGACACGATTCCTACCCCCTCACTATCCATATGCAGCAATCGCCTGCTCTTTCCAGAAACGATCATCGACCCGATGTATGACTCAACAAGGTCTTTAGTCTATGCTCTGGCCTCTCAATGGGCTGGCGTCAGTTTGGTACCCAAGGATGTAAAGGATACATGGGTAACGGCCGGCGTGGCTTATTATATAACAGACACATTTATGAAAAAGCTGTGTGGAAATAATGAGTACCGCTTCCGTATAAAGCAGATGTCTGACAGAGTCTGCGACTTGGACTACGAGAGACCTTCCATTTATGAACTGGGAAACTACTTGAGACTGGACCCATCAGAACTGGAGTTCATCGCTCTGAAAGCTCCTCTCGTTCTCTTTATATTAGAACGACGTCTCTCCAAGGCCAGTGGGAAACCAACTGTCTCACGAATCATTGGACGCCTGCTGCTCAACAATCGCATGGGTGACCTGACAAATGGCGCAGTAACTACAATGAACTTCATTAAGCTTTGTGAAAAGTTTGGTCATTGCAGACTTGATGTCTTTTTTCAGCAATGGGTCTTCGGCGCCGGTTGCCCTCGGTTTTCAGCGACACAGCGATTCAACAAGAAGAAGCTTGTTGTTGAAATTATGATAAAACAGTTACAAGGAGAATCACAAGGCGCTAAAGATCTTGAGAAATCTTCTTTCTTGCGAGACTTGAAGGAAGAACTCCGCAGTGTCTATGCTGCCCCAGTCCAGCCAGTGTTCACAGGATCAATGACCATTAGAATCCACGAGGCTGATGGAACGCCGTACGAGCATATTGTTGAAATCAAGGAACAGACCACGAAATTCGAAGTCCCTTATAACACCAAATACAAGAGGTTGAAACGTAATAAGAGGCAAAAGGAACGTGTCACCCTGAATGTAGGGGCCGATCCTAACGCAGAAACACAAGACGATGTACTGCTATATTGCCTTGGCGATGTTCTTCAAACAGAAGAAGAAATCCAGGACTGGAGATTAGCGGATTGGAGCAAAGAAGAGGAGGATCGTATGGGGCAGGAGTCTTACGAATGGATTCGGATGGACGCTGATTTCGAGTGGATATGCAAGCTATCTTTAACCATGCCTGGCTACATGTATCTCTCACAGCTGCAGCAGGATCGAGACGTTGTTGCCCAGCTGGAGGTGAGTCTGAATGATCCACTCTTTCTGTGTGAATTACTGACTGGTTTCGATTTATAGTCTATGCAATACATGGCTATTCAGAAACCCCATGCTCTAGTCTCAACAATCTTTATTCGCACCCTCATGGATAGGCGGTATTTTCATGGTATTCGTACTGCAGCTGCATATGCATTGGTAAAGCATGCAAAGGAAGAGATTGACTGGATCGGTCTTCACCATTTAGAGAGGGCATTTCAAGAGCTATTTTGCTTGCCAGGGTCACAAGTGACGCGTGACAACGACTTTTCCGACCAGGCATCGTATATCCTTCAAAAGGTCATACCCGAGGCTATCTCCCAGGTCCGTGATAATAGTGGCAAGACTCCTTTGAGGGCGAAGCGCTTCATTTTTGATAAACTCAAGTTCAGCGACAACTCAAATAACGAGGTAATAAAAACTTTCCAACCTTTTTGCTACTTCACTAACACGAATAAATAGTATTCGGACAATTTTTACATTAGCTCTCTGATGACATCAATAGTTAATGCTTTGGAGGGCCGTGGAGTCGAAACATCGACCCATAATGAGTTGGAGTTTGACATGGAAGGGGAGTTGGAGCGCCAAGCCGAAGAAAAACTTGAAAAGGACGCAATAGCGGAAATCGACAGATACCGACGAATGGATGAATGGTCCAGCTCTTTCCAGAATATTTACTCGAGGACTGCTCTACAATGCCAGTTGCGTCTTACAAAGGCCAACATCATGGACCTTGACGCAATTCATTTCCTCCAATATACTAGGTTTGGAACCTTTGATATGCTAAGAATAGACGCTTTTGAGTGTCTTGCTGAGCTGGATATATTCGGAATTCCCGAGCTCTTGAGATGGTTCCTCTTCATAATGTCATCAGATGCTAGCGCATGGATTCGTCATCGACTTCACGGTCCCTTTGGTAGAGCTCTTGCCTCTGTGGCATTTGGCACCCACCAGGTTCCTGAAGAACCGCCACCAAGCGATGGGTTGATTATCGAACAAGAATCCACCACAGATATCCGCCGAGCAGATTTGGCCAGGAAGCAGACCATGCCTGGAGCCTTGGAAGCTCTAAAAAAGGAGCTCTCCCGGAATTCAACTTTGAAAGAATCGCTATGGGCTGCATGCAACTCTTCGTACATTGGAGCACTGGAGGTTTCTGATTTCACAGATTTCTGCCGCGTCTTATATGACGCCAAGGTGTCTGTTCCGGTCAAGTTGAAATACCCTCGGTATTGGAAATGCCAGCACATGGGCAAGGTAAGGAATTATCTTTTCATTATCTACTAGAAATGATTACTAAAATTCTAATGAAGGGTAAAATGCGCTTTTACAAATCAGACCGATACCGCATGTCTCTCACGACATCTAAAGATACTGCTAGTACCGGGACAAAACGCAAGCGTGAAGATCAAGGCATGCCAACACCCGCGCCTCGCATTACATTCAAACAATCAAAGTCAAACCTTGGCGCTAGCACTCCTTCAATACCGAACCCTGAAGGACGCAAACTCACCAAATTACATATCCCCAGTCACTTAACCATGCCTACCCCTACTGTGGCTTCTCAATCACCCCAAAACCCAACCCCGACTACACCTGGCGGCGGATTGAAACTCAAACTTAAGTTTGGGTCGATGAAATAGCCAACCCAATGCTACAAAACATTCATCTATAACACTATTCTATCTTGTCTCCGTCTTACGACTTAAGCATAAAAACAATTGCAATTGGCAAAGGCGCAACTAGGCGCGTTTTATTGGTTTTCTTTTTGTTCTTCTTGGTGGCATTTTAGGCTTTTCTTTTCACAACTCAAAGGGATTCCCAATAAGTTCAGAGCGGAGCTTTTTGCATGACTTGGATAGCAGATCGGTGTTTATTTTTTTTTTTGCCTACTCTATATGAAAACTTTTTGTATTTGTACATTATTTCAAGCCATTCTTTTTTCGGCTCCGTTGCATGCAAAGATCGGGCCGAGGAAAGACAATGGAGTCCAGATTTGATAGGAATTCAGGATATCAGACGATGAAATCCTACAGTAGGATAACAAAAGTCGAAATATAGCATCATGATTTCTACGTTTTTATTTATATTTAATTAATCTCAGATTAAAATACTTCCCAGGATCCCATCCGTAATAGATAATACAAAATATTCAAACGCATGTACAATTAGTTTCAATATGTGGAGGGCTCCTATATCCAATCCATTTTAAATGTTGCGGTGCTATATTCAAACTTTTGTCGCCCTACAGTAATAAGATTTATTCATAAGCTTACTGAATAGAACAATCCAGCGTATCTCTAAACAAATTCGAAGATGGTATTTCAAAAGTCGATTGATTTTTATCTTAACTTGTTCTCCATTTTCATTCATCAAACCCAACACAAATTCATAAAAGAATAATTGACAGTGTAAGCCGGCCATCCATTAAAACTCCGATATGATATACGAAAATAGGAAATAAACACCAGGTCAAGTTCCCATAACAAGAAAGAAAAAAGATCTCTGGTTTTCGGCGACGCCTTTTTATAGTGAAACTAATCGCTGATACGTTCGAGGGCCTGGAAAGAGGAATTAGTGAGGTGTTGAGAGGAGGGGTTTGTGGGATATAACGAACCTCGAGCATAACGACCGAGTTTCCTCGAATGACCTAAATAAGTAAACAATCGTGAGTAAGCAGAAATGCAGGCTTTGTGAATAAGTGGGCTCAACATACGGCCATTCCTATCCTCACTTTCTCGCCGTCCGGCTTCTCTTCAATAGCTTCGTCAAGGACGATGTTCATAAAAACCTGCCCACCACAGTTAGACTCCAACCATGGCACACTTCGAACCAAACACAAGAAATATCGGTGTTTGTAAGGTAGGATATAAACGTACGTCATAACCTCTGAGGATTCCGATCACTTTGCGATTTCCATTCAGTTGCACAAACAACCGTTTCTCCATATACTGTCGACGAATTTAGTTATTATTTTTTTTCTTCTCTTCTTTTGGCCAAAGACATTCGATTACGGAAGAAGGATGGACTCACCTTCTTGAGTTCCGGTTGAGCTTGAGGCATTTTGGCGACTAGACCTGGGTGATTAGACTGGAGTCTTGGGTTTTCTGGTCGTCGCAAATGTCGCGTGAATGGACTGGCTGGTTGGAGAAATCGCGGTGCGGCAGAAGGGCCCGCAGAGAGCTCATACCGGAGAAACGATTGGCCGAATAGCTCATATTGCGGAGTTTGAACTCGGAGACCTCACCACTTCATACCAGCAGCTACGAGTCGCAGAAAAGGATATCTGGCTCTGACAAGCCGGATTTATATACTCTGAATTATGAATTCACCTTTTGCGAATCGCCGCAAGCCGCGCAAGATTGGAGGAGAAGATGAGGAAGATAATAGTACAAGTCAAGGTTAGTCCAACCCCGCCATATTTTAGAGATATCAAAGCTCAAACTTTCCAAGATAGCGAACCCGTCGTTAAAAGACCATCGAGTCTAAAGCCAAAGCACAAATCAAAACTCAGACTTTCCTTCGGACCCGGCGAAACGTCCATGGTGGATGATGGCGACGACGCAAGTGGAGTTGTTACGCCAAAGCGACCTGGTCTTGGTCGGCGTGTCCTCGAGAAAAACGCCTTACAAAAAACACCAAGCACCACAGGCTCCGCGACTCATTTGCCTTTTCGAGTCGGACAAGAGCAGGATAGGCCGGCCTACGGAGAGGATTATCTCAAGGAGCTGCGAGACTCCACTCCCTCCACGCCTAAAGCCACAGACAGTGAAAACGATCGGAAGGAAATTGACGTTACGGCGAAATTCGGGGAAGTCATGCAAATGTCGGGTGCTACTGCGATACCGAGCGAGGCGGAGATCAGAGAAAAGAAAGCACGGCGGGCACGATTGGCCAATGAACCCGAGTACATTTCTTTAGAAGTAGAGGACGAAGCCGAAGAAGATTATATGGCTCTCGACCATAAGAAGGAAAAGGAACAAACTCGCCTTGTGAGGGACGACGAAGACTTTGCAGAAGGATTCGACGAGTTCGTTGAGGATGGCAAGATTTCTCTCGGCAGAAAAGCGGAGCGAGAGCAACAGCGAAGACAACGCGAGCAGATGCGAGAGCTTATCAACGAGGCGGAAGGAAGCTCGGAGGAGGAAGACTCGGATGCAGAACGAAACGCCGCTTATGAAGCCGCTCAAACGCGAGCCGGCATGGACGGTATGGAGCGTGAACGGCGTGGCAACTCATCTCGTCCAAAAACGCCACCAAAAATCGCATCTTTGCCAAACCTTCCGGGCGTGCTGGGACGGCTGCGTGCGAATTTAGCAGAAGCAGAGGGCTCTAAGAAGCTCTTGCTTGATCGGATGGAAGAGCTTCGCAAGGAAAAGGCAGATATCGCAGTGCGAGAGGTTGAGATTCAAGCATTGATCAAGGACGCAGGCGAACAATATGAAAAACTTCGCCTTGAGGCAGGCCTTACACCAGGGGGCGATGGTCTGCCAGGAGACGCGACACCCAACGACCGTGGACTGGAAAGTCTGGGGGGTTCGCTGACAGTTTCTCGCGTGGACTCTGAGACTGAGTGAGCGCAGTCGCTCCTTCCCTGTATTGTAAAACGGCTTCTTCTTCTCCTTCTTCTTCTGGGACGGCCGCCCCTGTATTTTCTGTCTTCACGGCGTTGGTTCTTGTATTCCTCTTTATGATACCCATCTTATATAGCAATCGATAGCTGCCATGCCGCGATCATCGTTTCTTTCTTTCAGGACTTACTCAACTCGTAGGCCATCTCGAACAAACAGGCCGAAGTGAGTACCACATTCAAACATGGGCTCGATTCGACCAATGCTAACAATTTCCAGATATTCCGTTCACCTTATTCCCTGGCTGGCAAGCCCTCTCGATGAGAACAGCGGAGCAGTGCCACGCTTACGCCAACGTAGTGATGCTAGTCCCATCGAGTTGTTCTACGATGTATTTCTAGTTGCGAATCTCGCCACATTCTCCGCTACGCATGAGATTACAGACATCAAGGGTCAGTAAGCATCAAAGCTATTCATGGCGTGTCTCGGGAGATTGACGCTTTGTAGCGGTGTGGTCATATGTCGGCTTTGTTGGCATCATCTGGTTCACTTGGCTCCAGGTGACTCTCTTCGACCTTCGCTTCTCTAGAGATTCAATCTTTGAGCGGACTTGCAAGGTCGTTCAGCTATGCACTATGGTTGGGTTTGCTTCCGCAGGATCACGTTTTTCAACACGCATTCAGGACGAGAACGTTTGGGCTTTTAGGTCGTTGTGCGCACTCCTATCTGGAAGTCGCTTCATGCTTGCCGTACAATATATGATCAATCTATGGTTTATTCATGACAAAATGTATGCAGCTGCAAAAGGAATGCTAGCTATTATCGGCGTTCTTTCAGTCACTGGAGTCACCTACCTAGTGGTAAGTCGGAACTGTTTCATCATTTGGGAGGCTCAACTAACAGGTACAGTTGTACTTCACATTCGGTCCATCCGAACCTCACGTTTGGACTGCCTGGTTCGGCCTGTTTTTATTTGAGTCTCTCGCCGTCATTGCAGTCTCAACATATATTCCGGGACTAGAGCTTGATAACACTCATCTCACCACACGAATGGGGCTTTTGACCTTAATCATCGTGGGCGAGCATGTAATTTCGGTCACCCGGATTGTCAAGAAGATGATAGGCGGTGGTGGATGGACGCTGGCATCACTCTTACATGTCATGGGTGTCGTGACCACAGTGGTATGCTTCACCCATCGACTTGTAGTTTATAAATTACTCGTCTGAACTAATCGGTCTAGTATCTTTTATGGCATTCATACTACGATATTTCACCGCGCAACCGATACGGAAGACTTCGACAACAGATATGGACTCATCTGCATTTTCCATTTCATATGAGTATCATTCTTTCTTCCGAGGGCTGTCAGATTCTCGCCCTAGCTTTGGATATTTCTTTGAAGTTGAGATATTTGCTTGAGACGATGCAGTTTGCTTGCGAGGATCCACCACCTTTGAAGAGCTTCGCGTTGGAATTACTCAATCGTACAATTGTTGATATGGAGATCGACTTCAGCAAATCCCCTCATGAAAAGGCTGGCATTAGTCATGTCATGGCTACTTTGTGGAATACGACCGACATTTGTGCAGAAGGAAACTCTACACAAGCTTCAGTATATGGAATTCCTGAAGACCAAGGGCGTTATTTGTCCGGAAACGTTACTGTGGCCCTCTTTTCGAGTATGGACATCCTACCAGAAGAGCCTGATTCTACGAATACTGATGGAATGAGATACGTGAGAGTGTATCTTGGGCTTTTGACGTTCGTCTACATATACTATTTCATCACGGTAGGGCTAGCAATGGCCTACTTCGGTATTTTTACGATATTGACAAGACGTCATTCAAATCAAGTATACAATGCAGTCGCCGTGGCATTTCGATTTCTATGTGCAATTGTTCTCATGTCACAAGTTGCATTCGCGAAAGATTTCAATTTAACCTACAGATACATGACGCATCCAATCATACTATACACATTTTCCCTAACCATGCTTTCCGGTAAGTTTATTTTTATGTGGATGCTTATTTATATTGTCTAACATGGATAGTTCTCCTTGTCGATCGAGTTCTAGACACGCTTGCAAAGTCGAGGAAAGTTGATATAACTCGAAAAAGCAGCACACGTAGCAGGGCACCAATTGTGAGTTTCGACCAGGAAGCGGACAGTACTTTCTACGAGGGATAGAAGATGGCATGGTGGCTTTGAACAAGCTGAGCTATTCTTAATTGACTTGCTATGCTCTATATAGTAGAATTTTATTTTCTCGTTGTCCTATGTATCTTGGCTATGGCCTGAGTGGTAACTTTTGGCAGTACGTTGTCACACAATTGCAATGGCATGCTCAGACATAGTACTCGAGTGCCCATCAATTATCCAAATGCAACTTAGGCAAAACCATATTATCGGTGTCCTCCTCCAGTACATCCTCGGGAATCGAAAAAATATGGAAGACCAGGGGTACCTTTTTTTTCGGTCTTCATTCTCGGTGTCTCATATAGAGCCCGGTCCGCGTATTGTGGATGGTGCTAGGCCAGTATTCTAATGGACGGCCTAATCCTGCATGTTCTTTCCTAGCGCTTACGTGGAACCAGACTCTACCCAACTTCTCAACTCTCGATACAGATGTCCGCTTTCGGTCGCAAGCGTCGTTATTATTGAAGAACTAGTCCGTCATCGCACCGACGGTCCCAAACGATCCTTGTCTAGACGAACATCTAGCACAAAAGTGGCCCTCGGCCTACCGAAAGGGAGATTGTGCGCGTCGGTCCAGTCCAAGTTGAGTGCTTGCGCTAATGGACGTGCTAGGCATGTCCGGACTCTGATTCGCGCTCACTTTAAATTAAACGGACAGCGCTGCTCAGCCCTACGACTCCGACAGAATGTGATGTTACAGTAGGATCGAAGCATGCATCATTTCTCGAAGGTTTCAGTGCTGTCAACCTTAATCACTGCTCTCTTTCACTGGACACATGCCATTGTGGAGCGCCGATTGGCGGTGGCAATTAAATTGATTAATTAAGATGTTCGACAGACAGCAGCCATCAACCGAATCACCGTGCAGAGTAGGCGATCGGTGGATAGAATTTGACCGCTATATAGGCTATAACGGGCAGCCCAAAGTGGCCGTTAAATGTAATACGTAGGACAAAGTCTCCTATGTGGAGACTAACAGTGGAGGAGCCCCTTTTCCATGCTTGTATGAACTATGTATGGTTACTACGACGAAGTAATTACTATGAACCAGTCGGCTATGAACTAGTCGACTCGACGGTCTTTAGCCTACGGCCTATGTGTCGGTCTGACAACCGCCCGTGCCACACCGCTTCACTGTTGTTCTGTTAGAGATAATCAGGCGTAAACCAGTTAGCAATAGACGGTCTGCACACAGTAACCCGCCTGCATATCTGCACAGCCGATCATATTCAGAGAAATGGTCATCTCTCTCTTTTCTTAATGAGGACTGAGCGTTCATTTTAGCGGTATCGACGCAGCTGATCAGGAATAGAGGCTGGGAATTTCTATTACAAAATCGTCTTATGAAAAGAAACTGTCGGAATCAGAGTCAGATTTCATTTTGATTATCTTGGTCGCCAGAATTGTAAGGCCGGTAACGGTCAATGTCCACGGGATCTCCACCTGTAGGGCTGAAGGCAAAAAATCAATAATGAGGAGCAGATACCAACCATTTTTATTGTTATGGCTCTTAATATACAGCTAATTGATACACTACAGAGCAATAGTGGATAAATGCGGTGTATTTTCAACCCCCCATTCGCCCAGACTTTCAAATCCCGTCGCGACGTAAAGTCTACAATCATGCAGAACCACGGGCCAGCCGATATAGTCAGACCGCGGTAGACGCCTCAATTCTGATTCAGGCAGTAGCTAGGCTATGCTAAACTGTGGAGGTGATGTAATGTATGAATGTGACTGTTCGTGGAGCAAATTCCTGCGCCTTTCCAACCTTCTAGAAATGCATAGGCGCGGAGTCGATACGCCAGCTGGTTTGTGTTTTGGCGTCGATCAACCAGGGTAACATTAATTAATACAGTGTGAACGAATACAGAATACGTGACTGAAAAACAACTAGGGGATGGTGTGGGTGATATACAGCTTAGGAAGTCGAGGTATTCGGTGGAGACGGCATTTCGAAACAGACGATGACTGCTCGAGTCAGCCAAGAGGCGGTCCATGGATAGCTGAACAAAGAGGCTGTATTTAAACAGTCCAATTAAATACCAGAACTTGGAGAAAATCGATATGCACTTCGTATCTGCGAAGGAATTGGGGCGTATCTGCTCGCCAAGGAAGCGCCTGAGTCGGACCCTCGCTGAGGGATTGAGATCGTGGCAGGTGCTGATGGAAACACGTATGAAGCAGAATAGGAGTTAATTAATTTAGGGCTGATGGTTCTTATAGTGTTGTGGTTGTAGAAAAGGATCAACATATTGTAAAACGGGCCGGTCAAAGACATGGACACTGGTTCATGACCGTCATATCCAAGCTAGGATCAATGTGAGAAAAGGGACGCACCTATATTTCATGGGCAGCAATAGGGGATTTTCTGGCAAAGATGACAAGGGGTAACCGGTTGTTTATTGGGAGTATGTTGAAGCCCACAGAGGACATTTAGAAGTAGTGCTGAAGTAGGATAGGCAATGAATACCACTATTCCATATACTAGCAAATTTTTGTGTATCTCTGATTCTCATAAGATTTTTATCATTTAAACTGTGCTCTAAATACATGGTTTTTCCAGAATACTATTCATTAATGATTGTTCATAGCGAAAAGTGTACGCTACAAGCCTAGATATATATACAGAATACAAGAATCAAGTTGAATTATTGCACACAGTAATACTAGAATATATAAAGCAGAGGAATACGTAGATACACAGTACTAGGTACTGTGATTCCTGCTTGTTGAATACAGCTATTGGATGATGTATTTGAAGAACTTTAGATATCATTCATTCTTGGTAACGGTTGATGTTCTTTCCCCCAACCCTATAGGATACGATGATTAGCTCAATGTAATTCAAATCATTAAACAAATACAGTCTGTATGGTGCATAGTTTAATATTAATGAATTATATCAATTGATGTACTATGTATGTCCATTTGTGCTGAACATGAGAGTGATTTATTGATTCAATTTCCTCCAGTCCCCAACGCAACACACCCAGTTGGCCAATTGCCTTCCAGAGTCAGTGTCGTAACATCAATTGGTCTTAGTTGTTATTATGAGCTCTGTTTTTTAATTAGTTATATCATCATTCTCAAGACGCCGAGACCCAGGAAATATTTTCAAGATGTCTCAGATGCATCTTTTACACCACGAGGCAGACTGCATATTTCCATTTCCAGGTGCCACTTCGCGACATCATACCAAAACAGTTATCTATCTTCTCATTCAACCCGAGATATAATCCGGACCTATCAAAAAAACGAAACATTCTTGTCGGTACATACACTTGCAATATTAGCCCCCAACCCCGCACATCATCGGCTTCGCACTCGGTTTAAAAATTGTCTCAGATCCTCGACCTGCAGATCGAAAACTGCATCTAACCCTTCTGCCTTCCTTACGTCTGCATGTTACACACGCGAACGGGGAAAAGAATAACTCCTGCATACGTTTCTACACATATCCAGAAAAGAGAAACTCGTATAGATACGAACGCCCGAAAGCCTCATGATGAATGCAGCAATCTGAATGCCAGGTCCGGCGGCGCGCTGCCTCGACGTACGTTGTGCAACCACACCAGAACAAAACAACGAAGGGTGGTTGGTTGGAATCTTAAGCTCCAAGACCATATCTAACAATATACCCCGCGCCCTGTCCCCCTCGATTGCATGACTGGGTTACCCCGTGATCAAGGCTTCGGCCAGGCCGAGACTGACGCATGCACACCAGAGATTGTCAATTACTCTGGAAACTCAACAGCAAATGCATGCATGTGAAAACTGCACAGAGTTCTACACATCTTCCGTCACACAGTTGACTTTTTAAAAAGCAGATCAGGTTCGGGGTCGCCGGCAACCTGCATTATTGCATAGTGAACTGGGCTTGAGAGTTCAAGTCTTGTCGACGTAATTGGCGGAGTCTTAGTAAGAAAAAAATATAATAGATTAATACGCAGCAGGCTACCTCTCGCCGGGCAGGCTAATACAGTCGATATATCGCAGCGAATCAATAAAACTAATGGGGTGCTCCGACGCGATGGTCTGCCAATAGAATCTGATCACCAGACTGCTGGGTGCGGGCTAGATGCAGATGAGATGCAACTCTTCTTGCGATTACGAGCAGGGGTAGGTATGACTTTGTTACATTCACATTCTTTTTTCTTTCTATTGCTTTTTCGCATTGGGCCTGACTTGTCAATGCCAGTTGTCGAATTGTAGATGCTACCTTATCATCAATGCTAGACAGAGATTAAAGGGTATAGACCGTAACATTCCTAATCGGGAAAGCGAAGAGCAAGCCGTGCAGAATAGGAGTGACCAATGAGCGTGCGATCAGCTGATTTTGACAATCTGCAAACTGCAGGTTCAATGCACGGGTACGAAATAATGATACGTGCACAACAATCCTGTTCCTCGACGACAATGATGGGGACGATCATCCTCAGGCATCATGAAGAACACCACTGGTAGGCTATGGCGGCTCCCGACCGTGACGCTATGCGTTCCCAGACCCCTGGGAGATGCAGTAGTCTGATCCCTAGAGTGCGAGAAACCGGAGTTAGAGGAGGAGACGGTGTCCACGTGTTCCAAGCGCTGACATTTAATAATAACCTAATTACAAAACTGTCGCCCAGTTCACCGTGATAATGGAACACGGATGTAGACCGACTCAAGCATTTACTGTTGAGTATTGGCACGTACTTGGCAGTAGATTCGAGTCAACAACCGGAAGCCTGATCACCGACGTTAAAGTTCTTAAACTGGCTTCCTACACTCTAAAGTCTAGGACTGGCTGTGCTTGGTCCGTCTAAGCCATCGCTAGGCACGAGCCACTGCATATTGTTATCGTTAATGGCGCTTAAAACAAAACCGTCAATAGCCTTTCCCCCCGTCCGGAGTAAATTAATTCAAAACTTAGCGGTGGCAAAATACTGTAACAAAGGCCAACCCCAACGGTTAAAACTCGGCCGTTTGCCGACTCGATTAATAATTCC